TTTGAGCAAACATCAGAGGAAATAATGATGACGGACTGGAATCATGTCTCATGGCATGGAAGTGAACAAAATTTCTATAAGAACACCATGATGAACTGTGCAAAGTTTATTTATTCTATTAATATGTGTGAAAAAAATAGTTTCGAACAACGCTTTGAAAACAGGAACGTTAAAATGCTGACCATAATTTTCTTAAATTCTATACTATTAATTAATAATTTCTTCAATATTATTATAAAAATTCTTGTCATTTTTATTCAAGCCAGTTCTTATAGAAATTTCGTCCACTGTAGTTTGTGTTTTTTGAAATTCTAGACAAACTGCCGCGACGAATGAATAAAAGAGGGTTAACGAAGCAAGTGTAGTTACCCCAATGCCGATTCCTTTGCCAGCACTGACGTCATTTTGCCTCGTTCTTCAATCCCCCATTTTCTCTTCTCGAGACGAACTCTCAATTGACTTTGCCCTTATTCAAAGGCCTTTAAGCTTAGAGACCCGCTTCAGAGCGTCCAAAGCAAAAACGAGACTGTTTCTCATCGTGTGTTTCTATAGCTGATCTGTTAAGGTCTTAACGTGATTTAATTCACAATAAAGTGCCTAAATTCTCTGACGAAATTAAGCGCTGAATCAGCTTCGTAAGAAAGAATTTGTCTCCTCCCGTTGAGAGAAAGAAATACCATTCCAGAGTAAACGTGGTCCTTTCAGCTTTCATCGAATGATGCTACTTTCTCAGGAAAAATTAGGTTGCGCGTGATATCGTTGCGTACGATTACCACTAGTCTGTCGTATCTCACTGTTCAAAGCTGGAATTAGTCAAGAAGAATGTTTCAAAATCACGAGAGAACCGATAATCCTTAATCCTTGATCAAGGAAGAACTTTTCAGTTCTGAGAACTATTATATTGGATGGCCATTCTGTTGTTATCGTACAGATAACAGCAGATAGTCGCTGCGTTTAAAGTAAGTTAGTCACCACGCTTTCACTTTTAGCGCAAAGTTCAGAAAATTCCTGATACTGCCTTAGTCACTTTGTAATTAAGGACATCTTCATTTCCATCAAATGTACAAAATAAAACCAATTGTAAGATAGAAATATACCGTAATATTGAAATGAACATTTACTGAACATTTTCTTGCGTTTTTTATAAATATCCTCGACGTTATCTCAAAGATAAAAATTGTGTAATATTTTTCTTAATGTCTTGAGAATTTTCGAGAAATACAATCCAATTATCCAATACAATCCAATACAATTTTTTATAAATATCCTCAACGTTATCCCAAAGATATAAATTGTGTAATATTTTTCTTAATGTCTTGAGAATTTTCGAGAAATACAATCCAATTATCCAATACAATCCAATACAATTTTTTATAAATATCCTCAACGTTATCCCAAAGATATAAATTGCGTAATATTTTTCTTAATGTCTTGAGAATTTTCGAGAAATACAATCGGATTTCTCGCTTCTGGAGAAATGGAAAATGTCGAGACAATACAGTCCACGCGTTGAAGGGTAATTTTAAAACGGTTCGCGTTGCCTCTCGAAGCCATTGCTACTGCACCCGCTCGACGGAACCGTTTTACGGTAGTTTGCCGTAAATACAAAGAAGTTACCGGCGTGCATCGAGTTGCTCATTGACTTTTGATTCACTGGGTATGTAGGTCGCTCAACGCCGACCGAGTGCCGCTCTCATTGTCAGAGTGGGTCGTCGGTCTGTCGAGCGGTCGGCACTTGGAACCCCGTAAGAACCAATGTGCCCGACCTCTGCCTCCTCTTTTATTTTCTCGCGCAAACTAGTCGCGGCTTTAAACTCTAATTAAGTAACAAGAAGAGCAGACGACGTCAACTTGTGGCCAACCAGGGGCATGCGGATCGCAAATATCAGCCACGTGACGCTTCTCGCATCAAAGAGAAGAAAATATACCATATAGTTCGTCTACAGACGTGGCCAAAAGTAACACGATCATTGGGTGCAATTTTACGTTCGTGTATCAATATTTTGTTAATAATCCCGGGGAAAAATTTTAATGGTGGATTCTAGAGGCCAAAATAAGACGAAAATCAAGAATATCAATTTCTTGATGGAGGCTTTTTTAAAAAGTTATTAAAGTTTAAAGTTCAGCCCGTATTGAATTTTTTCCTCGAAAATGCGCAGGATTTCGGGGGTATGTTTATTTACCAAAAATTATTGTAATTGACCCCCGCAACCGACACTAATTTTTCCAGAATGATTTGAAATTTTTGTTTTCCGTCGAAAAATTTCACACCTTCTCGAATTGTTTTCTAGAAAGTGGGTAGGAATTCGGGGGCATGTCTATTTACCAAAAATGATTGTAATTGACCCCTGCGACCGAAAATAATTTTTCTAGAACAATTTGAAATTTTTGAATTTAATCCGTAATAACTTTTTAATGAAGCCTCAGTCAAGAAATTGGCTCATTTAAATTTTTTCCATGGGTGGCCGAACACCCTGTATTGTAGTAAAAGAAGACGATAGAGGCTTAAGCTCATTGATCGACAAAATTTACTCGCTTCAAGAGATTTCTTCATTCGTTGACGCATGTTGAGCAATCATTAACACTTCAATATTTTTAGTTGTGGGTATGGGATTCCCGAATCTTTTTATAATTTTTCAGGATCTACAACTGGGCCAAGTTTTTTCTTTTTAAAGAATCTTCTCTCAAACTGTGCTGTGAGTTTAACAAGATAGAGAACCACCTGCGAAGAATGTTTAATTGAGGCCAAACGTTCAAGATATTAAAGTATTATGAAAGACGTAACTCTGTTTACGCAATCGCATTAATTTGGCCAAGTCTATAGTCTTATTCGAGAGGTTGGCCAGTCTCTGGAAAAGAAACCAAGCAACGCTAACGGCGAACATTAAGTTTAAAGATAGATGCAATAACGCTCATCGTCAACAACGTGCTACATCAGAATTGACATCTAGATTGCAATCTTTAGCCTCGTTATACGATATGTTTAAAGAGCAGTACAAAGGTGGGGACCAATAAGCGAAGTGATGCAATATTTCATTCATGAACATCGTATTTCGTCAAATGAACTTGATCGTCTGATCCAATGAGAAAGTCTGACAAAAGATCCCTAAAATAAAAAATAGATTAATCACTGATGAAGAATATCGAAGCTGAAGGAAGGTTCAATGGCATAGAAAAAGAAGTTTAGACCCACTATACTTGCTAACCCTCTCAAAACTCGTATCATCGAGATTAGGTACTTGAAGTACGCTTTCTTGACTTCAAGTATGATATTACTGCGACTAAGGACGTTTCCTCTTGGATCTTTTCTTTCCGGTCCGAGTCTATATTATTCCAGCAATTCGTCCAGGGACCCGTACGCTCGTTGTCAGTGTACTTTTTCCTTGCGGTGTTAGTTTGATTAACGAGTCGACGTATCGCTGGATGAAGTCATCGGCTCGCTTCCAGTTGCCCGCCGACCAATTGTCGGAGTTTAATCCGTCGATTTGCGCCGAGCGCGTTCTCTCCGGACTCCACGAGGTGATTTTCGAAGAGCCACTCTCGGTTCCACTCGAGTCTGTCGGGAGTTGGCGGGTGCTCTCTCGAGCGATGGAACGACGAAAGGGAGAGAAGGAAACCGCTGCTCGCGCGAAAAAGAAACTGGTTTGAACTGCGACGGCGCGACACGGGCTACCGGAATTCACCGCGCTTTATCAGAGCAAAGGTGTCGCGCGCGAGAATCGACCTGTATATCGATAGCAGGAGAAAGTGCGTGGTGCACTTTGCACGAACGGAGACTTTAATACGCGCGTGCAGGACGCGGATTTCCATTTTTTTTTATTCTTTTTCGAACGCGCCGATTCCAGGCCCCTGGAAAGTGCAACGAGCGTCTTATTAATTGAAATTATAGCGGCGATTAAGTATGTTCGCGAGTAATTGACTGAAAGTGTCGTGTCGTTCTTGAAAGAAGATTCAGACACTTGTATCGATACATTATATCGCGGTAGTCGGCGATAAGGCGAAGAGGCATAATTCCGGTTATCTGAGCGATAAGTTATACAGGTTGTTCGGCCACTTCTGGGAAAAATTTTAATGAGGGATTCTAGAGGCCAAAATAAGACGAAAATCAAGAATACCAATCTGTTGATGGAGGCTTCGTTAAAAAGTTATTAACAATTAAATTAAAAAATTTCTAATCGTTCTGGAAAAATTATTTTCGGTTGTGGGGGTTAATTACAATCATTTTTGGTGAATAGACATACCCCCGAAATCTTATCCACTTTCGAGGAAAAAAATCGAATAGGTGCTGAAATGATTTCATTTTGAATCGTTCTAAAAAAATTATTGTTGGTTACAAGGATCGATTACAATCATTTTTGGTCACTATACATACCCACGAAATCCTACGTACTTTCGAGAAAAAAATTTGAAATTTGCTGAAATTTTTTTGCGGTGATCAAGTGATACTAATCTGTGATTATTGATCATAATATTGCCTACATCAGAAAATAATCTTTGTATCAGAATGAGTGTCTTTAATAACGACGCTTAATAGGAAATAAATAATCCTGTACAATGGTCAACGATTTTTTGGAAATATTTAGGATATATTTATCGTTAAAGGCTAGACGATTGAAGGATCTATTCTCGACTGAGAGATCGATTTACTAGATCCATTCAAAAGCGTCTTTTGACTCGACTATTATTTTTAAGATTTTAAGCTATCATTCTATTTCAACGAAATTTTTGTTATTTTTTTCGTTGCTAAGATGGCGTACTTCTCAATAACATTTACGCACAGTGAGGCATCGAGAAATCGTGATGAAAGGGGCGTGCACGAAGGGTCGACGAACCCGCGTGCGAACTAGCGACGGATGCACACGCATCGTGCGTTTTCCTTTTTTGGTCTTTTTTTTTTTTATAAAAGAGGGCCGTGCACACGTGTCGGAGCCGCTGGTAAAACGTGACGTTCGTTCGCGTTACTGTTCTAGACATACGTAACTCGATCGTTCGGTACTCACATTAACCGCTCTTTTAGCTTCGCCTCGTGTCCGCCACTAGAACGTTCGACTTTTCTGCTCGCTGGCCTTTTCGGGCTGAAAAGCGACGCGAACGCGTCTCTTTTTTTTCCTGTTCCGGACGCCGACCTTGATTCCGGCTTGGATCTGAAATTCACAATAAGTACGATCTCTCTTAGGTCTCCTTGGTGAAATAGAAATCTCGCGAGAAATCGAATTAAGCAGGTTCACAAACCTTATGAGGTCACGTTTCAATAAGTATCGTACGACTTTTATACAACTTGGAACAGCATTCAATATACAAAACGTGGAAACGATTATTGTTCGAGTTTAATTAAAACAGCCGAGAAAAATTTAAATTTCATTCATTGCATCGATGGTTTACAGCAGTGGTTCTTTAACTAGAATCCAGGCACCCCAAGAGGGTCAAAGATAGATTTGTGAATGCCCCCGAGTTTGTACAGAGAATTGCGAATTACTTATTTTTGTTGTACATATTATACAGGGTGCTCGGTCACCCCTGGGAAAAATTTTAATGGGGAATTCTAGCGGCCAAAATAAGTCGAAAATCAAGAATACCAATTTGTTGATGGAGGCATTGTTAAAAAGTTATTAAAGTTTAAAGTTCAGCCCGTATTGAATTTTTTTCTCGAAAATGCGCTGGATTTCGGGAGTATGTCTATTCACAAAAAATGGTTGTAATTAACCCCCGCAGTCGAAAGTAATTTTTCCAAACCGATTTGAAATTTTTTTTTTCTATCGAAAAATTTCACACATTCTCGAATTTTTTTCTAGAAAATGGGTGGGATTTCAGGGGTATGTCTATTCACTAAAAATGATTGTAATTGACCCCCGCAACCGAAAATAATTTTTCCAAACCGATTTGAAATTTTTTTTTTCCGTCGAAAAATTTCACACCTTCTCGAATTTTTTTCTAGAAAATGGGTGGGATTTCGGGGGTATGTCTATTCACCAAAAATGATTGTAATTGACCCCCGCAATCGAAAATAATTTTTCTAAAACGATTTGAAATTTTTTTTCCCGTCGAACATTTTCACACCTTCTCGAATTTTTTTCTAGAAAGTGGGTAGGATTTTGGGAGTATGTCTATTCACCAAAAATGATTGTAATTGACCCCCGCAACAGAAAATAATTTTTCCAGAACGATTTGAAATTTTTGAATTTAATTGTTAATAACTTTTTAACGAAGCCTCCAACAAATTGGTATTCTTAATTTGGCCTCTAGAATCGTTCATTAAAATTTTTCCCAGGTGTGGCCGAACACCCTGTATACGAGTTTCAATAATTTAAAACAATTTTCATGTTTTATTGACAAAAATATCGCCTGCACCGCTATGTGTACGATTTTAAGTGATAGTCACTGTACATAAGTACAGAGAAAGTTGCTTAGAATATTAAAATATAGTCACCCAATATAGTAACACCCAATATAGTTTGTGGTATAGTCAACACGCACCTACAAAATATTGTAGTAGCAATATATTGCATATATGGTGCAACGGTAATTAGTAGACAGTAATATATTAGAATATTCAATAACATTAATCCATAATAGTTTCGTGCAATGTGTCGGCGATGCGTGTGTCTTCATAGTAAATGGAACGTTTCAAAGATTTCAAGGTCGCGTCTATTCCTTTCAACGCAACTCGTTAATTCCATTCATAGTCTTCGAAGTAGCGACTTCAGTTACGTCACAAAAACCTATAGTCAACAGTAAACGTTCTGTGGTTATGCATGTCACAGGGATATTAGAATATCGTGAATTTTCATGAGTGGCAAACGAGCAGATAAAAAGAGTATATACAACGCCGTTAAACGCTGTAAAAAGATTGCAACGCGATTCAATGGTGTTTCTCCGACGAATATGCAAATGACTAATAAAAGATTGTGCAACCCGTAGGCGCGCTAACACTCCCACCTGCCCAACGAGAGCTGGCTTTCTGCCGGGCATCCAGGGATTGAAAACTGTTATGATATCGGTTCTGTTCTGAAAACAGTTACAAAGAACAGGAACGACGCTATAACCATTATGAAAAAAAAACGGTTCTAGTCAATATCCACGGCCTCTTATTATATCGGTTCCGTTTCGAAGACGGTTGTAAACTGTTAAAATTTCAATACAGATATTGTTCTCTTGTATATCACATCAAGTTTGTGTATGAACGATAATTTTAAAAATTTTCGTCTACAATGTTCAATGTTCAATTTTGAATTTTGAAAACTTTTCGCAGAGTTACAAATTTTAACATTGTCTTTCAACGCTCGCGTGCAGAAAGCCTTCTTTTAATCTGAATCTGTCGTCTGCATCCGCGTCCACCAATATCCTCTTTATTTATAGACCCGCGTCCTTATCTTCAAATATAAACAGACCTTGCTTTTCAGAAACACGGTCGTCCGTATTTCCGACGAAACTCAATACCTGTAACATTCTAAATAACGTTACATTAATTAAGAATACCGCAAAATAACAGGTACGTATAGCATTTAATTATCGAATATTTCAACGCCAGCCGTTCACTTTGTATGGATGAAAATACTCGCGATTGTGTACATGCGTATGTGTGATGCATCGTATATGCGTTATGTATTACTTTTCCGATCGTGACAAAATTTCTTAAGTGGTTAGTGCTAACCGATCGATTTAAAATTATACAATCCTTAATTGTATGACATATCTCACGAGCAAAACTTTCAAATGAATATATTTACATATAAAATTGAATAACCTATTCTACGAGCGATGGAGGAATCCATTTTCCTAATGGTGGCCCTACAAGAACGACGATGCTGTAGAAATTTCACTTACGTCATCGAACGTACATCGAAGAAAATCAATTTCGTGTCATTCGACTATTAAACGGCTAACAATGCATGTCGATCGTTGGTGATTGTCCTTAACTATGCCAAGTTCGTTTGGGAGAAAGAGAATAGCAGTCTCAATGGATTTAACGTATCGAGCAATTACGAAATGCATCGAGAAGCGACGAGTTGATGAGGTCAGTTCGATCGCTGACCGCTGGTCAATGCCCTCTGTCGTTCGATCCGTTTACTAGGAACGACGATCTGGTGAATCGGATCGATTTCATTTCATGCCCGTTCCAATACACATATAATGCTTCCATAACATTTTACGTAAATTGCAAGCAAGCTCCTCCATGCCAGGACTCGTGAAATAAACACAAACTGTTAGAATTGTACATGTTTTCGCAGACTGGTGAATTCGCATTGATTCATCAAAATTAACATGTTCGCTATCACGCGTCACACATTTGTGACGCATTAATTTACACGGCAGACCAACGTCACATATGCTCGACAGCGACAGTTGTCTATTTTACATCTGTATAAACAAATTAAGTACAAACTTTCGATCACTCTCGCATTATGTGGAGTACTATATTTAAAATGTTCGGTCAACCTGTTCAGTATATTTTATTTATACATAATTGAAAGCATGAATTACATTGAATAAGATTTGTCGAAATATAGCGTGGTCTACGGTGGATGTTCTGACCGAACAGTGGTAGCGAACGTGTTAATTGCCTTCAATTTTGGTTTCATGTTTTCAGTATCTCAATGTGTTAAACAGAAGACAACGATAAGATAAGGAAAATATAATATATAAAAAAAAAAAATATAAGGGGACACCCGGGTTTGAACCGGGGACCTCTCGATCTGCAGTCGAATGCTCTACCACTGAGCTATATCCCCGATATTCTAACCGTTTTACAAATTTAATAGATATTGAGAATGATTATTAATTAATCCCAGCCGATATTTGTTATGTAGATATTAAATAATCATCTGTGAATAGGGCACATCAATTTAGAAAGTTTTGTACAATTCTCTATTCAACGAATAAATAACTTTGATCCCAAAAACGTACAAATATAAACTTATATCAGCTATGGCTGATTCTGCTACCTTTCTAACAGTTAATTATAGTCGTAGCGTTCCAAAAAGAATCGATTTCAAATATACGTTGATTGCTTGGATCGAAAGAAAGTCTAATCATCGATGCAGTCGAATAACTGTCGGCCATTGGACACAGAGAAAGCGACGCCAATGGCTGCGACAGGTAAATAACGGAATTTCTGAAAAAATAATGGTACGGACCGGTTTCTCGATGCGTGACAGACAAGGCAAGGCCTGTTGAAGCAAGTCCATTACGATTGCGGTAACGAGCACTGCCTTCGATTCTCCTCGAGTTCGTGCATTTGTTGCGTTAACCGGTAGCCACGGAAAATACATTGTTCCAAATCTGTCGCAGCGGCGACATCTATCCTAACGTTTTCCGTCCTCGATCGAAATCGACGTACGTCGATAAGGCAGAGCCTCGACTAGTTACCCACAACTTCGTCGGTACAGAGAACGGTCGTTGAACAAAATATACAAAATATTTTGCAACGACTAGCATGAAACATAGAATTCGACGGCTTTCATAGACATCGGAGCGTAAAAAACGAAAGCGGATTCTTACGCCTTTTATCTCATCTACTTGGCTTTCTCTCGGACATGCAACACGAAACTTATTAGTCATTTTCTACGCAACAAATGGAAACTATTATTGGTAGCTTAGAAGAATGAATTTTAGAGGCAAAAAATAACATTTGTTCGAAATGTTTCTAATACATTTTCTAAATCAATTGTATGATAATAGAAATTAATTGAAATTATGCCATTGATTAAATAAATCACATTTTGTGAAAATAAAGCATGTTCAGTAAAACGAGCACCACTGAAACAACAACCGCATCTTCAACGATTTTAAATATTTTTACACCAAAGAAATTGTGTTTCTTAAATATAGGTTAGAAACATGCAGAGGTGTCATGGTTTGTGTTTAATTCCAAACAACACGTACAAATCGATGTCTAGATTAGTATAGCCCTTTAAACGTAACGTGGTTGCAATGTTTCTGGAACGACACGTGTCGTTTAGTGAACCTGCACCTTTCGATAGAGTCGTCCGAACCGAGTGTACCGATCTTTTCGTACTGCCAATGACATGTTGAAGCGCTTACCGTGTTTTCGTGGACTTATCCGTGATCGGCACAGTGGTGGCTGTCGCCCGTTTAAACGGTGCCCGTCCTCCCGAACCGACGGACATTCCGCTTCGAGCCTGAAACACAAACGAATTTCCGTGCAATGTAATCGACGTTACGGAACAGAAATTTAACGGTACATCGTTGCCGCGGAACGTGCCCGCCATAATAAGAGAACCGGCAGATTTTCGAGTACGAACGGCGTTCGTGAAACGACCGCGCGAATGCCAGCGAACGTCGCCGGATTAATAGAGCAGGTGTAGCGGCGAAACCGCAAGTGTGACATCCTTGAGGGGATATCTTCTCTTACGAGCACGAATTCGATCTGTTCGCGCCGCGGATAGGTATTAACGGCGGGTGTACGCTAGGTAGCTAGAAACGAAACATGCGCTAAATAAATATAGAAACGAAGGACGTCACGTGAAAAGCGAAACCGACGCAAGGTGGTGGTGCACCGACGTCTACCGGAATTACGCGAATAGGCGAATCGTCTAGAAATATCTAGGCAAGGACAGAGGGCCGAATCATCCTCTGCCCCTGAATCTTCAAACGACGTGGGCGTACCGAGTTCCCTCCTAGCGCGTCCAGTAATTGTCGGATCATCTTAGCAGCGAAGTTTAGCGATGAATCACAAAACCCGTGGAACCTCTCACGAAGCTTTTGATCTTCCAACCGAATCGCACAGTTCAATAAAATCACTATTAGACCCCGTGCATCTTGTCAACACCGCGCGTTATTGACCCTGAGTATCGTCGTTCGACGGGCGCCACAGTTTTTCACTGCCGTTGCACCTCTCAGGTGCACACAAAGAGACTAAATGGAACTCGAGGTGGCACGATAAGAACCGAATCGTACGCGATAAGTCGAGGAATATCTATAGATACATGACAAGATACTATTCGCAGGGACGGATATTACGCTGTTTGTCGGGGTATCCGTGGACGATTCTGTAGATACGAGGTGTGGCTATTAAATAACGGGACTGGCGCTGTAGAACATTTTACTTATTATCGCCTTCAATGTACACCCCTACTATATCCCTACAACGCTCCATGCGAATCTTCCATTGTTCGAAACGGTGCTGGAAGTCTTCTTCCGTCAGCTCCTTTAGGAAGCGTGCTCATCTTGTTCCTTTTAATGCAGATTTTACCTTTGGAACCAGATAAGGCGGATGGTCCAACACTGGTATGCTGTACTTGACTAGAAACCTCTTGATGAGCCGGCGCATTGTATTGGTGGAGAATGGACTTCTTCCACAATTCGGGTCGTTTTTTTCTTATTCTTCCACGGAGTTCATCAAGAACGCGAAGATAGTAATGTCGATTAATAATTTGACCTTCAAGGACCCAGTGAGGGTACACAATCCCATGAATATCGAAAAAAACAATCATCCTTGCTTTGAATTTTGATTTGCTCGTTCAAGCTTCTTTGGCTCTGAATTTGGGCTCTTCCAGTGCATGGATTGGCGCTTCGTTTCAGGATCGTACGAGTATCTGTTTCGTAAAGTAAAATCTGCATTAGAAGGAGCAAGATTTGAGTCCGTTGAAGCTGTGAAAGAAGAAGCGACACGCGTCTTGAAGGAGCTGACGGAAGAAGACTAGCACTGTTTCGAACAATGGAGGATTCGTATATTGAAGGTGATGATAAGTGAATATGTATGAGATCAAAATAAAATGTTTCACAGCGTCGGTCCCGTTATTTAATAGCCACACCTCGTAAACGTAAACCGATATCAGGAACAGCTTAGTTTGTCCACACTCGGAAGCAATACTGTTCCCGTGGCGAGTGCTTTGTTGAGTTTATACGCGTGAAACAGACTCCGGACAAGTTGGCTGTCTCCGATGAAGCATCGGACCATTTACTTCCCAACTGTTGGAGTACGCTCTCAGAAGTACATAAATGGGAAACATCAATCTACATGGGTCTCCCATTTTTATTGTCTCGATCAGTGACATAAACTACCCAAGTACCTGTGCAGCGAACGTGCTTGCAATTCAAAGGCGCTAAATTTAGAGGCTGGAGATAAAAGCCTCGAGGACGATCCTCGTTTCACATACTATAGCGGTACAGGGCCCGTGTTTATCATCAGCGATTATTGCAAGAACGTATCAGACGTTGCAACCGATCACTTCGAAGCACATCCATCGTTATGAAATGAAACTCGAACTGTTTTAGAGTTTCCGCTAACGAGGACTCGTAGATTTTCTTATGGGCCAATAGACGAAAGTCACTTGCGTTAACTGGTTGGGGTACAATTGATCGTGCCTCTGACCGACCTACAAGGAAGAATAAAACGATATTTTAGTTTTATACGTCTGGGAAAATATGAAATTACATTGACAAATAAAAAATTCATAGTGAAAAAAGTTGAATCCCCCACACGACGCCATCTTTGGCGATACAATAGTTTTGTTAGCATTTCTATTTAGATAAATTTATTCTGCTCATTGTTCCAAGTGTTCAAATGATAAAGCATGATCATTGTAAACAGTATACTTTGCAAGGTACTTCATGTTTGTATTCAATAGCTCTTTATGTTAAAATTGTATTCATCACTCTAGATCACGTAACACTGATGGCCGTAGTTACGGGTATGAGGTAAACAATAAGATTTATAAATATTCATTCATTCAGTGATAGATCTGAATGCACTTTGAATGCTCTTGTCTTTTAGATTTTCCTTGCTAAATGTTAGATCGAATCAGTTTGAAACATGCCTTGATGAGGTTTATTAATCTCTAAGAAAATAATTTTTTTAGAACGATTTGAAATTTTTTAAAATTTCTGCACCTACTCGAATTTTTTTCTCGAAAGTGCATAGGATTTCGAGGGTATGTGTAATGACCAAAAATGATTGTAATTCACCCCTGTAACTAAATATAATTTTTTTATTATCATTTGACATTTTTTAATTTCGTCTAAAAATTTCAGTACCTATTCGAATTTTTTTCTCAAAACTGGGTAGGATTTCGGGGGTACGTCTATTCACCAAAAATGATTGTAATTGACCCCTGCAATCGAAAATAATTTTTCCAGAGTGATTTGAAATTTTTTAATTTAATTTTTTAGTAACGAAGCCTCGATCAACAAATTGATATTCTTGATTTTCGTGTTATTTGGGCCTCCAGAGTCTCGCGTTAAAATGTTTCCCAGGGGTGGCCAAACACCCTGTATGAATCACGAATACTTAAGGCGAAAGAGACTTTGAGCGACGAAGCTCATTTGTGTCGTGCAAACGCGTTCCATCGAAAGCAATATACTTTTTCTTGATTATGAATGACTCGTGAAGGAGCAAAGTTGCGCCGCGTCGGGCACCGGTTCCCAGAAGAACCGGTGAGACCCGGAGGATTTTCAGCCGCGAATGTACAACCGCGGAGCTTCAATCAGAAGAGTACGCGTCCCGTATACGTAGCTGTAAAGGTTCATCGAACCGCGCCGCACGTACGGGTTCTCGGCCAATAATAAAGATGCATGCCCGGTACGTAACTACGTTCTATACATACGTACGTAAGTACTACCCTGCACCCGTGGCCGCTTGCTCGACGCGAAATACTCGCGGCGCACATACTAAACTCCCATATACATGCGACCTGCAGCCTATCCTTATACAGGGTGTTCCCGGAGGAATTATGGCCACTTTGTCTGCAAACACTCGAGCCATTTCTGAGAGCAAGCTCTGTCACGTTAACCCTTGGTCCAATCCAACCGTGTCGGCTTAGCGACGCGAGGGAACAGGTGAAATTGAAAAATCGTAACAATTTTTCTTCCAATCTACTCTACGCTCTTTAAAGCAGATCCAACTTGACGAAGCTAGAAAAATATTAATTGTCAACAGAGAGTAGATTCCAAGAATATTATAGTGTTATGAATGGTAATTTATGAATTAGATAATAAGCTTGTTTTGCCTTTGAAAATTGAACTTTGACGGACGAGTTTGGCGAAGGTACGCAATCGTTAATAACTTTACTCATTTACAGAGACTTTCATATTGACGGTGATATGTATATGAAGTATATAGAGAGAATTATCTATAGCCTGGTGGCTTTTACAGAGTGTTACCTAATATGTAGAAGCTTTTTTCAGGATCAATTCATTCTGCAATCTAAGGCTTCGTTACCGAGGTACAAGGGCTTCAAATTCGCAGGTGTGACTTCCGGTCCGGGTCGTCCGAATCCCCAGTCAAGTGAACGCATGGTCGCACATACACGCGTACGAAAAATACTCATCGATACACGGTCACATGCGTCATAACACTGCTCCGAAGTTACATCCGTGGACTTTAATATATTTTCTCACTAATTTTAATAATTCTTCGCCCACTGAAATTACGCACACCTTGCATCAGATTATTTCCAACATATTTGTTATGTAATTATATTCTAGCGCTCTGATCACAGTAGAAAAATCCACTGCGAGGGAAGGTGCTGCTAAGAATCCAAATCTATCGATTTCACGGCATTCTTAAGAATTAGGCATTCCTCGGACTTCTGTACGGCGAATTCTGCGGAAAGACTTAGGTCTTCCACTCTGAAAGATCCAATTAACTCAAGAATCGAAGCCTACTATCCATCGTATGCCTCGTGAGTTTGTTGATTGGACTGTAAAGAGACTGATTCTAGTGGATGGCTTTGTGAATAAGCAAAATTGTCGAATTTGGGGAGACTCTTAGTCAATAATTGAGCAACCCTTGTATCCATAAAACATTACTGTTTGATGTGCTGTTTTGGCTTGTAGAGTTATTAGCCCCTACGTTTCTCGAAATGAACAAGATAGTGGCACATGTCACGTTTCTACTGGAACTATCGCTTTATCGAGATCAAAGGTCAATGATAAGATTATTTCGAGACTTGACCACCAAAATCTTGCGTTTCGACGCTATTAGACTTTCCCTTGTAGGCAATGTTAAGTCTATTGTATATTTCAACAGACCACAAATGATGATCTCGCGTTATTGGTGAAATGTAGCCTGATTTACGCGCTAGAGTCACTGAAAATTGGTTTTATCGTATTCACTCTACCAAACTCAAGCGCGATGGTTATTTAAATGTACCGAATGTACTTAAAAATAAAACAACGAGCACCCGATTATCTTTTCGTAGTTTCGATTTCACTTCGATTCAAAGCTTCGTCGCTTTTATTGGAAAACCCTACAGCGATGACGCGTACAACGGAACCAGTAAAAGTAGAGATACAATTTTTAAGACTATTTACAGATCCTAAATATATTAGTACACGCGTCAGCTTCCCCCTTCCTCGACGCAGGAATAACAAGTTTGTGCACCGCCGCGTGTAGCCGCGAAAGCGTCGGATGCAACGGTAATTCATAATCAAGCGGGTAAACGAACCGCGCGCAGGCAGAAAAATTAATAAACGCGCGCGCATACACGGCGGCTCTGTATGATACATAACGTTACAAGATTCACTGGGTCTCGTATATAAAGTACATACATGACCGGTTGCTCGCTGCTAGCGCTAAGTCGCGTGCGATTCCTGCCCGGAGGAATTGGAATTCTTGCGGAATGGATCGTCGCCCGAGACGCGCGCCGTTGGTATACTACCCGATCTTACATAATTGGCAAATTGACAGATCCGACTGGGTGGACGCTTACACCTGAACGCGATCATGTAATCGAATAGCGGCGGTTGGACAGCGTTGCATCGATCGTTAACGGATGATTACAGAGACTTCATAGATTTAAAAGAAATTAACAGGTTACTGCAACAGATGAAAGAGAAGCTAACATACATTTTTACATTTTAAGAAGTAAGTTCCTTAAGTGGAAAGCGATCTGTTAACATTCTTTAATAACTACAAAACAAAACATTCACAGTCACACATTCTTCATTTTGATAAAAGTAAGGGCTGATAACTCTTTTTTGGGTACAAGGATCGCTCGACTATTAAGGATCTCCCTAAATTCAACAATTTTGCTTATTGACAAAGCCATCCATCCAAAAGTGGGCTTGACGACGCTCTGTATTAGGTTGAATAGTGGACAAAATGTTGTGTCATCATGAGTTAATGTATCGAGAAGTGGGGTTCTATGACCGAGTAGTGCTCTGACTCCCTCGCTGTATCATATGACATTATTAGTCCGAAACTTATTAATCGTGAAGTGTTCCGGCACTAGTTTTTTTTAGCGATACACTCCTGATATGAACTATCTTTCAAACGTCTTGCACTGAGCTACTATAAGAGCGCTTGACAACTGTATTTATTAAAATTTACTTTTCAATTTATATATTGTATAATTTCGTTCAAAAGCTAAATATTCAGCAATAGTTACTTATGCATCATTGTTATAACTACAGAAACATTCTTTTTAATACCTTGTTAACTATACATTATATTAAAAAATTACTCCTTTTTCTTTCCAAAAATTTGTCGCAAACCAAATACATAAGTACAGCTCAAAAAAAGATATATATTGTATTAAATTATCTGGACGCTCTGAAAGCTTAAATTTTCAATGAAATATTTGAAAATGGGATTGGTGCTATTGTCATGCAACGCGCTGTATACCCTTTGACCTAAAAACTAAAGAGACACTTCCGACGTGCCCCGACGTGCAAATTGTCTCATCGCCGTTTTTTCATTTCTCGCCGCAGGGTGTGGCGGCGATAGGTCTTATTTCGCGGCCTACACTTCGTCAACGGGAGCAACAGCTCCGACGGGACCGCTGACACCAGCGCTAGGGACACCCAGCAGCGGCATTGGAGCCAGTCGGGCAGCCCACACGCGCGAGAGCCGCGAGGCACATTTCGCGATTCAATGGGCCGCGTGGTAACCTTTATTATCGCCTTCGCCTGAACGCCCGCGAAACAGCCGCGAACAAGTGTATTCTGGAGCGCTCTTGAGACTTCGCGGCTGCTCGTGCGAATACCGGTCCGTTCCCAGCCAGGGTAGACGTCTAACGACCACAGTTGGAATCGCCTCGATCCGCTGGGAGTTTGGTTCCACGGACGGCCGAGCGTGGGAAGGTACATCCTTTGCCAGGGGTCCTGCGTGTCTCTGTCAGAATTACACTAAACGGTCGTTAACGTGATCAGCGATCGCACCTGCACATAGATATCCAATTTTGAGCTCCGTTCGTCGCGGCTGGCCGGTGATTAACCGCGAGCGTCTTGCGACAGGGATTGTCACGATCTACGGGCGAAGGAACAGACTAGAGAACTATAACGAGAACTGTAAGTCGCGGTCCCGAAACGATCCAAGCCGATCCGCGCGATTCGGCAGTTCAATGCGAACTGGCTACGTCCATGCCATTCCATTCCGTGTTATTCCGTGAGTGACCTCTCATGCCGTGGCTACCTTCTCCCTCCTTGGTTCTTTCCTTCGCTCGGCATCACTCACTCTTTCGTTGCGTTGCCGCGCGTTGCTTACAAACAGTGACGCGACCGTGGAAAGGGAGCTGAGCTCTAAGGGAGCGATTGCATCCAGTAACTGAAACGCTCCCGAAAATAAACTGTTTCAAACTGTTTCTATCGTACACAGTGTTTCAGATTTAAATGATCAGGCTTGAGTCCTACGAACGTTGTTAGGTTTTCTGCTAACAATCAAGTACGAAAATTAATCTCGTTTACTGGTCTCCTGTTCTGATGGAGAGAGATGCTGTATCTTGCTGCGTATATTCCGTTGTAAAATTCGGTTTCCTGTTTATACGAAGATGCGATATTTGTCAACAACGTACTAGTTCTTTAGTGAAAGGGTGTCTCTTTCAAAGCGTATAAAATAAAGTGTTACTGTTATTCAAAAAATAAAATCTAAGTATTTTATTTAAATAAACCGATACCCAATATGAGAGACGTTCAATAAGTAAAGAGAAACCTTCCGGTTCAGATAATAGTTATAAAGTTTTCTGAGACCGATTGAACTTTCAATTGTCATATTTGTTATTCACACGAGACTTTGTTTTCGAGAAGATTGAGTTTGAAAATGAATACGCGTGCAATAAAGTGACTTAGGCATCGGCGTAAGTAGAAATGGCGAATAATGGACAGACGCGCTATGTTGATGGCACTTACAAGGGAAGACCACGGCCTGGACGAGCGATTTTTAAACAAAAATGAACTGAAACTATTGGGGCTGATGAGTATAAACAAATTCTAAAATATTAGGTGTTTATGGTTGGCTATTTTTATAAAAAATGTAGACTTTGATGAAACAAGTAATGTTTATGAGGTAATGCTTCGCCATTAATGATTTAACCAGAAAATTAAGGCTTTTGCAATACACATGTTGCATTATAGTAAAGCAGAAAGGATTTTACAAGATAGTCGCAGGTCAAGTTCACTATTCTATAACGGACCTCTGAGAGATTTTTTCACTTTTATATTTTTATTCCTGTGGTCGATTATGTTATTACAGTACCATGTTTGCAAAGTTATTTACTTTAATTTTTAGCCAATTCTTGTTTAAAAATCGTGATCTTCCCTTGTCAGTCGCACGCGTATCACAAAAATTTTCAACTTCATTATCTCGAAAATAAAACACTGGACGAAACAATTTCATTCTACATTCTTTTCATTACGTTACTTAACACCCAAGCAAGGGATTATTTTCAACGTACGCCAGCATAACATCGGTATCACACATCTTTCGTCTTCTAAAATTGGTTTTCGACGCATGCTTTTTTAGTTTATGAAAGCAGCCATATTATGTTCCAGTATGAAGACAATGGTTGTTTTCGACGAGGATACGGTTCCTTCTATAATTCTCCAGCACCGTGACTGTTCTAGTTCCATTTAATAAACGGGCAAAAATTCGCGTCGTCCTGTGGAAGTCTTTTTAGTAAAAATTCACGAGGCGTTGATTTTCGTGGCATTCGAGAGCAGGTAGGCGAGACACACGATCAGCCTTTCGATTCGCTCGCGGTCTGACCTTGCTCTAACGCGAAGTGGGTGACCTTCTGACCTAATCGCCGTTAATTTCATTTGCCGAGCGTATATTAGGTAACACGCGAATCCCCGCGTAGTGGAAGCCGACCGACTACGTCGCATAACGTCCAGCGTTCAACGCATATGCGACAGAGCGCACGCGGAGCTCCTGTCGCGCTCCAAATACCTGTCCGACTCTACCCACCTGGCATGATTATGGCTCGTGGCGTCCCACGTAGATCTAGCCACGGATCACGACGGGTGGACCTCGCGTTGCCATCGTGAGAATCCATTTTTCCGTTGCCTTTTCCCCCCGGGCTGCCTTCGATTGGAATTCTGTCCGCACATGGAACGAAAACATCAAACGTCAACAAGGTTTTCACGTTAAAAGACTGATAAAATCCGACTGTTCGTGGATAGCGGTACAAGCATACAGGACGAAGCATAATATGAAAAATACACCTGGCAAAAGTGCTCGTTGTACATTATCTTCCTAAAGAGTGCACGAACCGAATTTTATTAACGGGACGCTCGAGACTGCGTTGAATACAACAATCTCTTAAAGAACGTTGTTTGCTCCAATGAAGAAGGAACAGAATGTTAATAAAAATACGTAAAAGAGTGTTTCTTGTAACGCGTGAATATCACTGATGTTTACATTGCAAATGTAAGTCAAAGTTTGCAAGTGCAAATCAAGTAGTTTTTTTCGGATCGAGTGCCTTTTTCTTAAACTCAAAATATCTTCTGAAAACAGTAACATGTTCAGTTAACTAACAAGGATCATTCAAGGAACGTGGAATGTTGTGCAAATATCAGGAAGACTGGACGTTAGAATTAACGGTACAGACACCTCCATAGCCTGTCGCAGTCACTGAATGTCTGTTACGGCTCTTCATCGGAGGAGGAGGGTTCCTTTTGTTTAATACCGAAATTACTTCCGAAAACGGTAACACGTTTAGCCAACATAATCACCCTAGAAACATAGAATATTGTAGAGATCTCCAGAAGACTAAACGTTAGGATTAACGGTATAAACACCTCTGCAACAACAGTAACAATTACTGGTGTGGGATGGTTCTTTTCAAAATAAAAACTGAGAAATATAATACCTTAAATTAGTTGGCACGGATTGCCTTAGAAACGTCTAAAATCCTAAACGTTAGAATTAACGGTACAGACACCTGTCAGAATCACCGAACGTCTATTGGTGTTCTTCGTTCAGGAGGCAGGGGATTCTTCTTGTTAGAATCGAAACTTCTTCCGAAGAGCGTAACGCGTTAAGTTAACCAGGAAGGGTCGCCCTAGAAACGTAGAATTTTTTAGAGATGTCTAGAATACTGGTTGCTGAAATTAACGGTATAGACACCTCGGTAGCGTGTCATGATATCTAGAACGTAACTTCGATGCGGCAATGGGAGATCACCAATTCGCGGAATAGCTGGTACATAATTATGTGAACAGTTAGTGTTGGAGCGGTGTGCAGGAGTGACGATGACGAGGAAAATTACATGGTACTTACAGAATGCTCCGAACAAGCCCTGGAATGCTATCGGCGTGTAATCGGACATGGTAAAAACGACGGCCACTTTTTTTTTCACCACAATTATCGATGGATGGAACGCGCGACTCGGGACGGTGGCGAACGAATGCGGAACTGCATGTGCTGCGAACGACAGTCCGCGCGAGACTGTCGAGCAATGACGACGCATCCGTCTTCGAGTTGGATGGGCAAAATGGATGGATGGATAGACGGCGTAGCGGAGAAAACTAACCGCCACGAAGCGTTAATGCCAGCCTAACACGACAATCCGTGTACACGCGGAGCTGTAATTTAAACAGAAAGAAAAAAAACATTTACAATCGCGAGCAATGTCGCGTCGTCTGTAATATCATCTTTCGTATGTAAAACAAATACGACTGATCCTGGAATTTTATCAGAGTACACTTGACACTCGTCGAAAATATAAGACAACACAAGGAAGCCGAAGAGAATTTGATCGGATGTAACGTCGAGCAAAACCAAAATTCAAATCCCAAGGCACTATCAACTTATCGTTAGACATAGCCTTAGGCCATTTTAGATTAAGTGGAATCGATATCCAGCCAATAATTTTACTGTAACCTAGATCTTAACCAGGCTGTGTTTGTTGACTGTATCCGTCATGCGTCAATTTTTGCTACAGTTTGTTATTTAAATTGTAATATTAGCAGAAACTAAAATATACTCAAATTTCAATATGTTTAGAAAAAAAAAAGCTGAAAAGAAAGCCGTGCCCGCCTGGTTAATGTAATATATTGTAGACTTAGGCCTAGCCTTAACCTATTTTGGGTCAAGTAAACTCAAACTGAATAGCAGGGCTGACACGCGACTGATAGGGAGAAATGTTTGGTACATAATTGATAGGGTGGGTCAGCCCGACCCTCGGCGAAAGAGTAAGCTTCACCTAATCGAATGTCATCGTGCATGCACTAATGCTGATTTATTAGTAAGTTTTTGTTCGTTAGTGATAAAACATGTTTACACTTTGTTCAAAGTTCTGGAGCAATAATTTCCTAAAATGTGAAATAACCATCCTTGAACAAATTGCATCCGGTTCAAACCCACTCTAACAGTTTAGAGTTGAGGAAAGTAAAATGTAGTCCACCAAACTATATTACTCGACATATGGTATTTAGCATCGGGCTAGATAAGATACGCAACTAATAACGCATCGACCAATTTATCTTATAAAATTGGACCAAGCATTAAACCATAACGGTGTCGAAACCAGCCATTTAAGATATCTATTACAAGAATAATGCAACACTGGATAGAATTACAATTTTGTTCCGTTTACAATCTTTTTTCGATGCAATACGCTTCTTATATAACGGCTACTTATACAATCTGTGCTTTTGTTCTGAATTTTGTACACTTCTCAGCGAAGAATAGAGGGATTTTTTCAAGTGTCTCCGGTTCATCCATATATCGTGCATATAACAAATCTACTTGATGTTTATCGTAAGTATATACTCCTTCCTATATCGATATTTAAGTTTATTCGTACACATAAAACATTGTCACGCTTCTTTGATCAATTTCTTTCCATCTATCTTTAGACAAGAATGATAAATATTTATTTCCATAAACGCTCGAGTATTTACTTCATCGATCATGTGTTCACCTCATTACGTTTTGTCTTTATCGTACAAATTATTTAGTTATATATTTCTTTTGTATGCCAAAGTGTAGACTTGGATCTTTAAATTCAGCCACGACATATTTGTTGCTGGAATACGTTTGTCAGTGCTTTGTGGAGCGTTTCGTCATAATTTCATTTCGGGCATAAACGAGGAGATTCGCTTATGCTCCAGCGGACCTTGAATTCCCAAGGTCTAAGCATGTTCCCACTATTCTTAGTATGCAGCACGCATAGACGTCGCTACGCTTCCGTGACGACCTACTATACAGCGCGAGAAAATGTCCTATCGTTCCCTGTCTTCATTGCACCGTAACGCGAAGCAGAGTCGCCTCTGGTGGTTTGTCGCCTGGTGTCACGCTTTTCTAATTTCGTCTTAATTATCGTAATCATGCACCTTTACATCCATCGATCCCCATATTTCAATAATATTTCCTTTTAACGCTTCTTCTCGCGTTGTGACCGTATTTCTTAATTATGTTTCTACTTCGTCTCTTCGGTTTAAGTTAGATCTGTGTTAGGTATTACTCTGTAACAAATGCCAAGCACGTTGCTAAGACAAGAGATTTTCTCTTCGTAAAATCTACACGAAGCATAGACCGCTTCTTATATTATTTCCAGCTAGTGTCACGCTGCCCTAGACCTTGGTAACCCCAAGAGATGCAAACGCATTTTCTTGAACACAGCAGCTGCCAGTTGCAGGTGTGGACCAGTGACTAGTCAGAGGCTGGCAAGTCGTATCAACGCATATTATATATGCCACGCGCAAGTTTTCTGTCAAACTAGAGCGGTGTATGCTAAAGATAGGCTGTGGTTGTCGGGCAATCGGCGTATGTACCTACTATCAAACAGTAGAACAGAACGCGTTCGGTGCGTGACGAAAATAAGCGATCAATTTCACTGAATAGCATCGGAGAATATTCGATAATCAATCTCTGTAGAAAACGTAATTATTTTCATCTTTATCGTATTTAAAACCGTCATGGCGGTAAATTAACAATAAAAAATAATTCTGTTTCGCTTGCTGTTTCAATTTCGTTGAACGTTTTGCTCGGCAGAGTTCAATGCGCTTTCTGTAATTTCATTTTCTGTCTCTCGCTTCCTCTTTTGTTCGTATCTAAACAGTAAAATGGGGTTTTAGAACCCCAGAAAAATGGACCAAAAAGATACATTGGATGTAAGGTCTACTGGTATACCTCGTCCGTGACAATACCAAATTGGTCTCTTGCTCTTAGCGTGCATCAGTCGGGATGGCGCTGGTCTCGCGCTTCAATGCTTCAAGATGTATCTCGGTTCTACGAGATGACTAGATTGGTAGCATTTGAATTTACTAGTGGAATAGTTTAGTCACAATGTCGTTCGAGCGTCGTTACGTAACGCCAGGTATGGAATATTCGAGCATCGACGCGGTAGTAAAAGAATAGAGTTTTATCGAAACTTATCGATGCTAGATGCACTGAAAATCTCTTTAGTACCAAATAATGTTCGGCCATCAGTGACATCAGTCATTTACTTTCGTTGCACTAGGAGCGCGCTCTGTCCCGCTGTGCATCGGCGCGTGGGCCAAGGGCGACCTTGGCCTTAGAAGTTTATATAACGAGGAAGCGCGCGAATCGCCAGCTCAGTCGAGCCGTTTCGTTTCGATCCATCGATGCGAGACACACGGCGGTGCAAGCTTACCGAGAATCTCGGCTTCCTGGTGCATCGCTGCTTCGATCAGAGAAACAGTTAGATGCAATTAGTGCTTCGACGTTCTAATTATCGATCGATTTCGTCCCGACTCGCATGGTACCAGGCGCGAAACGTTAATTCCCTTTGAATTCCCGCCGATCCGATCGTAAACTTTCGAGATCGACGTTTCACGGCGTTATCCTTGGTTCTATTTCAAAATCTTAACTATCGGCTGGTGCCTTGGTCCTTGTAGTTCGTCTATTTCCGAGCAGTTTGGAAACTTCCAGTGCATTCTTGCGAAGATGGTGAGGAGGAGGGAGCCAGGTGACCTGTGAACAATTTAGGACATCGTGCGATCAGTCGAGAGTTCAACGTTGTTTTTTCCCAACCGCTCGTTTAGCAATCGAGAGCAAGACATCGGTGACAAGTGCTCCGAAGGGGAAAAAAAATCACCGTGACTATACACGGCTGTTTCGTTTAAATGTGGCCATGGTGAGCGGTGGCAAGTTGCATTTCCGGTCTGCGAGGTAAACACATGATTTTAATGCGCAGAACTGTAACACGCGCTGGTACATTTTGAACATAACTGAACGATGAATGAGCTGATTCATTGTGCCTAGGAATATGATACAACAACTTTAGTAAAGTAGACTGTAAATTGGGGAAACTTTCATAGATACTGTAGGACAGAAGACAATTTAAAGTAATCGTGTAATCGATCGAACAATTTGATTTACAGAAAATATTTATACTAATATTCTAGTGATTGGGTCAGGCTGTGATGCCTGATTTTTAAAATAAATCGACCCATCGAAAACTCGATACTTTAGAAGATAATACATTTTTCTTGCATATTTTTGATACAAGTATTCAAACGCTTCATACAGGTTTCCTGATATTTTCATCACTTGAATAATGCTTAAATTATGCGTTAACCACCGCGTATTTTTGGCAAGCAACATGTAGTAACATTCTTAAATTTAAAACTTCAAAAAGCCCACAGATTACTTCAAATTATTCCATACTTTTTCAAAAGAATGATAATGTTTAAAAGAAATAAGTTTAATATATCCATTCACTGTATTGGCAAAATATACTAGATTCGATAATATCACTAACATTATTTTCTACGTTGCTATTACGAATGCCAAAATTACTTTTCCCTAAACAATCCGATGTACGTACTACCCAAAGCAAAATTCATTGTTTCACGACACTTTTATCTGGATTTTTTTATGCAGTATTGCTAATTGCATTTACTAACGGTTGAAAAGGCACTTAATGAACTGCACGTAGCTTCAGATCAATGACGATTGAAAAATTAAAAGATAAATGGGAGATCTCCTCCAACGATCAGTAACCTGTTAATCATTCCCTAAGTCATTTACCAAAACAAAATGATGCGAATATACTTTACTGTTTGGAAACTCCCTAGAGAAAACGGTCAAGTGGATTTAAATCAGGCGAGCAAGGTGGCCAAGGCTGTTCTCGAGACTAAATGGTTATTAACGGAACGATATATGTATACATTCAAATATCACACTATGCAAATGGTACAATTAGAACAAGAAGATTCTAAAGACGGTGTTAGTATGCTTGCAAGACGATTTATAATTTTTCACGTCCTGCAGAGAACTTAAAGTCAACAGTGATACAAAACTGAGAGTTCAGCTTACTAAAACGACCTTGTTCGAACGCTCCACTGTTATAAACTGACTATCGAGAGCCGTAAATCGCGAATGGGGGGTCACTGGCCTCGCATAAGCATTGTTTACATCTTTTGTTTTGAAGAAAATACGTACCACGCCTCGAAGTTTGGTCTTTAGCGTTGTAAAACAAGATCCTAATTATGCATAAACTGTTGAGTTTCACACTCGATGTTGTTCGCAGAGAGGAGAGTTAAAGCTTCGCTCGACACACGCCTCCAGTTAACGCGACAAGCCTACTATTAAGAAAAATGGCGATGCATCTGATTCTACTCTGGGCGTTGGTCGCCCTAATTGGCCGGGTACACGGCAAATGCAGCGTAGCGCCGTTTGTGGATGATGAACGGTCGATCGCCTACGCTTGTACACACGGTGACCTGAACGACCTCGATGAGATATCCAGCGAGGCAGAGTGGATAGAGTTCACGGTGTCGAGGTTCCATATTATACCAGACAGCGCGTTCCAGCGATTCAAGAACCTGAGGAGACTGTCCTTCTACAACTGCCATGTGAACTTCACCGATCCAGATGCATTCGCTGGCCTAACTCGACTGGAGTGGCTGATATTCCACGGGACCAAGATCTACGTGGCCAGGAACCCATGGTTCCGCCATTTACCTAACTTGAGAAAGCTGATCTTGGATAGGTGAGCCGCGACACTGTTGCGTACAAGTTTTGAGCTTATCGCTAGAAACAGAAAGGACCCGGTTACGTAAAACGTACCTGTTGATGTCGACGACCTAGTTGTCAACAGATTAATTTAAAAACATGACGTAAGGCCGGCCGCGATCTCAAAGGTTTCCAAGAAAAGCATCGTGGGCCGTGATTTACATTAGAGACGCGGAAGCGCAGTATTTCCTTCGATGCGGAACGCCAGCACCCTCGATCATTTCAAAGAAAATCAACGGCTTGCGTAAAACTGATAATCGGTTCTTTCACAGGGTGTCCCACGTGATTGACAAAAAAATACATTTTCTAGCACTCTTGAACCACCGATCTTTCCGCATTCGTAGCTTCGAGTTTTAAAAATACGTTTCGAAAAGACTTGGTTACAATTTGTTAAAACAAAGAATATACTATTTTCGCATCGAAGGAGGAAATTTGGCAATGATATTGTTTCTCGTATAACGTGCGATTTCTTTTGTTTGCAAATAGTTTCTAGAACTTAAAGTAGCATTTCGAACATACGTACACGATCATTTTACTGCGCTCGTAACTAATTTCTTGTGTTCGAGGTCGTGTTAAAGTCACATATCGCTCGTATGAAGTAAGTAAAGCTGAATTATGTGTATTTTTAGGTGCGGTTTAATGCACATCGAGCACGACGTTTTTCGCGCGTTGCCCAGACTTGAAACGCTGAGTCTGCGCGATAATGATCTGGATTGCTTACCGATCGAGGAACTCTCGCATCTGCGAGAGCTCAGGGTCATGCGGATCGACGGCAATCCTTGGCTCTGCAACTGTCGAGAAAGATTGGACAGGTATTCTTTTCGTTTTTGTATTTTCACCTTAGATCGCGGAACTTCCAAAAGCAATTATACAGGGTGTTCAGTCACCACTGGGAAAAATTTAAATAGGAGATTCTAGAGGCCAAAATAAGACGAAAATCAAGAATTCCAATTTGTTGATGAAGGCTTCGTTAAAAGGTTATTAGCGTCTAAAGTTCCGCCTGTACTGAATTTTTTTCTAGAAAGTGGGTAGGATTTCGGGGGTATGTCTATTCACCAAAAATGATTGTAATTGACCTCCGCAACCGAAAATAATTTTTCGAAAACGATTTGACATTTTTTTTTCCGTCGAAAAATTTCACACCTTCTCGAATTTTTTTCTAGAAAGTGGATAGGAATTCGGGGGTATGTCTATTCACCAAAAATGATTGTAATTGACCTCCGCAACCGAAAATAATTTTTCGAAAACGATTTGACATTTTTTTTCCCGTCGAAAAATTTCACACCTTCTCGAATTTTTTTCTAGAAAGTGGATAGGATTTCGAGAGTATGTCTAATAATCAAAAATACTTGTAATTCACCCCTGTAACTAAATATAATTTTTTTAGAATGATTTGAAATTTTTTAATTTTGTCGAAAAATGTCGTTCATGAATTTTTTTCTCGAAAGTGGATAGGATTTAGAGAGTATGTCTAATAATCAAAAATACTTGTAATTCACCCCTGTAACTAAATATAATTTTTTTAGAATGATTTGAAGTTTTTTAATTTTGTCGAAAAATGTCACAGCTTCATGAATTTTTTTTTCGAAAGTGGGTAGGAATTCGAGGATATGTCTAATTATAAAAACTGCTTGTAATTGCCCCCTGTAACTAAATAGAATTTTTTTAGAATGATTTGAAATTTTTTAATTTTGTCGAAAAATTTCACACCTTCTCAAATTTTTTTCTAGAAAATGGGTGGGATTTCGGGGGTATGTCTATTCACCAAAAATGATTGTAATTGACCCCCGCAACCGAAAGTAATTTTTCGAAAACGATTTGACATTTTTGAATTTAATTGTTAATAACTTTTTAAGGAAGCCTCTATCAACAAACTGGTATTTTTGATTTTCATCTTATTTTGGCTTCTAGAATCGCCCATTAAAATTTTTCCCAGGTGTGGCCGAACACTCTGTATAAAGAATTAACTTTACTCAAGCTGAACGAACGTATAGAATTTTTTTAATGCACGTTACAAAGGTGCCTGTTGATATCCCCGAAATCAGTCTTCGATACATCGGTATAAATATGGATATAGCCATTATAATACTTGTCTATCAAATAGTAAAAGTCTATGTTCAGAATAGGTGAAACGTGTAAGTTCTTACCTTAACTCTAAATCACAGTTTACTTATTGGACAGGTACATTCGGGATCGTTCTCTCGTCCCGGAACTGGAATGCCCGAAGGAGATCTACCTGTGCAGGAAATATCAGTGTATGACGCAAGTTGGATTCACAATACAATCGACCAACAATTGTAACTGGGTAATTATTGTTAAATTGGGCAAATTTTTTGTTCGAACAACGAATACAAATTTTATTCATTTGTAAACTGCACCCCCAAGCAAAAGGACTCTATACTGGAATTGATATAATACCAAAAGTAAAACGAATAGCGATATTATTTTAAAGATTAATGCGACGAGTCTGCGGGCTCTCGTTAAATTATGTAATTACGCGACCTGTCATCCCACAGGTGGGCAATTTTTATTATTTAGGAGGCAACATCCATTTATATTAAGAAATGCTTATACTTCGCCATATTTACATTCGACAAGGGAGCATCCAAATCTTTGAGGTGTTCAATTTGAACATGATCCGCAAAAGGTTGAGAATCACTGCTTTAGGATATACTCTAAAGTCCATAGTTTTTTTATAGTTGTTCGTTATCTTTATCTCATTTCCAAGATCGTCTGTTTGTCATTCTATTTCCACTCGTGACAATGGCGATGGTTCACGAGGTAAGGGTCACTGACGGTAAAATTTTCTACAAAGATTAAAAAAATTTACACATAAATTTCTACCATGTGATGTCAAAAATCATGGTAATTACTTAGAAGTTTGCCCTCCTCGCGACCTTGGTTCTTCGAGACGAACCTAAAAATTGTATTCGTTGTTCGGAAATAAAATTCGTTCAAATCGAACTATCGATAAATACTTCTCAACGTACCTGGATGACAATGGATGGTATAATGGTTTAGGAACACGCAAGGATTCATGGCAACGAATTCCATACGAATGTGTTCACATCCTTGGACAGACTTCCGGACAAGACCATCAGGATCGAGATTTCCGGCATGACGATCGACACTCTCCCGAGATATGGATTCTTCCGTTTCGGAAATAGCTTGCAAAGTTTAGAACTGAATAACTGTCAGATAAATAGGATCGAGAGCGGTGCTTTCGCGGGTTTGCACAGGCTGCAGCGCCTTTCGTTGTTCGGTAATCGATTTCCGGTCGTGGGTGCAGACTGGTTTCGAGATCTCGTTAATCTTCAACAATTGATATTACGAAATAACAGTATCGAACAGATCGAACGAACGGCGTTATGGCATTTAGGCAGCAGTTTACGATTTCTCGATATTAGAAACAATCGACTACGATGCATCGCCGTCGAGGAGTTGACCGAATTAAAAAAATTGGAAAGATTGGACGCGATTGGTAATCCGTGGATCTGCGCGTGTCGCAGAAATCTTCAAACTTTTCTAACGCAAAAGAACATTGGATTCGAGATCAATGCAGGTCGATGCTACGAGAACGAGAATGATATTCCAAACGATACCAACAGATGGCGACCACAGGTGCGACACTATGTTTTTAAATAGTTGCTTCTTAATTTTAATTTTGAAAAATCATTACTTTTATTTATTCCGTACACAGAACGTGGATCCTTCGGTTACTACGGGCAGAGTGCACTGGGCATCGTTCGCAGACTGCATTAAGCAATCAAATATCACGATCGCCAGACCAGTCCCTTCGGCCCCACCGACAGAACCTCCAGTTGTAACGTCGCAACCACCCACCTACGCGGGTAGTTGCTACCGCGAGAAGACCACGGAACAATCAAGACCGATCTACACCTGTCGAGGTATTACCTCGATAGAAGAATTTAATCTAATACCTCCTACTGCGCACACGATCCGCGTTATCTTGTCGAACATTAAGAAGATTCCTCAGGGCACTTTCGCGCGCTTCAACGGCTACCTATCGAAGCTCGAGCTTCGAGATTGCGGTATCGAGACGATCGAGCCTCGTGCCTTTTACAAGCTATACAATCTCGAGTATTTGTCTCTTAAAAATAATCAGCTGAATATTGTCAACGGGGAGACGGTACAGGGTCTGTCCAACCTGAGGCATCTGGATCTATCCCATAATAATATATACTTAATAACGAACGACGCGTTCGATGACATACCGTACCTCACGAGCCTCGACGTATCTGAAAATTCCATGAACTGTATCGGCATCGAGTACATGGCTAATCGTTTACGATATTTGTCGACACTGCACGTCGCCAACAATCCTTGGAGCTGCCTGTGCGGGACGAAACTGGCCGACTTTCTGGACACCCACAGAATTCATTACGACAAACATACGTTGTTGCTGAAGGAAGACTGTTACGCCACAAAATTTCCCACAACAACCACCATTCCCCCTGCAACGACCCCTAGCGTACCGACTTTCAACGAAACCATCGAAGGGACCTGTACTGTTCGCGACGATACAGCAGGAATTCGATACCAGTGCACCGGCGGAAATTTATTGCTACTGCAATCGTTACCGCCAGAGGTTACCGCGATCGAGTTTAACGAAGGACATCTGCCACGCTTGCCGGCAGGATGCCTGTCCAAGTATACGAATTTGCGTGAACTCGTCATTAGAAATTCTGGCTTGATCACCATGGAACACGGCACGTTCGATGGTTTAAACAAACTCAAGAATCTAACGATTCAAGATAATCCTTTAGAGATGATCGGATCGTCCTGGCTCGCTTTAGAAAGTCTCGAAAAACTGGATCTACGCGGCAATTCGATCAACTATATTGCCCCCGGTGCTTTTCGAAACTTGAATAGTCTCACCTATTTGAATCTAGAAGGTAACGATCTTAAATGTATATTTACCAGTGACTTGAACGACATGCCTAACGTATATATCGTTGAGTTTTCTGGAAATCCTCTAAAATGGAGGTGCAGAGTCGAATTGGAACAATTTCTTGAGGGTCGCAAAATCAGATTCGTAAGAATCGAGAATTCTTGCGAGGGCAAAAAATTGATGAGGAATCTTCTGTTGCAAAACAAAACCGATGGCACGTTCGATTGCCCGTCTCAATGTTCGGCAGCATCCCATATTCGCCGACATGTCTTCCCGTCAGTGTTCGCGTTACTACAGTTGATTATTGCGATCTATTAAAGAAATTAATCGCACGATTGAAGCTCGATACTTAACTATAGTACAATAATATGTGTTCATTAATTCCATTTGCATCATTTGCGAATAGAGAGTGTACGGTGGTTTTTAAGAGTTAAATGTGATGGTAAGGGCATATTGCCCATTTTTTCGTATGATGCAAATGATGCAAAATACGTACCGTGCTTCCACGAGAAGAAGGCACAGCGTGTTTACGTCCCCACTTTTACTGCAGTCCGCTGATTGGCTGTCACCGATCTTCGTCATCGTTTTTCGACCAATGTCTGTGAGTCAGCAGACTGTAACAGTAGTAGGGATGTAAATACGTTGTGCCTTCTTCTCGTGAAAGAAGAATACATTCAATTAACTAACAGCGATTTATACGTGTTATTAATTTTTTATATAATTAAGATACTTATTTAACACGTTAACTAACTACCATGGTGGCCACTGATGACCGATGCTTAAATCTTACAATTTTTCTTTCAAGTATCGTCCTTCCACGAGAAGAGGACACAGCGTGTTTACATCCCCACTCTTGCTGCAGTCCGCTGATTGGCTGTCACCGATCTTCGTCACCATATTCGGCCAATACCTGTGAGTCAGCGAACTGCAACAGGAATGGGGATGTAAACACGCTGTGCCTTCTTCTCGTGAAAGCACGGTACTTGAAACGCACAAACCCTAATACATACTTACAAACTTTTAAATAACGTTAGTCTCGTTAAGAACATTATAAAATGAAAGGTACATTCACCCTTAAACCACCTAACATTTATATTTTTTATACTAAAATTTAAGCAACTGTCAAAGACATCCCTAAGCGTGGAAGTCAACGTGTTAAACAAGCGTAATGGAGTCGAGTAACGTACCTTGACAATTTTAACGAAAAATTTCTAGATATAGCTGCTAATCGCAAGGGACCAGCGAGTAACTAGAACTTCTTTCAAAACGCAATTGTAAATTATTCATTCGTAATTTATCGCGTTATTTATTATCGATACGTGCCATATAATACGTTTAAAAAGTTTATTTATTTTTGTAGAAATTGTAGTACCTGTTAAAAAGAAATAGATTTTAATTTATTCGAAGGCGCCCACCAAAGAAGCTTTAAAAATAAATGTCTTCTGTCATTATAAAGACTATCATTTAATTTAATGTGCAATTAGACGAAGTAACTATCGGGAGCAGCTATACGTATAAAAAGAATGTAGATCAGCGAGGCTAATTAATTAATATAGAAATAAAGTTAAATTACTTAAGCTTGGATTGTATCCTACATAAATATATGACATACACAAATAAATTTGAACTTTGATACTCATTGATTTACCAATAAAGATTTCTATATTATTTAGTTTATTTGATGTACCATTTTAAAGTTAATAATTACTCATATTTTATAAAAAATAGAAACACTACCACATTGCCCGGCTAGCTCAGTCGGTAGAGCATGAGACTCTTAATCTCAGGGTCGTGGGTTCGAGCCCCACGTTGGGCGAATTTTTTTTTCGTCGCATTCAATGACATTATTACATTAAATAATTTTATTTATAGTGTTTCTGTATTGCATACTATACTTCCAAACAAAATTTCTATTTCTACAACCAGTTTGTAATACATACTTTCTATGATTAGTTTATTAAGATCAATGTGGCTGTACGTCTTTGCATCTAATGTACACCTATGTTTATAATTCTTTCTCTTTACTCGATTTTAATTTCTTATCATTTACAAGCTGGGTACAATAATAAACATAGATATATTATTACTTTTTACTGAAAAGTTGTAAGAACTTAACCTATCGATGTATAATGTATTTAATCGTTACTGAAACAACGTGGACGATTATTTCGATTTATATAAAAGTTAATACTCATCTTCAACAAAGAATACAAGAAAAAAAAGCAAAAAAATTGAATTACATAGAAATTCTATTCAATTTAGCAGAGCGTGGTTTCGATCCACGGACCTCTGGGTTATGGGCCCAGCACGCTTCCACTGCGCCACTCTGCTAGTTGCTACTGAGTTCTATTAATAATATATTTCAATATATATTATTTTATTAAATAAAAAAATATTTGTTGTTCTTTGGTGTTGACTTGAAATCATCTGAAAAATTCAACAAAAATAACTCATAAAAATTCTTTGTCTCCCTTATATTTAAGTATGCAAAGAAATAACGAAATCCTGTAAAACGAAATTGGAACAGAGTTCGACACATTTGTTGAATAAGCAAAGTAAAACGTAATAATTGCGTATACGCTCATCGACTCAATATTTTGCAATTATACATCGAATCAATACAAGTGAAGAATGCAGCACTGCAAATTATTCAGCAAACAAACGTTGAAAAATAAGTCATCGCGATTAAACTTAAAATCGAATAAATCAATAAAATTTATATGTACAACCTGATGATAATGTTCCTTACTTTATTGTTGCTTTTAAATTTGAAGCTTTAATGGCCGGAGTTAACGTTAGTATTACTTGGCTTCCGAGTGAATGCCGCGTCTAAGTTCGACAAATTGTCAACGTTTCGCAAACGTTATACTTTGCATATCATGCATTCCTGCATATCAGAGCTTTTTAACTCTAAAGATGCAAACTATAACGTTTGCGAAACGTCGACAATTTTCTGAATTTAGCCATGAATACTAATTTATTGTTACTATTTACTTCATTCATTAATGACATACCACACGTCTGTATGTATGGTAAATTCTTATTAATTGAATTAATAGTGCAGGAAAAATAATGAAATTAATTTGTAATCCAATTTAAAATATATATAAATAATATAAATAAGCAATGAATTATTATTCTAGTAGATGTTGGACATTATTTTGTATACAGTAAGTGTAATTCCTTTATTTATATTAAGTATTCTTCATTGTTAACAATTACTAACGAACATTTACAAAATTTCATTTATAAACATATAATATATATGATAAACATTGTTATAATTAAGACATTTGTATGTTAATATAAATATTAATACAATAATACTTATATTGCACACTAAGCTTTTTACTCTTTCTTTCCTTTATGTAACATCAATTGTGTTCTGAAATTCTCTTATTCTAAATTCAAAGAATTTTAAGTTATTCTTTAATTTGTAATAATATATTTTTTTTAAATTTCTAGGATAATCATGATTTATTTGATCATTCTTATTTTAAAAGAGACACAGTATTGAATATCGACTGCAGTTATACAAATACCAGAAATATCGTTGAAACGATGTAGCTGTTGTGAAACTCGCAATCAGCAAAATCAGCGAGACCACATTTCACGATATTCACGCATAGAGTTACGAAATTTCTCGGTGGTATGTAAAATAATTTACGTGCTCAGAAATCCCTATAAAAACGAAATTCAATCGATGGATCATCAATTCGATTTCGGAAGTCACGAAGTCTACACGGTTTACGATGCGTCTGAGTGCGTGTTTCGCGATCCTGGTGGTGGCTGTTGCTTTGTCTCAGGCTGGTCCAGTGCCCAAGATCACCGAGAAGAAGTCACTGGTGGAAGATGTCAAGCAGGAGTCCACGAAAACTGATCTAAAAATTGAAGAAAACGGCGAGGACAAGGATAGGGCCAAGAAGTCCGCCGGTACCTTCTGCGTCCAGATAAATCCAGGATCGACTCAGCCAACGCAAGTTTCTTGCCAAGGGAACCAAGCTGCAGTTCAGACATTAGCTATTCAAGCTGAACCCGTTTCTCAACAAATCCAAACTCTGGGCATGCTTCAACCATATGTCCATGTAGTACCTCAGACGGGTATCGTTATGCCTCAACCATTAGTTCCATCCATTAACACCCTGCAAATTGTACAACCTGCTGCCCAGCCCTGTGCTCAATCTATTCCATCTGTGAACATCATTCAATCGGATCAGTCTATTCCAAAACCAAAACCAAAACCTAAACCAACCTCAACATCCATGGTAGACATAAAAACTACTACAAAACGACCTCTACGCATTGAAAAACTTCCACAAAGTTTGCCAGAGCCTCAGGAAACTTTGGCTATGCTGCCAATCGCTCCTGCATGTCATGATCATATAATTACAATTCCATCAAACCCTGTGGTCGTAGTTCCTCAGTTCGATCAAAATCAGCTAGCCTCCATTGTTCAAGTTCCATCAGTATCTTCCAGCGACAACCCTTTACATAATATTTTGAATCCATGCACCTGTCAAAAGAACGTAGCCGTGTTAAACGAGCCCAGCGTAGAACCTATGGCTATGCAAATGGTACCTGTTATGTCTTACTCGTCGTCGCTCGCAAAGTCTCCAATGATGATGCCATACAATTTTAATATGCCACGCGTAAGTAAAAAATGTTTGATCTTTTTAATCTAGATATTGTTATCTTTAATGTCGTATATCACTGTTCATAGACTCAACCACTTCAAGTAGAAACCAGTGCCTCTGTCGCCGGGATGACTCCACGTCACCATCATCATCGTCAGAATCCGTCATCGTTCCAACAGATAGTAGTTAACGGAAATCCAGAGACCCCGTACAATCCATACCCCGGCAGAGGTTTTGCTGACATGTCGTACGGGTCAAGAGGGCTCATGATTAACGTTTCTCCTGAAAACTACAATACAGCCAATACGATGATACAACATGGACAAATGTCTTTGAGAAACCACGAGAACGCCATGAACGATCCGGTCGCCTATGACACGAACGGTTTAGCGCAATCTAACAAGACACCACGCGACACCAAGGCAACTAAACAGGCACCGGAGAAGACAGTGGAGACCAAACAACAAGGCAAAGCTTCGTTGATCGACGGTCGACGCAGTACGACAAACAACAAAGAAGAGGCTAAACAGCAAGAACATCAAACAGCGACGAAATAGACGATTGTTGTAAATGACAATATAAATTCATTGCGTTTTTTATTTTTGTATTTTAGAATCTGACTATACATAGTCATCAATGAAACGATATCTTTGAGACATATTTTACATTTGCTTCTTATTTTCACCCCATCCGCGAAATCATATCCTCGCAATATATTATTCCAGCGAAGAAGTTGTGTCGTCAACATCGTCGCATGCATTCTTTATTAACATAGAATTGTTTCTAGGTATAATTAGTATATCCTTAGAAGAATCCTCCAGTAAATATTTTTGTAAACTGGATATGCTTAGTTGCGCCCACGAGCAATTGCACAAATCCTTAGACGAGCATTCCTCGATCTCGTCTTGATCTTCAATTTCAAAATGAAAAATAATATAAGTCTTTTGCGATCCATGACTGAAAATAATAGCATGATATCCCATAGGTTCGTACCAATAGCAATAATCTTCAAATCTTCCTCCAATATATCCTCGTTGATATTAATCCAGCGCACAATGTCTTCACGAGTATCAGAATTCACTTGCCTCAAAATATACATGATGTTCTTCATTGGGTCGCGCGGAGATACAACTCTGTCTTCGATAGACGTATCTATGGACCAATCACTGCTTTCGTTTTCTTTGCATTTGCAACATGTGCAAGTTTCTGGGTGGCCAGCATCTCTGCACAGCTCGTCATAATGCGGTGCTGAAAAATTCAATATCAACCAAGTCGAAACAGAATGAACAAATAATGTTTGTTGAAGGACACGAGTCTAGCATTACCCTCGCATTTGAAACAATAGCAACATTTACAGTCCCTTGCATGGTCTCCTTTCAATATATTTGAAATGATAGTAATGGTCGACTGAAACAAAACATTTCTTAGCGAATTTGTAATAAAACAAAATTGTCACGATTACATACATGTTGTACTTTAAGTTCGCTAGTTTTTACAGACATCTGTTTATAATATGATCTCTTAGGACGAGGTTTTGTTACAGGTACGGATGACAATTTCATGGAGAGACCATAAGGAACATTATAAAATTCTTTCCTGCAACAGTCACCTTCGTATCTTGCCAAATACCACCTGTGGTCAACTCTGTATGGTCTGATGTCTACATTCTCTTGATTCAGAACTTGAGACAACAGCATTCGCTTAATAATCTACAAACGATCAGAAAATGTAGACTTTATTTATATTGTATTCCCGTACAAATACTTTTGCAGTTGGATGACCAAGACAATTCCCAAATATTCTCAGCTGTCGTAGAAGAGGGCTCTTTTTTAACGTGTTCAAAATGTCAACCATACCATTATCTGTGATTTTATTATAAGAAATGTCAAGTGATAACAGTTTCGAGAATGGAAGAGCAAAACTAAATTCCCTGAAAGTAATCGCCATTTATTTATTATCCGTTTGATGTACATTTAATACGTTTCACGTTATTTATTATTTTAAAGATCGTTATACCTTGCACCATGATCAGTTATAATGTTCCTACACAAGATGAGGATTTTCAAAGCTGGTCTTTTTGTTAACCAGTTAGCAAGGTAGATAATTCCATGATCTCCTACATTATTACAGCCAAGGTCCAACAAGTGCAATGTATTGTTGTATATTGCATTGGACATTAAAGTTTCAATGTCGTGACAATTGAAGTTGTATTTTTGCAAATACAATGCTGTCAGTGTAGTATTATTCTAGGAAAAGTAACTTTTCATTAACGCGAAAATAAAAAAAATATGTAACGGATGTAAAGTTACTTTAAGCATGTGGCCAATAACGCTGGAAAAATGAACAGAATCAAAGTAATACATAAATCCTGGATTCGGTCGACTGATGTCCAAACTCTTTAGCGTTGTATTAGAAGTGGTTTGCTCTGAACTCAAGACCATTATGAAATATATTAAACTGGAAGCAGTTTGACCCACTTCTGCAACATTTAAATACGTTACGTATTTATTTTTTAATAAAAAGAGTGCTATATTTTTTGATGCCTGCAAAAATAGCTTGATTAAGACAATTGATACTTTTGCAATACATACAATGGCAAATATTAATAACCTCGACGCCAAATTTATTCGCTTTTAAATTCAGGCTCTTAAGCTGGATATTTTCTCCTATTGCTAACAAATATTTAATCCCTATTTCCATGATATCATTATTGCTAACGTCCAATTCGAGTATATACTTGTAGTGCTAATATAAACAGATTTCGAATATAGATTCTGTTAAACAATTCTTTACTTTTTAGAAGTATTTCATCTTACAAGCAGGTGATCGAGCAAATTGATAAATCCGCTATTTGAAATATTGTTGTTCGCTAAATTAACATGAGCAATGTCTTGATGCTTTTTAAGAAATATTAACAAGGCAGGTATATCCACGTCCTGAAGAAGCCTTCTATAATTGTTTAAAGAGAATATAGAATTCGACAAATTTAAAAAGTAAAACTAATTTTACGCGTTTGCTGACTTGATCTTCTGGTATACGGCATTTCCACGCATGTCGAGCCTCTTTGTCGTAGCACACGTCTCATTGCAGAAGCATTTAAAGAAATTCTGACTCAAAACTTGATGAAAGTAAGGCTTTGTACTCTTGATCGCATTAATTAAAGCTATGTCATCGCAATTTCGGGTGCACGAAGTCAAACGGCTATCATTTGAGCATCGAGATTCGTCAAACTTCATGATGAAGTTATAAAATTTTTAAAATTATTCAAAATTATACTCAAATATGCCAATTCTGTGACACTTGAAACGTTTATCGTCCCAATAATTTCATAGGCAGACAATCGGTGCATTTTCATTTAAAATATCATGCTGAATTTAATTCCTCAAAGGACGGAAGCGGAGATTATTCCATTTGAAGAGATATTCCAGGGTAAACTAGAAAGAACAACATTTTAGTACCAACGAACATGAGAAGTAACGAGTATTTCTAATGACAAATTCTTAGTAAAATTTTCATGTTTACGATTGCAACAGCATATTGTAAAATGGATCCAATCTCTTCCAACGAAAAGTTGCAACTGCTACCGTTATCACAAAGCGACAAGTGGCTAATATCTGCACGCATACTCGACATGGTTACACTTACAACAACCGACACAGGACTCGCATTTTTCAAATTTCGAAAAAGAGCCTTGTCGTACGAGGAGTACTTGGAATACCTAAAAGACATAGCGGCATCTAAGAACCTCGATTTCGATGAAATGAAGCGGAAAATGCAAATGTTCGGAAAACCCAGACAAACCATGTAACAATACAATTGCATGAACATTATTTACAAGCTTTATTATCGAACAACGTTTATACAGTGACTCGAATTTTACTCCAGTTGGCGATAACATTTCCATCTATCGCATGATTGATCTGTAGTTTCAAGAAAATAAACAATCAAATTAAAGTTACTTAATGATCGACCGTGTATCGATAGATTTTATATCGCACGGTGAAATATCGAACATTGTCTGACAGCACAGAGCAAGCTGTCTTTATTGAACGCGCAAGATCGCTCCCTGTGCAAATAAAATAATAAGTTTATCATGTGTACTTTATAAATAAATAAAATAAATAGGCCAACATCGCCAAAATAAATATTTCCACAATACTTTGAAGCATTGATGAATTAAAATAAACGTGAATCACAAAAGGAGCCATAGCAAGGCACAATTCCAATTAAATGCCGCATTTAGTTTTGTATTTTACTCACGACTGCAATCGAATGTTCAACCATAATTTTGCGGCGATAAATATGGTTAAAAATACGACTCTTTTGTGTTTCTTAAAGTATCAAAAATAAATTGCCTAGAAAGTAACTCAAGAACGTTAATGATAACACGATAAAATGGGGTATACAAAAATATTTTAACAATCTTCGTTTTATGTTGAATAACAACCACAGAACAGCTCGTTCCTCGATATGCAAAAAACAAATACTTTCTTTATGTTGATCGAACGGGTTCCTTTCATTTACGAGAGCTTTATAAACGTTTACTATAAAATTATACATTATTCTGTATCCACTTTAAAGCACTTCTAATGTTGCTAAGCGTGACTCTACCGAGGAAACTCGCTATTAATTGATATTCCGGCATAGTACGTCGTCCGCAGGATCTCGTTGAAATACATCTGTGATAAAAATTCATTTTGACACCTTCGAAATTCTCGTCGTAGAGCACTTTCGGGAACGATAGCGGCGAATTGCGTCCTTCACAAAGTACTTTTGTAGTTAAGCACAAAAGCCATTGCATCACCTGTAAACGGCGCAAAAATATTGTAAATACGTAATTACGCAAATGACTTTTTATTGTACTTCAGTACAAATTAAATTTAAACATAGTTTATTTAAAATACCTCATTACTCGACGGCAATTGTCCTTCGCTTCTGAACCAAGCGCTCGGTGCCCATAAGTGCAACTGTATTACGGTTGCTGCTGTTTCGGTATCGAGTCTCTGAAATTACAAACGCTCCATAGTATTCAGAAATATCACGTGTAACCTGTATTCCGTACCTTGTACAAATTTCGAGACAATATGTTTTTTATTAACGCAGAAACAATTGTTGGCACGTCGTTTGGAAAAGACGGGAGGTCACTCTCCTTGTAGTTGAAGTTCTTAAGAGATATATTTTCCTTATCGACATCGAGAAACGGATTTTTCATACCAAATATTTCGTATGCTATGGTGCCTACAGTCCAAAGGTCGGCTTTGGTGTAATTGATGCTGGTGAAAGGACCGGGTTCCGCCGTGATGACTTCCGGTGCCATTAGCACGATATTACCTCCTCTGTCAGTATCGTGACTATTGTAAGGCAGATACAATCCATGGCTTTTGTCGGCCAAGCAACATCCGAAATCAGTAATTACTAGTGACGGACAGTTATCGGTTTCTTCGGACAAGTCCAGCAGAATATTGTCACTCTTCAGATCTCTGATTTGTTCAATGGAAAAAAAAAAAAGAAAGATTAATAACGGCATAACATTATGTGTATAGGATACTTAATATGATCCGGCATGTAATGCCATGCTATATGTTCCGCTCGAACAAAAGATATTGATTTACCGATGTGCAATACCATGGGCATTCATATGAGCAACACCTTCGAGCAACTGAGCAAGTAGTAGTATCGATTCCCGGGTACTTGGATTACGATCGGACAGGTATTGTTGCAACGTAATGTCATACCTGGAATAAAAAGAACAATAGTTATATTATGTGACATATGTGCAAAACATATATTTTTTAACATGATAGTAACCTTTTCATTAATAAAAACAAACTCATATTTCGTCCATATCCCTGTGGATTAATACGTGCAGGTAAAGCATCAGGGTACATTTTCAATGAATCGGGCAAAGCTGGTACTTTATCGGCAAAAGCATAATACATTGCAACAATATTTGGATGTGGTGGCAACTTTGCTTTCCTTTCTGCCATTTTTGTTTCCCAATCAGCCAATTCTTCGTTATTAAAATGTTTTCTAGCAGGTACAGTTTCACGGTGCATGGCTCTCAGAATGGATAGTGCATTTGATTCGGCATTATAATTAAACATCATTTTTAATGCCAATGGAAATGCAGTCACATCTGTGGCCTTATCATCACTGTTTATCTGACCATTGCCTTTATCAAGCGCAGAATTGTTAAATCTTGTTGCATAGACAATGGCCGAGCAACCTTTTGCGATAGCAGGACCAATCACTAAATCCTCCAGACTCAGAACATTTGCATTGTCTTTAATAGTCTCGTAATTCGTATCATTTTGCGGAGTATTCCATTGCAATTTTGATACAGCTTCCTATAAATGGTAAAAACAGTTTCAAGGCAACATTTAAGGTAAAAAAAATCTAGCTCTTTCTATAACCAAGTAAAAGATTCGCAGAACTTTACCCTAATTTCCCAGCAAACACCCTCTAACTCGTCATCTTTCGTTAATATTCCAGTACCAGATGCCAAAGATACACCAACCAATGCAAAGAAAGGCGCGGAATCGCCAAAAACCAATCTTTTTGCAGCACGTCTTCTTAAATCGGCTGCTAAGCTGTTAGTGACTCTTTTCAAGATGTTATCAACGAAAATCCGTCGAGCCTGAGCTCCCAAGTAACCAAGGTGTCTTCCTGTGTTGGACACATTACTGTTACCCTGGGGCGGAAAGCCCTGGGACTTGCCTGTGTTCAATGTTACATTATATATAAAATGAGAAATAAGAGCGAACTTGTGAGCGCGTCTTAACAACTCGATGTTCCGCGGAAACTTTGATACGATTAAAATACAAAACACCGTGTCTAGAAATTCCACTTAAACAGACGACGTGCGACAGATGGGTAGTCTATTGACCTGTCGGAGGACACGACGTTAGAGGAACGTCAAAAAAAATTTCGAAATCAAGTTTTCAAGAACGTGCGAGTTGTCAAATGGCACCGTTAATAACACGTCACAAACATCGCAGATCTTAATTCTGTTCCGACGATAGGCTCGTGCCAAGGTCCTCTGACATCGCGACGACTCGTAACGAATGAATTCAGTCGATTAACTCACCTACTTGCACAACGTGTATCTTGTCGTGGTAGTTCCTTGGGTGGTAATTAGAGTAGAAACACTCGGTATTCCGGACGGAATGCAACAGAGCCCGACCATTTTGCAAAAAACGATGAACCACCGTTCGTATCGACATCTCTCCGTGCTTTTGGGCTGAGAAAGCCCAGCGGGCTAACCCCCCAGTGAAGCAAGTCTTCGCTGCCTGAGGCAACTTCGTTATGAAGACGTTAATCGTGTTTTAAAGTTATTTTTGATAACTGCGCAGGAAACTCTTTAAGAAGCCGTATTCCGTAACACTCTCGTTCATGTTCGTTTTCGTACTGCGCTGCTGCTGCCGAGCTCTGTCGGGCTGCTAAGGAACGATTGCATACGTGTACATATAATATATGTGTTATATATGTATATTACAGCACATCTCACACAACTGGTTCTACAGTTGTTCATTGTCAAGTAGAGCCATAAAATTGTATACATACACTCTTTTTTTAACTACGTACCCATTTGGTTGGATATTGATATATTCGAATATTCGATATCAATTCAACGAAATATTTTGTAATGCTGCACTAGGATACTTGTTATTAAAATATCGAAATATGAATTGTTTGTTTTCAGCAATGAATAGATCGATGCATTGATATACCTATACAAGAAAAATGGGTTGAACTTTGTTTTTTATAAGTACATATCGAGATACAGCGAGGCATAACCGAAATCGTATAATTTGAACAAAGTATTTGATTGTATGCGTACGCGCGCGCGCGCGCACGCGTATGTGTTGGATCAAGGAGTGACAAATGATCAAGATCAAATTAAAAGAAAATGCATGGCGCAAAGTTTGCTTTACCACTTAGTCATAAAGCTCTTTTATCTATTCTAACAATACAAATGCTTAACAATTTTAACCTGTTGAAACATTAATTGTGTAAATAATCGTTACTGTACAGGTTCAGTTTAACTTCTTTATTGATTAAATACTTCAATCTATTTTAGGTTAAAGATTAACAAATTTATACAACTGATAAAGATTTTAACGATGGATCGATACGTTGAAGCAACAAAGAAGTTAAACTATACATATACATACTACTAGCAGTTATTGATTTGCCTTTTCGAAGTAAGCAAACCTCATTTTCATTAATTATAATTATACATCGGCCGTACGTCGACGCCGTGATATAACTGATAAGAGAAATTTCCGTTTCGCAATATCCACTAAAAATTGCGAATTTCTATGAAACCAAATTGTTTTAAGCAAAAATAAATTCCATGAAAATTAAAAACGATACAAAGCTTAATTTAGTCTATAGTTTTGTTACATTTTGTAGTTTTGAATGGCTATAAAAAATCATTAAAGTTTAAACAAAAGTAAATGCATCTACGTTTTACACATTACTTTTGTATGTTTACGCAAACAAATTTAAAAATGACTTCGTTTTGCTTGGCGTTTGCATGTACGCCCACGCACACCTGCAGACCTTAATTTTGTCAGAAGGTCAAGAAACATTAACGACGACAGCGGGAAAATGATCGTCACTCGAGCGCTGCACGTGCGCAAAGGTAAAAAGGCAGGTTTTTATTCGTTGAATAACGTTATTGAATAGATTTAAAATGAGTTGCATGTACATCCCTTTCCAAATCTATTCGGTATTCAGTGATTACTGGTGTACATTCTGCGTTCTCGAAGATCAGATAAATATGTATGTTCCATGTTCGATTATATACAGATAATATTAAGATAGTTATCACTGTTACATTTTTCCGTTAATCTCGCGAGATCGGATTACCGACTACTAATAATGATATCGATATTGCCGACCATAGTTGTAGGCAGATCTGTTTTCGATCAAATTGCAATTATAAAGCGCGTCACCTCGTGTACCATCCGGACAGGTACATACCGCTATGTGACGTCGTGGAGTACACGTTGCAGTTGGCCCGCACTCTTTACCAGTACAGGGATTCTGGCAAGTGAAGTCTATGCATGCCTTGCTATCGGGACACTCGCTGTCCGTGAAACATTCTCCGCGCTGGCAATTCACCAATGCATTACCGATGTAACCAGTGGGGCATGTGCACACAGGTCTCTCCTTCCCCGTGTTATCGTGCCCCGGCGTACAAATCGCGTTCACTCCGCACGGATTCGGTTCGCACAAGTCTTCTGATGGCATTAATAAACAAATAAATAAATGACCGCCAATGATGCAAGCACGGTTCAACCGCTTTGTTGGTTAAACGATACATACGCGCTTCAAAAAGCCTACAGCTGAAGAAAGGATTGCCGGTCATGTGTTTCGGACAACTACAAACTGGAGTGATTCCTCGTAGGTTGCAGTCTGCGTTCACACCGCATACTCCGTCGCAGGGGTTCATGCATTTCTGGTAGAGGCAGGCAGGTTTGTTCCCTGGGCAATCAGAATGAGCAGTGCATTCTGGCCGACACGACACAAACGCATTCCCCAACCAATTCTGTGACAGATTCCAATCATTAGCATAAATTTCTCTTTGTTTTTTTATGCATTTGTCTGTTTATCGCTTACCTTTGGACAGGTACATATTGCTTGATGATCAACGACCCTACATTCCGCGTTTGTGCCGCATTTGCACGGGCTCTCGCACTTGAAGGAAGCTGAGCAAGCGAGATGACCGGGGCACTCGCTGTCGCTTTCACATTCGTGACGACAACCAATTGACGGGGATCCTATGTATCCTGGTAAACAGCTGCATACTGTTACCTCGTTTACTACTTCACATTTAGTGTTCAAACCGCACGGATTTGGCTTGCATGCGGCCTCTACAAGGAATTCAGAGGAAATTTAATGTTCTATTTTCAGCCAAAGACTCACTGTGTTTGGATCTTCGATATATGCAGCTTAACGTTACGTACGAGGATCAGCTATATGGCACGAGGTAAATGGATCTCCCGTCTGTCCAGGCGGGCAATAACACGTTGGAATATGATTTTTGGTCTCGCATATCGCATTCACGCCGCACAAACCATCGCATGGATTTATGCATCTATTATTCGTGCAAACCTGGCTACTGCTGCAGTCTTCGTTTACTGAAATATTGAACACGCACGATTGAAAATATCAGATTACACACGCGATACGTTCAAAGCGTCTTACAGATACTTACTTAGACACTCGACCCGTACGCAACGCGACAGAGGATCTCCCATATGCAGGTTCATGCAAGAACAAACTGGTCTCGCTTCGCTTAGTGTACATCTTGCATTGACTCCGCAAGTGTACGTATCGCAACCACTATGGGCAACTGAAAACATTTAACAAAATTGTTTAACAAAAAGACTCTTTCCCAAGAAAGATTTTTTTCTTTAAACAAATCATGGAATACAAGAATTTGGAAAGAGTTTCATAGAATATAAATATAATTAGAAATAGACGGAAATTGTGATGCAATATAGAAATGATTGAAACTATTTTAAAAAAACATACAAAATGTTAAAAGACTCACGCGACTTACCAACGTTTCCCGATATTATCCTCGACTGATAGTGTCCGCCATTGACTATCGCGAGAAAAGAAAAGAAAAGAAGAACTGCTGTCCACGAATGATCCATGTTCCTGATTACTCTGCAATGATAGTTCCAACTTACAGAATGAACGAAAGAAGTATGAATTGGGTGAAGCGGTCGGCCATTGAGCGTGAAAGAATTTTTAAGATCAGTTTACCTCTGCTGAAAAATATCTGTGCTCCGCGACGATACAAAGCGAATTAACGGGTCTCCAACGAATGCGGAGATGATCATGATTCGATCACAAGGAGGACCCCACCTTCCTCAACCTTCAGTCCCACTTCGGATTTTGCCTACGCGTGCCCCTGACGATCCTTCGATGGGCCTCGCCTACGCGTACGCTTGCCGCTAAATGTTGTTCACTTGAATGATATCAGGAAACTGTTTATCCTCGAGCATGAAAAAACTGCTACAAGAACGGTTTCAAGTTCATCTCATAACACACGACTCAAGGTTAATGTATTTCTACCGATACTGGAGACGAATAAACAACATTTTGATGTAACGACTATACTGTGATGAAAATATTACAGTAGTCTACTTTGATGCAACTTAAAACCAGCAAAATCTGTTGATCGTTGATTCTAGAAGCCAAAATTCTTGACCGAGGCTTTGTTAAAAAGTTATTAACAATTAAATTAAAAAATTTCAAATCGTTCTGGAAAAATTATTTTCGGTTGCGGGGGTCAATTACAATAATTTTTTATGAATAGACATACCCCCGAAATCCTACCCACTTTCGAGAAAAAAATTCGGGTAGGTGGTGAAATTTTTCGGCGAAAAAACAATTTTTCACATCGTTCCAAAAAAATTATTTTAGGTTGCAGGGGTCGATTACAATCATTTTTGGTCATTACACATATCCCCGAAATCGTACGTATTTTCGAGAAAAAAATTCCTTACCGAAAATCTAATTAGCTTATTTGTATATGCAAGGAGTGTTTATAAATATATGAAGATTTGTTCAAGACAAACATGTAAATGTATCACTGCATGCATATTAAGCAGCACTTGAAAAGTATTTCTGGCTGGAATATGATTTCAACGAATTCATTATGACGCACGAAAGTTCCAAAAACACTATAGGATAAACGGAGTACAGCTAGGCGTGAATAATCGTAGCTGCAAGTTCGCAATCGCCTCGACGGACAATCGTTCCGCGAACCCTTTCGCGCCAAAAATGGATTTGTCGACGCAATGATACCGCGTGGAAGCCGCGATCATCGACGAAACAGTCATCGCATACACAATCGTGCCGCAACAATCTGGTAAGTCGTTATAGAGCTTCGAGAAAACAGACACGTTTTGCGTTTACAAAACTGCAATTTATAAAATGGAAAAGTTCGTAATATATTTACAACTAAAATTACACCGCCTGCAAAAAAAATGTCGTTAGACTTGGTGTGACATGCATAACGTATCGTAAAAATAACAATAACACCAACAACAATATTTACCTAATTCATTCTGATGATTTATTATAATAATTTAAATAACTTAGCAATAATTTTTGTATCGTATGACAAATAGATATTGTTTCATTCTAGGAACAAACCTTACTGTTTGTTTCTAATTGTAAAAAAGTGTAGGCTAAAAAAAATTAGTACATAGAAAACAAAACTGAAAGGAAAAATTCAGATACATGAGAATTTTTCAATGGATTTCTACGAACAGTAACCCTTTTCGTTCTATATAAAAAGTTAAAATAAAGGTCTTGCACTCGAGATGAGTTTACTGAATATCGGTCTATAAACATATGGATGCAGAGAATTGTTCCGTCACGCATTTGATTTAGTTGTCTATAGTCCGTGCGTATTATCGAAATTCAGAATGAAAATTTAGCGGATGCTCATAGCTTCCAACTATGAGGTTTTATTGATCTTGAGCATTTTACGCAATAATGATGACGATAATGGGCAATCGTTGTCACGTCTCGATTATTCTCGCGTTTGCTTCGGAATTTCTTTTAAAAATTCCTCGTACGCTGCGTCTACGTCATCGTCATCTTCATCTTCCGATATCCATTTCACTTCATCCTCGTAAGCATGCTCTAATATTCTATATAAAAAACAAACACTATAATACATTACTTTATATGTGTATCTTAAATTATCATGAAAGTAATTCAATACACATACACATGGTTCTCGATACTTGTTGGACCGTTCGCAACATCCTCTAAAAATTTATTTTCTTCTGCGGTTAACACTTTGCCGTCTGGTCCATAGAATATAGGTACGTCTACTGCTTGATTCGGATCTATGTGCTCCATAGATTCGTCAGAAGAATCTACAGTAGAGGTCTGCCCCCAATTCTCATTTCTCAATTTGTGAACACTATCTACCATACTTTCAACGTGCAAGTCTACTCTACCCGCTGTTACTAGTTCTGTTAATGCTCGCATCATTATCTCCATTTTTTTGTGACTTCCTCCTTTGTCTTTCTCCAAGGTATGACCTGCCAACTGTACACGTGTATATTGAATTTAAATTGTACACGCATAGTTCGATCAATCGATTTTTATATAGTCTGTTCGCGCAATATGTACCTTGAGGGCCTGGCAAATATATTTAACGGAATTCGGAGCGGGCTTCTTTAAAGTAATGATAATAAGTTGAATCAATATGTCTCCTAAACCGAAAGCGGATGTATGTTCCATTTGAGTAACCAGCTCAGCTAAGAATAATATTAATCCGTGACGTCGTTTTTGTTCATCCTCCGTATAATCATTCTTCTGCTTCCAATTAGAAGTTTGGCTCTCTGTTTCATTTTTACACCTATCACCAACTTAAACTTTATAAAGCTGAAAATCTAAAATAAGCTGACGTATATTGTTCTTGTATTCAGTGACTCACAAAATATATAAAATTTCTCTAAACGACGTTTGTTCGGCGGATGTCATACTGATGTCTAGAGACGCGCAAAGCCGGGCACCACTGTACCGGAAATTAACCTCGTTTATGGACTGGAAATGTTTTGGAACATGAATATAATTCTCTTTTCAGTTAAGACATACGAACAAACGGATATATACCTGTTGAATTATTATCTTTATAATTTCTTGAAAGTGACTAGGAAATTCTAAATATGGCCTAAGATTATTTATAAGCGGCGGCACAATAGAAGTAAATCGCCCCGGATTTAATATCAAAGAGTGTATAACGCTCATTAAATTTTGCGTAGTTGTTGCAAATTCGATTAAATAATTATCTTCATCCCCACTGGATTCCTGCAATCAAACAATATCTGTTTAGCAATCGAGCATAGTTTTTAATTATTTTGCAATATTCGTTAATATATATATGCACCTGATGTTTGTCTTTATAATCTCCTGACCCTCCATCAAAATGACCATAATCATGAACATTTGTGGATTGCTCCATTTGTTGCTGACGCGAGAAGTTATCAAATTGTTGAACTTGTTCTATGTGCTGATAATGCTGAGGTGTATCATAGTTACATGTAGGATTTTGTACTTGTTGCATTATTTGTGCCTGAAGTAATCTACCTTGAACCGAATGTTTCTGTGCAAATCTTACAGACAATTGTTGCTGCTGTGGCTGTTGCTATACGTTAAATATATTAAAAGGATTTTAATATCCGAACAGAGAACAAAATAACACACGCATCGATGAAAAATACAAACCGATGGCTTAGCAGGACACGATTTTGGAATGAATTCAGCCGCATGGACAGATAAGGTTGAATTCTGTACAATATCGTCGTAAGATTTATCCGATTTGCTTTGTTCTGTATCTCTCGATTCTGTGAAACCTACGATCAAAGAATAAAATATTACTGATTATTAAAACACGGCGCAATGAAAAATATGTTTCGCGTTAGGGTGTGACATAGCAAAAAAAATCATACATAAACAAAAACAAACTACAAGCGATACTACTAACTAAAACAATATGCAGCTTAAGCGGTCAACTTAGAAAACAAACACGGTCTATTTCAGTTTTTATCATCACCCAGTACAATAGTACGTATCGCAGGAATGCAGAGTAGAAAGTCTACGCACGATATAAAATAATTAACAAGTACGAATGGACAATATTAATTACAACTGAAACTGAAAAGCTCCTTAAAGGAATTAATAGCAACCTGTTGTTTGAATTCCAGATGAAGCAGGATGAGGTCTTCTTAACGCATGAGTCTCCTGTTGGCTCAACGTCCATGGGCCACGACCCCGACCGCGACTCGGCCCACGACGTTCTACGTCTCCCTCGAGAGGATCCATCCCCTCTGCGAAAAAAATTACACGCTCGATTCGTACGATCGCTCGAGGTTAACTGAAACGATACCGGCGCAGAACTGTCACCCGCAAGCGGTTACGAGATGTTCGCTTCGTAAAAGTGCGTATATCACCGACATAAGTTCAACAATTCCGATGGCGAGTCCGTTAGGTCCGTTATACACGATAAAACGCGCGCAGCTTCACAAACAGAATATCAAAGGCGAATTGCGACTCGTTCGTACACCAGTTCCCCCGCTGATCGACTACGATCGATGTTCAAACTCGAGAAGTTGGTTGATAGCGAGCCTGGCCGCTCCGAAGCAACGTTATTCGAGGCAGAATAATCAATCGATATTTTAGTCGCTCGTGGTCGCGCGGTGATACTATCCACAATCTTCGATGTGTTGGAATGTTTACATTTTAAATCTTACTTTTGTATCGCCAGGCAAGTCTATCGATCAAAATTAATTATGATATTTCTTTCAATTAATCATTATTACTTTAAATATCGTTTATATTTCATAGACGTATTCTGGTCGGCTCTTTAACTCGGAACACACATTGCTAGATAAAAATGTTTTTCGTGTACGTAAGTACATATTGCGCATTATAGAAATATAACAAAAAAACGACCCAAAAAATCGTAGATTAATATGAACACACGAGACTCGTTCAATATGTAAATAATATCTTCCCAATCACTCGTGCGATTGATATATAGGGTGTCTCTAAATAAGTGCAGTATAGAATAAAATTGAAAAAAAGAAAATAGATTCTCAAAGAAGGGAAACTAATTACAAATATTCGATCGATTAATTAAATATAAATGCTGAAGTTGTCTGTTTCTTTTATCACTGTATAATCAAATTACAATTCAGGCTAACAATCGATCATTTTATGACCTTAGATTTATTCATACCTTAGATTATTTCGGATTACCTGAACGAATATGTTGACTTTGTTATCACATCGTCCAAAGAACACAAATATAATGTACAGTGTTTCGATATTTAAGAAATGAAAAATGACCTCAAGGTGACCTTGAAAAACAGAGTAGAAAACTCGTAATTAATACTATCAGATTCTATGTAAACAAATGGTAGAGCATAATCTTCCGAAGTTCCTTGACTCTCCTACCATTTAGCGATTATTTCAACACTTATGTAGAGACACCCGTATTTCATTCCCAAGCATGTATATATGGCTTGGGCTCCCGACACACAGAAATGAGGTCTGAATCATCGGGAATAGGTGTTCGTGGAATGTGTTGCATGGTGAAAATGTGGAAAACGTAATGGTGTAAATCAAATTTGAACATGTAACGAGTGTTTTTTCTTCGTTAAACTATAGCTGCCGATAAGACAGGCGTAGACTTGCACGTAGTACACACTCATGATGAATAATTACTGGAGTACACAGTGTATAAATTACTGAGAATATGTCCTCTGAGAGATCCGATGGAGAAGTCGGATGTGCTTTGGTAAACAAGTGAGTATTACAAAACTTCGTGTGGAAATAGGGACCCTTCCTATCTAGTTTTCCATTAGCTCAGCTACCGCTCGAAAGAGGCGCCTTGTTACGAGGTTACGATCGTTGACATGGACGCAGAATCCTATCGGGATGAACCTTGGTAATCCTTGGTAATGATGTTCAACTGTCGGGGATATACTTTGCGAGTATCCTCGTTTTCGTCTTCCCGAACTGTTCCGTAATCGATTTAGAAGGATATTTTGTGAGCTGCATAAAAAGCCGCAGGAGTAAGTATGCGCGTATAGCAACGTGCAAAAATCTCTGGCAGAGTAGATTTTTCATTTTGTCATTCGAAAGCGAGAGTAAAACAAATTGTAATTTATATTTGTTATAAAGTCATGTCAGGTAAAAGAAAATTATATAACAAATAAATACTGTTTATTATTTTATATTTATTTATTTATAAAATTGCTGAATTACTATGTTCAAACGTTTCTGGCCACTTTAATTTCTCTGGCTACACCAAACCTGATTGTTTACATATGAAAAATATTGTACATAATTACTAGAATCAGTTGATTATACATTGCTGAAACATATTGTATATACATTATAATGCAGGAAATCTATAGTAAACAATATACTGCATAGTGTGAAGGATCATTTCTAAAATGAGTCATTAATTGTGAATCAATTACAGCTAAGTCTACTGTGGATATTGAACAGAAAACAAAGTAAATTTTACTATTCATTGTACAGATATTATTAATATAATACATAGTTCAACTTCCTTGTTAAATAAATTGTAAAGAAACTTTTAAACATACCAGTTTAGCAATTTTGTAAATAGATACATACCAAATAATGAACTATTGTCTTTTACCTGGTATAATTTTTCATGCTATATTTGTTGAAATTCATTTTGCTATTGTTTTCAGAAGACCAAATGCAAAATCTATAGACATTCACATTCTATTATATGCATGTAGATATCATCATTAATTCTGGAAATATTGTAGAATATTTCATTGGCATATTTCGTTGAATTTTTAAATTACTCGATCAAACTTCAGCAACTTAAATCATTTATTCTTTTTTTGTATTTGTTTATTAAAGAGTCACATAAGGAATAGTGCGCACTCAGAGATGTTAGAAGTGGGTCTGAGAGTAGTTCGTGGACCAGATTGGAAGTGGGATAACCAAGATGGTGGCGAAGGACATGCAGGTACTGTTGTCGAAATTGGGAAACCTCCATCTTTCGGAAGTTCTGCCTCTAGTCCAAATCCCTCGGATAGAACACCAGATAAAACAGTTATCGTCCAGTGGGATCATGGATCTAGAAGTAATTACAGAATCGGATACCAAGGAGCATACGATTTATTGGTGTTCGACAATGCAGCTACCGGCGTTAAACACGCAAACATTATCTGTGATGGGTGTAAAAGACACGGGATAATTGGTATTAGATGGAAGTGTGCACAATGCTCTGATTATGATTTGTGCACTCAATGCTACATGGCCGATGTGCATGACTTAAGTCATACTTTCCAAAGATTTCAAACAGCTAACTCTGTAGGGTTGGTCCTTTAGAAATTATCATAATTATTTAATAATAATGTAACTGGATGTTACTTTATAAATGGTTTTTATGATGCATTGTATAGGATCCAAATGTCTCCAAGAGAAGGCTGTACTAAAATACCTTTAAAGGGAATATTTATCGGGGCAAAGGTTATACGTGGTCCAGACTGGGAATGGGGAAATCAAGATGGAGGTCGAGGTACTATGAATTTTGCTTTTGTATTATATTATTGTAACAATAGTTGTCAAAGTACAGAGCAAAGATTCATTTATACATAATCGTACCATGTCCGAGCGTTTATATGTATTAATTTATATACGATCGGAAACGGTCCAAGATATGTTTGTAAGAAATATGCCAGTCAGTTTGGAATCAGATGTTGTAGGGTGTAGGGCACACAGCAAAAGTCTGGAAAACTGATAAAATATCGGTAGCTAACATGACCGAGGCACGTCCGACTTTTGACTGATAACGAACATGGCACGGTTACGTATAATGGACCTTTATTTAATATTTTAGGAAAAACTGGCAGAGTTATGGACATACGTGGTTGGGACAATGGAAGTAGTCGTTCAGTGGCAACTGTGACATGGTCTAAAGGTAGCTCGAATGTCTATCGTCTTGGGTATAAAGGTTGCGTAGATTTGTGTTATGTAGAAGAAGCTACAACTGGTTCATATTATAAAGAACATCTTCCACTTGTTGGTCAACCAATAATGACTGTGTCTGATAATGGAAATAACGTAACACCAACTAGGGGTGGTATTTCTTCTACTGTGTCTAGTCCACGTCACTCAACATTTATTGTTGGGCACAAAATAAAAGTATCGGTTGACGTAGAAACGTTAAAAGAAATGCAAGAAGGCCATGGTGGTTGGAATCCACGTATGGCCGACTATATAGGAAAGGTACACTGCACAAAGATTGTTGTAATTGTATATAACATATTCAATTATCTACTTTTCGTTACTGCATTCAGGTTGGTAGAGTTCATCGTATCACGGACAAAGGAGATGTTCGCGTACAATTCGAAGGATGCAACAACAGATGGACTTTTCATCCCGGTGCACTTATAAATGTTACGAGCAAAGACACATTTTCTCTGGGTGACATAGTCAGAGTAAAAACTGATTTAGCTGCGGTTAAGCTATATCAAAGAGGTCATGGAGAGTGGATAGATGTGATGAAAAACGTGATTATTACAATGTGTTTTCAAGTCTTTCGATATGACGATTATCGTCCTTGTATCTAACAAGATAATTTATAGGCTCTAGGAAAGACTGGAAAAGTAATCAAAATATATTCGGATGGAGACCTGCGGGTTGCTCTTGATGGTTATACGTGGACATTCAATCCATTGAGTGTCAACCTTGTTCCTCCTGGAACCGAAACTGTTTCTCTACAGGATGAATCAAATCGGAGCAGAGACTGGTCGGGTATGTTTCAAACTTATTGATTGCATTAAATATTGTCTCGATATATTCATTATGCCATACTCGTTATACAGCCGATAGCGTAGATACAGAAGTTGAGAAACTATTACGAGATGCAGCCAGGGGCGAAGCAGGCGTATCTGCGGTTCAAGAGTTTCTCAAGAAATACCCCGGAAGAGTAGACGCCAGGGCTGGTGGTCCTGGCAGTGGCAAGAAAACATGTCTGCAAGTCGCAGCGCATCAAGGACAACGTGATCTTTGCATTCTTCTTCTAGATGCTGGTGCATCCCTACGAGCGGTAGACGAGGATGGAGACACTCCTCTTCACTACGCTGCATTCGGGTTTGTTGCAAAAATCTATCAGAGTCTGACCAATAACTCGAACGATAACAATGTTTGTGTTTCGTCATAGCAATCAACCAGATATAATGGAGTTGCTTCTGTCTCGCGGTGCACCGATCAATGCCATGAATAATGGCAAGTGCAGCGCCCTGCATGTCGCCGTGAACAAGAAACACGTGCTCTGTGTGAAGGTCCTGTTACGTCACCAATGCGACGTTAATTTGCAAGACTCGTACGGAGACACTGCGTTACACGATGCCATTGGAAAGGACGCCATTGGTAAAGACTTCTTGGACATAATCGACGCTCTGTGCTCGTGCGAAAGGGTCGACTTCACCTTGCGAAACAAACGAGGTTTCAACGTGTTGCATCATGCCGCCTTGAAGGGCAATGCTCAGTATGTATGCTTGCTTCTTTCGTCGATTGGTTTGGAGAGGCTTAATTACAGAAGTGTGCCCTTAGCGCGACGGAAAAATTAGTAGCGCGAGCAAGGCATCTAGTGGACGTGAAGAAAGAGGACGGCTTTGCGGCGCTACATCTTGCGGCCTTGAACGATCACAGAGACGTGGCGGCTATACTTCTTTCTCCAACTGGTGGCCACGCGAAGGTGGATTTACGAAATAACCGTCGTCAAACGCCGTTGCACCTAGCCACCTCGCAGGGTCATTGGGCTCTGGTGGAGTTGTTGGTGCATCACAATGCAGACATTACTAGTACAGATGCGGACGGTGACACGGTGCTACATATTGCTATAGTGAAAAGCTCGAATCAAACGAACGTTGTTCCTACGCCTGAAAGCTGTCGAGATTCGCCTCTTATTTATGCCGTAAGTTCATCTGTCTGATTGCATTGATCTTCGTCGTCCAAACCAGGGTTCTCACAATTTGTTTGTAGTAGTCGTTAATAAAAGATGCCCGTTGATTGCAGATATGGCAAAATTTAACAAGACAGGGTACAAAGACAGAATTGGCTTTGGCTTGTTTCTTGGTGAGCGTGGATAGAAGTTACACTCTTCTGGAGCATGTGAGGAACTCCAAGAACAAGACGCCTCTCGATCTGCTTGAAGCGGATCCACAGATTAACTCGTACGGTGATCTTTTGCGCTCTCACCAGTACCAGAGCCACAGTACCCAGTTAGAGTGAGTTCATTGTCAGAATTATAACTCTGCAAATATATTCACGCGTCTCGTTGCACTTGTTACAGGATAGAAAATGCTCCCGCCTCGCAGCCCGCTATGTACGAGATAGATCCAACGTCACAGTCTGAAGCAGTGCGTGGAACGAGGAAGGGTATACCCGGTTCTGGTGACGCCACCGAATGCCACAGTTGTTCCGGTACAGTAGCAAATGCTGGCAAGGAAGGGAATAGATTTAATCCTAGCAGTAGCGTCACGATTTTCAACTGTACGCATTGTGGCAATGGAACTGCAAAAACACCAGCGAATCAAGGTAATATAAATATGTATACATGTATACCGCCGTTCATAAACATAAGGACACTTGGTTGGAACGGATATTTTGCAAAATAATCAATCTGTTAGGTCGTAATATTTATTTGTTTGTCTTAATTAGGGGTGGATGGCCAGTCAGCGACGGGTGAGATAGCTCTGACGAAACCGGAAGACAAGGTAAAAGATGACACGCTGGACGATAAGAAGAAAGAGGAAGACGAGGACAAGGAAAAGGATAAAGATAAAGATTTAGAGCGATTGCGTTACCTAGAAACTAGAGTAGCCGATTTAGAGGAAGCAAATATGTGTAGCATCTGTATGGAACGTCGTCGTAACGTTGCCTTTTTATGTGGACATGGGGCTTGTGAACATTGTGCGGCACCATTGAAAACTTGTCATATGTGTCGCAAAGTTATCACGAAAAAAATTAATTTATACTAGACAATCAAAAATGAAACGCGTGGACGTATATACCTTCGTGTTTTTTTTTAAACAAAATATTGATTAAAAGTTTAAAAGGTATTGCAGAGTACACGATATTGGCCTGTAAAATTATGTTATTGCATTCAAACTAGCAGAGTATACACTTTTCTTTTTTTTTTATTTTTCTTCAATTAGGTCTTAATGCCGCACTAACGTTGTGCCATAATGGATAAAATCTGTGAACAAGTCGTACAGCAAATGACGTATTTAAGTAAATACAAGACGTCGAGTTTTATTTTTTTTTTTTTTTTCTTCGATTTTATAAAATGAACGTTGTTTCGCGTATTCGAACGGGTACGCGATGCATATTAATCGTGCATTTTCCTTCATTCCGAAGGGAACTTCGCTTGTTGTAAATCCCGTCCATTTTTTATTACCATTTGAAAATACGAGTATCTTATAAGAACGAACTTTCTTGTATTATATGTATTTCACAAGCCACTTTATCAAGTGCCCTGAGACGTTGCCATAACGAAATGGTGAATTTGCGCTGCATTTTAAACTAACATTTTGGACCTCTATTTTGATAAAGTCACACGTTAAATATCGCAAAACCGTGTAAATGAGTAAACTTCGAAGTTTTCGTACATACCGTACATATCGTAAATATCTTTACACGATATATATATATACATATATATATATATACTGTATATTATTTTAAATCTTAGAGTACGCGATGGTTTCTATTGTTTTGTATGTAATATCAATGTGACAGTAGCAACGGTATATAAGACTTAGTACGTACGTAATAAAGGATATCGAATGATATTGCTTCTAGCCAAAAGTAAATAGGTATACAAAAAATTACACTTACCAAGTAATTTATAAACAGTCATTTTGTGATTGAATAATAAAGAAAATAATCGATTACCGCTAAGAACAATTCTTCATTATAAACATGTGCCACGATGAAACGAAGTTTCCAGTACAAATTTTTCACAGATACAATTGTAAAAAAACGAGCAAATAGCAAAATTGGCACGTCATTATTATCCAATGAAAATAACAGTTCAAGCGCAGAACATAGGTAATAGTAAAATGTATCCTTATGTCGATATATATATATATATATATATATACATATATACTATGTATATGTATATATTTTATGATTTTTAAGTGAATTTTGCACACTTCTCGTTGATTATATTGTCTAATTTTATCAATGTATTTTTTTAAATTAAATTGTAAATTTTACGTCTAGATGAACATAATGTGTGTGATAATCCGACTCGTTGAAAGAACAATGATCGTTTTTTATAATAGTAGTTGTATTGTCGCGAAGCCTGTGTTGCGTGTGTAACTACAACAATTCGTTAATATAAACTATGATAGCATAATTTTTAAGCGTCGATACATTTCTACAATTTTACGTAATTAAAGACATAATTTAAATAAACAATTTCAAATATTAATAACTTCAATCAAAACTTCATATCTCTAGGCTCCTTAAATCATATATCCTTACGAACTAAAACAAAGTATATATTCCAAACTTGATGATCTCAACTAAAATATGTTTCAGTAGAATAAAACTAAAACAGCGTTGATGATTTTCTTCTTCTTTACAGGCAATAAACAGCGATAACAATAACAAACACTCAACAGACGATGTGACATTCAAACAAGACTAAAACATGGACTTCATCTTAGCTTAGCAAGCAATCTTATTTATTTTGGTACTCGATAAAATTCAATAATCATATGTTACAATATTGAGCCAGTTTGCAAAACTGTAGCGGTAGTAATGATAATAATAGTAATAATATTTTTTCCCTAAGTAACCTAACGCAATATACTATTATTAGATGATATTATATTATTTAGTACCTAGTAAACTTAAATGAATTTTGGCGTTGGAGCCATGCGATAGGATTATCTAGTTCTAACTATAGGACCATTTATCCACGTGCTTTGAGTTCTTTTTTGCCGAAGAACAATGCATGGTGATCCACGGATAGAGCAACCAAGCTTACAACTCAATTATTCGAAGTTAAAAATCCAGTCTGTTCTAATCTTTACATATACCAAAAACTGATATGGGATTGTTGACATTGAACTGACTGATCACTTTCATACGTCGAACTGTATCGATACGCAAAAGCACAAGGAATTAATGTCACCGTCGCAAACAAAGTAATACACTGTTGTATCAATGTCACTTTGTTTATTGTTTTTACAGAAACTTAATTATACGTATGCAAGTGACATCACAAAACGCACTTTTCGTATGTACATTCAATAACGTAACCATGAATCAATCAGTTCCCGCCAACAGATGCAAAATACGTTTACTCGTAAATCATTATTCTCGCAATAACGTTACAGTTATCGCAAGTTTCTGTTAATCGCGAGTAAACATTTTGTAATATTGCTTTTTATAGCGGTCTTCCCTGCGATTCGTAAAGTGTGTGAGTTTAAAGTTCTACTCGTGTCTACTAAATCTGAGTATACACCGATACCGACAGGATTGATAATCAATTGATCAAAGTGGCGATCCTTTTTCTTTTTCTTTTTTTTTTTTTCATTTTCTAGCGTCAGACATCTATCGACAAAACATTGTTACCGTACAATTTTGTCATCTACCAATATTCTTGCTTTTATTCGTCAATTCATCGCTCATTCACGATCGATACAATAGACGTACGCGTGCCGTCACACTGATTCATTCGTCGAGTGCAATTATTGTCACCTACGATCAAGTCCTGAGTATAGCCAAACACTGTTTTCCTTTTAATGCAGTTTAATTACTTTTACATTGTAACAGTTTCTATTAAATAGCATGAGTTCTCGAACGACGTGCACGTTTCGCCGTGATACTTCTCTTCTCTTTCTATTAATATAATTTCTATGACCGTGCCCTAGGATCGCACGTGTTCCATTATTAATATTGCTAAATTTCTTTAACTTTCGATCGAAGGTGTCGTTATTGGGACTGTACACGATCCAAAGGTTCAAACGTATACTTAAAACATTCGAAAGTACGCGTTATCGGTCAATACTGAGGATTATGCGTGTCGTGTGTTACGTGCATAACTATAGCGTTACCGGTTTAAAAACAGTCTCGATTCAATGGTAATATAGTACCCCGCGATACGTTCAATTGTATAATTCAAATGTATCGAACTAGAAGTTTTGTTGACTATAACAAAGTATAAATAAGATAACAGAAACTTGACTCTCGGGGGTACTTGGTACGTATTGAACGAAATAGTGTCTGCAGCGAACAAACACCTACGCGAAAGCAACCGAGTCCGCCGTTGCTTGAATAAATCAGTGCGATAGTTTACGAAACTCATTGCATGTACGATAGAGGAGGAAACTACTGTGCCAACAATCGACAAACGACTTGTTCAAGCCACAACCGGTTCCGGACTGCACGGTTGAAGCTCCGGCTCGTTTTGTGATTCTGTCGCGTTCGCAGTCGGATCGGGTGTCACCGCTGCCCATTGTGTAGTTCGCGGTGCTGCCCTCGCCTGTCGTCTAGCTTTTCTCTTAGCACGCCGCTGTTCCATCACAAGACGTAGACGTCTCATCTTTCCTTTAGTCGCTTCGTTTTCCTTCGATAATTCCTCTGCGCCAAAAATTAATAAAATTATTAAAACATGTCGAGTTATTTTCTAATTTCACTTATGTAGCCTTCAAACCCATCCCTTATTATATGCGTTAAATTATATCAAATGTTTCAGTTTAACATATATATTTCATTAGTTGAATGTTATAAATGTTAGCGTTCAAATACTTTTGCGTTCGAGTATATATACGAATAATAAAACTGAATGGATAATATGCTTGTCTGTAACGGTATTAATTAAAAATTTTATAATTATTTTCCAAAAGGATCCGAGCAGATTTTTGTAAATGTTCGGTTTCAAATTAGATAAATTTTTTGCTCGAGTTCACAAAATTGTTCAATCAACTCGCCATATCTTATATTATACCTATTTCATCTAAACGCAATAAATTTTGCAACAATCTGCGATAAACGAGTCAAGATAAGTTTCCACTTAGCGACATTCTTCAAAAACCGATGACAAATTAGAATTTTTCAGGGATGAGTAATCCGGTTAATATGATATAAATTTGGTACTAGTAGAATATCCAGGCGCAGAAGAATCGTGACAACCAATGGACGTCGTGGCACTGTTCACGGTAGTTGTCGTTCCAGTGGAGGACGGAGACATTGAAGATTGTTGACGGCCACTCGAATGCCTGTGATGATGCCTATAGTAACCTGCCGTTGCAGCCGGTGTGGTACACAGTAAATCATTCAGAATATGAATGATAGTACTTATATCTCGTTTAGGACGACCGTGTCTATCTTGAAGAGCTGGATTTAGGGTTCCACTAAACGTACCAGAGTATACGCCTTTTCCATGATGATGCATACTCTCTATTATTGCACCTTGCCTGCGTCTTGCATTTTCCTGTATTCAGAGGAGGCACATTACACTTATTAGGATTCATCGCCGTTGAATAGATTTATTCGTAAACTAATAATCTAGCTAACACAATAAACGTGCGATGCTCGTTGCAGCCAGTCAGTTACTCGAATTCTTTAATAGCGTAACATAACAAAAACGTATATAGTAACAGATGGATATATGCTTGAAAATTGGGACTCCAAACCAGGCGTTTATGGAGTAAACGAATGGATTTTAATTATAGAATCAGCTTGGAGAAAGAAGTCCTTCTCAACTGTCGAGCTTTATATCCATATATCCAACGTTTACTGTAATCTCTTCTCGAATATTGATTGGAATAAAGTGAAAAGTTAAAAGGCCAACAGGTATCGACAGAATCATGCACTCTGCTCGATAATCATGCCGCATTTGTACCGATGCGATTAGACCTCGACAATGATAAAATATTAATCGCATCGTGTGCCATGCACACAAAAATAAATATCACGTCTTACGCCGAACGAATTAATTATAAAAAACATACGCTTAAGGACCTAAGAGAATATGCGAATTGTTTCACGGTAGGAAAGCTATAATCGTCATGGATAAAAACATTGTTCATTTTTCGCTTAAATTTCAACGAAGCAGAAAATTATCGAGTCGCCTCGATTTTTACCGTCTCTTAAGGCCTTAATAAATACACTGCTCTAAATATATACGAAATAGTGGTACACAGGGGGAACTGGCATCGGTAATAATGTATACCTCTGCGAGGTCGACCCGCGAGGTGAGTACCTCAGAGGAAAGCTGCTTCAGTTTCTGCGTCAAATTACGGGACGCCTCGGCGAGCGCCCTGGTGTCGAGGGTCGCGGCCTTCGTGTTCTGCTCCGCCATGTTGGAGATAGGGCTCTGCAGGCTCGAGTCCCCGTCCGCTACGTTACTCCTGCACGTGTCCGCGGCGTTCGCGGACTGTTGTTGGCCGTGATGGTGAGCGGTACACAGTTTTTTCCTCGGCGGCGACGGCGAAGGTGGTGACTGCGAGGTGTTCGGGGACGTGGTGGGTTTGCTTCTCGAATGATGATGATGATGATGGTGATGGTGGTTGTAATGATGATGATGGTGATGGTGGTTGTAAGCATGGTGGATGTAATGACGGTGGTCGTAAGCATAGTGATACAGAAGGCAAGACTGACACGCGGTGGAGTTGCTGTTAGGCGATAGGGGGCAGTGATTGCTGCCGGTGCACGGGGTCTGAGACTGGCTGGCGCAGAAGGACGTATGCGGCGGACTAATAGGCGAGTAGGACGTCGAGGAAACGGAGGAGGCAGTGGTCGCGCGACTCGAACAAATAGGACTGGTCGTTGTCGTCGCCGTGGATAGGCTGGTGCTGCAGCTGGCGGCGGCATGCAACGCCGATACCAGGCTGCGTATTAGGGACGAGGTACGCGCGGTCGCGGTGCCATTTTGCAGTTTCGTCGAAGCACTGGTGGTCGAGCGGGCGGCCAAAACCGTGGATCGTCTGCTCTGCAAGGAGGTCGATACGTGACTGGCGGGTAGATTCGATCCATTCGAGCTGTTCCCGCCGATGGTCAACCCGGTCGTGTTACTGGTCGTTTGATTAGCAGTCGGCGAGGCCGGCGTCACCGTGGACAGTTGCAGTTGTATCAGCATCATGTGATCGCCTAGCCGCATGGTGAGATTCAAAGGAGCTTTGCCCGACAGGAAGTCGTTCACCTGGGAATCATTTAGGCTCTCCAGTGCTTGCATCACGCTCTGCTCCGGTCGTTGTGCCTGAAAATATTTATATCAGTTAAGGCTCATGGTATAATTAGGCTTTTGTCGCTACCGCGGTTGCCCGTTATCGGTTCGCATTCCTTTCGTCTTTTATCTTTTGAAATAGGATCTGCGAGCAATCGCGTTAGATCGTACGACGCGGATAGTGGACCCTATCATCGTAGCAACTGTAACTTTACCAACGGAAACGCGTGACACGATTCAGCAAAGTGTCTTCCGCTAAACGGCGTTTAAATACTTTCACCGGCTAAAAGGCGTTGCTCCAATGAGACGAGACGAAGAAGCCATAGAGAGGAATGCCTGGATTAACCATCGACACGGACAATTTTATGGCTCTTGTTTTAGCAACTAAATCTGAATCAATGCGAGACGAGTTTTCACGTCGTTTCAAAGAAACGTTCATCGTCCAAGTGTCCTAACCACACCAAATGGGAAGCTGTATAGTGGTGGAGTTTCAACGAGGATGGGATTAAAAATGTAATATATCATCCTTCTTTGTGGCTGGCGCGTCGATACCGTGTCGATCTCTTTAAAGCGATTAATGTTCCTTATCGAAAAATCGTCGCAGAACTCAAAAGAATCCTCCCCTGTTCGAGTCTCCGTCGAAACTCTGAATACCAATAACGGTTCTTTCACTCCCTGTCCGCCTATTCATCCACCGGCAAGATGAGGTTGAATCGATGAGCCTACGACGAAAGATGGAAACGCGAGAAGACCTGCAGAAGAGAGGAAACCTCGCGGAACCGCGGCTCAGACCCTCGACAGCACAGCTAGGCATCCCTCTGTACACCTAACGGACTTCCTTTACACTGACGGTCATCATATATTCGGTAATTCGATTTGCACGCACGCTCATTTTGTGGTGAATCTGAGCTTCGACGAATGGACCTGCTGTACTGCCTTGAATCGCGTACAGTGCGAGACAAAGTGATTGGACAACACTTTACATATTTGCATACTTCATATGTATCCAAAGGAAGAAAATATACATGTACAAAGCGATATTTAACAAGAAAAAAAAATTTAATCTCGATGGACCAAACGGTTGGAACTATTATTTACTCGTAAAAGAATTAAAATGTTGGGAGACAGGGTTGTGATAGAAAATTCGATTGATACGAAATTTTTCTACCGTTTGTCCTCTTCGAATGAGTACCGATATAAAAAGCGTCGGGGCTAGCAAGAAGTTCGAGAACCCCTGGCGAAGCTGCGGAGCGACGTGAGTGCCGTGACGACCGTCGAGGAAGCCGATGGCGCCACGCTCGAAGCGCAACCTGCTATCAGCCAGAAATGTACTACACCATGAATCGTAAATGCCGGGTCCGTGCCCCTCCGGGACGCCCCTCCACCGCTCTCTTTTCCTACGCGTGTCGCTAGTGCACGTCTAGCCGGTGCCGACTGACTCGTGTCGTAGGATAAGGAAAAAGTACACTGGCGAAAAGAGAGCTTCACGCAGCACCGGTGGTAGGGAGTCGCGCGCACACACACTCACCACGTGTCAGCTGGAAATGCTAGTAAAGATGCTAAGTAGGACATAAACGACGAATTACATTAATACTGACAAGTAGCGTTCTTACGACTGAGTCACTCCGAGGTGGGGAGGTATCTCACACGTGCGAACGAGTTAAGCACTTTAAAATACATTAAAAATAAACAGTTTCATGGTAGAAAGATACATCATTATGATACACGACCAATGCGGAATAATAAATTTCTATCGCAGAACAATATAGAAATGCGAGAATATTTTTAGCGAGAATACACCCATACGTCGTCACTCCGGTGGCATTCACCCTTTGAAGGTCATCTAAAGATATATACGAAACATGCTTCGTTCCAAACAACCGAAAACATTGGCCGAGGGGCAAACTGTCGCCGGGAGTTCGAGGTACACCTGAGAATCGTGACACAACTTCTCCCTGTCTCGTCGAAACGTACGTGACGTCATCGCGTTATGGTTTTCGTTGTTCCAAGGCGACGCAATTCGAACCATTTAAGAGCGTGACGCGTTTTTTATTTAGCGAACGATCAGCTGCCTCCGTTCTCGCTTAGCAACGCCTGTAACAATTAATCGAGAGTCGACCGTAGAAACGATATATCAAAGCGACGTCGCATGGCACCGAATTATCATTTAATGCCGCTTTTGGACGCTTCCCACGTACCCTAGAGATAATGCGAAAGCGCGAGGTGCTGCTGCCGGCTGCAGAATTTCCATAGACGATCGATAAAACTTCCTGCCGAGGCATTTTAGAGTCCGTCGCTGCCTATCAAAGTTTGAACCTATTTGATGGTCCAATACCGTCAAGCGGATCGACTCGACTACGCCGTGACTTTCCTTCTACGCAATAATCGATTTCGTTCTTAACCCTTTAAAAATGCGACACCGTTCGTCGCTACCAGTAAAGAGTGTCAATGTACTGCAGAATACTATAATTTATTCATGTAATCGAATAACAGTTAATACATTGTATCCAGAAAATTTCGTTATATATCTTATCGATTGTTCTCAAGACGAATTAAGACAGCTTATACTCCTATGTTGTACTATACGACTATTCATAGTTTACATCGTTTTATGTAAGCCTTCGTGCATACAAGACATGCTATTATATAATTCCAGAAAATGATTTACTCAGCCACCTGGCTTTGACGCGATCTACAAGTGTAATAATTTTCATAGCGTAAACGTCGAGAAAATAGAATTCCAGGGAAAGTACTAACAAACGAAACAAGATCGGTCGATCGGCACGTCGATCTCTCTGTTTCACATCGAAGGGTGAAACGATTTTGGGTCTCGTTTGTATTCGAGACCAAACGGGCGGAACAGTCGCAAAAAAGGGGAGCCGAAGCAAAGAAGGAACTCGAGATGCGTGTCGATTGGGAAGCATTCTTAGTCAGAGAGAACCGATCAGGCTGGCCAACTGTGTCGTGCGAAACTGGCGTAGGTCTCGCCCCGTTTCTCCGTAACCACCCACGAAAGAACGACGCGTATATACCCACTAGCGCTGATCGTGGCCGGAGCTCGCTACATATACCTACACACGAGCGCACTTTAAAATTGACTGCGGGTGACCGAGACTCGAGCGGGCGGTCCCCTTGACAGCCATGCGAACGAGCTCGGTCGCGATAAGGACCCGTGATGCGCTGTTGCCAGTGCCTCGAGCACAGGTTAGACTCTATTTCAATGAGAGAGAGAAGACCGTATCCTTTGTATGCGCGTGCACCGGGTGCTCGGACGAGCTTCATTTTTATCGATTCAAATCGGATAACCACGCACAGATATCCTTTAAAGTATATTTCTTTCGGCCACGACACACGTCCATCTAAAATCAAGCAGTTTGGGTGTACCGTTCGATCGGACAGGAAACGATGAAATCGTGGACCGTGATGCTCGATGGATGGCATTTATCGAATCGACGACGATGTCCAGCAGTCGATCGTCGCCAGGATCGACAAAGAAAAATATATGACGTAATAGTACCAGAAAATAAAGCACCGACGATACGATGACCGAGAAACCAAGTGACCCGATGATACACGAACGGGCAGAGTTAACGGCGTTTGTCCGGATCGCAACTCTGCACGTACGTTTTCTGCCTCTTGTGAGAATTCCTGTTTCACGCACATCCTCTACTGCGAAGAACGGTTTTCAAGACGAACCGCATAGAATCCGGGTTGTGATCACGGATACAACAAAAGAAACACGCCTTACGCGTTCGGTGCGTCATTTCTGCGAACGAGCTAACTCGATGACGGTTATCGAACGATATTATCGACAGATACGCTTCGACCATTGAAAACAATATCTATTAGAGAAACTATCCTCTGGCTATTTTTACGAATCTTTTCAAACCCAATTTACACGAACAACGACAAGAAGTAATCAAATTTCCATCGACGAGAGGATTATTGCGAAAAGTAAACGACCGCGTTGGTTTTTTCTTGTAAAAAGTAAAAAAAATACGACTTACCAACAGGCCGGTTTCCACGCTCGGTAATAACGTGAGACAACTGCCATCTTGTAAACGATTTTCTTCGAGCGTTCCTTCTCGCAATTGTCTAGAACATAAATTCCAATGTTTCATTAAAATGTTCTGTCAATGAGATTATTGTACACGTTAAACAGAAAGGGTGTATTAATCGCGTATTTCTGATAAACGTAAACTAATCCGGGATAATTGAGGCGTTGCCACTTATCATACAAAATACGATACAGTCATGTTTATTAAAAAAGTTTCTCGTGAGAAAAAAATTCATCCATGGTCGAATATTGTTCGTCAAAGATTTTTGTTGAAACAATCAATTTGTCCGGCAACATTACTGTTTCAGACTTTTTAACGCCGAATGAACTTTAAATAAATGGATATATTGAAACGAATGAATATTTATTATAATAGTGTATTTAAACGCTATGATGTTGACCGTTGCGCAGATAGTAACGCAGTGTCGAAACACGAAGGAATCTTGATGACATTGGCGTTCGTCACCGTGATCACGCTAAAGACAGAAAAAACAACGATAACAGCGGCACAATCCTAGAGATTAGGCAATATGATAAGTCTTACTAGCATGACAGTCGGCATTCCATGAAACCACAAATAGCACATAAGAAATTGATATTGACTTAGCATATTGCGGAAGTAATTATGCAACTTCCTCTCCAGAAATTTCACTTCCATTCAAAGTAAGAATTTAGTAATATTCTTTGCTTCATTTCGTCATTATTTTTAGGAAAGTAGCATTAAAAATTAATATAATATACACATTTTTTTCTTACACTCTGGTATTACTTATTAATTAAGCAGCAACGAAAAAATAATTCAGGATTTAAATCTCTTTGATAATTTTCCATGATTTCTTTTTCACTTTTAAATTTTCGACTTCGTATTAGTGTTTAAAAATACATTATTACACATTCTCATTTATTTCGGAATCTATATTCAGCGGAACACTTCTATTTGCATTTTATAATTCAGCTGTTGTTCTGGATTCTTTATTGTTATTCTGCGACTACGTGCGAGTTACATACAAATATAACTTTTGTAGACATTAGCCGTAAACTATACACATACTGTTCAAGGCGAAGAAATATATAAAAATTAATCAATAATGTTTTAAATATCGATATTATTGTAAACATAATTATCATTCGAACCTATTCTTTGACCAATTTTCGTCCATTTGGACGTTTTTAAACATCATGCTCACAAACATTGAATTCCTATGTTTATTTCGCTTACGTTGAAACGAGGTTTAAAATACGAATTAGACCTGATAAATTCATACGAACCCACTCCACGCGACAACACGTGGCACCAGCACAAGCCCTTTTCAATCAACGATAAACAACGAAAACATCTTACTATCGCACTATAGTTCGCTTGTGTTTGGCACATACAGACGTATTTCACAAAATAGAACTTTACACTTGTTTACGTAAACCGAGTGAGAGTGAGGCAATTATCATGTATAGAGATTGCACGTAGGATCAAACGTTTTGACGGGGGAAATGCATAAGGATCTACAGGATTGATTGCTCTGACGCGTTTGTCACGACTCCAGTTAGGACGAAAACGCATCCACTATGATCGTAGCCTCATGCTACTGTTACGCAACTGTAAATATATGATGAGCTCATACAATAAATCCCAAAAATCCAATACCTAATATTGCATAAATTATACCAATTATACCGTCAATTTTAATGCGAGATTCCAGAGGCCAAAATAAGACGAAAATCAAGAATATCAATTTCTTGACTGAGGCTTCATTAAAAAGTTATTAGAAAATTAAATTAAAAAACTTCAAATCATTCTGAAAAAATTATTTTCGGTTGCGGGGGTCAATTACAATAACTTTTGGTGAATAGACCTACCCTCGAAATCCTACTCACTTTCTAGAAAAAAATTCCGTACGGGCGAAACTTTAAACGTTAATGACTTCTTAACGAAGCCTGCATCAACAAATTAATATTCTTGATTTTCGTCTTATTTTGGCCTCTAGAGTCTCCCATTAAAATTTTTCCCACGAGTGGCCGAACATCCTGTATATGCACGTATGAGTTCAACGAATGACCTTAAACGACAAAAAATTCCACGGAAAAAGAACTGAAAATGAAACTAGATTTAAATCGGTCGCTCCTTGGTTTTTCCCCCAGTGGAAATCGATAGCTTCGGTTGAATAGATCGATTGAAAACGACGAAATAAGAAACGTCTATCAATCGATCACTATAGGAAATGAAAATGCGAGGGTGGCGGATCTGCGAGTTTTCACTCGCGGCCCCCGACGCCATTCACATAGACTCAAACGGGCTTAACGGTTTTCGTGAAGATCCTGGTACGATCGAGTCGCTGACCTTTACGCCTGTCCACAGTAAAAACAACAGTTCACGGTGTTACTTAACCCCTTGGCTGTGTAAAATGAATTAAATTTATTTTTACAATTGATACTTTCCAATGGAAAAACACTAAATATGGTATGATGTTACACGATGATCGTACAGTTGGAAGATTAAAGTCGTAGTTTCCCAGGAGCATTTGTTTCCGTGAAGCTTATCGCGTTCAGACGAGTCTACGAAAACAAATCATTTCGTTTGGATAAACGAACAATTCCATTTTGCGCGCGATAAATCACAAAAGAGGCGTTCACAATGGCTAGACCGTGACATTCGAATGTTAAAAAATCAAAAGCCGAGTGGTATTATTTTAGGCGTTCAGGAACCGATAGAATGAGAAAGAGAGAAAAGCACAGCCACGCGAACGGTCTAAGAATAAGCAACGTCTAAAACGAGGCAAATATAAATACATAACGTAAGATAGGACAGGAACATTCTTGTCTGCTGTACTATAAATATTATTCTCTCCTTGCTATCGTTCCTGAGGTCAAACCACTATCGTCTCGGCTTGTTTGCTTCGAATCGTACCGTTGTACCTGAAAAGGTACTTTCCAACAGTGACGTTCAAAGAAAGTTCATTTTTATCAACGCGTTATCTTAATTATCGAAATATAATATAAATTATATATTGTTTCAATCAGTTTTCAATATTCAATATTACATTGTTACTACAAGAAAATCATTCAAATCCTGACCATTGATCGATCACAACTAATAATCGGCGATCTTTACCTTTACGTGATGGATTTGTCAAACTGCCAAGAGATTCGTCGTGTCCTCAACAGATGACCATCGGTAACAAAAACGCACACAGATAAAAAAAAAAAAAAAGTTCACTCCTTATATGTGCAACGAAGATGACTAACAAGTATGAGACTCGTGATGACATACGCTGAATAGTAGCACGAAACAGTTAAGGTAAAAGTTACACCACACCGAAGGCTTGGGTTTTTCTTTCTTAAATCGAGTTACGAAGAGGACAACATCGGGAGACGTAACTCTAGAAAGATTGTATCCGAAAAAATCACAAGTTCCGCTAACGAATTTTAGCTCCGATCGATTACTACTTTTCGTCGCGGAGACATGTAATTTTATTGCGTTTTACAGTTCTCTTGAAAAGATACTGTGCATCACCAGAGACGCACGTGATACGGAACGCCTTAAAGCAGTGATGCGCAGAAATGACTCGACTGGTAGCGACGGATCGGATTTCGTGCGATCAGCGATTAAAGCGATGAAAATAATCATTGTGTAAATGTCTCGTGGTAAAATTCGAAGCAAAGGGGCTTCGGGTTAAACGAAATACGTTAGCGTCGACGAATTTCAACAGTTTTACTAAGAAAATGATACAAATACGGCCGAATCGGAGCCGTCGATCCATAGGTTTGCATTTAACACGATACGCATGCGTCCAAAAGAGCCGTGGAACGAAACAGAGAAAGAGACAAACAGGACGCATACGATGAACGATTCCCCGTATGCACGTGTCGCTCCCACCGCAAGCTGAGAAACGAACACATACGTATTAAATACGTGGCAAGGAACCGGAGTGTGCTACCTGCGCCTGAAACTGGCCCTGTAGGCTCGAAGAAACAAGTAGCGATGGGTAGAATTCGCTTCTCTTCTAACCTAGTCGATCCGACGATATTTAAAAAGTCAATCGATTTATTTAATAATTACTAAAGACCCGAAGAATTTTGTCCTCGTTATATTTAAAAATGTTTATTGTAATAAATTTAAAGGTTATCGAAGAATTTTTGAGATTTCTTAAAAACTTCAAAAATTACAATGCAAATTCAATTACTACAAATATTTTTCAACAACACTGATTTCACGTAACGTTTGAGATCGTTCGAAACATCCCATATATCATCTGTCTGATCTTGAAACATTTGTTGATCGTCTACGCATAATTCCCTGAATCTTTACATCCCCTGGCAGTTTCTTGGATTTGTATATTGTCTGCGACCACTAGATGTTCGCTGCTGATTCTCAGTGATGGATTTAAGACCGTTCGTACCACTTTAAACATATCTTTTAAGCCTTTCAACGTTGTCGTTTATTGAAATAATATTTGAAGTGATTGTAATCTTTATACAACGGAATGATCCGGAAATTCGCAACGGAGAGAATCAAATGCCCATCGCTGTTCGAGATACACGAGATCAAGAAACAGAGGGCGGGGGACGATGAGAAGGGAGGATGAAGAGAGAGAAAATTCCAGCGATGTGTTGCGTACGGGAATAGCCGGCCCCGTCGTCGTCGTCTTTTCCGTCCGACTGTTTCTCTTTCTTCTTCTACCTCTCACTGCAGAGGGCTGTCACTGTTCCACTTTACGAGTACGCGATTCCCGAGATATTCTACCTACTACACCACCTCCACCACCTCCTACTCCCAAGTCTATGGTATGCCAACCTTCCTCTCCACTATGTCTCTCTCGCATGCTCGTACGAAGGAGGAGGATCAGTCCGTGCGGCGGCCCCCACGACGCCTACGAATATTATGCCCACTCTCTCCTTTTCTTGTGTCGCATCGATGCTGTTTTCGTTCTTTCTCTTGCACCTCTCAACTTTTAAACCGTGCACAGCAACGATCATGCATACGTTCACCTATCAGGTCTTTTGTTTTTTTTTTCCCCCCTCAAAAATTGTAGAAAGTATCAAGTTTAACACACCTTGCGACTGATTCGCGAGACAAAATTGAACGCAAACGATCAATCTACGAAACGTGAACAACGCGTCATCGATTTATCGAAGATTTGAAAACACTTGATTCGAACCTTCACCCCCTTCCTTTATCAAGAACCAACAATCAATCAACTTCTTTTAATTAAGCACCACTCGGTTTAATATTATCCCTAAAGTGAGCGATCTTATAATACATACATAGATCCAAACACAATACCAACCTTTCACGATGTAGTAAACAAATGCGTTCCTTGGCGACCTTCAGTCTCTTCGAGATGATTTTCTTAAGGTTTTCAACTGTATCGGTCCGATCGACGGTAAGATCAAACTGTCCACCGGTGGTTGGCGTGATGCTGATAGTAATTTCGTCGGGCTCGAGGACAGTAGCGGCGACGCAGCCACACCCCGGCTGCGGTGGTGACGAGGAGAAGGAGGAGGATAACGATGACGACGAAGACGAGGAGGTCGTAGGGAGCGGAGAAGCGGAGCCAGCCCTTATCGAGCCCTGACCACAATATTCCGGTTGCGACGTAGAATACGTAGCCGTGCTGGAGGCAGCGGTAGAAGATGCGGTTGAATCGTCGATATCTCGTCGCACCTTCGATCCTTCATCGTTTTCACTTCCCATTGCCGTCGTCACGTCTGACGGCGGACCTGTAGTACCGTCCATTCTGCCACGGCAACTGCTAACGACACCTTCGAAACCGTGCCGCCGACTCCGCGCACGTACTTTGTTCCAGCTCACGTCTCTGCGTAGCGTATGACTATATGCACGCACGCACCCGCACCTGCGCTTCCCGGCGTCCTAGCTGTCCGACACGCGCTCACTGCGTTGCACGAGCGCAGTATCGGAGAAGGTCCGACCACGGTGTCTTCGGGAACGCGCACGCCACGAGGAACGACACGGGGAGACACAAGACAGAGAAGAGAGAAGAGAGAGAAAAGAGAGAAGAAAGAGAGAGACGGGAAAAGAGAAACGGACACGGTGAAGAGATAGGTAGAGAAAGGGGGGAGGGAGAGAGAGAGAGAGAGGTGGAGTTATACGATTTGGAGAGCGTGTTGCACGATTCTCTTTTACAAGACCCTCGACACGTTCAGGGATCTTTTTTACGAATTGTTTTCACAAAATTTTTTACAAAGTTTTTACTACTATCGTTTTTTTACACTAGCACTGGTTTTATTTCTCGTCACTCTGTAGAACACGTATGCCGATGCGATTCCTTTTTCCCCCTATCAGCAACCTTCTTTATTCTTATCTACTTCACACACACACACACACACACACGCAAACACCGTAAATCGTCCACCCTCGAGCACTCGACCCTGCGACTTGCGTCCAGCAACTGAATAGGCGATAGCCCGGACTCGGACTTCTGCTAGGTTCGCAGACCCGGCCGAGCTTCCCAACCGATCAACGGTCAACGAACATGGCGGATCGAAAACGACCGAACGCCATTCGTATTTGAACAATGCGCGCGTTTATTTGTAAAGCTAGTTGATGTTTGAAGTTGAAATATTTGGAATACGATTTTGCACAACGGACACTAAGCAAATGTACGTAAAATAAAGCCTCTAAAATGGTATACTTCCAATCTGAAAGAATTTAAAACAATGTTCATGTTTTTATAATGATACTATTAATATATTCTAAATATTTTTAAAATAGCACGCCAGACTTGAAAATAAATTGTTTACTATTTACTGGTTGAAAAGTATATTTTACCGAGCCTTAGTCGACCAACGTAACTATAAAGTATTGATATCTTTTTAAATTTAACAATTTATTTCTTTATAAATACTATAAGGATACTTTAAGGATAAATCGAAGACCTGAAAAATAACGTAATATTAGGATATGAATAAACGTTTTTTTTTATATATTTTAGTCTTTTAGTTTTTCATCATTGTTAATTTTATTACACATTCTTATTGACCAGCAATCAAATACTATATGCTCTGGCGATGCCTATTTAATGTGATCTACACATAACAAATCACAAGTATATCCTTAAAGTAGAAAATGATTTTAACTACATTTTCTTTCATATACATGTATGTCGCATGTGAATATGTGGATGCATATATATGTGCGCGCGCGCGCGCGCTTTTGCACTAAATTTTGCAATGAACCAGATACATTTAACATTCACTACTGGTACAGGTTGTACGAAATGGTGAAAAATTGTTAAGTATCAAAAATACGTTGCTTTAGTTGAATAATAGCTTAATGTAACACCCCAAAAAATGATATTCCTCTACTTCCCTTCTTGACAGTACTGGAAGAACATGTATTGATACATTATAACATTTAAGTATAATTGTAAAAACATGTCAATTATATTAAGGCCTATGTCGCAGTGTCCTGGTAACGGTTTCACGTTTTCATCGTATTTTATAAAAAAACATTGATATCAAAATATACAGTTATTATGCACTACATTTAAAATATTAATATACACAATACTCGTAAATTTGTGCAATTCTAATAACAGAATACATATAATACATACATAGTGCTGTACACTGCATATGTTGTCAAATATGGATTTGACAGTGAATTATTTTAATTATTAGAATATAATATATGCGTCCCTTGCATTTTGGTAAGTATCATCAAACGCAAGGGACACAAAAATTCACGATCCAAATTCTTCCGTATCCGCCTCGATATCTTTGAATTCGTAACTTCCCCTTCCGTCCATTTGTAAATAATACTGAGAGAAAAATAAAAATTAGACATTTCAAACATTTAATAAAATAAATAAAAAAAAAAAGTTAATATCACTATACCTCGTGATGTTTCCAAAGCGATCGCCGATGTGAAACTGTAAATAAAGTAATATTTGCCTCCTTACAGTATGAATACATAGAATCTTCGACGTCAACGCTTACGGCGCTCGTACATTCATCCAAAATCGCAAACTGTGGTTTGTGATAGAACAATCGAGCCATCTATATAAAAATGTTGATCACAATTAAGATCATAAAATATATTGCAGCACGTACACTATTATTATGGATAAGTACGAAAAAAAAAAAAAAATATTACCGCTATACGTTGCTTTTCGCCACCTGATAAGACATCCATCCAATCGGCTACAACATCCCAACCTTGTCCCTCGGTATTCGTAACATTCTCTCTTTCCAGAAGGTGGCTCAACTGAACTAAATCCAGTAACTTTTTCAGGTCGTCATCCGTCATTTGTCCGCGTCTTACCATTTCTTCCTTTGTATGCGGATAAATTACTTGATCTCTTAGAGTTCCCAAAGTCATATATGGACGTTGCGGAATGTAAAATAATTTTCCACGCGGTGGTTTCGTAACTGTTCCGCTCCAAACTGGCCACAACTGTTTCAAGAGTTTCATACAGTTACGAATTTGCATATAAATAAGATGTAATCATTGTTTAAAAAATATAATAATTTACCTCTCCAAGAATTCTGAAAAGTGAACTCTTTCCACAACCGTTTGGCCCGCATACCAATACATTCATTCCAGATTTTACTTGAAACGACAGTTCTCTGATAAGGATATCTCCGTTCGGTGTTATCAATGGCACGCGATCGAAACATATAACGTTATCCCTAGTCACGATTTTTCCTTCGCCTGGACTTCCAATTGGTTCGTCTTTAAAGTCGGAAATCATTGTCCTTGTATATTTTCCTGAGTTCAAGTCATCGAGAACAACTTTTAATTCCATGACTCTCGCTGTAAATCCTGCCAGCCGTGTCATTTCTCTGCCAGCTAAAACTAATCTGCCTATAGCTTCAGCCAGTTTTACTAACATTCGGCCGTAAGTATAATAACTCTTAAATCGATGATCGGGAGTTCCCGACAATATATGATGATCTTTTTGAAAGAATGGTATGCTTACTGCATAGAAACCAACTATTGTTGCCATATCTAAAATAGAAAGGTTGTAATAAAAATTTATTGTCATGATCGATAAGTAATTACACACTGATGAATATTGAAGCTCACATTTGCCAATGAAATTATCTATTACTCCTATAAGAGTTTTAAACTCCAAACACTTGCGTAGATGCGTCACCTACGGAAAACATTGTTATTATATTATATTGACAGGCGTTAAGTATTTAAAAACTGCTTAACACGTTTACTACCACACGTCCTATGTCTGTGACGCACTGATTCTCGTAACAGTTTCCTATTACCTATTTTATATCCGCATAAACAAATTAAGGCTGGACTGTCTACTATTGTCACATTATGTAGAATATCACATTGAAAATATTCAGTTGGATTATTCACTATATTTAATTCCTACAAGATTAAAAGCATGCACTATATTGAATCAGATTACTACAAATATATCGAATAATGGTAGCGAACGTGTTAATGCACATCATCGGCCATTTACCAATTTATGGAAGCTAGCTAATAAAGTTAATTTTTCTCTATTATTTCCTTGATAAAATGCGATTTCCTCGGAATTTGTGATTAACCGTGAATTGATATGACGATATTCGCCTTCAAGTCGTTGTTCTTTTACTGTCATTGGACCAATAGGCTTACGGAGATGGGTTAGTACAATACCAGCGAAAACGAGGTACGAGAGCATAAATACTGGTGTCTGTAAAACATGACATACATTAAACAATGTGAACGGATATATAATAAACATATACTTAACACACCTGCCCGCCAAGATTTGTTGTGAGCCTGTATACATAGATAAAAATATCCAGTAACGGTTTTGCGACGTTGCTGTAGAGATCTGTGCAGCTGTCGCAAAATTTGTCGACGTCGGTAGTCAGAAGCTGATCTGGATTTGCTATTCGGCTATCTAAATTGCTCATCTTGTAGTACGTAAAACTCCTGCAATAATTAGAAACGTTAATTGCATTTAAATTATCCTGGAAGTGCAATACAAAAGTGTAATAACATTTTTTTGTCGATCGTTTCTTGCGTAATACTTTGCAAGTCATGGTTTTATAGTAAGCATGTGCATATGCAATTGACTTGCTTAATTGTCATAACTTGTTTTAATCGATACAGAAGCATTGTGTTTAACTTACTTAAGATACTGATCCAGTAAGTCTCGCGTGATATTTGTACGCAACCTCAACTTCATTTCGTATATACCATATTTCAGTACGTTGTTCACAACAGATATCTAAATAAATATAATCATGGAAGATCATATCAATAATTTCTTCCAATTGGTAAGAAAATATAGCTGCTTGGCAGCCTGAACGAAAAAATTTGATTAGCAGCCTATGAAAGCAACTGTAGCCTGATCATTCACCAAACACATCCACTTACCAGAGGCAATACAGCCAAAAACTTAATCAGACGCTTTTTAAATAAGGATGTATCCATATTAACGATTGACCTAAAAAAAAAAAAAGCATAACCTGCAAAATTTTGATATGACTCATGTAATTTTATCAATGCTGATAAGAAATATTACATACGATTCGATCAAAGTGCTTATATTAATCATCCAAAGGTCACAGAGAGATCTTGCAACCAGTGATGTCGCAACCAGAACAACAAATCCAAATTCAGCTGATACAATCGAAGGTATGCCAATTCCAAGCAACTGACGTAGTTGCTTGAAAAACCTTTTGTTAACATAAGCTTTTGGACCCTTTGGCTTTTCCTAATAAATATATTATTTTTATAATTAACCACTACAGCTCGTTTAGTTATAAAGAGTTTTTTTCATTATTACCTGTTTAATAACATACTGAATGTCATGGACGGGCCACACGTTTCTGTAAGAAACAAACAAGTGAGTATCCAATATTTCAACGATTAGTCGAGAATCGTGTATATGTGTGCGCATAGTTTACTTGTTCTTGACGATCTGTTTCCTGCCTCTTCTTTTTAGGATCCATATTAACGCAGATAGAGCACATGCACCAGCTATCGCGCGTTTTGTCGCGAATTTACTGATTGCTGGCGCCATTCTTCCAAATAAGCGAGATCAACAAAAATTTCACCGTCCTGGACAACGGTCTCGACTCTTCTGCGTCCGCCACTTTCGAGGTTTGCGTAGGTGAACAAGTGGTGGGGTGAGAGCCTTCCGTGAATCAGCTATACCAAGTCAGCAACGTCACGAGCAGTCGTTAACACTTCACAATAAGCCAAACCCGTTGTTTGTTCATTTACTCTACCTCGTCAATGTATGTATTAGCTTTGTCAGTCTCACCTATGTGCATAAATGTTTGTGCGCCATCGATAACTGATCAAAGTACAAGAACATAATTCTTTTTATATAATCTTGTAACAATGAAACTGAATTTAATCTGAAAATTTCTTAATTGATAAATTTTATTAAAATGCTATTAAACAATTCAAACTTGAATCCATCGTAATGCACGAACGTTTCATCGAAAAAACTTTTAACCGACAAAATAATCGTAATAAAACATCTTCTAATGGCTCTATGTATTTCTGTCGACATGATTTTATAGATGAAAGTGAAAATTTCGTGTATTAGAATATAACCTTGTAGAGGCCTCTACCTTGAGGATTCCGAAAATTTAATAAGTAGAAGGTCATTATCTACCGTACATTCCATACAGTCTTCCTTTATCGCATAATTATACTGTCATTACATTGATATACTGATACAACTTGAAAGAATGTATTTTCACTCAAAATAACATACTAAACATTAAAAAAAAGTAGCTTACATTCGATTTCATTGAACTCTCAAGTTTTTTTATGCTTAATCATCTCATGTTTGTTTAATTTCTATAGTTAGCGTCGAACGTTTCCGTTACGACAAACTGTACTGCCTTATGAATACCATGAAGTTCGTACAAAGCCGCTTTCAATAGAATAATTTGGGACATTTAACTTTCGAAAGAAAGAAAACCTTAATATACTTCTAATAACAGTATATTTAAACTTTAATGTGATCGAATAACAACATTGTGAACCGCATTAATTTATTCTTTAGCATTTTTTTCAATTTGTGGATTTTCTTTTACGCGTTACTTGTAAGTTCAATATACTATTTCATTTCATTTTTTCTATTTGGATAAAAACGTTCAGCTTATCTATTTCATTGAATCTGATAAAATTTGGGAGAACTGATAAACTTACTTACCGATTACTTACATTTATTAAAGTGTATGAAAACTTATGGTAAATAAAATCGATATTATAGATTGATTTGTAAACTTTTTACTTAATAAAAATTACCAAATACATGTAGTGTAAAACGTAAACATTAAAAACTTAATAAAATTCTGTTGTACTGGCGTTATTAACAATGAGATTTATTATGAATCAAAGCACCATACTATTAATCCGAAAATAAACCCAAACACGCTAAGTATCACCGAATCGTTATTCTTTTCTCTTCCTGTGAAAAATATTATCTACACTTACCATTAAATTATAATTTATATAATCAGTCTACTATCTTCTTCATTGTCTTTTGTATGAAATTCAACGAATTTCTGTATGAAAATTATATGTATTTATTATTTAATATTAGCATCTATCAAATGCTAAACGAACTATCTTTAATTTAATAGGGAGTCTTCTTCAATGAGGAATTTGCAAAGTATAATATAATAACTAGACAGTAGATTTTATGCATTTACGGTGTATGCTAATATAGAAAACATATAAAAATGTAATTTATAAATTAATCTTTTGAATTTCGAAAGACGTATAATATACGCCTTCGGAAAGTTCCCGCTTATTGATATACATATATATCGAAACGTGAAAGCACGCGTACATTGTTATAGTATTGAACATATTGTTACATGACATATGTATAATAACCAACGAAATGATTATATATTGAGGAATCTGTTTCAATAATTTCTTGTTTTTAATAACGCAATTCTGTCCCAATATCGCTGCTGCTTTTCATGTAAACATTGCACCGCTTAATACTGATGATTTTAAACATAGAAACAAGGTATCAAAAAATAATTCGGTAGAGCTTCCGTATTTAGACAATATCAATACAATTCTGTGCCTCGTCAGTACGAAAATTAGATGTGGCGATGAGCATCGTCTGGAAACAAAAACACAGAAAAATTAAACTTTCTGAAGAAACGACAGCCATTACAGACTGTTATAAATATTTATTTTGTTGTTATTTACAAACTTACTCGCATCCAGTTTTTGCCATGTATTCTGGTACTTGCTGTTTCACTTTTATGCTTTTAACCATATTTTTCTTGTTCATTTTCTTTGTTATTAGTTGCAACAAGTTGCAAAACATCAGTCTTCTTGAATTTATAAAGTGCAGTTCATTCAACTGAGCTGTTAAACAGAACCATACATAATTAATATTCGTCCGGCGGAATATTAATCTATAAATTTAATTATATTTAATGTAGAAAGAAAATGGGTTTAATTTCAGCGCGTTTGTCTGTCTGTACTTTACAGGTAACTTTTTAATACATTTTATTGCCTATCTTAATGCATTTTCATTGTCATCTTTCTCAAGTTGCTGATTACAATTAAATGCGTGCAACGTGAGACGTTAAGGATACCTTTGCTCGAAGAACTGTTCAATTCCAAGCGCTGAATATTCAAATACAAAGTGCAAATACGGCATTGAAATCTTTATTCCTTTTTATTTAAACAAGCGATTGAATAACTCTTCGAGGGGAAATAAGTCAACGAGAAGCGATTGAATATAAAAAATAAACAGATGAACGAGCAATGGACGACTATGAATTCAACGATCGACTTATTTAACAAGAAGGATCAACGTAATACAAAGCAATACATATCGATATGTTAAGTAATCGATATAAAAAAAAAAGCCAATAAAGCACTATTTTTCACTTGGCAATCGCGTGTTAGCGATAGTATTAATCACTAGCCATTCAACAAAATTGGGCAATGGTCGGACATGATGAAGTAATAGCAGGATCATAAAAAATGAAAAGTTTCGTATATTGAATGACCTTGCGTAAGAATGTTTGAATTTCAATGACGCAAAACTCGTATTATGTAAGAAATAATTTCAGTTCGTAATCACCTGTTTCGAAGTTCAGCGGACGCTTCCATGCCTCTCGTCTACTTCCAGTCATCATCCTCATCATCATATTCATCCTCAATCTCAACCTCATCACCATTATTCATCATCAACATCCTCATCATCATATAATCATCACTATCACTGCCACCACCACCATCATCATCATCATCATCATCATAATCATAATCATAATAATCATCATCATCATAAGCATCACCTTCATTCATCGAATGGACGGTAATCTGTATTGTGTAACTCACAAATGCTTCCACTCGGTGTGATTCAGTGCGTAGAACCACTCACTCATTCCCCCTTCCCCTCGTTGTCGTTTCACAAAGTAGTAAAATGTAGGATTAAAAATATTATGCGTGTAATAGCCGGTTCACGCAATTCATGTTGAGTCTTTAGGACCAAACTGGACCAATATGATATTTAACGTTTCTCTATCTCTTGTGGCTTTCAGGACTTAAAATTTTCAGTTGGAATGTTCTTCCAAAGTGTGATTAACGCTGCAATTGACTTCGTTAGGGTCTGAAGGTGCATAGTTATTCAGACTTTGATTAAGATGAAAGAATACTCCAACTGAACATTGTTTACACGCAGCTTCGAATAACATGCGTAGAAACATGGATCGCGAAAGTTCAAAGAACATACCACAATATTTCTGTAATAATGCGATTAGACATAAATTATATGACTTCCAAACACACTCAACCATTAACCATTTTTCTAAATTAGGTGCTTGGTATAATTTGCCTAATGTTTCTAACTTGGACTGAACTTTTAGTAAAAAATGGTTGAATTGGTTTGAAAGTTCTGCTCCTTATATATGGTCAAATTTGATACAGCATTGTCTACAGGTTTTCTCACAAAAAAACTCGGAAGATAATGATTTTGATATTTTGAAAACTGCAAGAGATACAACAAATTTGTCACTAAATGCATTACATATAGTTCTTTGAATCTTGCAATTTTCGTCTAAATCAATATTATCTGAGCGATTCCAGTTATTTGGACCATCCAGTAACAAGTAATAGCATATATTAGCATTCAAATATAGAAAGTATTGGCTCAGAAATAGATTTGATTATGTGTGAGAGATATGCGAGTAGCTCTCCAACGAGTAAAAGAAAGTTGTTTGACCGTGAGTGTCGTTAACTTCGGGTGAAAGACGTATGCATTATACGACTATTTAGCAAAGAAGAAAATAAGTAGACAAAGTAGGAATATATAAAATGTTGTTTCGTGTTTCGACCGATATCATGTATTATTTTGCAACCTATACTTAGCAGGTGAAACGTACGAGAATAAATGAATTAAATTAGTCTGCCATATTTGTAAAATTTTCTAATACCACACACGGTATTGGTCGAACTTAGAAGTAGGTAAATAACAAGCGGTCCAATGAAGGAGTTTAAAGAGTGTAAATAAACTATTACCAGTGTATCAGTTTTTAATCATTCTGTAATGAACTTATGTAATAAGAATCAATCTCTACCACCTATCAAAATAACATTCTCACATGACAAAACTTGATGTTATCGATCGTGATCACTCGGTATCTCATTTAAAACACAATCTTCATTATAATTTACAATAGAACTGCCTACAACAAAATTTATAACGTTCACGAACGACATTAATGCTCCTTACGTATATTTACACACTTCGTGGATCATTTTCAAATCGTTTCGCAAAGGCATCTTTTGAGCAACAGTTATTTTCAACTAACTCGTAAGTATTGTTCAGAGAAAGTATTTGACGAAAATTTTACAGCTCTTTCAATCAAAATTTATTTCGGTATAAACAATTGTACAAAACGAACCCGCTGAATCTCTACAGAAAGTTAGAATGTATTCGATAGTCGCAAACGATTTGAAATAGATCAGCCAGCTATAATAATGAGCTAGAAACGGTTCTAATGTCTGTTAAAAGTTGTCTTAAACTACAGTCTTTGTATATCGGTTATCATTTACAGCAGGACGTCAATAAATAAACTCGACGCACTTTCCATCAATGTTCTCTTTACATTATGTATAAACATTCTGGATCAATAAAGATATATATATATATATGTATATATGTGTGTATATATAATGTATATATACGCATATATATATATATATTTATGTATATAGCATATATCAGGCATTCAATAAACGACTGTGTCCCATCCATAAAATATTATTTTCGCAATTAATTATCGCTCGCCTCACAATTGTTATACTCACTCATCATATCAACACGTAAGTTTCTTTTTTCTCTTTTGCATCAGATACATATATGTTCTTATCATTAAACAGCAAAATCACTTCTCGATTAAACTTTCACGCCTGTAGTTCTGAGACGACCATTAACAAATACATTCAACCGCCATACGCGCACACACACACACGCACAGAGAGAGAGAGAGAGAGAGAGAGAGAGAGAAGAGAGAGACATGAGGTAAAACAATCCAATCTACATCGATTATAATATGATTTTCCTATTCTGGTATAAGAAATTTTATACTCTTAGAAGCATGAGGAGCTGGATGTTCTTAAAATATTTCACCAATCTGCGCTCCATGTACTATTATTTGTAAAAACGACTTCTGAGTGATCAAAATGACATATACTGACTTCCAAAACATAGTTGCCTGTATCAATATGATTGGCATTTGCTGTAGTCTTGTTCAGATGATGCTTTTCTATGTTTACAATATAAGGAGCATATACATAGTCGCACAGTTTGGTAAAATATTTTAAGGATACACGGTGTAAACGGTCTTCTTTATAACCATAATATAACTTCACTGATTAAACACTCGCACTAGTGATAATAATTGGTAAAATTGTATGCACGTCAAGTAGGAAATATTAATGAGAGTTCTATAATAATGCAATGCACAGAAAGCACAACAACACAGATGTACCTTTCTGAGAATTCATTTATATTCTTTTATAATGTGTACTCATAATTATTAGTCTGAAATAGTCGACCTAGATTAATTTCAGTGTAGCGTATGGTTAATGCTGTAATTAGAGTGATAACTCTGCACTTCCTTTCTTCAACTTCAACTATATAGGAGTTATTGACTATAATCGTGCATCATGAATGAAATGATTCATTATGATCTTTGGAAAATAAATACTTGACTCTCAATACGTTAAGTTACTCTTTTCTTTGTCAATTTGTTTGGAAAATTCCTTTATGCAAAAGCATGCCAAAAACTTGTAACACACTTTGCTCAATTAGAGTCTTTAAACACATGGACTGAAATGAGAAAATCAAGTCGATTCGAAATGCCACCTTTCACACGCAACCAATCAATGAACTTTTGGACGCATCATCCATCATACTCAATGTAAAACACAGTTCTCACATGAATCGTTCGTGTGCACGCACTAGAAACGTTTTTAAGGCGAAATTTCTCTAGAATTAATGGCATTTTAAATCTCGGGTAGCTGCGATCAATCTGCATGCAACTGCAACGACTTCACACTTATGCGCTCTATACATCCATATCCTTCACGCAAAACAAACATTACCTTTACTTCAAACGAGTTGCATTCCTGTCTCTTAAAAAAAGAAAGAAAAAAAAAGAAATAATAAAGAAACGACCAAGATTTGTTTGACTTGTAATAGCGATTACAAGATAGTTAAAAAGACAACAAATAAAAAAGAAACTAATATGTAAAAATCAATTTCATCTAACGTACGACAAGGTAAATGTACACTGAAACAAAACTGAAAACATCCAAAAATTCCAATTTCTTTTCGCCTTAGAGGCTTTGTTTTTTTTTTTCAGTTGAAACAAAGAGTCTAATTTCAGCAGGAACTAGTTACAATAATATTCTTTCTATACAAACCAAAACTCTAGATTCGTATACTAATAAAAAAAATGTATTATGCAATCGATCGAACAAGCGAATCGAAAACGAACGTTTAGGTTTAATCATTTGTCTAACCTTTCTTATCGACTATTTCTTTCTCTTACCCTCGTAGCCGTAAATATTTTATCTTCGAGATGAATCACAGTATAATAATAATCGAAAAGGTTTATAATTGCTGGTGATAACTGGATTAAAATGAATAGCACAAGTGGCATTGACACACGTGATAAGTTCCTCGACCGCACGCAATCTTAGAACTTAAAACTTTTAATCACCGGTGCACGATTAAGAAGATCAAGATTAATCTGGCGACTTTACACACAACGATCCAAAAGTTCTTAACTTCTCACGTTCTAAAGACTCTAAGAAATGTGAACGCGCTAAATCCTTGGTTAATTCTCAATTACACATTTAACACACGGCACGAAACTTTAAATAAACATAAGTATATATACGTACGTCGTTACAATAAATCTCGTTCTTTTTCTCCAACGACACATTCATAATCATCATCACCACCATCATCATCATCATCATCATCATCATCATCATCATTATCATCATCATCATTATCATTATCATCAACATCATTCCAATACAGTAATTATCTCTGAGTTGGCTAGACCGCACGCTTGAAATGAGATCATACAATTAGTATGCACGTTCAGATGATCGAAGCTATCCGTCCTCTAACACGCACTTCTGTCTGTCGTTCCCGAGAAAGGAATTGTGCTAGTTTCTGTTCAAGTCGGTAAGAAAAGTGAATCAGGGTCGGAAATACATTGTGACGTGCAAAGATAAAAGAAGGTACTGTCTGTTACTGTTGATACTCGACGGAGTACACTGTTAATCACGTGACCGTAAGAAATTGAATTTAAACGCAGCTCATCGAATCCAGGGAGTCGAAGAACCCGTTCCTCATCGACGGAGGTTTTTGGTTCTAATTTACAAATTGTTTACTTTGTACCTACATACAGTTGCCTAGACCTTTGCCGCTGGTTAACGTGTCGTGATCAAAGGAACGGATTCGCCGCTTTCCACGACTACACTCGGATGCTCCTCCACGCAGCTTACTCGTACTTGAGAAAGGTATTTGACTTCTGATCACGCTGTCCGGGATGATTCTGCCAAGCACCTTGGGACGCGTTCGGATTATTCGGGCCTGGTCCACCTGTTCCGGGATTGCCTGTATTACCATCACCTCCACCCTGATTCATCCAACTGAGAAAGCCAGAGTTTCCACTGTTACCAATACTATTGTTGCCTGAAGGCGGTTGACCAGGTGGGCCAGGCTGGTTCGAATAGCCCTGATCGTTTCCCTGATTCTGCAAGTTACCGATCAGACCCCAAGATGCTTGGTTCAGGGCAGCGGCAACCAGTGCAGGATTGACAGGTAACGCGGACAGATTTATACCTCCCATCGCCAATGGATTAGACATACCGCCGCCGCCACCGCCGCCGTTATTTTGTCCAGTAATGCCCAGAGCTTGGAGATTAGGCATATCCAGGTTGCCACGATTCCCTGGATTGTTCCAACCGTTTGGGCCCATATTATTACCAGAGTGGCCCATGTATCTGTTACCCTGATAGGTTCCCTGCACGTTATTCTCGGCAGGGCCTGGGGCGCCTCTACGCATGTTCAAGTTCATTTGATTATTGAAATTCTTATTGTTGCCCTCGGACTTCGGCGCGGCGTTTGACACGTGTACCGATACTCCTTTTATTATGTGATCCTCCCCACACAGGGACTGGGCTACCTCGGGATCTAAGAAAGTAACAAATGAAAATGCACGGAAAGGTTTTGGGATGAACACGTCCGTCACTTCGCCATATTTGGAGAAATAGTCACGCAGATCATCAGCAGTTAGGTCTTCTGTACAGCGTCCCACGAATACCTTGCAGGGTACTTGATGAATCATTCCCTCCTACGCACAAACGCACAATCAATCAATCATGTACAACAGATTTTCACATTGTTTTGTTTTGTTTTGTTTTGTTTTTTTTTTTTATCCAGTAAAACTTGCGTACAGTGCACATTATTACTATCATTATTATGATTATTTACAACAATGTCCGTTTATCAAAAAGAACACACACGACTCTATCATTAAACGCTATCAGATTATAAAACTGTCGTATTCAAATATATCGATAAAATTTCTATTTCAGTCGTTTGCTTAAAAAGAATGGCAGAAAAAGAAATGAGAAGAAATACACATGCCTGAATCGATACCAGCTAATCTGCACTAACGTCAAGTTTTATAGAAAATTCTTTAATACACATGTCTAATTTATCGATTTCAGAAAAAAGGTGACGGCTGGTCAATTTACATTTGATCTCCGTAAATTTATATGTGCATACATATATATATAATATATGATATATATGTATCACTTAAGCACTATGGCCTCTTTAAATCCATGCACAAATCTGTACAACATGTCCTTTCTTTTTATATTCGATGTAAAATCTCATGCTATATATTACATTATCTTAAACTGAATAAGCACAATAGTTGATAAAATGTAGACAGTTATTCGAAGCTATTGCTAATGTCAGACAATATTTTTTTTTTTTTTTTTTCTTTACTATTTGTAACAGAGATCACGAATCAAGGGGAATAATATGATTTTTACATCTCTACTCGTGCCACGTAACTACTATGATTTGTAACAACTGTCAAAATTCTCAATTCGATGAGTAAAAACTCCATTCCACTCTCATTCGAATCGTTCAAAAGGATACTACTACGTTCCGTACGATTGACAATTACCATTCAAATAGATGATTAAAAACCAGTGCGCTTCCAACCAAGACAACTTGTACTGCAGATAGATCAAAGACATATATACGCGGTACAGATATAAGAACAAATGATTAAAAACGCATAGTCAACTTGCTGGTCGCTTAAAAGTGTCTCGAACGAGTCGGAGAAGAAACTCGAGCGAATGTCTATTCCCGTTGAACCGTGACTTATGTATTTACGATAGTAACAAGACTCATCAGTATCTTGACGTGTCCGAGACGTGATGATCCCTCGATGGACGGTGCTTGTAATAACGGTCATAATAGTTCTCTTTGGCCGGATATCTTGCTGTATCCGCAAACCTGGTATCCACTTCCTTACCGTCCGGTGGGTACCTAGCTTCAACTTCTCTATTGTCGACCGCGTATCTACCATCAGAATCCCTACCATCGACCGCGTATCTTCTATCCATATCACGATTGTCCACCGGGTATCTACAATCAGCCTCTCTACTATCAGTCGGAATTCTATTGTCGCCATGCCTGGTGTCTGGATATCGAACATCCAACGGGTATCTACAGTCCGTAGACGCGTAACGGCCGTCCGCCTCGTAATAGTTTCTATCGTAACCGTAATTATATCTGCCTTTTTCCGCATAGTCAGGATTCTCCATGACTGGGTACACGGCACGTCCTTCGTAGTTGGGATATCTTGTGTATTCAGCATCGGACGGATAACTGGTGGAATTCGGCGCGGCGGGTGCATGCTGGACCATGTAATTCCGTGTATCGTACCCAGGATCCTCGTAGGAAGGATAGTTAGGTTTCTCGTAGGCATTGTAGTTTTGCCCCTCGTACTTGTATTTATTGTTATCGTCGTACGGATAGTTGGGCGGGTACGACGGGTAATGCGTGGTTTTATAATCGTACTCCGAATCGTACCTAGGCGCATTAGCAGCATCGGGTGCATTTAAGTTGATATACGGTTTCGTCACAGGTACTCGTCGATTACTCGGCGTACGAACCGGTATAGGGCGGTAGCATTCATTGTGTTTACTCGTATCATACTGACGAGCCATCATTAAGCCATCAATATTCTGCAACCAGATACACCAGCCCTCGACAATCACATACAATTTTATCTATATAATTGTTTGATACACATATACGCACTCTCACTCATCGTAGCACTACCGACATACTTTAGGTTCCTTAATTTTGTCATTCCACATACCATACCATCATACATTTAAAAACTATCATAACATACTAATGGATCGTGTGAATATACTGTGTTAAGATCTGTAGATTGAAAACGGCACATCTTTAGGCATCAAGCGTTATCAATTTCCATTCATCTATGTACTTTACACTAGTGTTTCGTACTTGGCGCTACGTTACAAATCTTTATTATACTAATTTATTACTCGTGTAATGCTGAATATCATCATGAGACAATTGCACGGAAAGATTCTACTCTATTGTCTCCCGATGTTTAGTAACTGTTTAAATGTATCCTCTGTTCGCAAAATTCAGAACTCACTTAAAAAAAGTTCGACAATTTGTAACGTTACATATCGCATGTGGAGGAAGGTTTCCAATTACACACACTGTCACGCAAACCATACCCATTACAATGTTTATCATCTCCAAAAGAAAAATACACATTTAGCGGTACTCGAATATTTATCGTTTGAAATTCACTCCCATTATTACCATTATTACATACTTTTGATAATGAAAAAAAAAAATTAATTTCCCTAAATCGTTTCAGAGTTAAAGGCGCGACAATACTTAATTTAGACATCTATAGCAAACTAACATTTATACATTACATAAAATTCCACGAAAGTTCGCAAGTAACTAAGACCCAAATTTATAAAACAGCACCTTTGCCTCTTGCAAATTGTCTTCTAAGTTTCATGTAAATTGGGTATGTAATTTTAAGTCATTCGAATCTATTTAAAACTGACAGTGGTACTCTCATAGCATACTTGTAAATTCCACACTACTTAATGACACAAACATACATACCATGTTATTTACAAGATCACGCAAACACTTTCTTAAAGTATCTCCCATTGCATTGTATAACACTCATTTAAACATTCACGCACATTTATCACTTGACCTTTATAAATTTACCATTTAAATCGACTACACATTCATCTATTTATACCACCATATACGTTCTAAAGAGATATATAAAGATGATATTCAAAGATTATAAGCGGAAATCAATTGTCTTATAGTCTTGTGCAATGATTCAGAATAGAAAAAGAATTTCTAAAGCAAAGTATTATTCACGTTTGTGCCATAGTCAGATTTCTCAATTGTTCTTTTTTCCTTGTAATTCGCACTATAGTTTATGGTTCAAATTAATGCCCTACAATATGCATCTTAAACCTGTACATGACTGGTTGAAACATTTACCTAATATGTATGCAAATATTCTCTGCGAGAATAAAATTCGATTATACCATGTACTGTAAATAAATTGTGCAAACATTGATTTACTATTCACTGCTTGCATTGGCAGCAACAAATCCAATATTTCTGTTTTCAAGGTTTTAAATACATGAAAAGTTTCTACATGGTGTACATTATTGAACATTTTATTGGATTTATTATGTCCACGAAAAGTTAACTAAAGCAGCAAAATATTTTCATACACAATTTATAACGTTTGAAAGATGTTAAACCTTTCAAATCATTATTTTTTTTTTTTCTAAATGTACAATAATTGTGCAATGAAAATTGTTTGGATTGTGTAATTCATCGGTGCATAGAAAATGTATGTACAGGTCTATGATTCCCATGCAAATATTGTATATATGTATTTCGATTTTAAACGATTGTTAAGTATTTAAGCATTTGGGAACTACTCCAAGATATCTGAAGAAACAACGAACGTTTATTATCAAACAAATCAGTGCTCTTACCTTACTGTTGGGAACCTTGACATCGCACCATCTACCATCTATCATATGCCGCTGTGCAAGGCATCTTAATTGGGATTCATAACTTCCGAATCTAATAAAACCAAATCCTTTGCTATGCCCAGACTTAGCATCTTTCTTTACCTGCAGCAATATTTGATAAGACTTAGCAACATTTATAATACATAGCACATATCGATAGTTTCAAAATTATCACAATGAATTATAAGTGAACTAGTATTATCATTTATATAATTCATTATACAAATCTGAGAACTCAATAGCCTAGGTAGAAATTTTGTATGATTCTTCGTAATTTGAGATTAATAAATTTTAACCCTTAATATTTACATGTCAGTGTTGATTGTAGATTAAAATAAAAAAAAAATGTTTTTTTTTAGTAAAGTTAGTGCCTGAACAGAACTAAAGAACTCACCTGGGCCATAAGTACTTCGCCAAATGTTTCGAAATACTCGCGCAAGTTCTGCTCAGTCGTTTTCCACGGTAAACCAAGTACGATCAAGTCTGTGCAACGCAACTTTGTTTCCATTCTTTTAGTCTTAGCTGTGGAATTTTCCAAATTGTCATCAGATTTACGTTTGTTCTCTGAAAAGATATAAGTGTTCATGTCTACCAACTTTTTTTTATTTATTAGAATCTTCTCCAAAATTTGACTCTTATACAAAACTCTATATATACTTTATTTATATAGAAACTAAATGTGACTGCAATGTATAAAAAAAAAAAGAGAGAGAAAGAGAGAGAAATAGAGAAATATCGAAATCCAGTACAAATAATTATTACTAAAAAAAATATAATAAAAAAACTTATGTGTCTGTAAATGTTTGTGTAATGTACATATACATGTATATAACATATTATAGCAAATTCATACCTATATACATATTTATAACTAATGTATATAAGTTAGATAGATGTAAACAAGCTTCATTTCTTATTAACAGACATTTATATAGCTAAACACACACAGTTATTATTGTGGCTGTGCACTGAAAATATCTTTACACAAACATAATTACTATCTGTGTCTGTAAATGTTAATGCATTTGGATAAATATCAACATGTGCTTATGTTAGTATCATAATATCATTTACCACAAAAATGATGTATAAAGAGATCCGAACACTTCGAAAATCTTATTAAAAATATAATAATTAAATGCAAATATTCCAATTCTACAATACTGTTCACAAATAGTAGTTTCATGCTTTAGAATACTTACATTTAACTTTCATTTTATTAAAAAAAAAGTAGTTATTGTATTTGATGTTGAAATAAAGAAAATGTAAAATATTATAAACAATTACTTCGATCGTCATTATTTCATTGATTTTTAACAATTGCTGTTGTAACAAATAAATTTGTACTATTTGTCTGGCTCTACCTATAATAGAATTTCATCGATTTTGCGCGGATGAAAACTTCATTTTTTGATAGAAAAATCATGCACTGGTAAAAGTAAAGCCTCATGTTTTGACTGCAAGTATAATAAACACAAACACATGTACTGGATTCCAAATTATATACACGAGATGCTCATAGAATTAGTTCAGACCAACTACCGATGGGAATAAAATTTTGAAAAAAAGTTACTAATGAAAAAAAAAAAAGAAGTATCCATCGCGGCCCGATGGCAAGAATAGAATATCGAATAGACGGACATCTCTGAAAGAAAAAGAAAAAAAAAATAACAGAACGGAAGCACATTGAACGCTTCTCGAGCTTTAATAGCTTAGACCAAATTTGCGTCAATCGATATAACAAAAACCACGGGCAGTTGGTCTCATCGTAGCATTAGTATTTCTGGGGCAACAAAAAAAAGAGGGGAGAAATGGGCATATACGGAGATTTTCCATGAAATAAACACCTTTTGGAAAGACACAAAAGTAAATTGCCTTGCCCCATCCATTTTCTGGCGGATGAAGACGCCCGTCAACGAGACGGATACCGCGCATCGTCCGTGATTCGGGATTGCGGTATTTCAGGCCACACGTTCCGGGAAACTGGGCGGTCACGGTGGTCAATAAGAGCGTGTTATCGTCCTCTGTAGGCAATTCTATCGGCTCGTCGCCCTCGTCCTCAGCAACCTGGATGTACGACGACATTTTCTTTTCCAAACGTGCGGTCTTTTCTTCCCGAGAAAGGAGAATAAAAATTTGTACAACACAACAAACACACACGCTCTCGGTCGTCTCGCAGCCAGTCACGCAACACCGCACCTCTTTCTCTTCACCCAGCCAGTCAGTGCTACCAATCTTTCCCACCCCGGAACTCCTCGAGCTCTCCCAATATTCCTGGAAGATTCCACTCGATTTCCGTTGAAGAAAAAATCTTTTCATAAAAAAAGAAATCGAACTTCTATATTCTTTAACTGAATTCAGATAGAATTTAACAATTTTTTAAACAGCAATGAATTATTGACTATTAATTAAATAGCAATTTTTCCCGTATATTTGAATGAGAAATAAGACTAATACTGCATTCAAGCGAATTACTCGTTCGATTGATTAATGTATAATTACGCCTTTGTTTGCGAAAAAAAACTCGCAGCAGGGTCACAAAATGTAAAATGAAACACGAAGCAGTCAGTAATTTATTTATATCAATATATATTAACAGATATACTACTATTTTTAATACGAGAGTGAATAAAATAGTACGTCTTTTATATGTTAAATAATGATTACGAACAATGTGCTGCTAACTTCGTCAAAATTAAATATTATTTGTTATTCTTGGTACCATATTTCATTACATAAATTGATCTAACACGTAAACTTTTATTCTCGTAGTGGGGAATTTTTTCATGAACGCTTAAAAGCCGATTAGTACGCCACGTTGCAGCAAAACCTGGAACTGTTTTTAGCGCGAATAAATTCGATTTCAAAATCCCATTTTTATACCTTTGTAAGTTAGCGTTTAGTACTACACGCTACGATTCGCAATTCTTGCATTTCTTACGTTCAAAAAATTCAATAGTCGGTTAAAAAATATATTTTTTTGAGAATACAAGACATATTATCTTAAATTATACATATAAATACATTAAGGAAATGTATCATGTTACATTCGTGTACAAGTAGTTCGAGAGTAATTAAATTAAATGAGCCTCCGTGACTTGGTCATTTCGATAAATTGCAAAAAAACAGAGTTGAAATGCAGATAAAACACAGCCCAAAAAGTTTGGTATTTGTATGAAACGATCATTAATTAAGCAACCATATGCAAACCATTGAGAAGAAACTATCAAAGAAGCCATTATAATGGGAAATGGTAAACTTTCAGTACTTTTGACCCTTATTACATGTGCCTAAAAAACATTGTATTTAATTATCCATTTTCAATTTACTGTAATTTTCATGAAAATTTAGACAAACTTACCATCATTATTAAAGGAGATGCAAAAAATAATACTGTTACTGTACAGCTAAAAAACCCAACATACTTTGCTGCTATTACTTGATCATCCTCATAAAAGCTATAAAAGTATACAATTCCAAGGAACAAAGTTGCTGCAATCATTTGTTTTACAGTTTTTAATCTTTTTACGCTATATAAAATGAACACGCAAACATATGATGCTTGAAGTATTGTTCCAAAAATATTCACTACCAATATAAATCGGTCTTCGATAAGCGTACCATATCTCATCCACAAAACACATCTATAACATATTATACATGAATATAACTCTAATTATAAATTCTGCAAGTTTTACGCGCGTCTCTTTACTTGCTTCGCTGTACCATGATTACTTTTATTATTCAAAATACAACACTTACGATGTATAACATGTTACAAATGCCAAAGCTGAACTATTTCCTGTCGTGCCATTTTTAATAATCTTTCTGCACACCAGCCTAAAACATATTCCTAAAACTTTCTAGTTACACATAGAATAAAGAATTCGGCCTAAACACGATCAAGATTGCTGAAAAATTTGTATTACTGTTCGCTTTATAGATTTTTTCATGATACATTTTTAACATCATCGATAGTACTTCTATTTAAAATTTTAACCGATTCGTGTATTTAACTATGTGCCATAGCGTTTTAAAAGTTTATTGTATGACACGTCTAATGTAAACAGAGGACACGTTGCAAACATTTCAAATTTCTTGAGAAAAGGCAGGTCAGATTTGGCCTTACATTTTTACTTACACGCCGGCTAAGAACTGTAAAACCGTGCAAATCGAGGCTGTTGAAGCCAACGCGTCTTTGATCCCTGTCGAGATCATGATTTAAAACGTTCATAGCACTCCCATGTACCATAACATTAACATCCGTGATCTGGATATGTAACCTTGACGTCGAATAATCTAGTTTTATTATGAAAGAAAAACCATGATCGATAAAATCTCTACTAGTGAAAATTAAAAGTGATGCCATACAAAAAATCACAAACCACGCGATTTAAGCATGGTCAAATGTAAGATCAATTATTTTACAACTTACAAATATGGTTTTCATAGTATAGTTTTCATCTGCTTTTCTCTGAATGTCGGTAAAAAATATGAAATATTTGTACCGCCTTCCTTTGGAACTTAAAAGAATAATCACCAAATCAGGAACGTATTCTCCACGCAAAATCCCTCGTAACTCAAGATCTCGATTATTCTTCGATTAGTATTATGTTTTATAAACAAGTTATGTATTTGTATGTGAATATACGATAATAAAGCAATTACATTTTCCTGTTGATATTGATATCGATTAATTTTAGATTTAACAAAGTTTTAATTAAACTCTTCAAACCTAACCTTCTCAGATGAAACATTTTACAATGACAACTAAGTTTTTTTCCTTGAAAAATTTTGTGATTGGAACTTTTGATCGTATTAATTTGAAACACTATTCGCGGTCAGCTATTGTGTGTACTAAAATTAACACAAATGCGGAAAATTGGCAAGAAAAACTCTGCGATACAATGCAAATTGTACCAAATTTTGTCGATATCGAAGAGGAAAAGTCTCTGTTAGAAGAGGTTGAACCTTACATGAAGACACTTCGATACGAAAAATCACATTGGGACGATGTTAGTACAATGATTAGATATTTTAATCTAACTTTGATCTAATTTGTTTTATTTCATTATTGTAGGCAATACATTTTTATAGAGAAACAGAGCGAAAACAATGGAATGAAAATAATATGAAAATAATAAACAAAATTCGTGAAAAAGCATTTCCTAAAGAAATGAGTCAAATTCCGCTAATACATATTTTGGACCTAGCAGCAGAAGGATGGATAAAACCACATGTTGACAGTATTAGGGTATATAACTTCTTTGTTAATTTCATTTTCAACATTTAATTTTCTTTTGTCTTTTTGTTACAGTTCTGTGGTGAAATCATTGCTGGTTTAAGTTTATTAAGTGACAGTATAATGAGACTTACGATGGTTGGAAACGAAACAACGTACAAACATGATTTTCTATTGCCTCAGAGGTCCTTGTATATAATGAGGTAAGATAGCTATCCCTTTCTAAAATATATCATTTTCACCTAACGATCACTGTTACAGCGGTGTAGCCAGGTACAACTACAATCATGAAATTTTGAAGAATGAAGAATCATACTTTGAAGGACAACATATACCAAAAACTAGACGTATTTCAATAATATGTAGATGCCAACCAGAAAATAGTGATAATTAACATTTTAGAAATGTATATGATTACTTTGTAGATTTATATAGTGTACATAATTAATTTAATAAAAGAGTATTTTCGTTGTTTAAAGTTTTTTGTAAATAAGAATTAAACATCATTTCTAGAAACTTTTGTCATAGAATTTTGATAATACATAATGTTTACTCTATAACTGTTATGGAAAACGCAGATTATTAGAGGTTCGATGTGACGCGGTACTTGCGCAAGTTCTGTAGCAACTGACGCGGGGACGGACTTCAGCTGTTCAAGATGAAGAAGGAAAGACTCGCACTGACCTTCTTCTTCGATTTCCCGAAGTTGCACGGATTGCCGAGCTCACGTACCGTCCTTCCACGAGAAGAAGGCATAGCGTGTTTACATCCCCACTCTTGCTGCAGCCCGCTGATTGGCTGTTACCGTTTTCGACCAGTATCTGTAGTCGGCGGACTGCAACAGGAGTGGGGATGTAAACACGCTGTGACTTCTTCTCGTGGAAGGACGATACATGGTTCATGCGGTAGGATATGTCGGCTTTCCCTACGACTCCGTTACTTCGTTAAATGCTAAGGAAGTTCGTCGTTAGTAGTGTCGCCGTCGATGCACTCAATTATGCCAAATCTGGCCACACTGCCGTATCGTATATGGTTCCGGCTCCGATTTCGCCGGTATTTATGCAAATGGTTTTAAGATGAAGAAAAACAATCTCTCCTTGAAAAAGGTAAAGCATATACATAAAGAAGAAACTTTATAATGAGACATTGACACTGTTTTCATTCAATAATTTAGTTTTATAGTTTTTGTAACGCTCATATAATTTGTTAAAAGACTGATTATTTGCGTTATTTATTTTAGAATGCTCGCGATATAAATCAATCTCAGAAGAAAATATCGGCATATTTTGCGAAGGATTCTAACGATGGGCCATTAAAAAGTAAGGATAATACGGTAAATGGTATTGTTGAAAGAGGTTCGCCAAATGACGGAACATGCAAAAAAAGAAAGCCAATGGAAGACGTAGAATTATCGGAGACTCGTTCGAAAATTATTAAGTATAATGATACATCTGTTGCATGCAACTCAAAAACACTGCAGGACCAAACGCATGCAATTATAAACAAACCAAACGTGATTCATAATGTGTTTAGAGATGACAGAAAATGTGTTAAAGATGCATCTCCCAAGAAAAATTTGACTGTGGGGGAATATAAAGAAAATGTAGGTTTGGATAGATGCAAAAGTACATTGCATAAACAGAATGAGAAGAAAGTGGAAAACAATGTTTTATTACTCAGTAATAACTTTAACGAGGATATTTTTATAAAACAGAATAAGACAGATTCTATAGAAAATGAAAAAATTGAACAATTAAATGAATTTGACAAGAATCATACCGAATCAGATGTATTAAAACCATGTATTATGGATGATTTTATTGATTGCTTTGAAGAAGATTGGTGTACAGATAATCAAATAAATTTTAATTCTTTGCAAAGATGTACTATTATTGATGTAAAAAGAGAATGTAGAAGTGTTTTATTAATTGTGGAACAAGAAGATACTGCATTGAATGCAACTGTTATGTGTTTAGATTTTTGGTAAGAATTGTTATCATTACACATCATCATTCTTCATATAGATCTGTGTAACTCAAGAATTCGCTATATTAGATATTAACATAATTAATTTTATGTAATATTTTTAATTCAAATCTAGGAAAAATGTAAAAGTGAAGAAGCATGATATTGTTACAATACAAGCAAGAAAAGAATCTCAGTATTGGGTCATAGATAATGCTAGTGGTTTTCTCATTGTTCATTCAGATTTATTAATATCTGGAACAACGATAGTTGGTGCCTTATTTTGTAATAGAAAAGCAGTGTTAGCTGAGAAATTTAAAAAGCTAGAAACTCTTCCTTACTATGAAGGAGATCAAACACCATTAGTTATTGGAAATCTAGCTCATCAATTACTACAAAAGGTAATATCTGTGTGTAACATCAAATACTGTTTATAATATTTAAATACAACCTTAATATTATAGGCAATGTGTCAAGATGTTCATAAAATATCAGACATTACAAAGCTACTGGATAGCATATTACAAACCAAGGAAACGATTTATACACTTTATGCATCAGATATTCCATTCAATGAATGCAGACAACAGATGTTAACATTTGTACCAAAAATATTTGAATTCATACAACATTATTTGAAAGGTAAACAAAAATATTTAATGTATTTCTTTTGCTCTTTATTAATCGTATAATAATAATACTTCCAGATAAAAAGCAACAAGAAATAAGTAATATAAAAGACAATTTCAAGGGAAAAATCACTCATGTGCATGATATAGAAGAAAATATTTGGCTTCCTAAATTAGGTGTCAAAGGTAAAGTGGATGTTACAATAGAAGTTAATGTGAACTCAAAGCGGAAAATTATACCTCTGGAAATAAAAACAGGTAAGCCTTCATTCTCTCTAGAACATAAAGGTCAACTTATTTTATACATCATGATGATGGCTCTTACGGGGCAAGACACAGATACAGGTCTGCTATTGTATCTCAGGTAATTCATTTATCTGTATAAACATATTAAAAACAATTGAACGAAATTATTATATGAACGTTTTTTATTTCAGAGAAAATGATATGAAAGAGATTAAAGGTGAACATCCTGAAAGGAGAGATTTGATATTATTAAGGAATACTTTAGCCAATTATTTGGCACCTAAGCCAGTCGATAAAACGTCGAATTTTACTTCTGAATCAGATTGGCAAGCGTTAGAATTACCAGAACCAATTAATCATCACAAAGCTTGTTCTACATGCCAATATAATACATTATGTTGCGTCTATTTAAGTAAAGACACTGAAACACAGTTATCAGAATCTCATCCATTGACCAAACTCAGTAAAGAAATTTTAGGCAAATTTAAACCTACACATATCGACTACGTCGTAAAATGGGTTTCATTGTTGCAAATGGAGAACATCGCGCAGACATCTGATAATATATTAAGATATATGTGGACGCTAAGCCCGGAAAAACGGTAAAAAACAATTATTTTCACAAATTTATCCCTTTTATATTTCAACATTTATTCCCTTTCTAGAGAAAAGAAGAAAATTTGTATTTGTAATTTAAAAGTAATAGGCAAAGTCATTGAACACAATTCTAAATACCAGCACACGTTCGTTCGTACAAATGTAAACGAACAGCTTTCGAGTGTTAATATTCCATATATGGAATTTACAGAAAATGAGTATGTGGTAGTGAGTACAGACACGCGAGTAAACATATCAGCGGGATTTATAATACATATAAAAGAAGATTCTGTCACTGTTTCACTAGACAGGTATTTACTTCAAAATGTATACAAACAAACAAGCTTTGGAATGTATTATAATTAAATATATGATTTTAGAGATATTACTAAATATAATATTAACGAGTCGTTACACATAGATAAGTATTCATCTTCATCTTTGCTTTCCTCTAATCTTGCCAATGTAGGTGGTTTAATGGGCGACAATGAAATTTGTGCAAAACTACGAGATATTGTGATAGATCGGTTCGTATAGTAATGTACCTTTGGAAAAAGTATTTTTCTTTTTTTGTCATTGATCAACTTAATTCCTACATTAGGAAACCTGCAACATTTGTCAAAGGGTTGTCGCAGTCTGTTGTACGCAAAAGTGCCAAGATAATACACAAACTAAATGAAGACCAACAAAGAGCAATTCTAAAAGTAATGACTGCCACCGACTACATTTTAATCAAAGGAATGCCGGGTACAGGGAAGACACAGACGGTGGTGGCTTTAATAGAACTGTTACACGAAACAGGATACTCGGTTTTAATTACCGGATATACAAATAGCTCTGTGGATAATATTTTGCTGAAACTGCTGGACAAAGGTATCGACTTTTTACGATTAGGCTCGTCGTCCGTTCATCCAATGGTGCAACCAAAATCGGAAAGATATGCAATTGCAAATTGTCACTCTATCGAGAGTTTAGAATCAGCGTACTTTAGCAAAGTATGAATTACTTTAAGATATAAAAATTTATTGCGATACATTAAGAAGTTATAAAAAAATATTATTTTAATTGTTCTAGAATATCATTGGAGTGACTTGTTATGGCGCTCATCATGTACTCCTTAATAAACGTACATTCGACGTGTGCATTGTAGATGAGAGTACACAAGCACTACAACCAACTGTACTAAGGCCATTATATAGTGCACGTAAATTTATTCTTGTAGGCGATCCTGACCAATTGCCTCCTGTCATTAAGAGTACAACAGCGAAGTAAAATAACCATTTTTTTATTGGGATTAACAAAATACAGTGTCACCCATCTCTTCAAAATTTTATTTAATTACTAAATAATGAATTTTACACTGTGTTTCAATTTCAGAAAGCTTGGTGCAAATGAATCCCTGTTTTGTCGCCTGGACAGTAAAAATAACACCGTTATGTTAACAAAACAGTATAGAATGAATAAAAGAATTATGTATTTGGCAAATAAGTTGACATACAACGATACGCTAGCGGCAGGGAACACGACGATAGAAAACGCTACTTTTAGTGCAGGGCACAGTGAAGTAAGTTTAATTATTACTGTGATAACTAATGATTCATCTACAAAGTATAATCATTTTATAGAATTTAATGAAACAAAAGAGATGGGTACAGGAGGCATTGTCGCAGACCATAAACGATTCTGTAATTATACTGAACACTGGTTGCACCAGTGATTTAAAAACAAGCCTTGAATTGAACGACAAGTATCCAAAAAGCTATCAAAAAAATTCAAATGTTTGGGAAGCTGCCATAATTGTTGAGTTACTACGGGCTTTCTTAGTGGTACAATTTAATAACATTTAATACATAATTGCGTTTGTATTAAACGTTAAACGTGTATATGGCATTTTATTGCATAGATAGGTGTGGATCCCCAAAATGTTGGAATTATTGCACCGTACAGAGCACATGTAAGTCTATTGAAAGAAATTATTCAAGAAGATATTGAAGTGAACACAGTTGATCAATATCAAGGGCGTGATAAAGAGATTATAATTTACTCCTGTGCAAAAAGTTCAACTAATACTAGCGACATGAAAGAGGTACCTTATTAATTTTATGTAAACATAAAAATTGAACTCAATAAATTCAAGTTTTATATTTTTTCAAATATAGGATTTTGAAATCTTGGGAGATCATAGAAGATTAACTGTAGCTGTGACGAGAGCTAAGCATAAGTTAATTATTATTGCAGATACAAATACTTTATCACAATACTCGTCATTTAAAAAATTATTTAACTTGACAGGAGACAAAAATGTAATAAATTTGCACGATTATCATGATTTCTCCTGGAAAAGTGTTATGTGCGCGTTGTAACAATACGTTCTTTTTCTCTTTTTGAGAGAATGAAAAAGAAATATCAATTTGCAACACAATAACAATTTAAATGATTTTTTAAAACATTAAGGAAAGTAGACAATAAATAATTTATATTCATAAAAATAACTATGTTACCCAAACGTAAATTTTGAACGTATTTTTGTCACCTTAGGTATTAATAAATAAATATTCCAAGTGTTTGATAAAATCTGGATTGTTTTCTTATCCTAATATCTGATAAGTGGTACTTTGGTATAATTATTAATCTTAATTATAGCTTTCAATACAAGGTATTCAAGATAATAATTTTCCTTATTATTTGCATTTGATTATTATAATAAGATTATCATATAAGCCGATAATGTGTTATGTATAATTTAAAAATTCCATAGTCCTAAATGATAAAATGATATTTAATAAATTTATAACAAAAAGGTTGTCAAATAATAAATTTCATGAAAAAATGTAAAAGAACGCTTCCTAAACTCTATCCGATGCACTTCGTTTCAAACGAATCCGCCTTTTTTATACTAGTTCGCCAATGCATTGCTGAACGGCGCATTCATTCGCGTGCATCCGAGAATCCTGCTGTTTCTGATCTACGAAGAATTTGCTATCGTTGTGACTCATGGCATGAATTATGTTCATTGTATTGACGTCAACGGTGTTGGTTAATTTTTCAAAAATACAATTGAAAGTCTGACAATTTCGTTTACTTTTAAATGAAACTACAAGGCACTTAGTGCTGCATTGATTCTCTCGAAAATATTTCGTCCGTGATGCCTTGACGAAAGGAATACCGCTCCCGAATTCGCTGCATTTATTGCATAAACAAGTTGTCTTCCGATTGACAGGGTTTGTCTAAACAAAAGTGCTAAAAAGCGTTTAATTATGTCAACCACGGAAACCACGGTTATTTTTGCGAAATTGGAGGCTCTGAAAGACATTAAGTACATACTCAAGTTCATTTTCCCAAAACCTCTTTGTCGATTCAAACCAATTTATAAAAATCGATGATCTTGTATACCATTTATGTCGTACGCATCGCGATGTAGTTTTAATTAATTCTCTATATTAAAACGAAGCATCTGTGTGTTCTACCAGGTCGAAAACTATTCAACTGGAGAAAATGAAGCAAAGAATTTTACAAGAGGTGGAACAGACAGAGCAAGAAGAGAAATGCTTAATAGAATACAAACAGGAAATGGATCTCCTGATGCAAGAAAAAATGGCACATGTCGAAGAATTGCGGCAAATACATGCAGATATTCATGCTGTATTATTAGCTCCTATTCTAATGTCATCTTTTAACTAGATTGAGCATGTAATCGTTTATGTAACTATTCTAGATGGAAGTTGTTATTAAGCAAGCAGAGGAAGCCAGGAACAAGGCAAGGGAGACTGCAAAATTGATTCATAATAATGACTATCAACCTCTGAAGCACGACATTGATCGCATGCGCAGAGAATTCTTAGGACTGGAAAGATTACCAGAATTGTATGAAACAGAATCGGATCTCATTTCACCAGAGTAAGTATAGTTGTTTCCTACTATGTCATACAGAAACTTATTCTAAATATCGTTACTTACATTTAATTGTACGATTTTTTACTCTATTTGATACACCCTCTATATTGAAATATTTTACACTATAAAAAGCATCGTACGTTACATACTGGTTTCTAGTTTATTCTGAAAAATAAATATTACGATATTTACGCAAATTCCAAGAAAATGTGAAAAATGTGCTGCATCTTTAAATGTTATTGAATATGACTTTTATCGCGTAGGTGGTTTGTTCGCAGCTATTTTGATCGTCCTATGCAAAAGGCAGAATGGAGGGTGGAAGTACGGGGTGAAGACTTATTACCTCCTCTTGCCTTACACCATCCTAGTCATCCAGGTAGTTCTACACCTTTCCTTGCCCCTCAACCCCTTCAAGGTCCAAGTAAACCAGAGCCAAGACCATTACCCCCAGCACCAGGTCCACCTGCTCCAACATTCAGGTACCACTGGTATAACTCAATTTTATATTACATTCTTATATAACAAAGCATGCAAATACTACTAATCTTATCTCATAATAATACAAAAATCACAAAATGAATTGCATACACTTGATACGATACAAAATTTATTAATAAAAACAATAGTAATAATAATACACGATAATAATACCTAAATACATAATGGCATACTACTTTTTTTATGTCTTATTTCTTTGCTTTTAGGCAACAACCGCCTCCAATGAAGTCATGTTTATCATGCCATCAACAAATTCACAGAAATGCACCTATTTGCCCCCTCTGTAAAGCTAAATCTCGATCACGTAATCCCAAAAAGCCAAAGAAAAAAGACTAATTGTAACTGTAAGTGTAATTTATATAAAAATCAGCATTTCTTCCATTTATTTTAAAAAATCCATGTTAATGGTTTTTTGTAACTTACAATCGTTCTACAATCTCATGATTCTATAACAACATACATTACTGTAAATGTTTTTGTTTAAAGTAATTGTTTCTTTGTGTAACTTTTGCCAAGAAACCTTTTTTTTTTATTATTATTTTTTTTTTAAATATTTATATCAACACCGTGTAAACAGATAAAATAGGTAACAATTAAGTGATTTTTATTTTCACTTAGGAATATCAATAAAACTGAACATGTTTTATGAATCTTCTTTAAATAGACTATAAAATTTAACAGTTATCGTCTACGATAGTTAAAATATTTTTAATTATCAAAATACACACGTTTTTAGTTTAATTTGAGAAAATGGAGTTGCGTAAAATTTAGTTTTCCAAAAATGTATATAGTTATATTATTTCATTCGCGTTCCACGTCACGCATAATATTTAATGGCGTAACTTTTTTACGAGTTATGTACATATTTTGAGAAAAAAATATTTTATCGGCTATTTTAAGTAAAATCTTTGAGTAAAAGTTCTTTGAGTAAAAATCTCATTCGATCATCCTAAGTAAAAGTTAAATTGTTGAATGGAAGACATTTAAAATTGCTAAATTTAATGAACCTTCTATTTCGACCTTTAACGTTATTATATTTATCTAATATCAGTCTTTGCTATTATGACACTAGTATTTTTATAAATTCAAATGATATGAGCAACATTTTAAATAATTGATTCTAATTGTAAATATTTTTTTATGTAATTGAATACGTAACGAATTTTTGTACTCAATAATTATATCACATTATTGTTTGTTTAAAATATTTTCTTTCGTAATCTAATCGATACGCGCCGTTTTTTACATTAAACATTTGCATTTGTATCCTCATTTCTTCTATAAGATACCAAAGTAAAAATCGATTAACAGTAAAATTGAACGAATTAATTTCTATAAAACTTTGCCTACATTTACTTGAAAGCTACATCATCCTAATCGTATTCTTCTATTCTTTGTACGCATATTTTTTAGTAGTTTGCTTACATATTTATACATGCCAAACATATATTAAAAATCTGTAATTATTGATAAAAAATATATCATTGCATTCGTACTTAATTTCTAGTGGCAGACGTGTAAATCCGTATATAAAATCATAAAAAATAAAATTGCACTTCAAATGTGGTTATCGTTAGACTTTATCACATTCTGTAGTTCTATTTTTTGTACATCGTTTAACTCTTGAGCGTTATTAGATAGACGATGAACCAACGGAATTTCAACATCGGGATTTACTTCATCTTTTGAAGCAATTGCTTGTAGAGGAACTAAACGCTTGTTCACGATTTGCAACCACAACATACATAATATTAACATTGAGCCGGTAGTACCAAACGTATAATATGTTCCCAAACGTGTATAAATCATAGTAATAAATACTGGACCTAAGCCACGAGATGCGCATCCAGCACCTGTCATAAAACCCATCCATACACCTTGTGGCCGTGGTCCTAATACCTTACAAAAGATAGTTTGTATCAAAGTTATGCCTAACGGATAACCAATAGTGATGAACCCGAAACCAATGAAAAATTGCGTGACCGTGAGTTGAGGTGTATATGAACACCATTCTTGAGTACTTGGACATCCTAACATTTCTGTAGCATTGGTATCTTTTGTACGGTTACTAGACGCTATAAAATATAATATAAATTTGTGTAAAGATAAAAAGATCAATTTCACCAAACATTTTACACACAGATTAAATTCCAAACAATATATGAGCTACCAAGTTTAATATTATATACAAATTAAATAAGTATGTTTCTGTACTTACTGTCTACATAAGCAATTTGTGGAGGATCAGGGCCCCACGGGATGAACATTATATTGCCAATTAGCATAAATAGAAAACCACCCCACATCATCACCTTACGTTCATTGAACCTGATAATGTTTAATAATAAATAAAAAAGAATGGTCAATTTTAACCGCATATTTGTATAAAATGTTCCAACCTTTTACATAAAGGACTGATTATGCAAAATACGATAGAAGAAACAATACCACCAATACTCATCAACAGACCCATATAATACAAAGCTTCTTTTTTCGACCAAGCAAACTGCTCCATAGTTAAAGGAGTACCAAGTCTATAGAAAAATAAAAGAATGTTTAATGTAGTAAACGAGAGGAAAAATATATCAATGAAATTGTTATACTAACGCTTCAAGAAGAAGGAAATTAAATGTCAAGACAAAAAAAGCACAAATTAATGTCCAAGATGCTACATAATCAGGTTTTACAGACTTCAACGTCTCTTCTTCTGCAGCTCATAGAAAAATGTTTAATCAAACCATTAATTTATTTATTACCACTGATACTATTTAACATGGAAATTTTTACCTGTCGCTTTTCCTTCATTTTGCATAGCGTCGCGTAAAGCAATCCTACGTTCCTTGAAATTCCATGGAAGAAATAAAACAATATTTAGAACTCCCATTACAACATTTATCCAACCAGTCATACTATACATATTAACAGGCAAATTCATAACATAAAAACCATTCTCTCCAAGAGGTGTAACTGCTGCTTGTAATCCAGGACCTACCACAAATCCTAGTACCTAAAAAATTTTAAAACATTTTGTTAAACAATTTCGTTGATATATACAAGAAAATATTCAACTGCATTACCTGTGCGAGAGATACCATAGAAACTGCATGCGTTCTTTCTACAAATTTTGTAGCTGCAGAGAGGTAAGACCGTGCCACTGCAATATTTGCTGAAAATCAAATATTTATATATTATTAACACAAAGATTGGTACGCTATTTTCATTCTATGGTATTATAGTAACATTAATTATAATTAATATAAATATTAACCTGAACTAACTCCAACTAAGAATCTAGCAGCAAACATAAACATTTTTTGATCGCCTGGTAAAATTTCAAGAATGCTATAAAGTCCTGACGCGAATACAAAGAGAGCTAATGTTACTAAAAGGGGTACTCTAATCGATCCTCTTTTGTCTCCCCACCATCCTATCACAGGTGAAAATAACATTTGTGCCAAAGGATTAGCTGCAACTACGTATCCCATGAATTCTTTGCCTGCTTTATTATCCAACTGCAATATTAATACATTATTATTTATTACAATCTTCCTTCATTATTCTCTTGTTACGTTTACCTTGTCAAGATATGGGTATATTCCAGTGACTACAATACTGAACCCAAGAGACATCAGAAACATAGTAAAGTAGATCACATAGATGCTTCTCCATCGTTCTTTTCTCTCTGCAACAGTTTCTAAGTCATCATCCGTAAAAACAATGGATCTACAATAACAGAATGTTCCTATTTTAATACTTTTAGGAAAAGTATAGATACAAAAATATTTTATTTCATCTTACCTTTTGTTATGAAATTTCCTATACCAATCCATTAAAGATTATAATAGAAAATTTATCTAAAGTAAACAACTATATTTTCTTTATATAATTACAAATTTTTTATTGCAATTATATATTTTGACGTTGTATTAATATTAGTTTATTCTAGCAGCAACGCTATAAATCTAAAAAGGAAAAGTAAACTGCAGTCTCATAATAAGAACTGAGGAATGGATTTTAAATATCTGTATGTGCATTTTATTATGTAACTTACTCTGTATTATAGTAATTCTTATATCATAACAAATAAGTGAACTACGTTCAGAGTATCTTTTTATCACTTTAATTAGAAATATGTATTTGTTTGTTTCGCTTCTTTTTTATAAGAGAAAGATGCACATTAACGTTTATGAATCTGCCTAAAATAAAAAAAAAAATATATATCAATAACAAATAGTTTGATTTTTTCTATTAATAGCACAACTTTGTAAATGATATTTATAATATGAAATATTTTCCAAACGTATGCTAATTTTGTGATAATAGTTCAATTAATCATCTAAAACAAAGTAACTTGTATTGTTATAGAAACAAAGAGATTATACATCACTTACTCTTTCCTACAAACAATTACACTACAAAAACATTTCTTTCGCCACAATTACTCAACCACGTACAGTCGAACGTGTCAGATATACTGCGAGTAAAATTTATCAATAATGCAGCATTTTACTTGTGATAAATTCCTTTAAAAATCCCCGCACACGCATGCCATCTGATTATAGCAGTCACACAAGTGCACCATGAGTGTTTACTAAACTCAACCGCGACAGATCGTCATAAATTAAATCGTGCTGGCAATATGAAACGCATATTAAATTGGCGGGCAATTAAATGTAAATGGATCTTTGATTGACATGGATTGTAATCGCGAAGTATATGCTTTTCAATTCACTCGCATGCATCTATTAGTCGTACTTTGGCCAAAGTTGTTTTTAACTGTCTAGCAATTTTTCTTGAAAATAGGATACACATCTCACTAATTGTTATCAACTCGTAAAACGTTTCATTTTCATTCTATCAAACTTAATCGTATCTAACAAAGCAAAACAGACTCGTGCTTCAGGTCTACAGAATAATAACTGATTATCTTATTTGGCAAATATATTTTATACGCATATAGTCTATACGTGTATGCAAAGGGATATTATTAATGTTGTAATGTGGCTTATACTTGTTGCCATTATAAAAATCCGATTTTACTCGTGTATAGATAAGTATCGTGCAACTGCTCGCTCGTTATTATTTGTGCAAATACGTTAGGTTTTATCATTTTATACGTACTTTAACCATAAAAATTTTTATCAAAATTTATCCAACAATTGTTATTATTGAATTACTCGTTAAACAATAAAAATATTCATTTTCTTACAACTGCAGATTTGAAACTATAAACAGTGGGATAAACTATATTAAAAAATTATAACTAAACGTTATATAATTGGATATCATTGTCACAAAAGTAGTCACAGTGTACTTATTATACACAATGTTTTTTAATCAATGGTACTCAATTTTCTAACCAGAATTCATATGTGATTAAAAAAACTTGTCCGTATGAACTTTATTTTACAATCTTTTCTTATATGTCAGTCTATGTACAATGAAAAATAAATGTATTTATAAAAAAAAGATAATTACAAACATTAGTACGGTTTATAATTACGATGTGAATAATGTCTATCAGAATGTCGATCATATCGATCGTGTCTATCGCCTTTATCGTTGCACCGTCTCTCCCAAGCGTTATTACGCCTTCCATGACCATGATTTGGCCGTGTCCATTCGCATCTCCGTTGTTTATTGTACCAAGGATCCACGATTGGCGGCCCTTTCAGCTCCATACTTTTAATTTTCATAAATGCACTATCCCTTTCCGTATAACGGTCTTTGAATTCGTTTTCACATTCTTCCAAAAATTTCTTTTGTTCGTCTGTTATATTTGAACTTTCCATATTTTCTCAATTTCTATGTACTTAGCAGTAATAACATACAACTGTAACATATGATAAGTTACGAACTAATAAAGAATGTAACACTTAAAATTTAGTTGCTTAAAAAACAATTGAACAATGTCTTTTACTAGAAAGAATTTGTTTAGAAGTTGACCGATACACATAAGAAATTTCTGCAATAGTTACGGGCACCTTGTTCTTTTTATTCATCTAAAACCATTATTAAAATTTATTTTTCCAACTGCTTGAATACTAAAAGTAATTGCAAGTATGAATGCAATGTGTCGAGCAAACACTATATAAACTCACAGATGATGGGATTTATTTTAAACAAACTAAGCTGTACAATTGTACAATTGTCTAACGAGAACAATTCGGAGCTACCCTCGAATATTAAGTAACAACATTGAATAATGAGATAAGGATAACAAGTTCGACAGAGTTTGTAGTAAATTTTTACATTGAAACGGACGAAGCACGATCGCGTTTACTGTTATTATTCGCGTGAAAACCGAAGTACGGACACGCATCTTGTCATTCAAACGGTTAATATATTATGTACGCCTGAAATTATGAATGAAAGGTACATCGACAAATTTATTTTACGTACAAATACCTGTATGTATACGCTGTTCTTGAAGATGATTTAATTTAACCTTTTCGTTTAAACATTATTTTCCACCTATTCGAGGATAAATTAAAGTTTTCAAAAATATTGAATCACCGAAAATGATTCCCAGAGTACCACAAAGTCATACAAGACCATGTATATAACTTGACAGGTTATATTTATGTACAATAATCAAAACGTATTAATTATACCATTAATAATGTTATTAATAACATATAATTACTAATACTTGTAAAATTATATTATTTAATATATATTTATTGTATCCCTTAAACTCGATTGTATCAACCGTTTTTGTCATTGATGAAGAATAACTGAGAATAACTATCGTAGATAAGTATGCCTGAATTTTAGTGGAATAAGTAGTAAGGTACTTTGTAGCGACGCAGGCGATAAATTCAAGAACTAAATGAGAGTGGCAAAAAATCTAACCTACATATAAATTACACAAATTACTGTTAAATGACAATATTTTTACAATTCCTTTGATATTTGAAGAATTAATATAGAACATCGATCGAAGGATTAAACTACCATTTGTTAAATGCGGTATCGTTACGTTCTGCGAATGAATTCTACTACGCGTAACCAATATTTTGCATGTTATTCTTAAATAACAAATATATATATGTATTAAAATAAAATGACATCAATTAGATAAATAATAATCTATTTGTCCATTGATATCTTATCATAAAGCTTAAATAACGTCACCTAGCGTTTCAGTCGTATATTGTGAAAGAGAAAGGAAAACGGGACACAGAACCAATCAGATACATCAATCACTTACTTAATTCTGAATAAAAAAATTATACAAAAATCATTGGTACATTTAATTTTGTAGATTACATTATACTTATTAAAACTTGAATTAATAAAGTGTATTATTTAAATAATTAATAAGAGAAACATGTTATACACAACGTAGCATGCCATTAGTGTGACCTGAGGACGGCGTCTTTATGTAAACCAGCTTTGAAAGATTTTGGCGGTACACTATTAGCTTCCATGGTTAATACTTATATATACGTTACATATATCTGTGAAACGATGAGAGAACGTGTTCATATGTAATTTTCTCTAACATTACGACTACATTCCTATTAACGTAATTACAATTTAGATGTAAGAAATTCATAATCCGTAAGGAACAAATTTTTGACGAGAATTCAGTGAGTATAATTGACTTCGTTAAATATGATGCCGGCTATCATAGCAAATACTGAAAATTACGAGACAGAGAAGCATACACAGATTGAGGATTTAGAAAGATATCAAATACCTTTAAACGGGCATGTCATGAAGGAGAATAAAAATACAGGTAAAACACTTGAACATAACGTGGAAATAAATACAAAGAGTAACTCAAACGATAAAGAGATTAAATTTATTTCTCATTCGTCATTGATCAAAGCTAAGATACTTCAAGAATCAAATAATGATAGAAAAAAACTTCGCAATGGAAAATATATTAACGTTGAAGTTACACAAAATTTGCACAAAGTCAATAGGGACGCTAATAAAAATACACCGTTAAAACAAAATGATCAATCGAAGAAACCTATTAAAAGGAAAAGCGATATGGCTGAAGAATTAGAATCGAAGGCTCCTATGTTGGTACAAAGTGGGCAAAACATAATGCACAATATTAAGTCTGAAACTGAACTAAATCAGGAACAACAAGAATCAAATGATAAGTTTGAAAACAACACCCTTAAGAAAACTAAAACAGAAAACGATAATTCAAGTATAGAAGAGCCAAAAGCACTGTTTCAGAAACCTATTAACATTCACCAAAAGTGTGAATACTGTTGTCAAAAACTAGCAAGTAACGATATAAAGATATATCCCGGTCATCCTAATGGGGCAGAAGAAGAACTTATTGCGTTAACAGACCCAAAGTTATCTTTATTCACAGGTGAAGAAGCTATGGTCCATGAAGGCGACGAAAGACCACAAAATAAATTAACAGACTTTTGGTAGGTCATTCTTCGTTGTATATAAAATATACAGTTATAGACCCTAAAGACATTAAAGTTCACTTTATGTTTTTCTTTTTTATAGTGTATATGATAAAAATGGACATTTGTGTTCTTTTGACACTGGCCTAATTGAAAAAAATGTAGTACTTTATTTTTCTGGTTATATGAAACCTATCTACGAAGAAAATGCTTGTCCAGAAGGTGGTGTGCCTACAAAAGATATGGGACCAATAAATGAGTGGTGGGTGTCTGGTTTTGACGGCGGTGAATTAGCGCTCATAGGATTCACTACAGCATTTGCAGAGTATATATTAATGGAACCTGCTGAAGCATATGCACCATTTATGGATTCTGTGAAAGAGAAGATTTACATGAGCAAGATAATTATAGAATACTTGTTGGACGAACATAATCCTACTTATGAAGATTTGTTAAATAAGTTACAGGTAAACTTTCCCTATGAAAAAAGAAACTGTTTTAAACGATGCAAAGTACTTTAATTTTTATTTATGTATATGTATATTTTCTTTCAGACTATAGTTCCACCAAAAGGATTATCCAGATTCACAGAAGATTCCTTATTACGATATGCTCAGTTTATCTGTGATCAAGTTATTTCTTTTGATTCGTCGGCAAGACCAGAAGATCCTTTGCTAATTACAAGTCCATGTATGCGAGCATTAGTCACGCTTGCGGGCGTAACGTTAAACAAGAGACTTGCCCTGAGAACGCACCCTAAAGATCAAATAAATAAGAAAATTGCGTGGACGAAAGCTACAACTACAAAATTAGTTAATAATATGTTCGAAACATTCTTCTCTGACCAATTAGCTACAAATCGTGAGAAAGATATATCGGGACCTAAGAGGCACAGGTGCGGAATATGCGAAACCTGCCAACAACCTGATTGTGGAGTTTGTTCTACTTGCAAAGATATGACTAAGTTTGGTGGATCCGGAAAAGGTAAACAGGCTTGCATGAGAAGAAGATGTCCAAATATGGCTATACAAGAAGCTGATGATTCGGACCAGGAAGATGAATTTAATGAAACATTAATAGAAAATACAAAAATCACTCAAAAGATGATTTTGAAAGAATTTAAGCACGTAGAGAAAGAAATTACATGGGTCGGAGAATCGATTATCGATGACGGTCGAAGGACATTTTACAAGTCGGTAATGGTAATTGACGAAGAAATAAACACAAATGATTATGTATTTATTGAGTCGAATGATCCCACAGTACCATTGCAAATAGCGAAAGTCATGTATATGTGGGAAGATAAAAATGGTGCAAAGTTGTGCCATGTAAATTGGTTTAGGAGAGGTAGTGATACTGTACTTGGTGAAACATCAGATCCTTTAGAATTGTTCTTACTTGATGAATGTGACAATGTACCATTTACTTCGGTTAAATCCAAGGCTACTGTTATTTATAAAAGTAGCCCACAAAATTGGAGTGAATTAGGTAACGCAGATTTATTACCAGAAGACGAGTTACAGAATAAAGATGGTAAAACATTCTTTTATCAAAAACGATACACGCCGGAAACAGCTCGTTTTGAGGATCCTCCTTCAGATCCTGTCTGTCAGAGAAAAGAAATTAGTCATCGGTTTTGTCCTGCTTGTGTACGCTTTACTGCATTACAATGCTTTTATACGCCAAAGGTCTTTGATAGAGAAGAAGAAAAAAGTATCAAGGAAGTAACTTATAATATGGTAAAATATAAAGATGAAGAATTTAAGGTTGGATCTGTTGTATTTTTATCTCCAGGAATTATAAAATTTAAATATACATCAACATATCACACTGCTTCCAAAACGAAGAAGGGGAAGGTAGACGAAGATATGTATCCCGAGTATTACCGAAAGTCTTCGGACCACGTTAAAGGTTCAAATTACGATACACCTGAACCGTTTCATATTGGATATATTAAAGCAATATACGCAAAGACAAATAATAAATTAGTTGCTTCGTCCGATGTATGGATTAAAATAAATAAAATGTATCGGCCAGAAAACACGCACAAAGGACTCACGTTAATGCAACAAGTTGACCTCAATATGGTATATTGGAGCGACGAAGTCTGTGATGTGAAATTTTCTGAAGTAGCAGGTAAATGCTACCTGGTGTATTCAGAGAATTTAGATCAATCTGTGGAGGAATGGACAGCTGGTGGTCCGAATCGCTTTTACTTTTCTCAGGCGTATAATGCTTCAGAAAAGACATTTACCGATCCGCCTAATCACGCTATGAATATTGGAAAGTCTGGAAAAGGAAAAGGGAAAGCAAAGTGCAAAAATAAACAATTAGAGAATCCTAATACTAAGAAAATAAATGAAACCCCGTTAGAGCATTGTGTCGTTTCAGAAAAGTTGAAAACGCTAGATGTTTTTGCTGGTTGTGGCGGTTAGTAAAACCTTTCATATTTAATTTCACTATTTGTTCAGAAGTTTCTGATTTTCTAATTTTAAATTTGTGTCGCAGGATTATCTGAAGGATTGCGACAAGCTGGTATCATAAACAATCGATGGGCGATTGAAAAAGATGAACCAGCTGCATGCGCATATCGGCTTAATAATCCTGATACAACGGTATTTTGTGAGGATTGTAACGTGCTTCTGCGAAAAGTTATGAATGTGCGTACAATTAAAAATATTAATTCTGAAAAAATTATACATATAGTACACGCGAATCTGATATACGTTTTTATTCACATTTATATAGGGAGAACTTTGCGATAATAATGGACAACGTTTACCTCAAAAAGGCGAAGTAGAATTATTATGTGGCGGACCGCCTTGCCAAGGCTTCAGTGGCATGAATCGTTTTAATTCACGACAATATTCTTTATTTAAAAATTCTCTAGTAGTATCGTGTTTGTCTTATTGTGATTATTATAGACCAAAATTCTTTATTATGGAAAACGTTAGAAACTTTGTTTCCTTTAAAAAAAGTATGGTACTCAAATTAACATTAAGATGTCTTGTACGAATGGGTTATCAATGTACATTTGGTATTCTGCAAGCTGGAAATTACGGCATTCCGCAAACAAGAAGAAGGTACGTAAAGCTTAAATTGTACCGATAAACATTAGTGTTTTTATTTACCATTTATGTATTTTTAGATTAATAATATTTGCTGCTGCGCCAGGAGAGATGCTTCCAAAATACCCAGAACCGACTCATGTGTTTAGCAAACGGGCATGTCAATTAAGCGTTATTGTGGATAATAAAAAAGTAAGATATAATCACAATTTGCATACGAATCGTTAAATTTATCTATATGAATTTAATAATGGTTTCTTTCTTTCTTTTTTCTAGTATTCATCAAATTGTGATTGGACAGAGTCGGCACCATATAGAACTATCAGTGTTCGCGATGCAATGTCCGATTTACCTAATATCCGAAATGGTTGGAACAAAGAAGAAATGGCTTACGGGGACGAGGCAATTTCTCACTTTCAAAGAAAAGTATGATCAAAGTTACCTATCATTTAATAAACTAATATTGGTATACAATTTTTGTATTAAGTATGTACGTTTGTTTGTATCTAGGTTAGACCTAAGGAACCCGATACTATATTGAGAGATCACGTTTGCAAAGATATGGCACCACTGGTCGAAACTCGAATTGCACATATTCCGACCGCAAGCGGATCTGATTGGCGTGACTTGCCAAATATTGCGGTACGTTTAAGCGACGGAACGTACTCGAAAAAATTGTAAGTATAACTAATTTGTAATTTTTTTTAAATATAACAAAAAAATACTTATTCTACAAAGTAAGGTAAATGATTTATTTATTTATGTCGCAGAGAATATACTCACCATGATAAGAAGGCTGGCAAAAGTTCTACTGGAGCATTCCGTGGCGTATGTAGCTGTTGCGAACGTAAACCATGTGATCCGATAGATAGACAATATGGTACATTAATTCCATGGTGTTTACCTCACACTGGAAATCGTCATAACCACTGGGCAGGCTTGTACGGTAGATTAGAATGGGATGGGTTCTTTGGTACTACCATTACAAATCCAGAACCTATGGGCAAACAGGTTAATATTAATTTTTCTTTAATTAAAATCATTATCTTTTGAACTCGCATTTAAAGATTTCATTTGATCGTTTGTATTACAGGGCCGTGTTTTACATCCTGAACAAACCAGAGTTGTAAGTGTACGAGAATGTGCTAGATCGCAAGGTTTTCCAGATTCGTTCCGCTTTTATGGGAGCATACTTGATAAACATCGCCAGATCGGTAACGCCGTTCCGCCACCATTAGGCGCCGCTCTTGGTTTTGAGATTAGAAAATGCTTGAAAAATGAAAACACTCAACACCTAGAAAAAAAATTAGACAGTTTTAGCAGCGACTGATAATAAACATTAGAAGCGTAATCGGTGAATGATATTTACAACAGATTTTAAATATTTCATTGGATCTTAATGGTAGCACAATATGTTATAGATGTATTTTGCATCTACATAAATTTACCAACATGTGTTCCCTAAACATATGTAGGTACTTTCTTTTTACCATTTACGTGACCAAAAGTATTATGTGATGCATTTAATATGCAATGTTAACAGTAAAAAAAATACAAAATTTATTTCGATACATAGCTCACCTGGGTGGGAATCAGTATTTTACGTTAATACTATTAAAGCAATTCTCAATCTTGAAAACCATACATTATTGAAAATGTATTTGAGAATTGTTTTTGTATGAAAATTCGTTTGTAACACTATTATATCGTATGTATATATTGTACCTTTTTACAGTTATATATTAACAATAAGATTCTTTATCGATATAGTTTTAGAAGAGAAATAACGTCGAATAAAATTATTAAATAACAAGGAATATTTATTGCGAAATAAAGACTTTATAATGAAATCGTACATATCCTTAACCGAACGACTTTTATTTGCCTGAGTTCTGTTTCTTGAATTTTATTTTAAATTATGAACATTTTTCAATTATTTTTCATAACGTAAATATGTAAATACTTATCATTAAAACGATAGATAATAGTAATTGATTTCATACCCATTCACAGTTATTCAAGACTCCGTATCAAAACAGTGAAAGAATTTTTAACATAGCAATACACGGATTACATGCCTAAATAATTTAAGCAATATTTTAAAAAAATTCTATTAACATGTGGGCAGATACTATTTTAATTGTATTTATTAGTATCTGTACAGCTTTATTAGGAGAAGGTATAAGATTCTTAAATATTTCTTGTTCATAATTTGAGGTTATATCTCAGCTTTCATGTTATTGTTTTCTTAATGTATTTTAATATTATTTATAGGTTTAACATGGTTAATGGTTTATAGAACAGAAAAATATAAAAAACTGAAGGCCGAAGTAGAAAAACAAAGTAAAAAGTGTAAGTTTCTATGTGATAATAACTATGTTAAAAGTTTCAATAAGTTCATTGCATTGTTAAGTAAAACTGATTGTAGTGGAAAAAAGAAAGGAAGCACATGGTGATTCGCTGGATAAACAACAGAAGAAAAAAATTGAACGAGAGGAAGAACGATTAAAAAATAATAATAGAGATTTGTCTCTTGTGAAGATGAAATCAATGTTTGCAATTGGATTTGCATTTACTGCTCTGCTCAGTATGTTTAATAGCATTTTTGATGGTAGAGTAGTAGCAAGGTTACCATTTGTTCCAATAAGTTGGATACAAGGTTTATCACATAGAAACCTTCCTGGCGATGATTATACAGAATGTTCGTTTATCTTTCTCTATATACTATGCACTATGAGTATCAGACAGGTATATACTTATTCTATAAAATACAACTTCAAATTAATAGCAGTAAATGTTTTGACAGTTATCTTTTAGCCTTTAAATATATATATACATTTATACATTTTTATATCAAAAGTACAGTCCTAATTACATTAGTTAAAAGCTATATTAATTTTTTACAGAATATTCAAAAGATGCTTGGATTTGCCCCATCCAGAACTGCAAGTAAACAAAGTGGAAGTATTTTTGGTCCTCCCCCTCAACAATTTAAATAAATTATTTTACATAATTTATGGTTGATTATATAATTATTATTTAAATTTTGATGACGTTTTGTAAAATGCTTGCTCTTTCAGTTGACAAATGACTGATATTAAAAGAAATTATGTTTAATATATATTAAAATTAAAGTAAAAAATATAATATATTTAGTTCACATACAATAAATATATATTTAATACTGATATATATGTTCTTTTTTAATTAACGTTATATAATACATTGATTTCATAAAACTTATAAAATTGATAGATAATTGTTGAAATACAGAATCTTGAACTTTTTTTAATGTAGCAAATTTATAATTTTAGTAAGAGAATGTAACTATAAACCATAAAAAGCACAATTCATATATAAAAATCGAAAGATGAACAGGAATATTTAAAAATAATATAGAAAAGTAATAAAATGAATAGGAGCCTTTGAATTGGTATAGTAATGCATCATATTTTAAAAAATAGTTATCACTCATGTATTCCTTCAAGCAGTTCTTATACAACAATCAATGTTATATACAAACGTAACAATCAATCATATACAAAAAAGTAACCACTACCTTTAATCCGTAAAAAATATTTAATACAATTATAATATACTAATGATCTGATTTATGAAGCACAGATTCAAAATTATTAATGAAAATGTGCTCTATAAATGTCATCACTTTGCATTAATTACTTAAAATCATACATACATGTTTTTACTAAAAATTGTTGCTCTTTTTATATTATTACATTCCATTTAAGCCTAAAACAGTCTCTTGTTATTAGAGCTAGCGATATTTTATACAAAATGATACAATTATGATATTTACAATAAATCTACATACACGACTAAATGTGAGACATCTTAATTTAATAAAAAGTTATTTTAACTCGTTATTTGAACTTTTGGTGTTACAATGTTCCGTTGTATATTATGCTTAATTCGTTTCAACAGCATTTTAATTACATGTATTTATTAGTAGAAAGCGATTGGACATCCCTACCCGGCAATCTTGAAAGACAAATACTCATTAAATTGAAATTTGCACTTCCTGCTCATTAGCGTCACACATTTTGAAATTGCTAATTGTCATGTTAGTAAGATTAAAATTTGCGACGATCTTGTTAACTTAATTACCGTTACAATTACCCCAATCGTATTTGCGATGGTGGATACCGTCTGTAAATCGTGAACGCCAAAGGAAGACATGATAATCGAGAATTTATCTACGTGACATAGTCCAATTTTTCAGTATATTCTGAAATATATATAAATAAACAAACATTTCTTTTTTTTTTAGTAGTTTCAGACTTTCAATATCTTTTTGAAATCATAATAAAAAGTGACGCCTAGGAACTTCTTGCCGTCCAGCAGCCGATGAACCTATTCATTTCTTTCCGTTGTCATTTTAAACTTAATGCAGTTTCCGACCATGAAATTCTGCAAATATCACTCATGAAAAATAAACTTATCATGCTGTTCTTCGTAATATTCAATTTCTATATTATGCAATACAAAGAAATCGAGAATTACTCAATATCATTTAAGTCCCGTGAAAATATAACTGTATAGATGTTACTTTATGCGACTGATTATTCGCATCGTTAATAGAAAATTGCACATTATCATTGATGATCGCGCCTGACGCGTGATTGAGTCCGATATAATTGTTTACGTACGATCATCCACTTTTATAAATTCATTCAGAACGAATGAATTTTCATGTCACGTTATAACGAATGTGCCGATGAATTTTTCGGTTCTTACAATTTCCTTCAAAATGGTGGACAGTTTACTCCAGGATGAAGATATTGACACTTATCACCAACTCGGCAATAGCCATTTTTAGAAAATTGTCTGCATACCGGCGGTTGCTTCCCGCTTCCCCTCCACCCACCGCCGCCCCCCCTCCAGCCGCCTCTTCCAGGTGGCCCCCCACCACCTCTGTACCAACCAGGTCCAGGAACGCCTCTGCCTCTACCATGCATTGGACCACCGCCTCTAGGGCCTTGAAAGTTAGGTCCAGGTCCGTACATAGGACCAGGCGGGCCTTGAAAATTATTCGGATTCATATTATTAAATCCCATATCTTCTGGACCCATCATACCATAACCTTCTTGTTGATTATACATAGGTGGTGGTCCCATCATTCCGGGTGGAACCATTGGTCCCCCTTCCATTCCTGGTGGGAATGCATTCGGCATATTTCCCATTGGATTCATTCCCATTGCGTCGGGTACAACAACTTTTCCATCTCCCGTTCTCCATCCTCCTCCTCCAGCAGGTATTGGTCCGACCATGTCTGGACCCAATGGGCCCATGTGAGAAGGTCCTATTACTTGTTGAGACATTTGAGGTATTGGACCCAATGTAGCCTGAGGACCCATAGGCGCCATTACTGGCTGTTGATTATGAGGAAACGTTGGGTAATGGAAGTTTGACACTACTGGTGTTTGAGGTTGCAACTGAGGTTTTGGTTCTGGCCACGCCATAGAAGTAAAGTCTTTCTCGCTTTCTTTATTTCCTGTAAGGTCATCCAAAGGAATGATTTTGGGATCACTATATACATGATGACGTTCTTCATCGGGCTCCGCTGCAGAGTCTGGAATCCTGTAATTGAAACATACATAAATTTTTAGTAAATAGAAATTGATGGTACTGGTCGAAATTACACATGGAAGCTTCGACCAGTACCAACTGCCAATATAGAATATACTGGATCATATATTAAAATGTATTTCATATAATTAGTAAAGAGAGCATAATATAAATATCTTTGTGCTTTCTTACATGCTTCGGTTGAAGTATAGCGCTTGTAAAATGCCCTTTTCTCGAGCGTACTGTATATCTTTTTCTCTGCTATCTTTTCCAGATTCTACTAAGGCTGGAGGTAGATCGATCGGAATTAAGGGTTTCCATCTTGTCCTTTCTTCCATCAAGTCTTCATTACCTACAAAATTGTATAAATCATTAATTAAGTTTTATCTTATGTTTCGGTATTAAAAAAAAATGTAAGGATCATTTCTCGACCACTTACTTAATTTTCTGGCCATTTGGAATGCTTCTCTCTCGTTCTGCTTCTCCATTTGTTTCATATCGGTAAATGTTTTTGTCACATTAACCCTTTCTGTCTCATCTAGCTCAAAGTATCGTACCGATTCCAGATCTGTCTTCCATTTCAGTACTTTTTTGGGCCCTTTTCTTTTCTGAAGTAGTAAAACGCTTCTTAGCCCGTCGACGTAACGGATTTCTGGATACGAACTAACATTTTCTTTCTTCGTCGAATCAGATACCGAGGATGAGTCTTCAGGAGAATTGGAAGTCTTTTCTTCCATATCGTCATCGGGCGTTGGTGCTAATAGGTAATATTAAAAATTAGCTACCAAGACACAATGTTAAATAATACAATTTATAACTCAATAAGAACAAAATATCTTACTGTTACTTCCAGCGTCGTCATCGATATCTGATTTGAATATCCTATTTTCTTTTTGGTCATCCGTGGTTTCGTCCTTTTCTCTTCTAATTTCTTCATCCGAATTCTCTTTCTCTTTCTGCTCCTTATCTTCGTCCGTCTCCAATGTATCTTGATAAAACTGTAACCGAGAAACAAATATGTTTTTTTTTACGAATGGAACATTCAATTTTATTGCGTATTACAGCTAACAAATAAATTATTACATAATTCATAAGTCAATGTAAATTGTTTAACAAATTTCTTGAAAAGTATCTTTCTTCAAATTAAACAATATATTTTTATTATTATAAAACATGTATAATGCAACATCAAATCAAACAAAATTAATTAAATTATTTTTTACAGAGTAATTAAAATAATTAAACATAATAAAAATTCATTCCTATTACTGCTTAACGAAGTTAAAGATTACAAATGTTGTTCTGTACATGATAAATACAAACATGAAAATCATACATTTATCAAAATTTGAATTCTCATAGCGGGTAAAATTTTATAATTACACGTACCTTAAAGTTAGGTTTGACAACTACAGGTGATTTTTCATCGGCACTTGGTGGTGAGGTGGGTGGAGGTGTAACATCACGATTATCATTATTGGCAGTTTCTTGTTTCTTAGCATCCGTAGGACCGTCTTTCGTGATGGACGTCCTACGTTTTCTCTTCCGCGGTTCTTTACTCTTCGTTGATGCGGTCAAAGCATCCATAAACATATCGCTTTCTTGTAGAACCATTGCTGTAAAAAATAAATAAATGATCACAGTTAAAATAAAGAAAAAGAGAAACACGTTTATGCTAACACTACCAATAACTATTACTAATAAATGAATTATTTCGTTTCTGCGACTCCACTCCTGACTGCAAGAGAAATTTTATTATTTGTCATTGTAACAGTTGAATAAAAAAACTTATATAAACACACAATAACATTATTCCTTATTCTAATAACATTTTTATCAGTATCATTGTAATATTTAAAATATAGAATTGTGCGCGTCCGGTTTCATCAAAACCACAAATGCAAGCAGTGAAATTATTAATTAACAAATGGGACATATCAAATGTTGTTGAAAATCCGTGACATTCTTTGTCTTTTTGAAAAGGAAAAAATACCGCACTTGCAATCTCATTAATCCGTAATATCCGTATAATAAGATAGACCTGCAAAATAAATGTTAGTTGCATGAGTATTTAAAAGTATTTATTCTCGCGAACTGCTCGCATATGTACCTGTAAAATATCCTGAAAGAAAAAAACATATTTATAAATAGTCAAAATCGGAGACAAAAGTGTATGGACTACATCCTGATAAAGCTGAAAAGAAATAACACTTTCATTTCAATGAGTAAGCTAACGGAAAGTAAATTATGAAGAACATCTATAAAAACCTGAAATTAAAAGAGTATTAATTCTATAATAGCATAAAAAACGTTACTTTAAAATTGTTTGAAGAATGAAGCATCATTACGATCAATTGATAAAGTGAAACTTTTAAAAAAACCATCGAATGCACTTTGGCGCGTTACTGCGCTTCAATATCAAGTTAAATTGTTTCACAAAGACAATATCATTAGAATACATCCAACACGCGCGAATCGATAAATTTAATCGCTAAATTTTGGTCGACGAGATAGTTGTATTGTTCTAATTATCAAGCTAAATGTAAAACAAAGATATAAATAATATGTACGTATGCATGTACAGCGACGTTATGTCGTTTGAATTTCTTAACAGCGCGAAAAATGTAACAAGCTAAACATGAATTTAGATAACGTCGTAAATCTACTTGTTTTATATTTAATTCGTTGCTTGTATCATTAACAACATAATTCTTTTCATATGTCGTACATCGAACGCAAAAGTGGTGACTTTGAATTAAAAAAAAATTATAAACTTTTATTCTATTGGTATTTAATGTTTTAATATTGTCCCCGGCTTGATATAAATACACAATTCATGTTTCTAAAAGATCATACGACATTTAATGCATTTATACATCGATCATTATGTAAATCGTAGTTTTTTCACAAATACATTTTGATGATGAATAGAAACAAAGATTTTTTTTTGTGTATTTGCACGGTGGTCGATAATATCATTGAACATTTCTTAAAGTTTTCCTCATTTTGCTTTTTCTTTTTTCACAAAATTGTTATTATGATATTCACAACCGTAAACAGAGCAATGCAACGATTAATCGCTGTAAACAATATAAAAATTTGGAATCGAGCGAGTTCCGTTCAAACATCAAATAATTTCGTTTCGGTTGATGTACTTCTTTCTTTAAGTATGGTATGTATAATTGACGACGTTTTAGATAAATACGATTGACGCAACAATAACAAAAGTATTGTTATACGTAGGAAGAATGTGCAAAAATGATATATCTATCTGATAATGAGATCATTGTATAAATATTTCATGGAACGCATTCAATAAAAGTGATAACAGTAAACTGGGGAATAATATACGGGTTTAATTATTGTACGGCTCCAATTTTATTTCCATAAAACTCTCGGTTCATGTTCGAGTCATTTTTAAGTTTACTTCGCTCTAAAGATGTTGCAAATCACAAATTTACTTTTATAGTGCATCTACTATGTAACAATAAACATTTGCTTTTCCACATCTTATTTTGTATCTTTGCAAGACCTTCATTGTAATTTGTACACTTAATATTCTATTGTCTAATATAATCACAAATTTTACTGAAATTTTACGCAGTTAGCAATAATTCTATTTCTATCTTTTCTTTAATTTTTAATTTTTATGTTAATTTGAAACTAGCAACAGATAATGAAGAATATACGATTTTCTCAAATATTAAAAAAATGTCAGAAATCCATTTTCTTGCATGAAACGAAATATATAAAATTAATGGTAATGTGATCAGAAGAATTTGTAGATATTTATATACGTAAATAACAATACGTTAACGTTTATAAGAGAACTATGTATAATACGAAGATGAAACTATATTTGTACACATCGAATTTACTACAATTAATCCACTCTATTCTCTCTTTTGTAATATAATCGAGTGCGCAATATTGAAATTAATATAAACGAAAGAACGTTTACGTTTTCATTTGAAACAGTGTCTCGATTGTCATAAATTCTAAGGTAACGCGTAAATATATATTTTTTTTTTCCTCTCAGAGATTTATCTCCGACGTACAAATAAAAAAGTAAACGAAAAATAATTCGTAAATAATAGTTTCTAATATAGAACGAGCTATTGGGTTTTATTTTTCGTTCGAATTCGTTTCGAATTCAAATGCAAGATAGGTACCCGCATAGCGAGAATACGTTCACACTGTGGCGCGGATCTAAATATGTGGAATGGTTAATATATTACTACGCGGAGCGTAATGCTACTGCTACGAGAAACAGAGACTGGTCCCGTACGCGATTGCCTACGCGAAACCGTTGCAAAAACATCCGCCCCGGTACTCCGCAGACATAACGGAGAAGTGCGCCGTTGCGCAACTCCGTCGTAACTCCCGTTTCATCCTTCTTCGCGTCTAATTCAAATACAGGATTTTCCATTTCAGTCTATACGTCGAGACACTAAATTGTCCGAGTCCTTTAATTTCACAAAAATATTTATACGACATTGAATTTCGTGTTTCTTTTTCAACTAAATAGGTACTTGAACAAGATGAGAGAAATCAACCGCATTCATTGTCTCGAACCATGCCATATACTTTTTTTTTTTGGCAGAGAAGTAAACGTTTATGAGCAACTAAGAATATTCCTGTAAATTGAGCGAAAATTTCTTCTTAAGGAAAAAATATACGCGTTAAAGCGAGCTCTCGACAGTATTCATTGGCCGTTTGCAAATCATTTCTTTTAATACGATAAAAAGCTACATTCTCCGAAAGAATAAATACACGCGAATCCCACCATATATGTATATGGATTCGAAAAAAATAAGTTAATATTATGCTCATACTAAAGACAAGGCACAATATCGAATATTTGATTTTCATTATCCCAGCTTTCTTTCTTTTTTCTTTCTCCCGTTCCAATTTCTTTTCACCCGATTGTTAATCCGCGACCACTGGCAAGGAAGGTGACTTCTTCGCCGTGTTGACGTCGTCATTGGTAATAGACGATTATGTGTCGTGCAAGAAGAGGCCCGCTGATCCTACGGGTGGCTTGCTCGAAGTCGACGTGTCGAAACGCAGCATCGTAATTTTATGCATTCTCGGAAGTGCTTTTCATCCACGAGATTCCCGTACTGTCTTTCAAATGAACTTCCTCTGAACGTCGTATCACATTTTTTTCGCTTGTTTTTTCATCTACTCGTCTCGTACATACTATTTATTCTCTCTCTCTCGCTCCCTCTCTCAACATTCTTTCTCTCTCTCTCTCTCTCTCTCTCTCTCCCTCTCTCTCTCTCGCTCGCTCGCTCTTTCGCTCTCTCTATCATTCTTTCTCGCTTTCACAAGGATATCTCGGGACTATGTGCCCGAAACAAATTTCTATTCTCTCTGATGAATGCACGAACGTATTCGAATGATTCTGCAAATCCACTGTGAACTAAAGAATAATGTAGAATTGAAGATAGCGTATTGATTGTAAAGATTCTTTTCCCTTGTGCGGTGACACTCGAAACGATGTGAATTCTATTAAACATTTTACATCCAAACTTCGGTTACTGTTCGAATATTAATACCAAGTAAAACCAAGGAAACAAAATGGATTGTATAAGTAAATTTGAGAAACCTACGTTGCTGTGACTTTTACAGAAACGAACTAAAATATTTAAGATGCATGCAACCAAATCACCGCTAATTATATTTGTAAACTAATATCGTAACTTGTTCTACTTGCATCGTAATTCTACCGATTGTCTGAACATTGAATATATTTTATCTTGATAAATTACACCACTTTTGAAAGCCCCGACTTGGTTTTGCACCTTCCGATTTGTGCGATTAGTCACCGAGAGGATGGAAATCTGGATGGGCCCACGGTGTGAGTGTTTGCTTTATCAAGCATTCAGTGAGCAAGATGTATAGCAGAAACCCAAGAGTTAAATATTTCCAGATTTCTGATCAATTTATTTAAATGCTTAATAGGGTGTACATGTACAAGGGAAGAAGTATGGACAGACAAGAGTTTGGTTTGTCTCCTTACCTAGGTAGATTAGTAATATCCGATGGTGACTTCTATCGGTGTATCGTTCATCAGTGAACGGTAAAACACACACCCCGAATATTCTATCAATAAGAAAACACACCGTTTCTGTTTTAACCAAATAATTGTTTGAAAAAACTGCACGATTACTTTCGACGTATTGCTTATCGTCATATCCGATTTTGTGAGTTTAACCACACGACACTAGCTTTCGGAAATTTTGTACATACGATGTAATTAATACTTTATCGAAGATTACCTGCTTAATCTTCTTAACATAGGAAATAAATCGATGTTCAAAGAGACGATCCTAATGTCTTCATTCTTCAAACACGACGTTAATTATCGAGGCAAGCACGAGATCCAGTTTCGATCCACTTCCACGTGGGTCGATCGATACAGGTTTTCTTTTATCTTCTATAAGACTCTAATCGTTTAAAAAAAAGTAGCATAGGGTTCTAATATATGGTACAAATTAAAACAATACTGGCCTGAAAGAAATTGCTAATTAATTGGATAAATAAAAAACTATTATTAATTTACGAATCAACAATTGCGTAATATATAAAATATATATAGTTTGCTCATGCTTCTCCTGGAGCCATCCACCTGCAAACTCAATATTAAGAAGTTAGTAGTAGCATATATAATAAAAGAAACTGATGTTCAGAGACTGATTATTTTACATGTAATTATACGCGCCGAAACAAGTCACATAAACATTCTTTTATCGATAACTTTTCAATTTTTAAAATGCTGGTATCTTTCGTAAAGAGGTACTATATTATTATGTTACAAATCTAATGTACACATAATAATTAGTACTATCTATACATTATTCTTTTATACTTTAAAAAAACAGAAAATTTCAGATTATATTAATGCAATATGGTGTCGCAAATTTCTTTAGCGTGAATATTTTATAGTTTAACATACATTCAACAAATCTAATTAGTCTACTCATATAAGAATATAGACATTTAGTAATTGATAGAATTCATACTAATATAATTTATAAAATAATTTATAAAATTTCTGACGATACGAACGATTTTCAATTACGAAATATATCATTAATAACCTGTTAAAAAAAATTTTCTAATTTTCTGAAAACTTTACATGTAGTCTTAGAACATCAGTGTTAAAAACAAATTTAAGATGATATACACCTTGTTCCCTAATAAATTTAGTTGACTTATTGAAAAAAAATTCGTATAGATACATATAAAGAAAGTTTTAAGCATATTACTTTAGATACTGGATGATACTTACGTTTTGGTTTTGGTGGTATCAATTTGATGCCTCCTTTCTTCTCTTCGCTTGGAGGTGTAGTTGGGGAATCCAATGACAACTTAGCTCGTTTGTCTGTTGATGGAATAGCTTCTCTGAGTGGAGATGGCCTCTTCAAAACAGGTAATTTCTGGGGTATGACCTTTTTATCAATGATAGGATTTGGTTTCTTTGCTGATCTAGGTGGTGGAGGTTTTACTTCTTCCTCCAAACCAGTTGACCTGAATTTAGAATTAAACGTTTTCACAGTCTTTGGCCGCATTGTAGAATCCTGAGAATTTTTCCTACTCTCGATAGAAATAGAAATGTTCTTTTTCTCTGGCATTGCGATAACTTTCTTCGGATCAGTCTTATTTTCCTTAGAGCTGTCCCTCGAGTCTGTTGATGACTTTCTTACAGCTGCATCTCCTGATTTTTCTTCTTCCAACTTCTTTTTAGGTATTTTTCCTAACTTTGAACTCAATGCCTGTCCTTGTACTTTTTCCAGAGTCGCCTTATCCTTTTCTGCCTGATCTTTCTTTTGCTTCTCCTTTTCTCTTTCTTTGTCGGATTTAGTTTTACTAGAACTATGTTTACCAGATGAATTAGACGAGTGATGTTTCTCCTTGTCCTTGGAAGACTTATCCTTGTTACTAGAGCTTTTTGAACTACTACTACTAGAACTAGAGCGATGATTACTAGATTTGTAAGAAGTGGAACTAGTACGATGCGAACTGGAACTTGAGGTATGTTTAGAAGAACTTTTGGAGGATGAAGACGAACTATGATGACTTTTTTTATCTGAACTACTAGATTTTTTTTCATCTTTTTTAGACGAGTCCCGGTTTTCTTTATTACTAGATTTACTACTTTCACTACTAACATTGTCTTTAATGTCTTTAGAGTCTTTATTTTCTTTATTTTTAACAACTTCCACATCAGTACTGTCCGTGGAATCTATTACAGTCTGTTTCACTTCACTGGAAACTTGGTCTAATTTTTCAGATTGTGCAACATCTGTTTTATAACCTTGACCACTGACTACACAATCACTGAGTTCCTTAGATTCTGCTTCCTCAACAGTATGTTTCACAGCAGGTGTATCGTTCACAACATCTCCATTAATTTCTATATTTGTACTATTCGTATTTAAAACACTATTAATATTTGTAGCATCTGTCTCCACTTTTGTAAGAATTTGTTTACCTTCACGAATTGTAATTTTATACACAGGAACTGGGGATTGTGAAGATGTAGATACCACAACAAAAGCTGGCTTTTTTGATTGCTGTGATGATAATTGCTGTTGTAATTGCACTTGCTGCGGTTTACTAACAACTTGCAGTTGCAAAGATTGTACAGTTGTCCTTTCTTGCAATTGCTGTTGTTGCTGCTGTTCTTGCGGTTGTTGCTGCTGTTGTTGAATATGGGGTACTGCAATGGTTGTTGTAGAGTTTGGAGTAAATTGCAGATCTTGCACATGAACTGTTGCATTTTCGACACCATCCGAGACTTGTTGAATACCACAATGAATGGAAAACTGTTGCTGTTGTTGCGCTGATTCAGAAACCAAATTTGCATGTCCTAGAACTCCAGTACCTTGCACCGGAATTGTCATGATTTGTGCTGGCACAGAATTTGGTGCAGCTTCTCCTTTCACTATCTTTAGCCATTGCTCAACTAATCGACTAGCCAACACTCTAACACCTTGATGACTGCCTTCTTTTGATAGACCTTTTATTAATTTTGGACAATTGTTGCTTTTTAATCTTTCAATATCTACTGGACATAGCAGCAAAAGCTCAAGAAGTTCCTGAATGAGAGCCCAATTTTTTGCAAGAATGCCATCAGTGAGCCACATGTGAATAAGATTCCATCCTCCAGCACCCATAAATCTAAGAAAAACAAAAATTTGTCCAAATTCTAAACTATCCTAGATTGTGACATTTACTTCAGCATTATATAACACAAAATATTTTGATATTAATAAGTTTTATAATATTATAGTTCTCAACAAATGTTTGTAGGACTCGTATCAGTGAGTACGGTTTACGTGTCAAACCGTCCAATGGTTCTGAGTTCCAAGTTTCTTAATCTAGCATGTATTTTATTTTTCACATGACTATACAAATGTGCATGTCATGTGTCTCAACATGCAACATAAAAAATTTTTAATTTTGATGTAAGTGGTAACAGACTTATCAATAACCTCCTAATAATACAAAAAAAACATATACTCACTGACTAAGCAAATCGGTGTTTGTAGTTTTTAATATCTGAATGTAAATGCATTTTGAAACAAGTTTCTTCGAGAACTTTGTCATTAAATTAGCTAACCGATGAACTTCTTCTTTACTCTTAATGCCTCCAGTTGGCCCCAACAAAACGCTAAGACACTTCAATAATGATAATGGATCTATGCGCGGCTGAAAAAGTATATGGACAACATCACATACCTTAAAGTTTCAAAACACTATGTAGAATAGAGCTAATAACAAATCTTAATTAATTGTTTTGAATAAATAATATTAAATATTTTAAGTAAACTGCTACCAACTAATAACTTCATTTCTAATTTTTTGATAACTTTCTAAATTAGTAAGCAAACTTTTAAATTCAAATTTAATTGAATCAATGCACACGATTTATAAAATTTGTTTATAGTTTTGTACAAAATATCATTAATGTATCACTAGAAATTTAACCTGTACTAAAAAAGAAAAAAAGCGTAATGTTACATATAAATTGTAAATTAACATACTGTTATAACTTTCAATATAAATCATGTATTACATAAAAGTGTTACGTGAATCATATCAATAAATAAAAACAAAAATTTTAATCACAAAAGAACAATGAGAATATTACATAGAAATGCAAACTTAATAAAAAAGCGTAAGGATCATTTACCTTCCCCATTTTGATAGTTAAAATGAGTATTATGAATTCATATTAAATGAAATTTAGATAAACCATCGTTGTATTATCTAAATGCGCGTAGTGCACGACGATTAGATGTTGGCGATGCCAGAATTAGGATACGAGGTCACACAAGTGAAGGTTATTGATCCTACCGCTTTCCCCTTCCATTACGTCTGTCGCAATTCTATGTATATGGCGCCCTCTCTCAAAAAATTTGCGAAGTAAGGGGGAAAGTAATTGATTTTAATAAATTCGACTTACCATTTTGATGTTATTCTTGACGATTTAGCGCATATCGAAGTACAAACATAGGATCATGACGTAAATCTGTAATAAAACACAAAGATATTCGGGTTTTTTGCGGGAAAATCTCAACGTAGTTCTTGAAGGACAAGCGTAGTACGTTACAACGCCATATTGTTGAATATTCTCACGAACGTAAGAGACATAGGTAAGAGATTTCGTATCTATGAATAAATTACATTGCCAGATATTATTTACCTAAGCCTAAATGTACTTTCCCCGAAAATCATTCGTGAATACTAAATTCTTGAAACGTTTTCTTATCCTCATTGTCCTCTCATTTTACAATACGGAATCTACCTCACAAATCAGAAACGCCAATCGAAATGATTTTTATACCGAATCTTTTCGATTTGAATTATGCTTTCGTTATTTTTCATTCCCTAATGACAAAGAACTTCAAATACTGAAATTAAGCAACAGAAAGCTACAAATAGTAAAACTATCAGTACGAAATGTATGCTCCTCCAGGCAACGGTGCTCACTCGATGGTCAACTGGCAGATCTCTTCCTGCGCAATACTTCCGCGCATATCCCACCCAGAATGGTTACACAACCGACCAATCACGTTTCGCACCCCCCTAAAGTCGACCAATAATTGTCGCGACCCCACCCTATCACTTGACATCATCACCGAACAACTTCTATTTATAGCACACCATGATCGTTCATTTGTGCTGCATTAGGATTTTTTCCGAATTTATGAATTTCATATGTGTATACAATCACTAACACTTTTAGTAACGCTCTTCAATAATATTCTATTGCCACTCGTTCGATTTTGGAAATATAACGCATATCATGCATGCAATTTCTATTACGAAAACCCGATAATCCCGACAATATGTTCATGAATTTATCACTAATATGTACATTCATCGTTTCACCTTGCTTTTTTAGGCCTCAAATACTTATTTTTCAATTTCTTCCATTTTTATTATATCTATTACGAAATATACTTAAAGTTTTGTGGTACGTAACGTGCTGAATAATAAAACCGTACCACCTTTTGATTAATAATTTGAAAATTAAACGGTATCGAAAAAATATAGGCTTCGGCTTTTTTGAACGACAGAAAAGCCACTCACATTTGATTAATAATTAAATCCTTTTATGGAAAATAAATGTTCACAGCGATGCATAAGAAATTTAACATTTCTTATAGACAAAAGCGACGTGGCCCTATGCTTCGACGCAAATAGACTACGGATTCGGTGAATGCTACAAGATCGCCCAAAATCCGCAAATATCTTCCCGTCGATCTGCCATCTGTAATCAAACATTGTTTAAATTTTACTTTTATTACCTTAATGATGATTTTCTTGTGATATCTTGTTGAACAATTCCGAAATTTACTTTTAACTCGAGTAAAATTATCCTCACCTAACTACGTAGAAGCTGCTGTTACGCCCAAACCGGAAACGTCATATTTCCTTCAACAGAATCAAATGTCTGTTTATTTTATGTGCCGATTATTATCATTACTGTAATTTTGAATAATAATACTAAAATGTTAAAAATATTTAATTTAATTATAATTAATTATCAAAGCAAAAACTACGTCTAAAAATAATAAAGTAACTAAAATATTTTAGTAACTTCCGACGCAACCTACAATTTTCTTAATCAAATCAGCAACTTTTATGAAAAAAAGCTTTTATAATAAAACATGATATATCGAATGTAATGTAAACTTTTTGTGAGAATACAAAATACTTGATATATTTATGATAAAAGTTTAGAAATAGTATAACAAGAAAATATTTGTCCATATCAATATGCGATAGTAACAAAGTAAATATTTCTAAGTATTATGAAACGTAAGCACTATTAAACAAATTAGATTGAAAGAAGATAGAAAAATTTGTAATAAAAAAAGGTTGTAATATTAATTAACTATAATGTAAATGTTGAAGCAAGAGTTGAATCATATTTTATTTGAATTTGATCACGTTAATGTATGCATACGTGCGTGTATATATGATTTCTCTACTACATCGTACGAGTACTATTGCGTTCGTAATACAAATTATCTAAGAATTGTGTTAAAGAAAAAATAATGTCATTCGTATTGAATGGATTCCAATTGGCTGGATCAATTTTACGAACGAATTTAACTGCAAGAGTAAGAATTAACAGTATGAATATATTGAAACGCTTGTAACTTTTTAGATATCAATATTTTTAGGTTATACCTGTAAGATTTATACGTCTTTCGTTTGCACAATTTGATGAAGAAAATAAAGAAATACCTGCACCTGTGAAGGAAGTACCACCTCATAAGGATAGGAGTAAAATTATTCCTGTGGAGACTAGTATAAGATACATGCAAAGTGATGGTGAATGCCTACATAGAATAAATTTTTTCAATAACTATTAAATATACAACGAGTAACGAGATTGTTTGAACACTAGGCAAACATATTCTAGTGTCTAAATATTTATGTTAAATAATTATTACACGTAACAAATTATTTCAGCTTATAAACAAACTTATGGAAATGATCCTGTTTGGAAATTGTATAGACGAAATCATAAAGGTGGTATTCCACCACAAAAAACACGAAAAACTTGTATTGTACGTATTTTTTTTAAAAGTAATTGAAACTAGTAAAAATTTTTTAACTTCTAATATTATAAATTTTATAGAGAAAATCTGTAATCTCTGCTGGTAATCCATGTCCAATATGCAGGGATGAATACCTAGTGGTTGATTTTGTTAATGTAAATTTATTAAAACAATTTATATCCGATTATAACGGAGAAATCTTAAGTTATAAGTAAGTTCAATATTTCTGAATACTGAGAAAAATTAAAATATTTACGTATATTTTATTTATCCCCTTTTTTGTTCACAGAAAAACTGGTCTTTGTCAAATGTCTCATAAGAAATTGCTTGTTGCTATATTGAAAGCGAGAGAATATGGTTTACTTACATTTGATATTCCATTTAAATATTATGATTATTCAGAGTGGAAAAGTGCTTAAATTAAAAACCAATTTAGAAACTTATATTAATTAAAAAATAATATAAAGATGGACGAAGAAGAAATAAATTGTACATTTGCAGTAATAGGAGGTGGTATTGCTGGGGTATCTTGTGTTGAAGGTATAAGTTTTCTTGCTCCACAGGTAGATACAGTTCTGATTACAGCAAGTCCTTTGATAAAAGCAGTTACAAATATAGTACCACTTGGTAAAACATTAATGCAGTTTAATGTAGAAGAGAAAGACACAGCAAGTTTGTCAAAGACAAATAAATCGTTAAAAATTATACAAGATTTTGTAATCGAAGTAAATGTTTCAAATAAACAAATATTAACAAAAAATGGAAGAATTGTAAATTATAAAATACTATGCCTTTGTAATGGTGCCAGACCAAAGCTTATAACAGAACGTAACAAGTTTATTTTAGGAATTCGAGATACTGAATCGGTTATTCAGTTTTCCCAAAAAATACAAAATTCAAGGAGGATCATAGTAGTTGGAAATGGAGGTATTGCTACTGAAATTGTAAACGAAGTCGACGGTGTTGAAATAATATGGGTAATTAAAGACAAACACATTTCTGCAACATTTGTTGATCCCGGCGCTGCAGAATTTTTTATGGATAAAATACATAAAACCAATGTATCTGAAAATGTTAATATAAATGCTCCAACTAAAAGAATGAGGTATACTGTGTCTGGCACATCAGTTGTAGAAGATGGACCAGCTTTAGGTCCAGACTGGCACAATAATTTTAATATAAAGGGTACTTTCTTTAAATCAACAAAAGTTCAAGTAGAGTATGACAGCGAAGTTGCAAAAATTCTTAGCACATTGGAACAGAAAGAATTTGATCCTATGGAGGAATGGCCTGTATATGTCGAATTGACAAATGGAAAGATTATTGGTTGTGATTTTATTGTATCGGCAACAGGTGTAATACCAAATTCAAACATAATGGGTTTAGATGATCTTAAGAAAGGAGAAGATGGTGGATTATTAGTAGATTGGAAACTAGAAACATCGGAACAAGACATATATGCTGCTGGAGATGTATGCAGCGCAGGATGGGAATTAGCAAAACAATGGTTTCAGATGAGGTTGTGGACGCAAGCACACCAAATGGGACGTTATGCCGCGAAAGCGATGATTTCTAAATTTAAAAATGAGGAATTTTTACAAGATTTTTGTTTTGAATTGTTCACTCACGTAACTAAATTCTTCGGTTACAAAGTAGTTTTGCTTGGTTTATATAACGGACAAAAATTAAATAATAAGTACCAAATTTTATTACGAATGACCAAAGGAAAGGAATATATAAAGCTTGTGCTAGAAAATGATAAACTGCAAGGAGCAGTATTGATTGGAGATACTGACTTGGAAGAAATGTGTGAAAATTTAATACTTAATCAGTTAGATTTAAGCATTTATGGGGAAGACTTATTGAATCCTGATATTGACATTGAGGATTACTTTGATTAGTTGTATAGAGATGAACTTAATAAATGTATAATTACGACCTAAAGAAAATACAAAATATATTTAAGACACATTTACATACACAGACTTTTAATTGTAACTTTCATGTATTATTAATCGTCATTAAATATACAAAGTGTATTTGAAATAACTGTATTAAAATAAAATAAAGTAGTTAATCACGTTAACTAGTTTCTGTAGTTTGTAATGTAAGAAACGTTAAGTCAAAATTAAAAATTGTTTAATGTAGTACGCAATATTAATATAATCTAATTACGTATTTCGAAAGACTGAATCGAATTTTATGTAAGTAGATAGAAATAAACTCTACAGGTAAATGTACATAAACAAATATTATATAAATATATGTGTGACAAGAGATAAAGTAGAATAACTAAATGTATTTCCTTATTATAATTTAACGTCTAAATTATATGACTTTCAAATTACTACAAAAAAAATGTACATTCTTTATTTGTATAATATAATTTTTTCTGAAATTATATTTGTTAAACGAATTTCCCTGTAATATTCTGATTGATTTAAATGTTCTTACCATTATTAAGTCACTTCTTTCTTCAATTTACCGGTAAATCTGACACTCTTTTGGCTGATTTTGTCAAAACCTCTAGTATTGTTACGTAAAGTAGACTTTATCGGCGAGGCGAAGATTTTACTACAATCTTCTATGAGTGTTAAATTTTTGTTATCAGACTTTTCAATCACAGTACTATCATCACAATTTTGTACACAATTTGCACTTTCGTTTGTGTACTCGCTTAAGTTTCTTACTTCTAAAGTTTCGCGCAATCTGTCAATGATATTTTGCATTTCATTAAGAGATTCCGTAACCGTTTCAATTCTGTCATTTCTTGCACACAATCTGCGCAAAGTTTTCGCAGTAAGCTCCATTTGTGTAAGACAAGTGTTTATCGTTTCTTGTTCTTTGGAATTGTCAAATGTTTGATTAACAAATGTGTTTCCTAGAAAAGATGTTTCGAAAGTAAGCTGTTGCAAACTCTCGTTTAAATGTTTCTTCACCGGAGTTATATTTATCGAAATACGACTGCTGTTTAAGGAATCTTCAAATGTTTCCGTATTTTCATAGGCTTCCCAAGTTTCATCTGACGTTGTACACAGTTCTTTTATCGAATCTTCGATATCATAATCTCGCAAATGATGAACCCAATCTAAAAATCGCATTGGTTCCCAAAATGTTTCTTTCATAGAATCTTTATTACGTATACGAATCACTGGTTTCAGACTTTTATTTACAATTATTTGCTGCTGATCAAATTCCTATGGTACAACATTTAATTATACGATCGCATAAAATATATATACATTCTAAAGAATCATTGCATGCCAGATCACCCACGTTTTGGAATAACATTTCAGATTTTTGCAGAAATGCATGTTGCGATTTGGCATGTTATGATCTTAAAATATTACCTATTTAGTAGATACATACATAATTAATACCAACTTCTCTGCACCGTTCAGTAGCTTCTTTCACCAATAATTGCATTTCATGCAGACTGATACCTCCTTCGCTTATTGCTTCTGTGCTGGCTTTCATTTTAAGCGCGAATTCAGCGTCGGCTGTTTTTTCAGTTAAAATATTTTCCAATTCTTGTAAAAAATTTGATTTATACGGCGCAACGGTAACTTTCTTTTGCTGTAATTGTATCTGCTTTAATCTATTATTTACTTCAACTTCGCTTACAAGCAATTCTTTTTCCAATTCCAATTCTTTCTTTTTCTGATGAATCTTTTCTAATGCAAATTTTTGCTCTTCAACCGTAGAGCCAAGAATTTCAATTTTACGTTCGTACGTTAACTTTTGAGACCCTAATTGCATTTCAACTTCTTGTTTCGCGCTTTCTAATTCTCTTATTGCCTTCTGCTTACTCTCCTCCAACTCAGCTCTCAGCCTGTAATAAACAAAACATAAAAAAAAATGTTGAAAATTTTTTTATCGTGTATATTTAGTTTAAAAAACACGTCTAAATTTCTCCTACTTTTCCTCTTGTACTTTAAGAATTTCTTGGTGAGCAAATTCGTAATCCACAGCTTGCGCAGAAATTTGTACATTGTTGCGTTCGTTGTGCGGATTCAAGACTTTAAAGTAATGATTTCCACCGATCACGAGACGATCGCCATGCTTGAGAATAACTTTACCAGTTATAATCTGTAACAAAATAAATATTTTACATAAAGTAATTGATATATAATAACGTATATAAAGCATATTATACCTGTCCATTGACATACGTGTCCCCATCCACCTCCGACGATAGTACAAGTTTTCCATTATTATTTTCAATGGTACTGTTAAATACATAAAACATAATTAAAGTAAATATAATCAGGAAAGCTGTTAAAGTAACATAGTGTTACTTATAATAGAAAATAATGTCAACCACGTGCGTGTTATCCTGAAAATGTCGGGATGTAGTGATCAAATTTGAAAATATTCCACCATACCAGAACTCGTTGGGAAACAAGTAAAGAGTTATACTATACTGAAAATCATCATGCAACCTTTTCAAACCCATGGTATATTAAATGCAATGCCTGTGCAGATGGTAACGGTTAATTATATTGTGAAAAGTGACAAATAACATGCATTGCCGGCAACACACACAACGGAGGAAATGAAATAATGGATAAAATAACATATGCTCCTGTACCAGAAATCATGAAGTAGCGAGCGAGAAAATTGTGGAAAATGCACAAGAAGATGGCGGAAACGAGCATGAGCGAATAAAGTAACCAAATTCAATCAATTCATTTGTTCTATACCACCAGACTCCAAACGACCCATAACTAACCAGTGTAAAGGTCTAACCAGCGGTCCATCCAACATGATATCCAAACTTTTGGAAGAACTTTCCTGCCCGGAATGTTTGCCGATACGAACCAATCCCGGAGGGATTAGATACAAAAGTGTACCAGACAATATAGGATCGGCCGCGAGATTTATAAGACAAGGTTGTTTGTCGTTCCCGTGAATATCAATCTCAATAGCGATTCCACAGCGACGTAAGTATTTTAATTCGGAATTTTTCCTCTTCTCGGTTTCCCATAATTTATTTTGCCAAGTCCTGCAATTACATGGAACTAAAACTCGAACTTTTACCGGCGATCAATCGACGAGTTTACACGTCGATTCCTACAATCCGACTTTAGAGTAGCGCTGGTTCAACCCTAATTTCCTTCCAAAACAACTATTTCTACAATGGAATCCACGACGTTCGAAATAATTGGAAGATTATGCATTATGATAAATGGTCTAAAAACATAACGGCCTAATTATTTTTAACAGCGTATTTGTTGTCGATGCTAATACAACTTCAATTACGAACTGTAAAACGTAACAATTTATTAGACGATTTAAGTATCTATAAGAGATTAAAAGTTTATCATCGGTAAAAAAAATATGAAATGCGCGTACTTGTGCTTTGTTAGAAAAAAATATGAAAAATACGCTAACTTATACTGTAAATATTATACGACGAATTAAGAATATCCTATCGAAATTTCCTTACGTCTGGGTAACTGTAAGCTGTTCCTCGGTTTTTTTCAGTTGATTTTTCAGTTTATCGATTTCTCGTTGTTTTTGTTTGATTTCATCGTTATTTTCGGTAATCGGCTCAATAGAATCGAGGAGACGTCGTGGAATGCCGCCAAGTTGTCTTTCATATCCCTCACGGACACCACGTAATCGTAAAACTTCTGTTTTCAACTCGCTATTAAAGAAACCATAATTACATTTATTAAAAATCCTTAGGTTAGACTTGTCAGTATAATTAAACATATCTACAGCAGAGATACTCCTTTGTTTTACTGTTTCGAGCTTTCAAGGTCCATGTATTTGAAAACTCTTTGAAATTTTTTATACGTATTGGAACTAATAAAGAAGGCCATTGAATGTACATAACAAACAGCTATTTATAAAGTAAATATTTGTTACAAATTTAAATGAGTTAGTGGTTTCAGGTTTATTTTAGAAACAAAATGTTGTTTATATATACAGGGTGTTCGGCCACCCCTGGGAAAAATTTTAATGGGAGATTCTTGAGGCCAAAATAAGACGAAAATCAAGAATACCAATATGTTGATGGTGGCTTCGTTAAAAAGTTATTAACAATTAAATTCAAAAATTTCAAATCGTTCTGGAAAAATTATTTTCGGTTGCGGGGGTCGATTACAATCATTTTTGGTGAATAGACATACCCCCGAAATCCCACCCATTTTCTAGAAAAAAATTCGAGAAGGTGTGAAATTTTTCGACGGAAAAAAAAAATTTCAAATCGTTTTCGAAAAATTATTTTCGGTTGCGGGGGTCAATTACAATCATTTTTGGTGAACAGACATACCCCCGAAATCTTGCACATTTTCGAGAAAAAAATTCAGTACGGACGGAACTTTAAACGTTAATAACTTTTTAACGAAGCCTCCATTAACAAATTGTTATTCTTGATTTTTGTCTTATTTTGGCCTCCAGAATCTCCCATTAAAATTTTTCCCAGGAGTGTATCTTACATACCGAATTAACTTTTCGTGCGGGTCTTCGTTAATTCGAATACGATTAACAATAGCCCGGACTTGACAAGCGTATCGAAGGGTTGAAAGTGTCTCTTCCACGTGTATATTAGCTGATGATACGGTCCCAAGCATCGCTGTTCTGGAATTTCCACCGAGACTTTCCTAATAAATTTAAACAGAATTTAACAATGACAATATTGATTCATTTATCAATTGTAAAAACAATTTAATAAAATAACTCGGCCTCGAGTCCCATATTGCGAGCATTATGGTTCAAGATATTTTATCTAATTTAATCTTGATTCTCTTAGGCATAAATAATTATTATCGTGGGCATTGTACAACAAAAGAACAAGCTTTGAGAAAGAACGATTGTACTCTAATCTGTTTTAAGTAGCATTTACCAATTACACCTTGACGTTTCTTTCTTAACATTATCCTGATATAATTAATAAAATGATAAGACTGTAAAGAGAACGCGAAATTCATCGTTCGTATATGTATACAAAGGTGTGTTAACTGCGTTGTTAAGTCCACGTTCAACTCTGGAAAAAAATTATTTTCCATTTTTACGATCGTGTTTGTACGTTATCATTCCGATGTTTCTTTAAATGCACATTTTCTAGATGGTATTATTAAATAACAGAATTATTCCGTCGAGCAGAATTATTGAATTACTATATTGTAATGGAAATTTTCACTTATCTAAAAAATCAGAGCTCATTGATCAAACATTTCGAGCGTGCAAGTACTTATCTAACATTTTTGGAAATTCCTTTGGAAATCACTCTTTGTATCAGATACGATAACAATTCGAACGTACAAATTGCAATCGGTGGTGGTTTTCAAGTACAAAAAATTATGGACTTATTAAATCCGAAAGGAAACGTACGGATAGCACATCTGAATCAAGATATTATAAATGATTCTTTATTTTCCACATAGGACGCGTATTTGTAATATTCAAACGTAGGAAAAAATTCTTCGAATGATTCCATTTACGCTTATCTTACGTTAGAGCTTGCGATGTTATCAGTAATAAAACTGTATTTATTCATATTTGCTTTTTGCAGGAATGCCAGTTATTCGAAGATAGAATTTCAATGATGTATGTACTGTTCGCGTCCATTAAACTACATTTATTATTTCATGAACGTTTCGATTTCTACTGCACATCGCCGGCAATAAGTAAAACTAGTATTTCATTTTGCATCGATAGTGCACACTGCGCGTAAAATATAGCCTTGTTCGACTCGATGACGCATACGTAAGTCAATGCTAAACAATTATCACTGAATTTTCTCTTACTATAAAAGCACTCGCACCATAAGATAAGAATTATCGGAACAGAACATTTTTGCGTTATTAACGCGATCTTCAAGATAGACATTAACAACGTATGATGGATCACTGGCAAGTAAACAAATAATTTCTATCGGTGCATTTTTCAAAGATTTGCTGATAATAGCTGCTAACAATAGTTGCAACAATAATGCATACACACACGTACATAAAAACAATATTCAAAATGATAAATAATTGTTCGTCGAGGATAAAAGTTACGCGTTACTTACGATTGAAGTAAGAGTCATCTATTTCAGAGATAAGCTTGATTTTAATGAGAAAAATTAATCAGAATATACTGAGATTACTGAAAATCAACGGCTGTACTTCCAAACGATAGCGATGGCTGATCGGTACGAAATTTGGAAGCAGCGGTGAAAGTGAATGGACCTTAAACTTTCGTTACTGTACAGTGGATTTTCTCTATGTGTATGCATCGTTATGTGACAATTTATTGAACAAAAGAAAGCTGTTCAGTTTGCGTAGAAGCCACTACGAAGCTAGTCTCTTTCTTCTTTTTATTCCCACGCATACGTGTAGGGAGAGTTCTATCTATAGTAGTAAAGTTCTTTGTTAATATCTCAGAAACTAATAAATCCCTGGATTTAAAATTTTATATTTCAGTTCTACTTCCTTTTCCCACCGTTTCGACCAATGTTAACGCTTTAATGGCCGCACTGATATTGTAGACCAAAGTGAGATACATGAACATGCTAGAAATATTATCACGAGGAATTATAAATGTAACCTCAACAAACGTAATAAGACGAATGTACGATGAAACGGTGACTGATACGTTAGATCACGCACACGTGACAGTGGCCAACGTTTGCTAGCTCGCGAAGCCACGTATACGTGACATCGGCCGTCAAAGCGTTAACACTCTCGGGGGATCCTAGACACGTTCGTTTTTGTATACGTTCCGTTGACCATATAATAATTTCTTGCGGATGGTATTATTTATTTGCGATTTGGGTTAATTTTGTGCATAAAAATTGTTAATCTTAAATAGCTTTTTCTGTAAAGCAAAGAAAACGGGCATACGTATGTACATGCGAAATCGCAAAGGTGATTGGAGAAAATGGAGAGGGGCGGGCGCGAAGCGGTACCGAAGGGCGAGCGGTTGCGACGGAGAGGAGCGGAGAGTCGAGGACCGATGGAGAGGGAAATACCGGCGGATAAACATTACGCGCTCAGCGTCCATACTCCTTTAGTTTAAAGCAAAACATCGCAGCAATTCGAGCATAACGCGATCTTGACTTTTGGCAATCGCTTTTTCTGCGACGTTGCATAACGCAAACGTGGATACCGTTCGATCGTTCGCCAGCGAGTAAACCGCGACCGGGGAAAGAAGAAAACGGCAACGAACGATCTTCTACGTTGCGGACCGAAAACGTTTTCGCTTCGGCTTTAGAACGGCGAAATAACTTTGCGATCGTTCGGTACACTTGTTTACGAAAAAAAAGAAGAAAGTTAGTACGAAAAGATATTCGGTACCATCGAGGACAGATCGAAGAGCACTTCGAGAGAAACACTGGCCGTCCGACGAGGGAATACGATTGGAATCGCAACCACGTGCGAAGATGTGAATAGATTTTCATGATAAGAGACGACTGTAAATAGAAACAAACATCGACCGAAGATGGATCTGGTTTACGTCCCAGAGGTTCTGACATACGGTTTATTCAGAAGTCAACAGTACCGGGACTATGAGCAGCCTTGGAACAAAGACTACTTCCACAATGGTATGTTCGAGTCGATAGTAAACAAATAACTATTACTTGTTTAAGCGCCACGAAGGAAGCGTCAAAGATATTTTCGATTTGTGTAATTCACGAAAGACGAATTCGGCCGAACGGTTGATTTTCTGTTTTTACGATAAATAGTCGTCACGATTTAACGACTGATCGTGTTATTTTTCCTTGTGAATGTACTTAATAACGCTAAACTTGGCGTAAAAGCACGTGTCAGTCTTCGTTCGTCACAATGTTTGAACGTCCCCGGAAAATTAACATCGTTCTTCGTGAACGCGTTCAAATTTACCAATCCATACGGTCACTTTTGTTGTTTCTTTTCCTTTATTACCGAGAACACATCCGAACGAATATTACGGTTTACGCTGAGACGAGAATATTGTCGTGAAAGGTCGAACAAAACACGTTTACCTATAAGGTGAACTTGTTTTTCCTGATTGGTGGTACACTTAAATAGAAATCTAAAATGTGCATAATATGCAATATTCGTCGAGAGGAAAAGAATGGATCGATCTTGGGAATCGATCGATAAGAGGCTAATATCCATATTTCCCATTGATGCATTCGCGGATCGTATACGACAAACAACTCTCTGGCATTTCCACGCTACGTAGTTGACCCCTCCCTTTGCGTTATCGGTGGGGAACTGGTTGAACGAAGGCAGTTCGTTCCATTATTTATCATACATTACGTTTTCAAATTGCCATTATCACGGTTCAAAAATACCAACGTATTTATAAAGGCAAACGAAACGCGTGGATGTGAAATTTCATTGTTGTTAACAATTATAACATTGTAAAAATAATATTTCTACGAAACCAGTTTCAAATATTCGCTGTTTAATGTCACGATTAAAGCCGACGAAAAAATTACAACTACGCGTATAAAAAATATAGACATAAAAATGACATGAGATTTGCTTTCGCGGTCTGAGTTTCTACTTGAGTTTATGTTCAGCAATTTGCTGACGTTTCACAAATATTGCAGTTTGCATTCTCAGTCAACAAGTCGCTGAACATAGATGCGGCAGACATCCGAAAGCCACGAAATCGAGTATAAAAATGATATTTTTTAATTAGTAAAATACGCATTTCCGAAAGATAACGCTACGCAAACAGTTGTATAGATCCGTATTTCCTAAAGATACGGAGAAAACCTGTTATCAAGGGGTTAATATTTCCCTAGTAACGCGTCGATTGTCCTAGTAAAATTACGCGTTAGAAAATAATATTGTAAAAAACACATTCCGAAGAATATTACGGATTACATAAATACATAAATACAACCTAAAAACACGTTTGATTCTAGATGTTAAAAACATGTTTACGATCGCAATTGTGGTCGCCAAGACCGTAACACAATATACGAACGATCGTAAGCAATGTTCATAGTAGAACAGCTATTATTATAGATATGTTATAACGTTATTTGCATTATATTTGCATACGAGTAGCTAAAAGAATACGCGAATCTAAAAATACTTTTCGCGACTCGTATAATACCGACGAGTACGAGCAAGACTAAAAATACCACGTTTTCGACGAAGTTAAAAATTTGAAACTGCTCGTAAAAAGAATGGTTAATATTTAACGAAGAGCAGTATTTCTTGTTTCAAAACTTGAATTACAACTGGATGATTCACGTGTTTCTTATACAAGCGCGCGTATTTGTTATATTATAATTGACCAGTTTCTAAAAGACGTGTGGCGATTGTTGCGATACGATCGAACCGTATGCGACTATGAAATAGCTAAATAGAATTGACATAGATTCAACACGATACTAGAAAGCTGTTTAAGTTGTACATGCTGATTAAAACGGGATATAAGGTATACAATGCTGACGTTTTCAATTGTTTCTATTTTGCAAAAGTATTTCATTGTTCTTGTCGATCGAGACTTTGATCTGCGAGACCTTGGTCTTTATCTTTGAATACTCATCACCTTCTACGACGATCGTTTCTTTTTTAACATATCGCGATCTGATAATAAAATATATTTCACACTTTGTACGGCTAGATAGAGAACACGATTGCATGGGTTAAAATGGGCAGAAGAGTATGTACGTGCAACGTATCACGTTGCCCCATTCAGTAAGAGGCAGCTGTAATTTAGGGAGCGACGAATTGAGAGCATGAGTGGGGGGATTGCCAGATAGTCTAAGTACGTGGAGCGAAACACGTTACCTCCGAAGAAATTGAAGTATTGTTTCAAGGGGGGAGAAATCTATGCACATAAAATTAGACACAGTGACCACTCTAGCACGCCAGTAACAGTATGTCTTCGTATTGTTACAATTTTATAAATACATTGGTCAAAATAATACGGAACGATAAATATCAAATCAAATTTCTTTTGTAACGAAATCGCAAATTTATTTTACAACGTTACGAAATCGCAATATTTCCGTACGATATCCCGCATGTTTTACCATAATTAGAAACTTGTTTATAATTAATACCTAGAATATTTTCCACGACACGTACGCCTCGTCTTACGAAATATTGACTTTCTTAAGCCTTGTACTTCAATACTTTTTTATACGGAATATTTTGAACGAGCGGCGACGCGAGTAAAGAAACATATCTAATTTTACTTAAAGGGAATAGTGCGTTTGCACGTTTCGAGTGCACGGTTGCATTTATAAAAAAAAGTGATATTGCAGAAAAATAGATACCGTTCAACTTTTATCTGTACAATTTTTTTTTTTATCTCTTATCAAATTCTATATATAAACCGTATTAATTACGTGACCAGTTAGATATATTTTCTTTACAAAAAAAAAAATTTACTAGAGTACGATTGGTTTTCAGGAAGATCAACGCAGAATCATTGTCAACGAATATTACATCACGAACAAAACTTACTGTCAAAGGACAACTGTCACTTGTGCCGAGAAAGCAAGAGAAGAAGTCTAGCAGCTTATATAAGAGGCAAATCGCGGCAAAATTCTTGCGAAGAAATTCACGAAGAAGAAGAAGAAGAAGAGGAACAAGATTCTGCAAATTCTAAGGGCGAAAAAGCGATGAAAGACAAAAACGAAACTTTAGAAGCCTCCAATGAATCGAGAAAGATCGAGGGGAAACGATGTAATTAAAATTATATCAACGTGACTTCGAGAAATGTTCACCAAAACTTTATATAAAAATGACACTAAATATCTAAGACATATTTAATATGTCATAGTGCAAAAATTCTAAATGCTATTTAGAACAACTTACAATTGTCGGAAATTTATAATTAAATTAATCGTAACGATATAAAAATAAATCATTTTCGTACTTCGCAATCTTTCCAACATGAAAATAATTCATGTTGCGTAAGCTTAAAGTATTTATTTAAAACCATAGTGGCAGGGTATAATTCATACTCTAATATGTGCAACTTGATTATGCTAAATTGAAGTAGTACTTTTCAATAATTCAATGGCATATGTAGAATAAAATTATGTATCTAATATTAATGTGCTTACTTTCTTCCAATACACTGTGCAGTGTATAAAACAGTATTAAGTACATGCGAACAATGCAAAAAGTAACACTGTCAAAATAATTGAAAACAGTCTAAAAGAATCGAAATTTGAAACATTTAATATCTGCATTTATATTACAAGCATAAAATATACATGATGGATTTTTATTCTACAAACGACTTTACATTGTGATATAAATTTTTCAAGTATAGTGAAAAATTAGAATTAAGTAAATATTCAATGGGGAATTGAATAATCTATAAGACTGCATTTATACACAGAACTATATTGGAAGAAATGGCTTCTAAAATAAATGGTACCTAATGTAGTTTTTAAGTAAATCACAGTATAATATTAACAGATATATGATATCTGTAGATTGTTAAAAAAGTATACTTCGTTGATGAAACAACAATACACGGAGTTATTTTAATAAAGAGTATTTTTGCATTACGCTAACATTAATATAGCTGCACTATATAGTTTTTATTTGTTTTGATGTTACTTACCTTCAAGAGCCATGTAAGAACCGATTCTCGATATGGAACGAACCCTCGTTTACGATTACTCATATTTTCGGCAAGAGATGCGATTACCTTTCCTAACGTGAGCAATGATTTATTAATGGATACACCCTCCTGTTGAACATAATTAAGTATATTATATAGAAAAAAATTATTATAGAATATAATTCATCTGAACACATTAAAACAAACCTTTAATCTATCACCACTGGCACATGTCTGACTCAATCTCTCACTGCCTGCTAAGTCTACTAAATTAATTTTACTACGACGACTAGCATCCATTTGTTCTTCATCTACCTGGTTATTTAGTTGTGCGTGAGTTAATATAATGCTAAATATACTATGAGATCTTGAACTTTTTTCATTCATTCCAGTTGCTGCAGTAGCTCGTTGCGAATTACCTACTTTGAGCCAAGTCTAAAATAAATGTATTATATGATTAATAATTAAACAATTATTCCGGCAACTAAAGGATTTTCTTATCAGATATAACTATGGGCATACTTGTAAGTCTTTGTAATTTTGCACACAATGTTGACTCAGATCAACAATATATGGACCATAAGTAGGATGTTCCCTCACTTTAAGAGGAGCTCTCTTTATTCCATTATTAACGGTTGTTAAGAGATCATGTATTTTTTCATTATAGATTTCAAAGTAACTAATTTCTACTGTAGTCTTGGTATTCGTATTTGTAGATATTCTTGTGAACAATTCTTGGCAAAATCTTGGAATAATACCAGTTGCTTCATCAATCTGTGTTGAATTCATCTGTAATGATTCTTGACCCATCATACTGTAACTTTTACCAGAACCTGTTTGCCCATAAGCAAACAAACAAACATTATAGCCCTCAAAAGCATTTTGTACTAATGGTAAAACCATGGTCTTAAATACAGTTTCTTGATTAGCATGATCAGGTTTAGTTACATCCGCGTGCGATATAAAACAATGATCATACATAAATGTATGTTGCATAGAGTCACAGTTGACAATAATATTCTGACCATTTATTTGCACAACCGATGTAATCTTCGAGTCGTTTAATTCTCTAAAATAATAGAAAACAAACAAATATTAGAATATATAAAACTTTCAAAAATTTAGTAATATAAAAACTTGCTTTGTATTCAAAGGCCTAATACGTATTCCCACAATTAAATTACTACTTTCGCCGTCGCACACTGTTTGATCCTCAATACAGATTTCATTTGTTTTACTGCATGGTGTTTCTACTTGTACAATGCTAAAGCAATCGGGTGTAGCATTAGACAAAACATTGTCATTAAAATATTGTTTTATGGGTGTTTTGTTTAAAGGTAAAACATTCATTTTTGTATTGCTTACAGCAGAGCGTAATTTATATTGTTTAGGAGTACAAAAATTTATAGTCGATGTTTTATCATACAATGATGTAGTAGATACTACTTTTGTAGAAGTTTTCTGTTTTTCATTAGGTATTGCGTTTTCAGGAAATAAAATCTGTTTCCTCTGAAATGCATTTATGGATTTCGAACGATTGAGATTTGCATTAAAAGGTGCATTTGTCAATTTCGAATTATCAACTATTTCAGTATGAAGCAGTATTTTACGATTCTCGCGTTTTAAACATTTGTTTTCATTTTTATTTTCAGTCTCTTTTTGAGGCGTCTCAAATAAACCAGAGCATGTATTTTCTCTAAAAAATACAAACAACAGAAAATTAACAAAATAAAAGGTACGAACAAACATTTACACGTATACGAAAGCAGATGTAAACTTACGGTTTATTAAGAGAATTTGTATTTTCCTTGTCAAAATTAATGGGCGAACTGGAAAAAATGGCATCACAAAATCCATGCCCCATAGATTTTAAAATATTGTGTGACATATTAATAAGAAAGTACAAATTTCTTAGGTGGAAGACATTTACGTGATGAAAATTTTGTTTTCTACAACTAACCTCGTCAAAGCCCGCTCTTTGACAGTACGTAAAAATTATCTACGCATGTCGACCAATCACAATTTCCCTCATTCGGTGCAACAACATATAACGAATTTCTTGTACGAACTACTTTCGTAAACGGAAGAAACTTTTCATAAAACAATACAACATTTAATTTCTCAATACAGATTAATATTAGATGTTCAAACTGATGGCGAATTTTGTTCTAAAACCAATTACTCTGTAGAATTTTTAGGTAAGAATTATTATTGCAATCGGTGTTGCACTAATATTTCAAATTTAAAAGTATGAACATTCAGAATAGCCAATGTCAGTAATTCATGATAGCCAACATAAACAATTTTAAAAATCGAGTCAACCCAAATTTGATAACACGTAACGTGTTACACGTTGTATGTGATGTGTGATATTTTGTACTTCATTTAATATCGTAACTGATATTAAGATTTTTAATTTCTATTCACGGATGTTAAAACTATACCGATAACAATACGTGAGCTAGTTATATTTTAATCAGCCTTTACGATATTGTAATAATGATCACGATGACAAAGGATAACAAACGTAATCGCATGAACAAATGGATTTCAAAAATTTTACTTGGCGTGTTTTTCTTGCTTATATTTTTGAACTTTCCGGCTCTTTGTCAAGCACACGAACACGACGAGTCGCCAAGTTTTAAATACTCCAAGGAAGTTAATGAAGCATATCGAAAAGAACAATATGACAAGTACCTTCAACATCAACACATACACGAGCACGATGATCACAATCATCAACAGAAATCGATTCCATCTGATGAGACACGCAAGGAAGTGTTTCTTAAAGCTGCTACATCAACTTTACTTATATCGGCAGCCCCGTTTCTTATTTTATTCTTTGTTCCTTTGGACAACACAAAGGAACGCGAGCCGCTACTAAAGATATTGTTGAGCTTTGCATCTGGTGGCTTATTGGGAGATGCATTTTTGCATTTAATCCCTCATGCTTTAGTTCCTCATTCGCATGACTCTTCCAGCCATCACGAAGAATCTAAACATGAAGAATCTAATCATACAGATAATATGACTGTAGGTTTATGTGTACTTATAGGTATAATTGTGTTTTTAATTGTTGAGAAAGCAGTACGAATCATAAAAACTGATCATAGTCACTTGCATGTGCATAGCGTTCCAGAAAATGTGTCTAAGGAAAATAAAAATAAGAAATCGCAAAAAAGTTCTGATAAATCTGTAGACCTTCCAAACGAAATTCATATTTCTGGTTTTTTAAACCTGGTCGCAGACTTTTTACATAACTTTACAGATGGTCTTGCTATTGGAGCCAGTTATTTGGCTGGCAACAATATTGGCTATATCACTACTTTCACAATTCTATTACACGAAATACCCCACGAAATAGGAGACTTCGCTATTTTAATACAAAGTGGCTATAGTAAAAGAAAGGTGAAATACAAGAGAGACAAATAATAAATTAAATTTTTGTTCTCCAAAGAATTTTCTAACATGATTTCTATTATAGGCTATGGTATTTCAACTCATTACTGCATTAGGTGCTCTGTTAGGAACCTGTGTATCATTAATTGTGGAAGGCATGGGTGAGAATGTATTATAATACCATTATCAAAGACATATTTTACATACGAATATAACATCTAATTTGAATCTTAATTTGAACTTATAGGTGATTTTGCAACTATGTGGATTCTTCCATTCACAGCTGGTGGATTTATCTATATAGCAACAGTTTCTGTAATACCAGAACTTTTAACTGATACTAAATTTGGGCAATCTGTGAAAGAAATCATTGCGCTTCTTGTAGGTGTATATATGATGGTGCTTATAGCAGAACATCATTAGAATTGTATCATACTTCTTTTTTTTACCAATACTGTATATTATAATCATTTAATAAGAATTTATCTTGACTGATATAACAAAAACTAAAATTATAATTTGTATTTATACAAAATTTTGTGTTCCTCTATAAATGATATTAGTGTATAAAATTAATACCAGTGAAAAGTGTTATTACATACGTTCATTACAAATATTAATATACAAAATCAAATACAGAAAATGAAGTTCGGAAGTTATTGACTGTTGCCAAAATATTGTCGAGACTCGTGCATTTAAGGTGATACTAGAGAAATAGTTGCTTCCGTTTTGGCATTCAGAGTAAAACTATTAAAGAAATTAAAACATTCTTTGCAAATGTACTCATACTATGAAATGATATTTTCGATATTACAATTGCTTAACTTTGTATATTAATTATTGAATGTATGTAATTGCTGTAAATTAAAAGAAAATTGTATGTTTTTTATTTAATAAAATGCATAGTTTATTCTATACTATGATAAAAAGCATATGTTTAATTTCACTGAACTATTAGAGACTTTGTTAGTATTGGATTAGCTAATACTGTATGTTTAAGTCTGGCATAAGGACAGAAGGATACAAACATTTCATTTAATATATTTTAGATACCATAATATCCATATATCGACTATATTACAATCATGTATAGCATGAATAAATTATTTCACAATATATATTTTAAGCTATAATATAATTTAAAAGAAATTACCTCAAAATATAAATAATCTATTCACATCTATGACTATACTAAGATATCAATTTTTTTATCCTTTCTAGACATTCTTCGGCTTCTTGTACAGCTTCACTGTGCTTTTTCATCTTTGATAAATGCTTTCCTTGATTACAATTTTTTTTCGCTTCATCGTATAATCCTTTCATAATAAATACATTTCCCAAATTAATATGAACAGAACCTATGTCAGACATATCCGGTAACTTTTTTCCTACAAAGATAATTTATTTTTAAATCAATTTGTATAGTTATCAGATTTTCGATTTCTGAACTGATATTACCTATTTCTATAGCTTTAGATAAATATTTAATTGCTTGATCATAGTCTTTCAACATACAATTAACAGTTCCCAAATCGTTCAGCAGAACAACAGTCTGTTCATGTTCCTCGCCATTTATTTGTATGGATATATTGTAAGATTGAGTTAAATGTTTCATAGCATCAGCATATTGCGATTGTGAAAATAGCATAGCTGCATACCATTCTAAATTTAAACCTAGTAACTGTAAAACGTCTGGATTCTCACTCTCTTTAGCCATGTGATTTTGTAAATTTTCTAAGCAAAATTTGTAACCAGTTTCCGCTTTTCTACATAAATAAAACAAAGTATACAACATTATATCATCAAATATTGTACATTATAAAAAACAGAAAAAAGAATACATTAAATAATAATCAAAATTTGTAAGGTAACTGCTTACTCTATGTCTCCTACTATGTGATACATATTTGCAATTTTAAGACTAATATGAATGACTGCTAAATCATCTTTTGAAACTCCCTTAGATATTAATCTTTCTAAAACTGACACAAACAGTTTCTTTGCTTTTTTATAGTCTTCCATATCGTATGCAAGATTTGCCATTACATCGTAAATATAAGTTATACCATCATAATGTTGTAAAATTTGCGCTTGGCGCAAAGCAACATGCAACATTCGTTCTGCTTTTTTAAATTCTCCCTTCTACAAAGGGAAAAGAAATACTGCTGAAATTATATCAAAATAAAACATTTGTTCTCAATTCGATACCGCATGTTTTATTTACATTATTATTAGCTGTACTGAAAATTGAATTATATTACTATGACGTTTTTATACTGAACCTGAATTAATAATATTGATCGTTTAATTGTCATTTCTAATTCTGAAACATCGTCTTTTTCTTCCTTAGCGTCGTATAAATTAAACAAAAAACTACCCGAAACAATAAAAAGTTTCGTTTTAGATGAATTCTTATGTTCATGGAACATGTGATTATAATGTCTTTTTATTTTATAAATTTGTGACACATACATTATAAATGGATTTCTTTTTGATTTCAATTGGCAAACATTCGTGATAACATTAGATTTTGTGTAGAATTGCGCGTAATTGTGTACATTCGTAATTATTTTTCGACAATACATTGCGTGCTGTGAATTTTAAATTATATTTTCACACTAATAAACTTTACATATAATATACAATTATTAATAATTATACACGTTGCTATAAAATTTTCCATGTATAATATGTATGTCACTCGGAATTTACGATAGTGTTATGACATATTTTTTATTCACTATATACACATATGGAAACGCACTAGCTATTTCGCGCGTACGAATATGAAATCTGTACCAAGGTAGTCGCTTTCCCCTAAAAAATAAAATTACTAATGTCGCTTTACCTGACGCCTATGTTTAAAAGTATGTACTATGTACACAACTAAAGATAAAAATTCTCTGTTAAAAATTAAAAACCCTAAACTGCAATATAATATAAAAAATAATTTATCTTCTTTAGTCGGTAATGTGAAACAAAATCAGAGTATTACAAATTTATTAAAATGCTCAAGAATATGCTCCCTCCAACATACATATGTATTGTTGACTTACAAAACAATTCAATTTTTCAATTATTACGTATTATAGGTATATTTTACCTACAAAAAAGTTCTTAGCATTGTTATTTCATAGCAACTTATGCAATCCATTACTCGTACTGTATAGGCATCGGGATTAATTCTGAAAATGTAATGAGATATATTAATAAATAATAGTTTAATTCCACGATTAATAAACGATTGTAAATATGACGTATCATAAACTATTGTCAGAGGACTGTGATTTCAAAGCAATTCATGTGACGTATCGTGCATAAATTAGATATTTCAGAAGGTTAAAGTCGTTTTGTTGTACAATTAGTGGTATAATCAGTCTGCGTATTTATGTATGTTACGTAGCCATCAAACCTCAGAAAAAATGGATAATTTATTACCAGTGCACTTGACGATGGTAATTTTTTTTCGAAACGTTCAGAGTCTGTCGCAATTGGTTAGAATCAATTTGACCGCTTAAACTATATAATTATCTATAAAAGTATATATATATAATTTAATTCGTTCAACAATAAATTAGACTATTTTATTGCCCATTTATTTTTGTCAATAGGTTATCAATCCTAAAATTGAACCAACTATTACTTATTCTCTAGTCTAAATACATAAGAACGTTGCGATCATATTCAAACGAGTTGCGTAAATTACTATGAAATGAAAATACTCTGAATTGCTTTGCGATATTTGAACTTTTAATTTGAATTGTTAACTTATTATGAAACTCAAGGAATACTATCTATAGTAATCTATAGTATATCGTGTTCTCAGCAACTAGAATCTCGCGGGAAGAAGTAAATGCATTTAGCGCGCTGTATTTCCTTCATATGGAACAAATTAATGATCATGTATAAATACTGTATATGCGTTTAGTAGTAACAAGTTTACCTATTTAATATGTACGATATATGTACAAATGTACGTACACGGTATATCACATAAGATTGGTATATTAAAACGTGCTTGATTTACCAAAAATGTATGTAATTTTGTCAAAAATAATATGTTTATACTTTTACGTTTATCAGTATATCGTGATCATTTACTTAAGTATCGTCGCGTATTTAAAGGAAACCACATTATGTAAATAACAGTACGTGTACAAAAAGAGATCAAAGTAACGCATTCGTGATAAGTGATTATACAGGTAAATATACCAACTCGTTGTACGATCTCGTATAATGCCCCTCGCCCCACCCTTCGTATTCCTATCCCAATGCTGCACACCTTGATTTCGTGCATTACGCACCTTTTCACTTCACGGATATAAGATAGGTCATATCACAACAGGTAACGAAATATCAGTCGTGCATTCTCTACGTGGTTATCGTAGCGAATATGACATTTATAATATTGTGCGTGATTTTGTCTGTTCTCCTTCGATAATAATAACTATATAGAAATATTGGGAATAAGTGATCTTCGCGCATATTTCGCGCTTCTAATGCACATATTAACTTTTAAGACTAAACGATTTATAATAAATTCATAACACCGTGTCCGTAGCTCGAAAGATGACTTAATTTAATGGTCAGTCGTTTTGACGTTCTAGAAAGTTGTATACTTCGGCGTATCTTTATATTCTAAATTACGAATTCAGAATACTGGTTTTTTTTCTAAACAATTATTTGAAAACACCCACCAGCGTATTCGAACTATTTTCCAAACGCATAAAATTACGTTACTGCATTTTATACGAATTATTTAGATAAAAATATATTTGAAAAAGAAATGCATGATTTATTAGTGTCTGAATTAAAGAAATATTACACTTATTATGTATAAATTCAGCAGTAACTAAGAGTCAAATAATTTATCTTTTACATTGTCTCTTATTGAATTCTTCCTCGCATATTTAATTCACTTGTTTTTCTTTTTTTTATTAATTCTTCAGTGAAAATGAGTTCTCAAGATACAACTGACAATGTACGAGAAATTAATTCACCTAGCATATCTTCAAGAACAAAAAATTGGGTCCAATTTGAAGATGAGACGTCCATTAAAGATAATGGTAACATGGAAGAGAAAACTAAGACAAATGCACCGGCTGTAATAAAACCAGAGTCAGTTACAGTAAATGTAGAAAAGATTGGAAAAACTGTTGACAAATTAGATACTCAACAAATAAAAAACAATGAATATAAAGGTGCTGTGATATCAACTGAATCCGTCCAGATTAATTTAGATAGGTCAGGTTTAAATCGTTCTATGGCGTCTGAAAGTCCAGATTTTAATTTGCCGTCCGAAGTAAGAGTCTCAGATCCTAAAAGTGCTTCTTTAAAAACTATTGATCTCAGAGATGTGTCCAATGGTAGAAGTGGTACAAATAATATTATAAGCACACCTATTGGAAATATCAGACAAGGTTTTGCCAATGGAGACACTATAGTTACTCTTTTACCAGTTAATACCAGATGGCCATGGATTACTCCAGCTAAATTTAGACCAGAATTAGTACCAGAGGAGTTGATGGCTCAAGGCTTAACGGTAATTGTTTCAGGACATTTGACTTCTTGATGTTTTATGTTTAAACAGTCTGTACTGTAATTTACTTTTAAATCTATTAAATATTTTCTTATACAAATTGTCTTATACAAATTGTCTTATACAAATTGTCTTATACAAATTGTCTTATATACAATTATATAAAACTTGTTGTTGTATATCTATTGCAGCTTACAGTAGAAGACTATGTACACATAATGGAATTGCTTGTGAACGATGTACGTTTTAATATGTACAATGTATGCTATAAAAGAATTCTTGTCCTTTGGATATTTACTGCGTTTATTGTACTGCTTGGCTTGTTATTTTCTGGAGTGACTGGTCTTACTTTGTTTGGCCTCGGTGTCATGTGGTTAGTCCTCAATGCTGCAGCAATATTCTTTTGCATGTTTGTCAAGATAAAGTTAAACCATAATCTTGAGAAATGTATGGCTCAAGTGAACAAGCACTTACTTCGACATAAAATATTGCTTGGATTGGATGATAGAGGGAAGATTTCGTGTCATAAAGTCAATCTCTGCTTCATATACTTTGATACTACAGATTGCATCGTAAGTGTTATTAGGTATTTTTGTGATATGTGTTTAATTTAAATAATTAAGGCCTGACATGTTTTGTATTAGCTTTTACTATTTATCATCATTGTCCAAAAAACTACGCATCGTTACAAACAAAATTTGTACAATGAAATTTATATAATATATGAAATTTGATTTATTTTATAACAGAAAAAGTTACAAGAAGTAATAGAACGAGAAGAACGTGAAGGTAGAATAATTGGCGAAGATGGAAATTCTGAAATGCGTCGAAAAAGGGAATTGCAACAGCGAATGGATATCGATGATAGCGATATTGTGATACAAGGCAACACAACCACCAGAATCTCCCGAAAACAGGTAAGCATTTTTTACGCCAGGTAATTATACTATTTTGGTTGATTTTATGAATATATTAAATTTACAGTAACTTAGACATCTTGTAGTAATTGAAATAGAATTTTTCCTGCTCTGTATGTTTTATAAAAATGAATTGCGTTCTGTCTCACAAAAATTTTTATAATATCATTTTTTTTTTTCTTATAAAATGAATTAAAACCTATCAGGGTAAAAGTGAACAAGTATTCTGCCGTTACGTACAACGTTGGGCAAAGGATTATTTACGTCGACGTTTGGACTGGACAGTTGATGAAGAAGGTGGAAATCCTTCTTCACCTCGCCACTTATCAACAGCTTTATGTCCATGTCAATATATAGAGGAATGGCTTCGAAATAAACCACATATTCGGGGCAGAGATTTCTGTCCCAGCTGGAGTAGCTTTCTTAAAGATAGGGGCATATAAAATGAAATTGTTTGATATGCATATAAAAGTTAAAACCAATTTTGTTCTTATAAATTTAAAAAAATTTGGAAAATCTTACACTTTGATCTGTTAATGATATTTTAATGTCATTTTTAGAATAAAAATTTTAATAATCTCAATTACATAAAGAAATATATGATGTTAAAACTAAAAAGATCTATCGAACAACTCGGACGATTTCGTAACTCTATATTTATAGATACCATAAGTAGTTTTATTAAAAATGGGTGAATAATCAAAATTTATTTGAGTAGAGATAAGCCATATGAGATATTAAAGCTGCTTTTCGTTATTAATCATTTTGTACTTAACTGTACAATATACTCAGTTTTAGTATTGTTATATACTACTTTTTAGCAAATTGGATTATTAATATTGAACATAGATACATATATTTTAAGTTCTTTAACGTTTTACATTATACTGTATTTTTATTACATTACACTGTTAACTAATGCAGTACTGAACATTTAGTACACAATTTAAAATTTGTACAAAGATTGTATAAATTACATGCATGTATATTTTGCAAGTTTTGTCTTTAGTATTTCATATTACTACATATGGTATACTGTATATAGTATTCGAAAATTTAACATATATATATTTTCTTAGTATTAAGTACTTCATTCTTTAAGTACTTAAAACTGAGAAAAGCAATTAGTTATATATTTATGTAGCGTAGTATGAAGTATTCGGGCATAATAGATTTCTGTACCTTACGCCTTACAATTTGCGCACAAGACATGGATTTCACATTTTTTTCGTTACTTTCGCTCTAGGTAGTGAATGATGATGGTGTGTGTTGACAGGAACGGGCGGAGTTGCTGTTGCTGAGGTATGCATCTCGATGGGCACATCACTTTGTGCGCCGCAGACTTGATCTGGTTATAGACTCGCAAGAACGTAATAGAGACATCGCGGGTCTGTCGGTTCCACCACGACACTGTGTCTCCGCCCGTTGTCCTTGTCAATTCATTGAGGACCATCTCAAATACAAGCCTAGAGGCAAGTTAATATTTCGTACGTTCTTTTTAATGCCAAATTTTAGTGGGAAATAACTGATAATGTAATAATTATCTGATTACAATTCAAAACACTTTGATCGATTGATTACTTATATGTTCCTGGTATCTGTTTTTTTTTTTTTTATTGTGCATGTGTAAGGCGTTTTTCTTACAAATCAATTTGATTAAATAAAACTTTTTATAATTTTACAAATATTCTCATTCAAATAATGTGGAATCGTGAGAAAATATTTTGATATTCATTTGTAATATTTGACTGAAATTCTTATACTTTATGTATGACAAATATTTCAAGTTCGTCCATTGTACTTTGGTATTAACTAATATAAGTTAACATTCTCCATTTTCCAAGGCACGGTGACACATTATGTTCAACATAAGAAATGATAGAGAGGGTAGATTATACATGTTATTGGTATTAGAGAGAAAAATGATTAATCATTCCGTTATTATTATTATTGTCTACAAATGGAATCATGTTAAAACTTATAAAATGTATTTTTTAATACATGTTTTTAAACGTATGGCAGAGTTGATGAATATTATATATGTACGTGTAATAATATATATTCCAATATTAATATTGGAAAGTTTACATATGATTCGGAAATGTTCTTATTTTGTAGAATCGAGTCTTACTGTTTATTTTGGGAAAAGAATAATTGCTATATTATCCTAATTTAAAGCAGTTTATATTATTACAAGCGAGAACTCGGTATTAAACAATTTTTAAGTATTTTGTAATCATTGCGAATAATTGACCATTAAGAATGTTGTAAAAGGATTACAACATTGAATTTACATATCTCTTAATTCCGTCCTAATTGAATATATTAATACATTATATAAGAATATAATTAATATATTGTATACTTTTATATTCCGTTCGAAAATACTTAATATCTGTAAATGAACAGAGCTATTCTACTTTTATATATATAGAAATTAAAAAAAAAAAAAACGAATGTAAAGCACTTTTATATTATTGTTAAAAATGTTATAAATAAAGATAAGTACCCATATAATATATATTCTGTTTGGTGAAGGTATATTGTATTTTTGTAAGAAGTCTCATCATTAAAGTAATGACTATTACGCGCGATACATATTGCTCAATCTTAATTACAGAGTGCACCTTATATGTATATGTATATATTTTTTAAAACATAGGTATTTGTCACTAACCACTGACTAATTCAGGGATGTTGCTTGCATGCAGCTGGACAAAAGGCGATAAACATTGATACTTTATCTCGACCACATTTTGTCAGCACATGAAAATCATTCAGTAAATAGTACCATGTAAGTACTATGCAACTTTAATCTTTATCACACATGTGAATCGAACACATTGCATGTAAAATAGGTACATTGCTTTTTACATTAAACTAATGTATGTGTACATTTGGAAAATCTGTATTTCATAATCACAGCTATAGTAACACAATCGGGAATTTCCTTTTATGAAACTTGTAAACCATAACAATCATATAATCCTCTACATTATTTAATTTAAATTACTAATTAAAAATATTTGCATGATTTTTTCAGGATATCCATCTGGCTTTACATGGTGTGCTTATCTTAACGACCCACTAGTTAGGTATGATGTTACATTAGGTATACTCAATTAACAATCTTAATCGTTTAAACAATGCACAACAGTATTTTTTAAAGGCATTTTCTAAGAAACAGACCTATTAACAACTATTATTATTAAAAATCATTTCTAATATTTTTTTAATTTCAAGCACAACAAAATTTATATCATACAAGAAGTACTTTTGGAGTTCCAATATTCTAATAGAATGTGATTAATGAACTACTATATTTGAGTAACCAAAGAACACACAAAATATATATTTTTCTATATCTTGAGACTTTTTATCATTCCAAATATACAAAATGAAAACGTTTATAGTTACAAATTAAAAAAAAAAAAAAGAAATTGTAACATTACTAAAGTAGATTTTAAATACATATTTGTATAACAGTATTTGTTACTAATCCATATGCATTTCTCTAAAGTAATGAAAGAACAAGACGCATTATTTAAAAATTTTTACATATATATTTTAACAACAATAATAATACGTAGTCTATCGCAAAAATATTCGAATACCAGTGTAATTTTGAAAATTATGCTCTACACTTTGACATATTAAAGAATACATTAACTTAAATAAAAATTCTTATTTTCATTTTGTTCATTTAATTTGTCATTTCCGAATATTTTTGTGATTGACTGTATGTCATAAATGCAAGTGTTTGATTAATCATATTTCTTGTTGCAATGTAGTGCCTTTTAATATACACATCGCCTATAAATTATGATGGTCTTTATTAATATAACAAAGATTCTATCAAGGTCATAATGATTATACACTCGTATAATATATAAAATTATAGGTATTGGATATACACAGAATACACATATACACGATGTGAAATAATAACTATTGTAACATTTATTTTTGTATAAATGTTAATTATACATGTGTTATAACGTTAGGAATAATTTAGTACAAAATTAATTTACGTACATGTACTAAAATTACTAAATGCAACTATTGTCAAAAATATTGTACACAGGCAGCTAGTTTACATCGTTTAACATTAACGAGCAAGATAATGTTAAATTAAATTAAATATGTACTCATTATATTGAATTTCTTTTTACAATAAATAATGTTTACATATCTTACATACAATTTTAAAAAATAATTTATGTTATTAACGCAGCATGTGCTTGTTTCCTAATATCATCTGCTAGTTTATTTATTACCTCATTATCTGTCCTCAACTGTTGTTCTTTTTTTTTAAGGGTAGTTTCCAAATGTTTCAATTGTTGTTTTATACTTAGATACGTTTTTACTTTTTGGAATGTATCAGAAGTATGCACATTTATCGAATTTTCAATAGAAATTTCGTCTGGAAGTAAATTTGTATTCGCATAAAATTGAACATAGAAACAAAATACAAAAAGGTTTTTCGTAAGGTTATGACTATTTAAAACATATATAATATTGTCTTAACGTTTGTTACAATATATTTAATAATAATACAGAAGATGTTGAAACCTTTGTTTATTATTTTGAATGCTGTATCATCTACAGCAGCATTATTTAGATCCTCCAACATATGTTCAGGGTCAAGAATATGGGGTCTCGGTGGCAAATCGCTTTTTTTATTACTAAACATATCTAAATTGATATTGCTGTATTTGTCTTGTTTATATTTTAATTTAAAAAGTTATATACGTGTGTAGATTTATTAATATTTGCACCACAATTTATAAGGAAAGGCATACAAATGCTTGTTGAAGTTACAGTGTGAAGTGTGAACTAACTGCAGCGAATGTATAGTGTATACGTTCACTAGGGACTTTAGTATAGTATATACTTACTGAATGTATTTTCGGGTCAACGAGACGAATAAGCGAAGAAAAACAAAGAGCTCGATGTGGTCGATGCTGCACTGCAGTCATTGGCTGCCAAAGAACACTTACGAGTCACATTTAGGGACGTTTGTTTTTCGTTTACCGAATCATCTCGTTGGCCCGAGTACACTCACAATGACCTTTACTACTAGTAGTCTATTACTCGTGTTGAACGACATCACAACTTTAGATCATTTTAAGGTGGCAACACCGTACTTGCAAGTGTGGAAATAACGATTGTATATGTATATTCCCGTTTGTATACTTCGATACCCTGTGTAGGACCGAAGTCTTCTATAGTAGGAAACTAAATAACATGGCAGCACAGTGAGATAATTTCTCAGCTCAACTACGCCATCTACGTCACTAGTGGTAATCGCGCAAGCATCAGCCATCAGCTATACTCTAGGATTACGGAAGTTTCCATTTCGAAACAGTATTTTTTATATGTATAAATGGCACAAGATGACTCGTTCTATCTATAAATCATTAAACTTACTGTTTACTACAAATATTAACCTGCTAACAGTAAATCTAGTCATTTATTTGTTTTGATTTCGAATAAAATGAAATTTAAATACTGTTAACTAAAAAATTTGATTTAGTAGTTTTTTTTTTTTTATACCAAATCTTGCAGTTACCCGCAGTTTTCAAACTCCATTGAAGATCGTAGCGTTAACGAATTGTTCTTTGCTAGAATACATCTATTAATGTTTGTAATAAATATCCGATATAACTGTTTTGTGTAGATTTGTTTACTATGTAATGGACAAATTTTAAAAGAAATTCTTTTCACATTATTAATTTTGTGTTAATTAACATAGTATTTGTTAGCGTCCGTTCTCGTGCAGAAAGACTACCGGTATGCCGCCAAAACGACGTCGAATTACAAAGGTTAGATCCATTTATGTAATTTATTCTTATAAATGCTTTCATTATTTAACGATATAATAATGCAATATTAAGATACGTAGTTTTACAAAATAATAACTTTAATATTCTTATTAAAACACATACCATCATATTTTAATCAATGCAAAATGTGCAAATATCAAAGTACTGTATCAAACATAACTATTTTGATTTGATTAAAAACTAGGCAAATAAAACTACAGAGACCAAAAATGAAAAACAAAATGATGTGTCAAAATCACAAGAAATGTCTGGTAAAAAATCTAAACGTGCAGGAAATGAATCTGAAGAGCCTGCACCAAAACGTGCTAAAACAGAGCCAAAGCAACCAATGAATAAAACAAGTACAAACTGGGATGAAATTGACTTTGAATGCGAAAAATTAAATGCGAAAGGAAATAAATATAATTTAAAAGTTTCTAGTTGGAATGTTTCTGGCATAAGAGCAGTCATTAAAGTATGGTTATTATAATCTGTCCACCGAAATGAGTTACTAGCAATAAACAATCGACAAGTGTTTGACTACTGGTGGCAGTCAAGAGCTGTGACTGTTGCTTCTCGTGTATATAATAGGACATACATTTTTTGTTTATGCTGGTGATTTGTCTCCGTGGGTGGACTATATTATTTTACAATCAGGTTTCTACACAGAACTTCATAATGTGTTATTATTGTATTTATGTAGAAAAGTGGAATTGATTATATTATAAAAGAAGATGCAGATATAGTTGCGCTACAAGAAACCAAATGCGATAAAGATAAGTTACCAGAAGAAATTAAATTAAGCGGATACCATCGTTACTTTCTTGATAGTAAGAATTTCAAATAGTTATTACTACTAAAATTAAATTCATAAAAATAAAAATTATTTGTGTGACATAAATAGGTAAAAAATCTGGCTACTGTGGTATTGCATTATATTCAAAAGAGAAACCAATTAATGTAAAGTATGGTCTAAATGATCCTGAGTTTGATATAGAAGGCAGGTTAATTGTGGCAGAATATCCTAAGTTCTATTTGGTTAATGTTTGTAAGTTATTATTTAATATTAAGGAATTTTATGATTGCAGTTCTTTTGTATCAATGTTTATTGCACTTCTTGACGTACAACAATGTTATAGATGTTCCCAATGCTGGCCAAAAATTAGTAACATTACCAAAAAGATTAAAATGGAATGAGACTTTTAAAACATATATAGAAGAATTGGATGAAAAGAAGCCTGTTATTATTTGTGGTGACATGAATGTGGCTCATCAAGAGATAGGTAACATTATCTAAAAGTATTGTTTAATATGTATTTTATAGTAAGTGGCATTTCATGAATATTTATGGGATATTTTGCATATTCTTATTTTCCTCTATATATAGATCTTACAAATCCTAAGACAAATACAAAAAATGCTGGATTTACTAAAGAAGAACGAGAAGGTATGACAGATTTCTTAACTGCAGGATTTATAGATTCATTTAGAGTTTTGTATCCTGAAAGGACAGGTGCTTATACCTTTTGGTCATATTTCGCTAATGCACGTAATAAAAACATAGGATGGTGAGTACATAAAAATGTGTTTACTCTATTGTATGAATTTTCATATTATAATAAATTTTTTTCTACAGGAGATTGGACTATTTTTTGTTATCGCAACGTATGAAAGATCAAGTTTGTGATAATGTTATTAGAGACAAGGTATATGGCAGCGATCATTGTCCTATCGTTCTTTACATTAACATATAAGACAAAAATTTTTGTACAATTAAACGGCATGTAATTATTTCTCATTAATTTAATGAACCTATTGTACTTCATGCATTTTATCTTCTAAAAATAAAAATATATTTAGAAGATGTTATTTAATTATTTATTCTGACATTGATTATATATAAGAAATGAATTTTTTAGGTTAAATACATACATCTGACGATAGAAATATAATGTTCCTTATTACCTCTTTTGTTTGAATTGTAAGACTCGTCTCGTTTATTGTGAGTAAATAAATAACAAAATTACGAAATAAAGTTTCGAATAAATCTAGCATATAAGATAAAAATAATTTTATATTATATAGGATAAATGTGATAAAGTTGAACTAAGTCACAATATGCAGTACATTATTCTTACCACTTATTTTCATTCGATTTTATTACCCTTTAGAATAGTAAAGTTGTTCACTGGTCTTTACAGCAGTGTGGCCAGATTTGGCATAATTGAGTGCATCGGCGGCCACGCTAGTAACGACGAATTAGTGGTGGAGAAAACCGACATACTGTATACTGTGAATCTACGAAACGAAGCAAAACCTTTTAAATCGATTATTTTAAACTTTCCATAAAGTTCTAAAAAATTTTGACTCGATATTCAATAGAGTACTTTTCAGTGTGAATGTATCAATTGTAATTAAATATGTCAACGGTAACAAATAGCGTTACTAATTTGAATAAATACGAAAGTATCTTTTACTTTTGTTGTTGGACCGGCGCTGTACTTTATTCTGCGTATAAAGTGTTTTTAGTTGGTACTTGTAAGAATTCAGATTACTTATTTTTTTTTATGTAATATCAATTATTTCATTGTTAAAAGTCATACATGATTTTTAGACTTTAATGATTATCATGACTTGTACAATGATTTCGCACCAGGCTGGATATGGATCGGAAGGAAACGGGATGTTTCCGATCAAGAGTGGAAGATATGGATACCATTGATAATTAAATTAGTACCATGGATATTTTGCCATCACTTAGTTAGTCAGATTATTAAAACTGTACCAAGTACTACGGTGTGATACTTAAATATTATTTGGTATTATATCGTTTGTCTCACATTTACTAACTAATAGTGTTATATTCTTACAGTTATTATGTTACTGGTATATTTTTACATCTATTTCATTTTTGTATTTTTATATTGGATCGATAGGTGTATTATGTGTATTGATGCAACTGAGCATATTGTATATTTTAACATATAAGCGCAACAAGTCTATAATATGGTCGATAAACATATTATTTTTATTTTTTATACATTTTCTTAAAATTCCTGATGGTACATTTCAAAGTATTTTAAAATTCAATGACGAAGAACATTACATTTTAATCGTTATAATGTGTTGGATTTTACTAAGAAGCATTAGCTACAGTATAGATAATATTCAGATATGTTCAGAAAATAATTCTGATGACAATTCACATTTATCGAGGAATTTTTTGTGGGGATTAGCATATTGCTTATACTTGCCTACATTATGTTTAGGTCCATTGATTTTATACCACGAATTTATCAATTCTGTATGTATAATTTATCTATATATTGCAAATATATTTTTATTGGTTTATTAAAAGTAAATAATATATAAATTTTCACAGATGAAAGGGCCATTTCAGGTCTGGAAATTAAAAGAATTGAAACATTTTACATTAAATTTAATTAGGTATATTTTTTGGATAATCTTTGCCAACTTTTCTTTACATTTTCTGTATTTTAATGCAATACAGTATCATTCCAAGGTAAAGCTACACTTTTTAAATGTAATTTAAGCGAACCCAAATTTATAGACCTAGTTAAAATCACTTTTTTTTGTCTTGTATTAGATTGTTGAATTTTTAAATCCATGGGCATTGTATGGATTAGGATATTGTATCGGACAATTTTTTTTAATTAAATATGTTGTGATATACGGGTTAAATCATACTTTATGCGCAATAGATCATGTGAAAGCACCTTCACAACCTAAGTGTGTAGCAAGAATTCATTTGTACTCTGATATGTGGAAGTATTTTGATAAGGGTTTATATAAATTTCTTATAAGGTAACGTATATGAAAATGGCTGTGCACCAATATGGAATAAAAGTTTTAATTATTTTTAGAGCATTAAAAAATGTTGAAAGAAAAAGGAGCATATTAATATTTTTCAGATATATTTATACGCCGTTATTAAAGTCAAATTTCAATAGGGTATTTGCCTCTTTCTTGTGCTTTACATTTGTTTTCGCTTGGCACGGAATGCAACGAAACATTTTTTTTTGGGCGCTCTTTAATTTTATAGGATTAAATATAGAAAGTTTAGTTAAATCAGCTGGAAAAAGTAAATATTATTCCAACGTACAAAGAAAATATATGTCACCGGCAAATGCTAGAAGATTCAATTGTGTATTAGCAAGTCCACTCTTGGCAATGTCGGTGATATCCAATTTTTACTTCTTTGCTGGCGAAGAAATTGGACATACTTATGTATACAGAATATTACATGGTATTAGCTTGTTTAAAAACTATTACAGATAAAAATGAAAGAACTTATTTATAGTATTTATACTTTGTAAAAATTCAGAATTACCTAATAGAAATTCTTATATCTTTTCTATTACAGATATGTGGTATGGTACACTTGTTTTACTTTTTTTCCTTTATTGTTGTTGTCAAGTTTCTACAGATGTAAAAAACTGGGAATCGAAAAATATTTGTAGGTAAGAATACATTACATTCATATTTATGTTATGAAACAGTTTTCAAGTATTTTATTGTTTTAAGTACAAAATGGGTATAAAAATACATTATGTAACTAAAATTATTTCTCACATTAATATCGTTACAATTATGTAATATTTATTACAAATAATAATAAAAAATTTAGTACAAAGTATATGTATGAATATTTTTTATATAATTACTATATGTATTGTATCATTAGCAACCAGTTTCATAATGCACTTAAGGCACATATAGTTTACAATGAACAAATCGTCATGAAAATAATTTTCGAATTCTTATTCTTATGCTTTATACAGCAGGTGAAAAATTTACCTTTATCGTTACATGAATACAAGAACTCAACAAATGTTTACATTTTCTTCATACAAATTATGAGTATTAAAATTCTTCGTACATGTTTAAAATTCATGTTAATCAATATAGAATTTTAAATGTATGTTAAAGAATGATGGAATTAATTTTATGCAGTTTTCATTCGTTTTTAGCTGCTACATGCGATAACGTAATTTTAATATTGCTATGATTTTTTAATTCTAATTACTATTCACTATTTATTTAAATGATTTATAACAATATTTCTATGATATATGAGAGTTTAATCTCGAAAAATCTGTCACTAAATAATTGTAAAGTAATTATGATGTAACAGTATTGTAGATATCTATGTTTTTTTTTAACCGAAGTGTTTTAATTATGCTTTATAATTTAGTAAGATTATTTTCATGTACTATACGAACTGTAAGTGGGTTATATTATATGCAATTTTTAAAATATTAGGAATTTTAAAGTACTGTTTAGGAATGTTGATGTTAATTCAAGTTTATAACATTCTATATTAAGCAACTGATTATCGCAAAGATATAATTTTGATAATTTGCTTTAATAAAAAATGAAGTTAATTTTCTTATTTTTTTTTAAATCATTTAAATGACAGTATTTTATTAATTTTCAGATGAAAATGAAATATATCTTTTATGTACAAGAACAATACACCTTTTACTGAAATAAGGAAATTACAGTTCTGTATTTAGAAAAACACAATATTTAATTTATAATTACTTTGTATAATGGTATAAATACATACATTAATGTACTTATAAAAATTTTAAACTTACAATGCACTGTTTTTTCGTTATTATTAAAATTACCTTTTTGAAACCATATTGAAAGTATCATATCACATACAACACCTTAGACTTTGTTTAAATTTGAAAAAGAGGCACTATTTGATTCTATTCTTAATTAGACATTGCATTTAAAATATGTCATTACATAATTTTCGTGAGGTGACTATAAGTGATTATCAATGAAAAATTTTCAGACTTTGCATTTAAATAAATTGTTCCGATTAACTTTAGCGTATTATAACAAAATATTGAAAAGTATTATTTAATTAGTATTTTTAAATATATTTAGAATTCTACATTATGTCTTGTACAAGATCAGCAATTAATATAATATGTACGAGTTATTTATATTCATCACTATTGTTATATTATAGCTAATTATTATATTCGTACTTATATTTTCAAAAGAAACATTGATAGTGTAATGTTAAATAAATTTATCGATTTTTATGGAAGACAGTTTTGAGCTATATTGCAAAAAATAGTATATCATAATCCATGCTTATTAATTTTACCTTCATTATAGATACAATAACTATATATGGTTTAAGTGTTTCAAAATAATAACATAAGAACATAATATGTTGAACTTGGTTATCTAACTCTGTATAAAATGCAGTACATTTAGCAATATATAATTTATACTCTGTATGTATAAACACGCATGTTACAAATAGAAATTTATATAAAAATTTGCAAAACAACTTATTAACATTAAATATTTTTTTCTTGTTAGGCAAATTATAAATTTACACCATCTACATTTGGCACAAGAATGTTACAACTATTAAGTAATTGTGTTCTGCATTAATATGTTTAAGTAAATTCAATTCGTAATTATTTCATCTTAAATTGTTAATATGTACATGCATGATTATTATAGCAAGTTCAACAAGAGTGTTCTTTTAAGTTTAACATTTGGAATGCCTAATATGTGAAGATTTCGTAATATATCATTCCTTTCTTAAAGTAATAAGACGTTTACTTAACAATTTCAAGAATAATTTTATTTCACAAACAAAATAAATGCACTTTGAGACCGTTTTCTTTTTTTAAATTCTACTGTATATCAAAGCTATGATAATACTGTGCATTTCTCACGATTAAAAATATGAAAAAATATTTTATTCAATTCGTTTGTTATTATACAGTTTTCTATCTATATTCAAAATTTTGTTGATAGTAAAAAATATTAAATTTACATTTCTCTTTGCAATATTTACACATAAAAAAACACAAATCATTGTTTTCGTATTTTACACACTATTAGCACGTTGTTTGTTAACTGTGTTTCTATAAAAGTGCTTTCAATGTAAAATACGTATAGTTTATTGAAAAATAAAATAAAATTACTTTGTTTAAATTTTACTTACTTTTTTCAAATATCTGTTTCTTAATTTCATTATCAGTAGTGCTATTTGGATCAATCCTAAGAACACTATTCTGTAAAGTATCATTAGTCAATAATAGAATTGTATTATCATTTCCATTTTGCTTTATATTAACTGCTTGCACACGCTTATTTAGAAGTGTAAATTTTTGACCGCCATTCAGTTGCATTTTTGATTTATTTTGCTGATCATGACAAGTTTTGAATTGATGCGGAACTATATTGATGCATTTATTTTGTACTATTATACTAGTCAAGGGTTGATTGTGAATATATAAATGCTGTTTACTTTGATGCAAAAGTTTTTGATTCTTTCCAAGAACATTGTTCAATGGTGCGCTCACATCATTTTTTATTAAATCTGTTACAACTGCTTGATAATTACCTTCTTGTAACAGGCATTCTTTGTTTTGATTTAATATATCTGTAGTTGATGATAAAATCTTATTAGTGTGCAAAGTATTTATGAAACCTTTTGTCACAGCGATCTCATGGTTTTCTTGATAAGATTTATCATTAAGAATGAAATTATTGTCTTCTTTTTCATTTTCTTGGGTGAGAAATTTTGCTTCTATTTTTTCTATGTTATGTACATATGTAACTTGTTCACGTACAGGGTTATTTAATATGCACTTTGAAAAATCTTCTTGAGTATGCTCCATTATTTGTATATGATTTTTCAATTCATTTTCTGGAAGTTTAAAATTATCTTGGAATTTTATATTGTTTTGGCTTTCATCGTTAACCAAATTATTATATTTTATTTTAATGTACGATGATGGCTCATTTACGTTATGATAAATTAATTCAGATTGGCCAATATTATCATGACATACGATTTGATCTTTCTCACCCTGAATTACTTCTAATTTATTATAAGAAATATTTTGCAATTGTGACGAATTTTTGTACACTTTATCCGTATATTCGTCCGATAAACTACTTCCATTTCTATTACAAACTTTTTTATCTATATGTATTTCAGTCTCTATGTGTTCAGTCTTATTTAAATGAGATTCCGGATAAACCTCATAAGTTTCAAAACAATTCTTAATAATCTGTAGCGTATCATTGGACTTCCAATTTTTATCATTATCAGCAGTACCTTCGTTAAGAACATATTCCTCAGTCGCAGTATCCTGTTGATTATTATTATTATTATTTTGATAATTCATAATTGCTTTTGCTGCAATTATGCTCTCATCTATTACATATTCTTTACTTATATCGTTCTTTTTCTTTTTGTGAGTTCGAACTTTCTGAAAATCTTCCTCGGATAGATACAACAACTCTCCGGTAGTCGTTAAAACTTTTCCATGTCTTGTCTTCAAATGACGTTTGTAGGTGTTTCTTGTCTTAAACCTAATTAAAGTAACAGTAATTTTATTAATATAACGATATTTATGCATTATATCTTATACACTTATAATATATATTCCGCATACCTTTGTCCACAGTCGTCGCATCCAAACGGTGCTTCTCCTGTATGCCTACGTCGATGTTCTCTAAAATGCGATGGATGTCTAAACTTTTTCCCACAATCAGCACACGTAAATCGTGTCTGATTTTGATGAATTAGCATATGATATTTCAAACTATGCCTTCTTGTGAAAACTGCTCTGCATATACGACATTCGTATGGTTTTATTCCAGCATGACTACGATAGTGAGACACTAATGTTGTAGGCGCTGTAAAACTTCGTGGCGGATTACAAATTCGACATTGGAGATTACTTCCTGTTGGATTTCCTTTTTTCTTAATACGATCCATAAACGCTAGCGCCATTTCTCTTTCCTCTTTACTGGTGCCTATAAATTTTGCTTTCCCTTTAGGTTTAGTGGCTATAATTTCTCCATTTTTATTGCAAATTTCACCTGACCATGTAATCTCTAAAAATAAGCCAAAATGCAATATAAATACAAAAAATAAATGCTAAAAGTATTTCGTATATGTACCTGGCAAATAAATGGTCTCCGACTCTTGATTGATTTTTTCTGATAATTTTTGATTAATGTGAGAATACTCTTTCATATGAACAGTATCAGTGCCAACAACCATAAGAACAATCTGCGTAAAAGAAAATTATTTTCAATATTTATAAATTTTTGTATTTGTTTTATATTCATGCTTACATTCTCATCTGTTGTTGTGTTTTCAAGAATACTACTAAAAGATGATGTTTCCTTGCCATTAGGAATCTCATCTTTCAAACGTTCAAAATAACTATGATCCCCAAGTACTTTAAACTCTGTTCTATCTATATCTTTTTGTTCAGAATTATGTAATTTTTTAGACTTTTCTATTCTTTCGAAGCTTTTATTCTTGTCTAATTCCTTAAAACTAGAATCATTTAATAGAATATTTCGCAGATAATTTGTTGATTTTTCTACTATAACATTCTTATTTTCTTTATTCAATGTCTCCTGTGGTTTTCTTGATTGTTGTAGTCTAGTTTTTTTGTTCTGTGAACTTGTTTTATGATTTTTATAATTCACAGACTTTGCAGTAAAGGTCTTATCTACAAAACAATATCAAACATACATATTTTTTGCATTATTATTAATAAGCAGTAATTTGTTTCTATTACTTATATAAATATATCTATGGTTACTCACAGGCATCCTTATTTGTTTTTAAATATTCCAAATGTTCCGCTAAATGTGCTTTGATAGACATTCTGGCTCTTCCTTCACTTGCAAAACTAGTGTACTTTTGTCCACATCCAATAATAAGAGCACATGTATAAGAGTATTGCCTTTTTAATTCGTCGCTTGTAAAAATAGAAAACTGTTTAACTAATTGTGACGCAGGCATAGATAAAAGTTGCGAAACGTTAAAAGATGATTCTTGAGTCTTTCTTCTTATGCATTCTGTTTTTGGCTTGCATTGTGAAGTCAACAGCGATTTACTACGTTTTTTTTCTGAATGTAATGTTTGGGATGCAACTTCTGCAAGCATGTCTAATAAAGCAGCCGGACTATCGTTTCTCGTAATACCTGAAAAGAAATTTGCATCAGAAAATAAAATGAAATCAACGATTAAAAGTTAACTGTAATCGATGTTTGATCTATATAAGTAAAAATACTTATTTATTCGTTCTATAGATTACAAATAATAGAGCTTGTACTAATATTCATATTGATGTTTTTATAGCTACAGAGTAAAACATTAACGATAAATGATTGATTTGCTATGTATATCTATATACACGTTTAGTATGTATCTGATAAATGGTAAATATTCTACTATAATACTACAGTAAACATTTAGTATACATGCTGTTATTATTATTATTATATACAAATTATATAAGGTTTCGCCACCAATTTTCAACTTTTTATTGACAAATACAAATGATACATCTTTATTTTATTTGTTGCGTCAGGAGTAATGCGATTGCAACAATAATAAATATGTGCTCCTTTACATCATGACATATGACAGTCAGCCGACGAAACATTACAATTTTCGGATTTACAGATATAATAAAGAAATTATTTACACTTTCAATACGCAACAAACATACGAATATTGCTACGAAAATAAGAATTATTTATTTTTCCTTTAGACGATGTTAAATTTCTTATTTTCCAAGCGTCATTCTAGCAGACGCCATAAGGACGTCCAGCAGACGGTTTTTCAATTCGTCTTTACTAACATCTTTAAAAATTGTATATTTTTTATGAATACTAGCATGTTTGGAAGTTAGAAATTTTTGTTACTTAAAGTGGATAAACATGTACCTCCATTATATGTATTAGAAGTATATTCATAGTTTGTTTTGGTGTTCATTATGGCATTCGTATTCGCGGCGTGTCTTCATTCCACTGCCTTCTGTGCACAACAGGTTCCTTCTTGTTGCTTCCTAGTTTGTCCTTCTTTCTTGTAAATCTTGAGAACAGTATTGCCAATCTTTAATACAGAGATTAAGTGTACAATCGATCACAATAATTCTCGCCGTCCTAGGGGGAAGTCACCAGCTGGCACTGGTTGTCCCTTCTCAATAAGCTTGCAGTTGTGCGGTTAAATCCCTTGATGGCGTTATTGAAAGTGGCAATATGCAATCCATTTCGTCGTCGCAAGAACATCAATAGTTAATTAAAAGTACAAGTTGTTGATGGTGTTTTTTTCCCTCAGATGGCAGAAATTATTGCAGGTAATTGTACACACAAGGGCATTGAATCCATTGTGAAATCACGATGCACATATATAGCGCTAGGCATCCGATTGGTGGAATTTATCGAAAGACTTAACGTTTTGCGAGAGCGCAGGGGATTCAATACCCCCCATAAATATTACATTCTGCTTCATCTGTATCTTTATTAATCGAGGATTAAGATCATACGCTACTCTACTAGACTTTTCTTATAGCTTTCCTAATAGTTGTGCCCAAACCCGACGGTGCTTTTCTGGCATCACTGGCCCAACATTGATTTAGTAATAAATCTGTACGGATTAAGCGCGTAATTTGAAACTAATCAACTTTCCACTTTGTGCTGGACGTTTTTATTAAACCTAAACGCTTGACTTGAACAGCTTCCTTTTTTATTATAAAAAAGTAGTTTTCTAAGAATCATTATAGTTAATCAAAAAATTTTATTTTTCAGAAGGAAACTAGCAACTATGCCCATTTATTTGCATGTGATAAAAAAACATTTTAAAATACGAGTAAAAATATTTTGATATTAGAAAATGAACTGTTTGCATATATTGATTCAACATTAATGCAAAAACTAACGATTTATTAAAATTGCTGCAGTATATATTTTATAAGGACTTAGATTATGATTAAGGTAAAAAATGTACAAATTCTTTAGTTGTTGATTCTTAAATATTTTATTACATTATGTTGTAAGTTTGTAATCTCTCAAATATGACACTAATAGTTGTACTATAAAAAGAATATAATATATACTACATTCGACGAGTTTATCTCTTCTTTATGACTTTACAAAGAGTTTGTTAATTTTTTGCTAATTTTTATATTAGTGCAATTTATTACAGCTAGTCGCAGGTTCGTTTTTAAACCCATCAGCGTCGAATATGTCTTTAATAATATCTTGTTTTTTCTTTGTGTGAGTTGGCAAGCCACGGTACAAATTTTCTGTTATTTGTTTCCTACTTGTTACATTGTGTTTTTCGTAATCTTGATTTAAAAATTCAATGTTCTCGTTATCATCGATAGCCCGCATTGTTGCCAATAATTTCTCTTTATCGTAATTAATTGTTCTTGATCCGACACTGATTTCGTTTGTAGTATTGACATCATCGTTGCTAACTATATCATGAGTTGAATCAGTCTCAAAAGATTGTACATTGTTTAATAAAACATCAACACTTTTTAATTCTGTATTTACTTCTTGCTTATTTAATTTATTTTTTGTCTCTACATTGTAATTGCCTATAATTGTACTATGACTTGTTTCTGCTTCATTGTTGTGCATTACACTTGTTATTTGTCCTTTGTCCAAATCGCTCGACGTGCTCAACGAATTCTTTGTAGATGGTTTGTTCTGCAAACCGTTAAAAATTTCATGCGTATGCAACAATGATTCTGGATCGATATCCGTTAGTTCTATTTTGTTAGAAGATATAAACGATGCATCGAGTTGATCATACTCTCTTGTGGTAAACGTTTGTAAAAACAACTTATCTTGAAGTTCGTTTTCCTTTATACTTGTATCATTATCTTCTTGTACATTATCTACAGATTGTTCAAACATATATTTGTGTAAATCTTCTGAAGATTTATTTATATTATCTATTGAATGACTAGCGTCTATTTGTTCTTTATGAGTATGATCTACATCATATTGTAAAGTACACAAATTTTCATCCGTAACACTTTTAGTTGGTGCTTGTGGTTCTCTAATTAAGTTTTGATAAATCTTCTGTGATTCGTTTAAGAAGCGAGAAGTCGTCAACTCTTCCACTTCTTCATTAGAGTTATAACGAATTTGATCATCGCACATAGATGAAATTAGTTTAACAGCATCATTTTGGTGGTTTCCTGGCATATAATGTTTAATCGATTCTTTTCTTATTTCAGTTTCGACTTCCGAATCACTTTCGTACGAATCCTTTCTCTCATGCTGTAAAACTTTCAACTTATCTCGGTATGTACAATTAGAAAATGTTAATTCTTTTGAATCCGACGTATCATCAGTATTGCTGAGTAATCTAAAATACAATAAAACATACTATACTTAAGAAACTATCTATGAATTTTAAAACGAATAAATCCTGTAATTTTCAAACCTTGTGCATAATTTTCTGGAATTATTAGTTGCATTCGCGTCATCGTTTTGAAAAGTTTCATCTTCACTATCACCACCTTCGGACGAATAAAGAACTTTGTTCTTTAATAATTCGTGAAAATTATGATATTTTCGATTTTCATATATTTTTCTAAAACTGTCTGCACTTATTTCATACTGATTTTCATCATTCTCATTTTGCCTTTCTAATATTTCTGAACTGTTCGAACGCTCAATAAATTTTGAATCTTCATCTAGTTTAAAACCTACTTCTTTAGGTTTCTCTTCAAAATCGTTTGATGAGACTTTTCTATGTGATAATTTTTGAAGACGATATTTTCTTATCTGTTCCAAATTAGCCATTGTTTCTGTTTTCACAGAATCTGATGTTTGATTTAAATTTGTCCTTTCGTCCGTTCTTATGCTTTTATCATTTAGTTCAGGCGTATGAAGTATAGGCTAAAAATGATTAAATTAATATCAACAAAATTTGTGTCGATTAAAAATTAAAATTTATAGAAATATATTTAATAAAATTAATTTTTACCAAACTACTTTCTTGTGCATCTTTTTGCCATCTTCTACTCTGATTTGATAACTTCAATGGATTTGATGAGCTGCAACGTACATTATAAAAAGTATTATGTAGAGAAAACGTTTGTTTAATAGTTCAGTTTTGCATACCTAATATCTCTTAAATTTGTAAGAGACTGTGTACCAAAATGTCTATTTTTATTAGGGTGTAATAATTGTCCATTATAATATAATCGTCGTTCTCTGTTGTCCAGTAAATTTTCTAAACTTTTTAATTTTTCTATCGTTTCGTTTAAACGTTTTTGTGTTTCCTTTCGCTTAGAAATTTCTGCATATAATTGCTGCTTTAAGCTTTTACTTTCAAGAGCCAATTTTCTGTGTAGCACCTAATATAATTTTTAAAAAATACAACCATTATTCGGGGAATAGTAAAACAATGTTGAGTTTTTTAAATCACCTGTATAGTATCTTGTTGTTGTTGCATTCTGTAATTTAAATCAGAAACTTGTAATTGTAATTTTTCTCTTTCCCCCAAATTGCGATCTTTACTGAGTTGTAATAAATGTTTACTTTGAGACTGTCAAAATAGTATAGAAACATAGATTCTTTTATTTATTTATAACTAAAAGTGTTATGTATATTTAATACTCACCTGTAATTGCTGAAGTTCATTCTCTTTTTCTTTTAGTAAAGTGCATGTTTCTTTATGCAAAACTTTCAGCTTTTTATATTTAATTTGAAGTACTCTCAATTCCTCATGGTGGGAGTTAATGATCCGTGGCAACTCTGCGTTTGTTCCTTCGTAACGTTTCAGTGCAGAATCCTGTCGTTTTTGTAATGATTTCAATAGCCTGTTTTCATTACCTAACTCCTGCAGAGAAAGATATAATTACATTCAATGTTCCCTACAATTTAATATATGTTATTTGTGACAGATACTGATTAAAATAGTTACATTTAATTGATAATGCGCATCAGCCAACTGATTTTGTAATTCTTTAATATGTAACATTTTTGCTGACAAAACTCTTTGTTTAATGCTATTTCTGTTAAGCTTTGAATGTTCTAATAGAGGTTTTTGTTGTACACTACTTTGGTAAGGTTGTCCTAAACGTAGTTTAAAAATAAATAGATCAAAGTAGTTTAAAAGTAAAGAAACAATAACATTAATTGCGATTTAATTTCAATACAAACCAAGTAAAGGACGCAAGCTCTTTTTGTTGGATGAAAGACATGCTATATTTTTATGTGGTGTATTAGTTTTTGTTTGCACTGTTGAGTTTCTCAAGTTAGAATTTTGTTTCCTGTAAATTATGTATTATTTTAATAAGTTCATAGTAATACGTATTTATCCTTTGTCGAGAGAAATGTTAATATCTATAAAAATATGAAATCATATAAACAAAAAGGGCTTAATGTATTGTACAAGATATTTAATATACAATATTATTAATACAATTAAATATATAAAAAGAAAATTTATATTTTAAAACAAAAACTTTGGAAATAGATATGTTAAAATATGTGTAAAGTGTTTGATACTGCACTTATTACCTATTGAGATTTGTGTGGGCATTTAAGTGTACTACAGGTAATGTAGGTACTTCAGTTTGCATTTTATATTTGTAGATACTGCATCACAAGTACCATCTCAAGTCTATATAATATATCTTTAGAAGAATAAATTATTGTAGGATTGTCAAAAGCTTATTGAAGACCAATCAACATCCATAGTTGTTTTTAAGCGGTTACCAAGGTGATATCCTACACAACATTTCACTAATCAATGGTTTTTCAAATTATAGATATTTCAAATACGACTTCTAATCTAACGAAAGTATTCAACAAATTATTATTTTTTAAAAGACATATACGCGGAAATAGTGGAAAATACAAATTATAACGTGTAATTCAAAATATTTGCACTATAGCGATTTAATTTTCAAATCTCAGTAAAAGATATTTAAGATATGTGTATATAATAATAAAGAATAACATTGTTCAGTTACTGTTTTATTTTTTAAATTATTGGAAGAACCTTTCGTTCGTTGTAGTATACATATTAAAAACATAGAATAGAACTATCTATTGTTTCATTCTGAATTTCTTTCTACATTTACAAATATGAAATATTCTAATTATTGTATTTATAAATAAATCAAAAATATGTTTATATATATGAACAATAAATTAGTAAAAATTATCATCTTTTTATAAACATTGACATTATTAAATTTATTCGCATATAAATAAACATGCGCACAGCACATGCATCATTGTTGTACAATCTCTGTAATATAAATAGGAAACGATCCTAAATACATATATTTCTAATGACTCATTTACTGTTGCACATTATGTTCATAATACGTAATAATAGAACAAATAATATACACTGTATTTTGAATAATAATTGTAACTGTTCAGTTAAAGTACTAATTTTAAAGTAATTATGTTCAAACATGTTTTGTGTTATTAGATTACATAATAACAATTATTACATGATACCAGAATCAGGATTGTTTTTTCTGACAAATGAGTTTCGAGTATACATATTTGGAATATATACAGTATTTCTTAATAATGTGTCTCTAGATATAATATTATACAGACATTATTACCTTTATTTTATACAATCTTTTGACTCAAACTCCTGGTGTTCTATTACTATTATTTTTCCCTTGATTAGATTTATGCATACCGATGTTTTGTGTTTTCCATAATTTATTGTAAAATGAGTCTGGCATTGCGACTAAGCAATCATGTGTTCCTCTTTCTATTAAAACACCATTATTTAATACTAAAATTTCATCAGAATCCATAACAGTAGATAAACGATGTGCTATAACTATGGATGTTCGCCCGGAAGTTGCTCGGCGTAATGCTTCAAGAATATTCTACACACATGTTATTTAGAACAATATTATTATTAAATACATATTAATAGCATTTAAAATACAGTATATACTTACGTGTTCTGTAATAGAATCTAGAGACGATGTGGCTTCGTCAAATATTAATATTGGACTATTTTTTAAAATCGCTCTAGCAATTGCTACCCGTTGTTTTTCACCTCCGCTTAATTTCAAGCCACGTTCTCCAACAGGTGTATTATATCCTTTTGGCCATCTGAGAATGGAATCGTGTAAGTTTGCCATTTTAGCAGCCTCGTAAACGTCTTCTTTCGATTTCGACAAATTTCCATAATGAATGTTATAAAAGATACTTTCATGAAAGAGAACGGTGTCCTAGAAATATATTTTTTTAATTGTTATTAGAAACATATTTTACATATTTTTTTTTTCTTCCAATTCAATTACCTGAGGCACTATCGCTATTGATTGTCTTAAAGTATTTAACTCTATATCTTGTATATCGTGCCCATTGATTAAAACACATCCAGATTGTGGTTCAAAGAATCGGTATAATAATCTTACTATTGTTGTTTTACTGAAAATTTATATCATTTAGTATTAAGTTACTTTTAATCCAAATTATACACGTTACTTAATAATCTTACCCGCTGCCGGATCCTCCAACAATAGCAATTTTTTTGCCACTTGGAATGGTAAAAGTGATATCTTTAAAAATAGGCTTGCCTTCGCAATATTGAAAATTAACATTGTTGAACTCGATGTTTGAATTCGCCGAACTTATATGAAACTGCATCGCGTTCTCTTTAGACTATTATATTATATTATAAAATAGGTTAATCATTCGTACAATAACATATCCTTAATAACTATGAAATAGAAAATAAACACCTTAATAGCTGTGTCCATTGTCATCAAAGTAAACATAGTTTGCATGTCAATAAGAGCTTGTCTTACTTCACGATATACCGAACCCAAGAATCCTAAAGGAACTGATAATTGAAACAGAAGTGCGTTGACCATTACTAAATCTCCGACTGTCATAGTACCTAAATTCATTTCATCCAATATTATTATGAAAAATCTATTCTTTAAATCACGTTCATTATTAAGCAATATATATTATTTTACCATTTAAAATATTCTTCGATGCTAATACCATTATTAAACTCAGAGCAGCACTAAATATAGCATTTTGCCCAAAGTTTAACATTGCTAAACTTGTACTTGTTTTAAGCGATGCAGCTTCGTATTTTTTCAACGATTCATCGTATCTTTGCGCTTCAAATTTTTCATTATTAAAATACTAACATAAAAAATACAATTCTTAATTCATTATCTGATAAAAGTAGTGATAGAATTTAGTACATACATAGTTATTCTAATCACAATACTAGGTAGGTTTCCAATATACCTTTACTGTTTCATAATTGATAAGTGAATCTATTGCTTTATTGCTTGCTTCGTTCTCTGCTTGATTCATAAACATTCTGAATTTCGTTCGCCATTGTGTAACAGCTAATGTAAATATGGCATAAATTCCAACGCAACCCAACGCAACGCCCGCATATTCTGGACCGTACTTTACATGTAATATCGTACTGACCAGTGCTAACTCGAAGATAGTAGGTACAATATTAAATACCATAGCATTTAATACAAAATTTATACCCCGACTTCCTCTGTCAATTACCTATATAAATGTTATATACACAAATATATTATAAGTTATAAATAGCAAAAGTAAGTAAAATCTTACGAAAATAAAATAAGCTCATCTTGCCTTTGATAATGCTCCAGTTTGTCTAGACAAATGAAAAGCCATATCTAATGAATGTAAATGTAGAAAAACATTATTAGCTATTCTTCGAATAGAATGCTGTGCAACTTGTGCAAATACTGCATTTCGTAGTTCGCTAAAACCAGCTGCTCCTGCACGCGCTATACCATCTGTATTATTAATGTAAATTTATTATTAGTTGTTCTTACGTATAAAATAATGTTTGTAAAGCAATCTATTGTACACACATCCTATAAGTAATGATGTTGCTACCGTTCCAACTGTTTCAGGTGCAGTTCCGAGATTTAAAATATCAGTACCGTTAAGTGCTATACTTTGAGCATTGAGATTATCTACTGCATACTTGAAAATAAAAGGAACACAGACATTTAAAACTTTTGCACCAACGAGTAAGCCAACAGCCATTTGAACTCTTTTCCTTATTTCTGGATCATCCTAAAAATAAATATACTATAAATACGTATTATCATAGAAAAAATTAAATACTTTGAGACACTTACTTTTGGCCAAATATATCTTAGCATCGCTGTAATCATACTTCTAGAGGTAACGGGTTCCTTGCCTTGGAAATCGATACCTTCTTGACTTAGATTGGAAGCGCCAGGATGAAAACAATCTCTTTTCTGTTGGCTTGATTTCCCTCCGATTAATCCAGAAAGTGTTAACGGAAACTTGAGTGGAGGAATAATAGATTTTGATTGCAGTACACTCTTTTTTTTCTGTACACGATCAATTACACTTCCGCTGCAACACTACAAAAACATTTAGAAATTTTAAATCGATACTTATATAATTTTTTCACATAAAAATTTAACGAAATTATCATTAAATATTTCAAAAGAAACTACTCTTTCTATAACGATTCTTAATAAAAAATGTTACTTCTATTATATAAACAAAAAGAAATATTATTTACAATAGAATATATTTTTTCTATTAATTTCTTATATATATATTAATATGGGAATTATTTACGCTATTTTATATAATGGAAAAATAAATGAAGTTTAGTTAGAAAATAAATTTTTTTATTAAGACAATACAAATTTCTGAAGGTATATTACTAAATTACAGTACACATATTTCTTGCATAGTCACATTCAATTTTCCTAATAACGTATCAATAATGTACATTTCTAAAAATTATATTACTGTAATTAACAATGTATGCAAAAGTAATTGTCAACTTCAGTTAATAATGTAATGTATTCCTTTATGAGATCTATTGCGATTGAAAAAGATCGAGTACTGTGCTTAAAGCTTTGCATAGTTTTTAAACTATTTATTACTTCATTTTTTTTTAAATTTAAAATTTTTTTTGCTACAGTATAAATATTAAGCATATCCTCGGAAGTAAGAGAATCCCCATACAATTTTGCGCTCCAATGTTCTTTACGTAATTTTGTAGTTACTATGAATAATGTTTGAACTGCATTATAATTCAAATTCCCTCTTGTAAATGCCATATTATGTTGTAAGTTATTGAAAATAATAAAATCTAATTTAAATTTTGGAATGCTAATACACGCTTGTACATAAAAAATGTCAAAATAAACCTCATCCAATGGATTGTTGGGTATAAAAAAACCGTAATGAATGTATAACTGAAGATTATTATGTGCACCATAGTTGATGAAAACTTGTGACTCCTTATTATATGATTTTAATGTGGTGATTTCATAAAATTTGTTACCATCTTTATTTGTAATCATAGAGACTTTGGTGGTAGCATGAACATCATGATTAAACAAATCTAAAAATGGGGCTAGAGCTAGGTTATTGGAATGTTTTATATTAATATTTACATCATGATTTGTTTTTATCTGATCTGTATCTATATAGACAGCTCTTGTATTAACAATATAATATGCCCATTTGTATCTTTCAAATGTTATTATCGTTCTTAAATCTTTATTGCAATGTGGACAGTTATTATTTATATTAGTTATAGACTTAATTAATATCCAAAAGTCATTTTGAATATTGTGAAATTTAGACATACAATCCACAATAAATGCTGGCAACAGCCTCTTTTCTTCTTGTGTACAAAAATCTGGATTTGTTAGAACTTGTGGGAGACAACTAATGTAATCATACCATTTTGAGGTGTTTCCTAAATGGGATTCATATATGAGAAATACTGATAATATACAGTGAGGACTATAATATTCGCTTTCTAAAAAAATTTTATTAATATTGCTTTGAGATACTGTTGCTGTTGTTATTAATATCTCATATGGTATTTTGATCAATACATCATTGGCTTTAATATTTTTCGATATTTTCAATCCTCTACCAGTAATAGGAAAATCAAACGGTAATAGATCAGAAACTGATAAACAGTTATTTGATAATAACCAAAACTTTAGACGCATCAAACTTTCTTCTCGTTTTGCTATTTCTTTAATATTTAGCTTCTTCTTTTGATGACGTTTTCTTGCAGTTCTACCCATTACGTATAATGTTATATCTGTAGAAACAATAAATGGATATCTTGAAATAAACAATTGTCTAACTTGTAGGAACATTGATTGTAAAATCTGTGTCAATTAAACACATATTTATTAATATTATACGTTATAACTGTCAACATATTAATTGTACGACTATTATATGCCTCCCATTATTAATTCTTTGTTATAATTGGTATTTTGATAATTCAAACACCTAACGAAGTAATTAGAAATCTTCAATTAATATTCGAAATATTCTATGGACTACGATAATATATATGTTAGAATTATTACCCTAATTCCACTCGTTAAAAGCATAGGATTGCTCGTAGGAACATAAAAGAAACTTCCTTCCGAATAAATTATTTGTCTTCGTGGTTTAAGTGAACATGTTGTAAATGATTTAATCCAAAGTTTCCTTTCGTTCGATCCAAATCGTTGCAGCCGGCGGCACAAAATAATACTCAACATTATTTAAGAAATATTTATTCACAAACGAAGATACAAATATATTATTCACAAATCAGGTTAATAGAACATGTTACGGGTACTTTTAACACCCCATTGCAACCCACACGTCAATGCTATAGCAAACGTATGCACTATATAGTGTTTATGCCCTGAAAACGCTCGCCAAAATGTGAGGTCAGACGTTGTGTATGAATCAGCCCGCAAATGGCGCTAATGTCTTTATTTTGAACACCTATTGCACGGCAATCTGTGTATCTACTCTGTATTATATTATTCTTATATTACTAGAACATATTTAATAGTTTAATACAAAGTTAGTTTACAGTACAGTCGATCTCCAGTGTTGTTACCAAATTTACATTCAACTCTTAACTAATAGCACAGTATAACCGAGCCAACTTTAGCACGAATCATGCTGAGCAAGAGGCAGTAAAATTGCTAGAGTCCGATTTTGCACTAGATAGACAGAGAAATTTACATACTGCATACTCTTTTTATCAAGTGCAAAATCAGACTCTCGCGGCTTTGCTATTTCTCGTTCAGCATGGCTAATACTGGAGTCGGCTGTGGAATTGCATATGTACAGCACTGCAGCTTAAATTTTACAAGCATGCGTATATACAGTGTAGATAAGATCGCAACGTCTTCGTAGTCCTTACGTTGCCGATGCATTCATTTTTACTCAATGAAAAATGCTCTCTTTTTCTTTTAATTAACGAAAACAATTAAACCTTGCATACGAAAGATATCCGTAAATACAATATTCATTTTACCGTTACTTTATAATGTAAATTTGTAATTTTTTTTTTATCAAAGTTGGGTCGCATGATATCTTTAAAAAATAAGGTCAAAAGTGAAAGTTTTAAGACGTCAATCATGTGCGTTATACCTGTTGAATGCGTGACCAATGTTAATGTTGAGAGAAAACGAATTCCACGGGTGTGTACGGTAGAAAAATGTCTACGAACAAAATTGTCTTTACTTTCCTGAGAAACGGAAACGTGGTCAAGTCAATTTTATCCAGTGACCACAATGTATATTGTGGAGTACAAAGAAATGTACATACTTTTACGGAGAATAAGTTTCGTTTACACGAATTCAACAAAGTTGAGGCAAAACTTGCAGGAAATCAAAAACCAGATTGGAACAGGGCTGTTTCAGAAGCAGAAAAGATTGTTGGGTACCCAACATCATTTCTAAGCTTGCGATGGCTTTTAAGCGATGAAATAGCAAATGTAGCATTGCATTTAAGGAAATTAGTAGGATCTAATCATCCTTTATTGAAAACAGCCAAGTGAGTGTTTTATCCATATGCTTACAATTATTCTCATTTGTATGTATTAATTTCTTCTATTTTTATTTATCGTAGAAGCGTCATTTTCAATGGACGTAATAACATGCAAGCATGGGGTCTCATTGTATTGTTAATCTCGAAAGCTGCTGGTCATTTAAATGTAGATGATATGGAGGAAGATAAAGCTGCCGGCGTACTCCATAGGTATAATTTATATTAAAACTAGAACTTATAATGAGATATGTACAAATGAAAACAGTTACCGAATGAATTGTTATTTAGTCAGCGGGCATTGGCTGAGGTTACGGAAATGATACGCACCAGTCATCTTGTACATAAAGGACTAATAAATATAGAACCTGATGTTCATTTAGAAACTTCTGAATTAAACGACATGAATATTGGTAACAAAATTGCATTACTCAGCGGAGATTACTTATTAGCTAATTCTTGTGCAGAATTAGCAAACCTTCGTAATCAAGATGTATGTATACGCAATATGTGCGTATCGTTAGCGGCTAAGCAATTTTATATTCTACAGTAATCTTATTTAGATTGTAGAATTAATGTCGAGCGCTGTTCGAGATTTGGCAGAAGCAGAATTTGTAGGGCGTAGAGATAGCCAAAATAATCCTTTACCTTCCGTACCACCTGAAAATCGTACAGATTATGCAGTGAAAGAGTGGACTCTTAGAAATGTACTGAGCGCTGGTGCATTACTTGGAAAGTCCTGCAAAGGTACATTGAAATTAGCTGGACATAGCAACGAAATACAGGAACAAGGTTACAACTTTGGGAAACATTTAGCATTAGCTTGGCAAGCCTGTTTAGACTTGGGTCCATTTATAGTAAAAGATCAAACTGTAACATTCAATCTGTGTTCTGCGCCAATTATGTTTCACATTGAACATGACCTATCAATTATGACAGAAATCGATAAAGGTTTGCAATCTGTAAACAATGTAGATTATGCCAAGGTAAATATATTAAATATTAATATTTATATAATACATTTGTACTGTAAAGTCTTCATTTCTAACTATTTAATATTCAGATTCACAAGATTGTTATGAAGGGACCTGGTGTTGAATTAGCAAAACAACTACAAAAAGGGCATTCACAAAGAGCAATGGAAGTTCTAAGTGTATTTGAAAAAAGTGATGCAAGGACAGCACTGTATAACATTATAGCAGCTATGGGAGATTTCTAAATAATGACTTTGACAACAAAACCAATGTGTATATTTTATATAACTGCCCAAAGATCAGTTTAAGGACTCCGTCCTATGTTAAGTTTACAGTTTTAACACAAATTGCATATAAATATGTAAATTTTATATATAAACTATACTATGAACAAAATATTAAGTAAAAAATTTATACATTATTTTATACAATCAAAGTAAACGAATTAGCTGTCTTTTACAAAGATGCTAATTGTCTACAAACAAATATTGTGAAAATGATGAACTTGATACATTTTATAATAAACAATATTTACATAAATTTGTATTGTTATAATAATTATTTATGTTCGACATTTGCAAATTCTGAATTTGAAATTTTTTTACCATTTGTATTACTTCCATTTTAAACAATCATTACATATCTAAAAATAGTTTTTAATACATTAATATAATACGAATCGTTAAAACATATTTATTAAAGTAAATACGAAAATATTTATTTGTAATTAAATCCGATAATTATAGGCAAAGTAATCGATTAGAAAATCTGTAGGTCGATTAAAGTAATACAAATATGTATTAGGCTAGTAAACTAGTTTGTACTGTTGTCAACACGAACAGTAGATGAACCATATACCGTATGTAAACATGTCACGAACGGGCACGAAACTCGATTGGAAAAAAGTTGTAAGTACATCATTAATACACATTACCAAAGTATGCAAAATAGTTCAATCATACGTTACTATGTTCTATTACATAATTAAATAAAGTAACAATGAAAAAATTTAAATCGAATTGTAAGTAAGGTTATGTATAAAAATTAGTGTCAGTATATTTTTATTTTCAGAACTCTGAATTGTTTACGTTGACATATGGTGCACTGGTGGCCCAACTATTAAAGGATTATGAAAATGTAGAGGATGTGAATAAGCAATTAGAAAGAATGGGTTACAACATGGGAATTCGCCTAATAGAAGATTTTCTAGCACGCACTGGATCTGGTCGTTGTTATGACTTTAGAGATACGGCAGAAAAAATACAAACTGGCTTCAAGATATTTTTAGGTATAACACCAGTGATCGCAAATTGGAGCGCTGCCGGTGATGAATTTTCTCTATGCTTTGAATCAAATCCATTAACAGAATTTGTAGAATTACCAGACCATTGTTTAAACCTAAAGTATTGTAATATATTAATTGGAATATTAAGAGGTGCCTGTGAAATGGTACAAATGGAGATTGCTTGTTGGTTTGTACAAGATCAACTTAAAAATGATAATGTGAATGAATTACGTGTTAAGTTTATTAAAAGATTGGAAGATGCCATTCCAGCAGGAGAAGACTAAGTAATTTTATATTATTAAAAGAACAAATAATTGTGGCCAATTGATGACTCTAGCTTTTATAGACATATTTTATTATTTATGCTATATTATAAATGGAGCCCTTTTTTTTTTTATATCAGTTCATCAATAAGCTCAATATCTTTGTAACTAGCCAATTCCAATGATGTATACAATATGTAAAATACAGAAAAGCGAGTTACATTAAAAAATGCTCGTAATGCTTTGTCAAAATAATCTTCCCTTAATTGTTTAGTATGCAATAATCAAACAAAAATTAATGTAATGTAATAATGTATACCTAAAATATACAAAGTTGTCGTTTATTAAATGAATTACACATTTCCTTTTACATCTGTGTAATAAATAAGCATATAAAATAAATTTGCTGATATATTTTTTCACGTGAATTGATCAAAATATTTCAATTTATTCTAAATGAAATGTGTGGCAAATGTTCATAGAATTATTAAATATGGCCGACATAAGAAGAAATGTATTGTACGTTAAATTTCATTAGATGATATCTTTATATTTTGACTAATTTTTAATGCGTTCTCATACTTATGTAGAGTGTATTTATTTTGTTATATTTAGTAAGTTTAAATTCTGTTTATTTTCTCATGTTTACAACGTTTGACACTTTATTTAGGTTATCATTCGTTACTAAACGAACGAAAGAAACGTTTCATTAAGATATTTTGTACAATCATTTTATGAAACATCCTAGGTAATGGAAGTGAAGTGTAAACATTGTAGAAAAGATCTTTCTAATAAGGAATCAATGCAATTATTAACTTCTCATAACGAAATAAAAATGAATGTGATGGATGTAGGATGTGCAACAAACGATTCAGAATCTTCTTCGTACCTGTCGACAGAAAATATGCCTGAATGGATTAAATGCATAATAAACAAAGTAAAGTTTCTATGAATATTTATAGTATTGTATGATTACGAATTGAATTTTTTTATATCCAATTAAAAAGGTTCTGCATAATTATTATATGCATAATATACAATACTATGTAAAATATAAATATGGTTTCGGTGAAAATAATATACATAAAAATTCTTGCGAAACGTGTATCTATGAGATATAACATATATTTGTTACAGGAATCTTGGACAAAGGGTAGACTATATTGTCCAAATTGTAATAATCGCATAGGTTCGTTTAATTTTGTACATGAGATGAAATGTGATTGTGGTGAATGTATAACACCAGCTATTAGGATAACTAATAGTAAAGTAGACATTTTATTTGCAAATGAATAAAGTACTTTTATTACATACTAACTATACAAGTATTTTTTTTACTAAATGATGCAATTAAGTAACATAAGGCATTCTAACTATTGTCTTAAACAAAAATTTCTTCAATAGAACATAATTAATTTTCTTGCAAATAAATTTATTGTATATATACAGCATTAAGTTTGTATTTACATTATTCTGAATATTACATATTTAAGCATTTATTTATAGTTATTGCGCAGCAGTACTTTTAAATAAGTAAATTATATACATAATGGTTTTAAATAAATATAATTATGATCGCAGTGAGCAAGCATAGTGAATCATAGCAATTATATCTAACATAGCAATATTAGCAATTTTTATCTAATTTATTTAAAATTTAAATATTTTTTATTGTTTGTTTTAATATATATTACTTTATTAACAGATAATATATATTTTACATGTATACATAGCTTAAATATTTGTTGACGTTATATATATATGTATATATATATATAATGCAAATGAATATAAAAATTGACTGTACATTTTATATGTAGAATAATTGCTGTTTTATATTACAGCAAAATTCGTAATCTATATAATGTACACATAAAGTTTCCTACTTAATGTATTTACAATTAATTGTTAATGCACAGCATTAAAAATAATTTTAATCAATTGTTATGAATTCATAACAAAGTGAAAAAATAAGTTAGACCGTATTGCATGTGTCTAATATATACATTAGAATTTATTTGTTTTTTATTTATTTTATAATGTTTAAAAATAAATTCATTGTTCATTAACTGAACTTATTCTTTCAATTGTTTATTGTAGCAAGCTATAACTACTGTTGCACAGTGCATAAGTACATTATGCCTAATATAATATAAGGAATATAACAATAATAAAACAGATAACGCATAATACCTGTAAGTAACATTAATGATATAACAATGAAAACATATTAAGTACAGACAACATTAACAGGTACTATCTTTTGTTACATAAAATCTTTATTAATTAACCATATTAACAGTAATATCGTATCAACCCCCCAAAAAAATTACAAGTAATTTTAATTATTGATAATTATATAAATTCATTATTTATATATTTCGGAAACTTAAATTACAATCTTTACGAAACGAATTTATATGATTGTTTAAAAATATTTTGGTAGCCCCAGAAAGAAAAAATGGTTGTTTAAATTTACAAAAGATATTTTCATAAATATTTTACTATTACGATTTGTTAAATTTTGTTGACAACGCTTCTTGATAATAAATTATAAAATTGTCATTGCCAATTGAGTTCTAATATTAATGAATATATTTTTAAACAATTGTAATAGTATGTAAGATTCAAATTTGATCACATACGGATTATTATTTTTCATCAAAAACGTGTATAAATATTTTGAATGCTTTAAAGAATTAAACGGACGAATTTTAATGTGTCTTTTTTCTATTACTAAGGAACAAATGGTTTGTCATCCAAGCTGTATGAATTTGTCTAAATTAGCATTTCATTTTTTAGGAACAAAACAAATAATATTGAAAGCATTCTACTAGGAAGACGAGAGAATATAGAATTTTACTATAGAGTATTAATATTAAATTATAATTAATGAAATGAATTATAATGTCCATGAATAATTTTACATGCAGATATTTAATATAGTTGTAGTTATACAATATATTTTAATGAATCAAAATCTATCTTTATTATAAAATTTTCAGACATAGTGGTATGTGCTGTTGTCCACAAAAGTAGCATTTAAACAAATTTAATTTTCACAAATCATGCAAAACCATCTCATAATTAACAAAAAAGGTTTAAAGGACAATAATAGAATTATTGCACAATCGATCTGGATTAAAGGCACATATGGTCCATAAAGAAATATTACTGGAAATATTTCAAAAATATGCTTGGACAATATGAGAGCTAGTTGATCCATTGTTGTTAGTTCTGAGACTACAAGAATATAATTGGTTGGTATTATTTTTTACAATGATTTTCAATAAAAAAATAATTAAAATACCACAAGAAATCTTATAAAAAAGAATGTGTATAACTTACATTAATACCGGATCAATCAATTTTAGATATGAAATAATCTTCTATTATTTCAAATATATTATTCGGTATCCAATATATTTTTTTTTCTTCAAGCTCTTTAATGACACTGTAAATTTTGAACATATTACAGTCCAATAATATTTAGTTGCTACAACTGGAATATTTCATCTTGTTGTTGTTGAAGTTTTTGTAACGATGTCTTCACTTTTCTACCCTGAGTCATAACTACAGCAGTTGGAAAGTTATGCATATCACTAGAAGATGACGGTCTTAATGGTTCGGAGGTGGATGAAAATGTATGTGTATTTGACGTCATAGGAAACGAATTACGTAATTTAGTAGACACTCTACGTTGTTGTACATAGATATCATTACCATCTGTGCAAAATCTAAAATATAATTCATAAAGAACAATTGGTTACTGAACGTATAATAGATTTTATAAGGTCATACGATCATTTACATTTAATATATATTAATTACTGGTAAATAACTTACTCACTATTCCCCTGAGTACGTTTCACTTCCCTTTTTGCACTAGCTATAGAAGAATCCATTTTAGCTAAAAAGTCATTAACTGAACTATCATCATCTATAGATGATGTGACTGAAGATGGACTAGAAACCTAAAAATATATTTTAAATTTATATATTACGAATTAACGATTTAACATCGATTTAGTTGAAAAAATATTTACAGTTTGAATTGCATTATGTTCAGTTTCATTTGTATTGTCGATAGGTAACGACAAAGGACTTTCTGGGTTAGCAGGAATAAGTAAATATTCCCTTAAGAATAAACTATCAGAAGCCCATAATCTATTGACCCTCCTTATTTGTTCAGTCTATAAAAATTAAAAATAAAAGAAACTTATAAGAGTTTATTGTATCTGTTACTATTGTTTTTAATCTATTAAAGAACATGTAAAACGGAATAATAAATTCGTACTGTAACTCCGTATTTTAGTGCAATTCCTTGAAGTGTATCAATTGCTGATACTGTATGTCTTATTAAATTTTCAGGTCGTGTAATATGTTTGGCTGTACTGCCGTACTTTTTCAATGTTTTACCAGTATCTCTTATACACATTCGTTCTTCCATTTCCCTCGCGCCATTTCGTTCCATTCTTAATCTGCGAAATAGTATCGGCGCTTACGGAGCGTAGTAAACATATCACTCTTTGATATTTACGGGACAGAAATTTAGATAGAACTCAAGGAATATAGTCACATAACCTATTCAAACGTATAAGAGAATTCAGCGCGTATCTCATTGATATCTTGTTGATAAAAATTATTACTGATACTCTATACAAAGTAATGTTACGTACATTATCAAAATGTAAAGAAATACTACTATCAATCATCGGACGTGAACTGTAATCTGATTAACAGATTTTAATAACTTTCTAAATGTAATTGTATTTAAAATAATTGAAAAACATGTATTTTTCTTTAATGTATATTTTTTCTAATAATCATATTTAACAATTTTATAAGCTTGATCACGACAAATAACTTTTGTCACGGTTACACTACAAATATCTGCTTCAGCTGATCAACGTGATAATAATTTATAGATGTTCTTTAACCTGAAGTTGAACGATAGTATTTGCCTCGTTCTGATTGGATAATCAAAGGGCGTTACACAAACAAATAGTGTAGATGTTCGAACAAAAACATTTATGTTTAATAGAAATTATAAAACGGATATAAACGAAATAACGAAATGTAAAATTTTTAATATTGTTTACATCTTTTTCTAATTATATTGCACATTCTTTTATATACTCAAGTTTACAATATAAATAACGGATTGCTTTTTTCATTACTTAATCTCATTACATAACACATGTAACTTAAGAAATGTAACAATTATTATTTGTAGAATATATGAAATTGCATGTTTATTTCCTAGCTTTATTAATTCGTAAATATTGCAAATTTCAAGTTTTTTTTTTATCCATTTCTCTTCAAAATTGTAGTTTCGGCTGTTCATATTTATTTAAGGAAAAAAGTAATAGAAATGGAATAAAATTTTAATAAAAACATGTTAATTATAGTACGTTACACAGTTCATCTATTTTTAAATACAATATATTACAGAGAAACACACAGTTATAATTTACTGTTATTAATATTATGTCTCTTACAGTATAATTAACTTATGGTTATAATTATTATTATTGTTGCTTCTGATCCTGTTGTTACTATATGCTAACCTTGATAAATATATAAGGTAGCATAAAAATTATATAATGGGAGACTAATTGATGTATTTTATTAGGACAAATTTATCCTTGCATAGTACGTATTAATCTCCAGTAGCTGTGCAACAGTAACTGTAATATTGGTAATAAATAGTTAACATAGGGATAAATATTATGCTACTGCGGCAGTGTGCTTCCTGGATTCTGGGTAAGGGGTATTTCTTTGTCTAATTATTAGAACTATATCAACTATTATTCTACAAGACACACCCCTTCCGCTATCCCAATTAATGTAGCTACTTAATAAAGATCTCATTGATAAGCAGCATTGGTATTCGAAATTATTGTTTTGATCAATTGTCGCGGACAAGGGTTATGTGCAAATTTCAGTTTCATAACATGAATATATACATACACACGTGTGCGCGCGTGTACGCCGGATTTAATTTTTTCAAAAATGGTACTTTAAAGGTAGAGCAATATAAGTTACAACAAAATTGGAAGTGTAACACGTACAGGTAAAACTATCTAGAAAGAATGAGTACAAAATCTGTTCCGTCTGATGCATGTCGATAGTAGAAATGTGTACCTTAATTTACATCTCACACATATACTTTGGCAAGAGCATCAGCTCCTGCACTTGCTATAAAAGGTCGCGATGGATGAAATGCTACATCTAAAATACTTTCGTCGAACTTTTTACGATGTGCCGTTATCTCCTGAACACAAGTTTTATTATCCATATTCCATAATCTTATACTGCAATCGTGACCTGAAAGTTAAACGTTATTAATTTAAGGATTTGTGATGCATTAATATTCGTTCGTCTTTGTTTTCTTGTATATTTCACCGTCACTTACTTCCTGAAAGTAGATATAAACCATGGGGATCTACAGCAAGACTAGTAACTGCATCCAAATGAGCAACCATGGCATGAGCAAGAGTGGCTGATCGATGATCATAAAATCGAATGTGTCGATCTTCGTGTGCCGCAACAACTAATGGTAATGTTGGATGTGCCACAACACGGTTTACTCCCTTTGTTTCATTGGCTTCAAGACGTGCTACACTCTCGCCAGTTTCTGTATCAAACACCACGCAAGCTCCTTCATAAGCTACAACTAACTTATGCGGGTCATCTCTTATAAAGTCTACTGAAGTTGGTATGCCATCTGCAAAGAAATTAAAAGAAAACGATATGTATACGTAATTTTGTAAAATATGATTTTTTATTTTTCCCAAAGAAATAATTTTTTTTATGGTAATAGAAATATCACACCTTGCTCAGAAATGTATGTATGGAGTAGTGGAGATTTGCTTTGTGGACTCCATAATTTGACAGTTCCATCAGCGCTAATCGATAATAATTGTGCTCGAGGTTGATACATGCTTAACCCCCAAACTGCATTCGTGTGTCCTTTTAATGTTTGGCTAAGGACACTTGGTTCATAGGAGTCATAAGGATCTATATTAGCTGATGGAAGTGTCCAACAATGAATCATACCATCTAAACCACCGCTATAGCATTGATTTCCTGTGCTACACATAGCTAAACATAGGACAGGACTAGTATGTGATCTAAATGTATATAATGGTTCTACATCTAATGAAGATGATCTGAAATAAAAAAATACAATTATATAGATTCTTGTTAGCGTTAATGGAAAGACAAGTTAACGGTTCGTTTAAGTTTAAACGACCTACTTCTTTGCTGGTAGAGTTTTATGAAGATTCCACAATTTCAGTGTGTGATCATCACTTGCAGTTATAAGGACTGCTTCTGTGGGATGGAAGACGAGAGCTCGAACGGCGTCAAAATGAGATCGTAACGTATATTTTACATTCCATGTTTTTCTGAAGGTTTCCTTTGTGGTGGCAACCATCTACATCAATATGTATTTATTCTTATTGTTTATATTAAAAAAGATAAAAAGAAGCCCCGATGCGTTGCACAAAGTTAGATTTTAATCCGTAAATTGCGGAAGACTGCGACGGAAAGTGTGCATTGAGAGCAGTGAACTTTTAACAGCAGTCAGTATTGCATACAGACAACTGTTTTGTACACCGAGCAACAGCATTTCGTCAAATACCCATAAACGTTTACAATACACAGGGTACTAATTGATTGACGAAGTATAAGCGCTAATAGTTCACAATAATCGATTCTTCGGAGCAGCGGGTTAAAATCACTTGTCACACACGTACATTTATACATCTCAACAATGACAATAACCAATATAATATAATACAATAATTAAAATAACTCACATCATACGAGGTTTCTGCTTCATTGTTAACACACAATAATTCTAATTCGCCCAATTCCAATGTGGAATCACCTTCTTTATTGGGACACCTTGGATCTGGTCGTAAATGTAATGCATCTGTAAATTGAACATTATTCTTTTTTTAATACTATTCAAATGTGTACATAATAAGTCTTTTTACTAAAATAATAGAAACAATCAATACTAACTACAATCAGTTGAATATATATCCAAATGAACAGAACCTGCCGGTGATTCCTCAATTTCTGTGAGAAGATTTAATTCATTTAATACTTCTTCTGCTTCTGCATCAACATCCTCTGTTAAAAGCATTGATGTCTAAAAATACAATTTAAAAAAGTATATCAAAAGATGTAGCTATTATTCTACTGAAAAAATATGGAATAGTATATAATACTATATAATAGAATACAAAGATTTATTATCCATTACTTTATTTGGTTTAGGATCCATGTTTTCATCAAAGGTATCATCTTCTACATCTCCTTCTTCTTCTTCCAAATCCATACCTGTATGAGTAAGAAACTCAAAATTCGCCATAACAGCTGCTTCTGTATCTAGTATCATTGCTTCTGCTATAGAAGGCGGTTGCTGCTAGCATGAACATATGAAACTATATTAATAACTGATTACACTATTATGAAATTTTATTTATATTCAATATTGAACCAAGTTAATCTGCCTATTGAACTTTTCAAGCAGAATCTGTTAAACATATAAAATAATTAAACACGAACAAATTTATTTACCTCTACCTTTTTTTTTGGAACTTTGAAGGGAAAGAATTCCTTTGGTTTTTTATTTGATGGTTCATTACCATTTAATGCAGGAGTATTCATATCTTCTGAATCTGTATTGTTATTTAAACCAAGTAAAGATCTTACTCTGTTTGATCGTACATCTATTATTGTATCGGTATAACCAATTTCTTGTAAATATCTAAAAGAAGAATTATAGATAAGCTGTGAGAATAACAATACACATTAAACATAGTATAAGATAGAAATAAATATTTGTGAATATCAAACATTACTTACTGTCTCAAAATTTGACGACCTTGTCTCCAACTGATGTTACTAACTGAAGTAAAAGGAGCTTCTCCGTCGCCACCTCCCCCGACTTCAGAGTTAGCACAAGTACTACTACCTTCATCATAAACAGGAGGCTGGACATCTCCTTGAATTACCAAATCGGTGCCATACTTCAGTTTGTGGTACCTTGCCCTGTAAAAATGACAATTATCGTGAGTGCATTAATACTTAATATATACATATTACTAGAGGTAAGAGTAACATTTCATTTATGACTGTACCTGAAAAAAGATCTTACCGTTCTTGTTTGAGTGCATATTCTAACATTTTTATTCTTCTTACTAAATCATTTTTTAATTTTTCTTGACCTTTTCTTTCACCTTGTAAAAAAGCTATCCTAGCCTGTAGATAAGTATTATTAAATATTATATTTCATTGATTTGTATTAAAAAAAAAAATAAGTATATTTTTTACATATGTAAATTTCATATTTGTATTAAGAATAAATATTATAGTTCAGAGTATAAGGTAAAAAAAACTCCTATATAAAGAAATAGGTGTGGTACAATTTATGTCTGATTTTTTAACTCATTTCGCAAGATAATTTTTATGGGAATATGAGGTATACATATCAACAATTAATATCATCCACAACTGTATTAATTTGTTCATATGCAATAAAACAAAGCTTCGTTCAGCAATAATTTATAGTTGCATACAATGTCTGAATAATTACATTAACTTTAATTAATATGTAAGTTAACTGTGAGGTGCATAAAATTTGTAACTGTATTGTGTATAAATATCATCAGTAAATCGATTGAAACATAATTTTGGATGCAATGATGTGACATTTACCTCAAAAAATTTAAACAGACACAATATCATAATAAAGAAAAGAGATGTTCCTGTAAAATACATTTCAATTTAACTTACAGTACTTATTTAATTAAAATTTAAACAGGCACATAATCTGTATTACAATATTTTATATACATTCAAATTAGTTGTGTTTTTATAATGTCCTGTCACATGACAGTTGAAGTGACAATAAGAAAGAAGTACATTAAGGAGAAACACGTAGATAAATTTCAAAAATGTATGAAAGATACTGAAGTTATACCTGAAATTCTGCTCTGTCAAGTTCCCATTGCGATCGTTCAAGTTCAAAGCGAGTCCATTCATGTTGAATAAAGTGTAAAATGCCAGGCATAGAGTATTGTGGACTTTGATCCTTGGCATCGTCATTGCTACCATTGTCATTGCCCTGATGTTTATTGTTTGTCAGTGAAACATTTGCACCACTAGATAATTGTCCATTGTGATTTTGAGATGTAGAACTGGAGTTATCCTCCATCGTGGAACCACAAAACTGGCTCGGTACCTTCATTTCATGACACGGCAGCCATTACAACAACTTTTCTTTCCTCTGGAGCCCAAAGAGTGCTCTCCCGTCGGATAATGTATTTCGATCGAGTTTGCGAAAAGAAGTAATTAATACGCATGCGGGTGTATTAGATATCTATGGAACCGATATATTTTCTACCAAATCTTATCGTTCGTTACTTGTTTACAAGAATCTTATAGACTGTTTAACTCTTTTAGAATATCAAATATTTTCTTCTTCGCATATTTCCAGAATCGTACTCGCTTCCACCATTCTCGCAGAGTGTATTTAGATGTATTCTAGCGAAGCATTATATCGTCTTTCTATGAGTACAAGTTGTACATCGAAATTATTACAAAGTAAATACATATCAATAGTTCATAGCACATTGCAATTAAATTAACGAGAAAAATTCCAGCATTTTTCCTTATCTTCTTAAATACTGCGATGCTAAATTTATCGGATCATATTGATTGGTATAATTGACAATTTCAATCAACTAACTAGATACATTTAAGAAATAATTTTTGTAAAAAGTTTCTTACCTAAAATTAAAGTACTATCACGTTTTTGTTTATTCTAGTACTGTTTGCTGATACGATGATTTTTGTAAGGCTGATTCACAAAATCGAAAAATCGGTAGTTATGAACGTATGACAATAAATATCAGTATGTATTAAAGGATACAGAAACGGGTGTTAATTTAATAATGTTTAGAAATAATGTATTTTAAATGTTAAAATTTAATTCTAAATTCTACGAGCAATTTCATTCTTGATTTATATGAACGATATAGTATTACTTTTACTAAAAGAATGGAATCATTTTACTAATAGGTTACTATAAGTTTACATGATTTTGTGATATTTTATCAATGCTTCTTGGTTTATTAATAATACAAAAATTCAGAGTGAAATAACGTATCGGAAGTGTCGCCCTCTACAAGAACTTATCTTTCTTGACAGAATACACTCGTATTGAAAAACATTGTCGTCGTAATTACTGTCACTAAAAAAACACAATTAATACACTACTATTATTTCAAAGAAGTATTACATACATATTGAGAATACGTCACAATGCCTCCTCCAGTTATTGTATTTTATTGCTCTAGATGTGGGGAAAATATAACTTATCCAAACGAGGAATCGAACTCCGATTCCCGCAGCTCAGAGCGGCGTCACGATCGTGATAAATAAAACTAACCCTTATAACACGATGATAACTCATCTATATCGTTAAGTATGTTTTTAGTAATACATAATAATTGATTTTAGAAAGTTACATAAACATACTACATAAATATATTCGTAAACATATAATTATAATACATATTATATTATAAAACTAATCGTTATTGCGTCACATTGTTTATAATACCCTCATTTTATACCTTTTACTAAAATTTATTTTTATAGATAGATACATTTAAATAGATACATTTGTTTAATTACAGAAAACATGGATTTGTAAGTACATATCCGTGTACATATACATATGTACACATACACCAAACTTTTTATGGACATATGTATATACAGGGTGGGTGGAAAATTATAGTACAACAGTACAATTTTCATTTTAGTTCATTACTTTATATGTACTGTTGGAAATGCCCTCCTCATTGCTGCATACATAATTGTAATTGACGAATTAAAGACAAGCATAATATCTACTTGCAGCTGAAGCATTACCTCCATAAGCTCCCAAAGCATATAATACATTATAACATAATAGTAAAATCTATTCACAATGATGTATCAACTATATTTAATCATTATTTTTGAATGTAAACTATAGATAGCATATTTAATCTATTGAATGATAAGAAATTAGACATAGTATGAAAAAATATTTAACATTGTGCAGCTATTAAAACACAGAACTGATAAACTTTACAACTTAACATGGTACTCCCATATCATTCTATGTCTTTGTACTTTTAATTACTGAAATAATATGATATAATCCCTTTAACGAGTTAATTTTAAAATCCAACTGTAAAAAATTTTTAAAGACTATTCCAATTTCAATAGTAACTGATACTTCCTAAATTGGGACTACATTCAATTATGAACAATTTTAGGAAAATATTAATTATCATGAATATTACAGACTGTTACTCTGATAATATATTTCAATAACATAACATTTTTAATTTAAATCACCATGCTTCTAATAAATCATAGAAATAAATAGTTAGAAATAGACTAGGTTTTAAGGAGTAAAAAATATATTTACATGTTTAAAAAATATATCGTTAACACTTAATTGTTATCGATTTTACATACTTACATATACTCTTAACAGAAAAGTGTATTTTGGTTTCTAAGTAAAAGTATTTTGCATATTTCAGCTAATATCATAAGTTCTGAAAGTATTTTGCGTCATAGCGCATGCGTTGTTAAAATTTTCTGAAGTGCAAACCACACTATGTATGTAGGTCGATAATTCTTACACACATTTTTTCATATAAAATTTATAGCAAGTAGGTTTATAATTTCATACGCGTTTCAAATTATAACAAATCGAAAAATATGAGCTATTCAATTCAAGTTTTAACCTTTTCCAAATGGATCGCGTATGCAAACGGTTACGAATAAAAGTGGCAACGTTGCTCTTCGCTTGTTTAGGTTGCGGTGTTGCAGATACTCGATGTCGGGTATCACAGTGTATCTTCGTTTCTGGCATTTATCGTAAATATAACGTATTTTTGTAAGACAAAGAACATGTGCATCACTGATTGAAGACCATCTGCATTATAACATAACGTAAGTTCATCAGTTGTGTACATACTTACATGTCACAGTTCAGCAGTGGGTCACTCTGTTTTTCTGTTCTAAATCGTTATAAGATCCAAATTGTTACACATATTTACCCAAAATCATGGGGAAATTTGACGTCAAAAGGTTTTGTGATAAACATTTTAAAAATAAATTTGACAATTTGATCTCTTAATGAATGTAGTGAACCAAAGATGATAATTTTGAAACATTCCATTTCGAAGGAATAGTAAAAGTAATTTGATAATTTACTTGATATAATTTTCACGATGTATAAAAATTTGGGTCTGAAGTCCCAAATGTAACGATCGAGGCCATTGCAGATGTCATACTATATACGAAAAGCTGCCATTTTATATAGCATATGAACGCCATTTTGTTGTCCTTTCATACAAAATGAAAGCTGGCATTCTTACATGTTTCTACGCAGATGTATAACATTTGAATTGCGGTATATAATGCAATTTAATATAAAATAGAAATATAAGAAAACAAATTTAACGATTCTAATAAAAATTGTATACATAACAATTATATAACATTTAACATATACTAAATAAGTATTATACAAATTTTAATATTTTAGAAGCACTTCTTACAAAAATATTTAACATGCAATCAAATTTTAATACAATTTATACAAAAATAGTTCTATTTGCATGTATTATTTACAACATATGAAATTAATATCCCATGAGTTTAATTAAATATTTCGTATATGAAAAAATATGAATTGAAATTTTTGTTAAAAATGCAGAATAGTATTTTTCTTAATGGACTCGCAAAATCCTTTAACCTTTAAGAAACCTACCGGAGAGATCTAGTACTTATTTAACGACGCATTATAGAGGGACTGACCTTGAGATCTACCATTTACGTCCTGATTTATTTTGAGTATTAGTTTCAAACTTTATTATCTTAATAAAAAGAATTATAAAATACAAAAAAGTTCAAATTATAAAATGCAATTTTAAATGGATCATATAATTTATGTAACTCGATTGTTAATTCGGTCAGTTGCTAATTATTAATATTTTTTGTAGATTATTGTTGTACTTGTTAATTGGCATAATATCTTCTATGATTTTTTGTTTCTATGTTTTCTTTGAGTAATTATTTTTTAGTGATACATGCTGTACTCTTCTACACATGCGTAGAACGTGACGCGCATGAGTAAAGCACTAATAAAAGAACATTTGGTTACTGTAATACAAAATTTTTACAATATAAGTCACTACATTATTATTGCGTAATTAGGCATTTTTTTGTTTCATGTATTTCGTGTAATGTAATAAAAAAAAACACAAATTCAAAAAGAAGTTTTAATGTCTTTTATGCTTTATTTCGATTATAACCTTATTTTATCTACTGAAAAATTATCACAGATAATGATGTTAACGTATAAATCATAAATTCTTTTCCAAAATAGATAAAATATTTAAACTATGTTGCTTAATTTAAACTACAATGATATACGGGAACGAATATTTTTCGATGCGTGGGAATTATGAACAATCTCTGAAATTCGAAATAGATCTTTAAAATCGATCATTTTGATGAGTTATAAAATTATCATGTTTCTTACTCCCACTCGGTGAGCATAGCGTTGTATTACCAGAGTGACGTATGTTGACCTCGTCAGTGAGCGTGGAAGGGGAAGGGAAGGGGTGGGGCTACTTATCAAACGTTCAATATAAGAGTACTTGCAAATTACAAAATAGTATTTACGTACACTTATTTTAATTTTATATACACTTCTCTGAAAAATAAAATGTTAATATTTAATTAGTTAATCAATTAGTATCAATTCTACAAACAACACAAAAAAGGAAATATATTCGAAATAAATTTCAAAATTAATATTAATTTTATTTAAGGTTAATCAAACTTTTTTATAGTTTGTAAATATAATTCTATGATACAATTGTATCAATAATAAAAATTCAAGCCAACAAAATTAATAAAAAATTGAAACTAATATTAATAGCGCGAAGCATTAAGTAGCATTAAGTAACTTAAAGATATGAAGAGAGTGGGGGAAGTTGTAAGCATGACCTTGTTTTTTAATGGTAAATGCACACTTCGTTAGAATTTAAGGGTAAGATTTTCACGTGAAACTTTACATATATAGGCTATTTAAATATTTTTGACATGAAAGTTCTATTCCTTAGATTTTATTTATATTATTTTATTAGGAATTAGTTTCACGGGGGGCAAATTACGACGCCATATTGGACGACTTCGTGTACATTCGTTGACTTTCGTGTGGACGCATGTCGGGGCCTATGTATGTTCAGCAGTACTCGTTCAATAGACAAGTTTATCGGGAATCCCGCCTTTCTGAACATAAACTTTTGTAGTTCAAATTAATTTATTTAACATTATTTTAATGTGGTTATCTATTATAACTATTTGTGTTGTGTACCTTTACTTGTATTAATATTAATACAATATTTCTGACTTTATTAAACCCTTGGAGCTTCGTCGGTGACCTGAACGTATAGATTGTTTGTTACTGGATTAAAAATTTGCTTAATGTATTATGGACAGAAAATTAAGATTTTTTCTATATAGTTTTTGCAAAGTAATAACATACACTTGTTTGACAGTATGAATGATACACGTGTTATGTGAAATACAATAGCAGTCGTTAGCAATATAGCTTCAATCCGCCATTTTTATTAGTTGAGTACTTATGGGCCAGGAACGACACATGTTGGCGCGTCATCGAGGGGCCCGTATTACATTTTCCTTACTTATATTTAAAAAAATTGATTTTTGTATCTGATACATTGTGATAAGTGTCGCTGTTAATGCTGTTTAATAATTTCGCGCACGAATTATACATTTAATATAGCCTGACATCCTGTAGAAAACATTGATTTGGAGAAAATGTGAATTTCTAATACCTAGTGTTATTTTTGCAATGAAAGTATCCTTAATAAGTATGGATATCTTTTCTGTGATTATTTGAATTCATACAAGCCTGATTGCACGATCAGTTTTTTTATGCATAGTGTCTTGTTATTTATTAAAATAGTACAAATTAAATAAATTATTTAATGTTATGGTTTAATAGAAATAAAAAATACTGTAATACAGGATTAGACTGATTGTAATTTTACGTTCTTTAGCATTAACATTTGGTTTTAAAATTCCTATTTTATAGAATATCTCAATATATAATGTTATATTACATTTGTAAACTTATAACCATAAATAAATGCAAAAAAATATAAGTGAACAGTAATAATAGTTGAATTCTGGAAGACGCTATTTATTAAAAGTAAAAAATCCTTCTATATTTCATTTTTTATAACAAAATGTAAAATGTAGTTTTGCAGCATATAATATTTCATATTCAATTTATTGAGTTTTCTCATTTACATTTACGATGTAAATGTTTAATCTATACGTTTTATATGTATTTAATCTACTTTTAATTAATTCAAAGATTAAATGAGTAAAGATATTTGTTACATATGCTTATTATATGTATAATCAAATATTTTAATATACGTAAAATCATTATTTCACTTTACAAAATGATGCTTCAAAAGAATAATCATTTACAGATCAAAGAATATTAAATTTTGAAGATAAATGGATGGCCTGTGACATTGCCTTGTGTATCTCATCTTTTCTATAATGGAGGCTTTAAGAAGCGATACAGTACATACTTCTGATTCTATACGTTCGTTGTCTTGTATCGGTACACATCATATTGATGAATTATCAAAAGAAAAAGAAGACGAACTGTTATATGGAGCAGGTGATGATGGCGATGAAGAGGAAGCTTTATCAGATGACAGTATGCGTTTGAGACTGTCTGATGACGACGATGAAGCTGAACAAGAGGTTGTGTTGACAACAATTTTACATAAAGAAAATAAATTGAAAGATGAAACAGTTGGTAAGTTTTGTATCTTATATAAAACACTAAAGTTGATTTTTCTTTTAAAATATATAAGCACTTATACAAAATTGTAATATAAAGTTTATTATCATATTGCAGACAACATTAATTTATTTTATTTGTATTGTAGCTGTGATGTCTGGGAAAAATCAAGATGCACAAGCTTCTCCTGTTCCAGAAATAAATTTAATACAACACGGTGCAACTGCGAGGGAAATACGTGAAGAGGAACGTTGTGCAGGTAATATTTCCATGGATGACAAAGTAGTAACTGATCATGAAAAGGATAACAAAAGAAATAAAAATGGATTGATGAGGCCAATAATGAATAACATGCCTCGTTATATGTGGTCAAGTTATGATTTTCAACGGAGGTTTGCAAGTACCCCTCACTCTAGTGTCAATTATATTTCTTATACCAGGCATTGTTATTCTGCACGTAGAGGACATAATAGAGGTCGTTCATATGATTACAATAAAAGATTTCACAATGCATTTCTTCCTTTTGAACGAGGAAGAGGATATTATAATTCACATTATAAAATATATGGCAGTAGAAAACAAAAGAAATCTTTTAAATCTGCTGCTATGATGAAACCTAATCCTACAAGTGAATTTGACCAAAATCTTGTGTCTTTTTCAAATACAGACATATCTTCAAGAAGTGAACCTGACACCAGTGTTAAACATAAAAACAGTACTGACAAGAAAAATGGAAAGTGCAACGTGTTAGATAGTGAATCTCCAATTAGTAGTGACAACAGTAATGCTAATTTAAATGAATTACCTAATAAAGATCTGGAAGACACAAAAGTGGATGACCTAAACAAAGTAAGTGTTACTGGTACCACTTCTGTCAATGATCCCTTGGAATTACAGCCTAAATTAATAGTTGCAAAGGAGAGTTCAGAAACAAGAACACCATCCAATGATACTAAATGTGAAGATATTACTACTATCGAAACTAATAGTATTAATGAGTCTTATAAGGAAGAAATTGTAAATTCTATGATAAACTCCCATGATAATGATGTGGAAACAATTAAAGAAGATAAAACTAGCACTAATAATACTAATTCTGATAGCGATAAATCTAACAATCTTAAAATATTGGAAAAATTATTGACTGAAAATACAAAATGTAAATCTGACAATGATGAAGTTGTAGAATGTACCAAAAAGGTCAATAAAAATAACAAACAAGGAAATGAAACAATAAAAGCTACAACTGATTCAGATGTGAATGAGAGCGAACAAGTTAAACATATTCATAAATTAGGAGAGCAAGAAGTTAATGAGAGTCAACAATCTATAGAAACAGATCAGAGGATAGAATTGACTGAAACCAATTGTAAAATTGTTTTTAATAATTTAAAAGAAAAGATTATTACAGATACTGAATCAACAGTAAATGAAGAAGTAACGAATCTTGAAATAGAAAAACTGTTAGGAGATGAGAAAAAAGATGCTCCTGTGCAAGGCATAACGTCAAAAGGGGAAAATGAAAATAACGATCTTAAAGCAAATGTTACTGCATTAAATAATTTAAGCAGTATAGAAGGTGATAAAGAAATTGAAATATTACAAAATAATATACTACTTGAACCAATTACTAATGGTGTAAAATGTGATAAAGACCAATTAAATGATAGTGATAATAGTACAAATTCTTCTAAATTACTTCAAGTACTACTTGTTTCTGAAGATCGGTTAATTAATTCAAAAATTAATCTTCAGGAGCATAAGAAAGATACTGTTGAGGAAAATGTAGAATCTACAGAGAAAGATAGTTCAGCGATAAATTTTGCAAATGATATGGCAAACCTAACTAAAAACACTGCATCTGGATTGGATGAAAATGATTTACCTAGTGTCAAATCACAGGATGTTTCATTAGGTCTTGTTATTGATGTAAAGGACAATAGTGGTGATAGTGACAAAAAAGTTGTTGACGTTCCAGTAACTGTTAAAAGAAGGAAAAGGCGAACAAAAAAAATGATTGCCGCAGCGCAAGAAGCTGCTGCCGAAGAAGATAAGCAAGGTAGGACATATTTTATGTCATAGAAGTAAATGTAAATCTATTGCCTTATATTATATACGTACCTAGTTTTCATAACATAGAAAATGATAGGTGTTTTTATTTATTTTTCAAAATATTTACTATTAATCCTCTGTTATCATTACTTAACCGAGGAAATAATATAAATATTGTAAATTACGATAAAACATTTCATTATTTCAACTGAGTTTTATGTACTCCTCCAATCTTTTTTACATATATATTTCACTCTAAATTAATTATACTTCTCTATTACACCTTATTATTAATAGATCTTCATATGAAAAATGAAGTAATTAATATATTTTTATAAAAAGAAATCTATCATTTTTAAACATTTGATTAGCATTCATTTTTTTTGTTCACACTCCTTCAATCTAAATGCAAATCATACTTCTGAGAAGTTGATTAACACGCACAATTAAATTCTATGATGAAATCAAAAGTTGATACCAAAAATATATTCAATTATAACAAAAATACTATAAAAAGTCACGTTTCCAATAGCAATCACAATATGCGAAATAGTTATCATAATATACCATGAAAGGGGAAATTAAAGAAATTTGAGTTATACCAAATAATTGGAATAACTAAGGCATATGACTAGATCAATGAGAAATAAATAAATGTATATAATATTTTTGTAAAATATTTCACATCTAAGATTTTCATTTGATTTTAATTATATATATAATTTTTACAATAATATTGAAATAATCTCAGAAGTTCAGTATTAGAGGTGACATATTTCATTATATTTTTGAGGTGTACTTGCTTATATTTAATCTTTAACCAATTATCCTTTTATGGTTGAAATTATACAATTTATTCTTAGATTATTTGCTGAATTTGTAAGTTATTTGGCTTTTATTACAATGTTCTGTTATAGTTAAAGACAGTGGAAGACAGAAGAGAAGAACAGCTAAGAATGCAGAAGAAATAATAAGGAAGAAATTTCTTAGTCATGACAGCGATTTAGAATCGAGCGATGGCTCCGATAAGTTTGTAATTGTAAATCATAAAATAAACCAAGATGCGCGCCCTTTATCTCCACCTTCTTTAAAGCGCAACTTTACCGAAATTGATAGCGTTACTATGAACGGTAGCGTTAAAAAAGTTAAAGTAAATTGTGAAACTACATCCAATGAAGTAGTAACAAACGAAAATAATTCTGATAACATTAAAAAACTTGACTACGTTCACAAGTTCTTCAGAAGAGATCTGAAAGAGAAACTGCCAAAATTGAAACAGGAAGTATGTTGAAAATATATGAATTTTTCCGAATTATTTGATAGTATCGATAATAAAAATTATATGTTTTAATTTTAATACATTCTTAAAGGAATTAGAAGAACTCTTAATACAGAAGATTGTTGAAACGATCACAATGCGTGGTGAAATTGGTAAATTAAGAGAACAAGCTCGTATATCGGAAAGAAACCAAGAAGTAACGCGTGCGAAATGTCAGCAATTAACAAAACAGATTAAAGATTTTGAAATGGTTTTAAGTCGTAATGCCGCGGATCGACGTGCAAATAACGACAAACCTATACCGCCAATAAAAATCAACAGATCTGTTGGATTACAAGTTAATTTCATAACGGTACATGTTAACGATTTAATTAAAATATTTTGACAAAATTTTCTAAAGCTTAATATTACTTATATCCTATTATCTTCGCATAGGATCACGGAATGCAGAATCTACGACAATTACAACAGAATTCAAATATGAAATCCATACATGTTTCAAATAGTAATAATACACCAAATACATCTAATGAAACAAATAATGCGACTAGTCCGAGGAGAGGAATTAAAGTAAGATCTCCCAGACGAACCGAATCAGTAGGCGGACAAACTGCTGTGATCTCACAAAATCATACTCAACCACTAAACATTATGTCAACTATAACTCCTGCAGCTTTGGTCGTAGCTAAACCTGTAGACACACAACATACTTTAACATTACCTAATCAGTCTAATGTTCAGCAGATAATATCTAATGTAAGTACTTAAAATTTGTTATGTATGGATTGATTTGATAAACAAATGTATCGGTAATTATTGCAGCCACAGCCACAACAACCAACGCAAACTGTAGTCTTAAATGGGAAATTTCCGAATCAAATAAATCGTCAAAGTACTACCGTAAATGTTGCAAAAGCAAGAGCAAACGATCTAATCGATCTTACAGACGAGGAAGAGAAAAGTAAAGGTATGTAAATTTTCGTTTAAGATGTTATTTATTTTGCAGACACCGAATGAAAAGCTGTATTATGAAAAACTTTATAACTTATAGTTGCTGCCAGTATACCAGTTGTTACAACTACGATAACCGATCAACAAATAAATTTAGCACAAAAAACACAACCTTGCTTCCAAAGGGTGATACAAACTATTCCTGGAAATGTAGCTATAACATCTCAACCTCCTAGTATAAGAGTAGTACAACCTGCTAGCCAACCGACACCTACTGCCTTAGTGGTATGTGATATAGTAATATTTGAAGATTCGTAATCGGCATAGTAAATGTTTATATAAACACTGTATACAATTCTTTGTTTAGAATAATATGAACGCTCCTCGATTAGCGTATGTGATGCAAAGTGGTGTAGGTCCAACAAGACAGTTATTAATAGCACCGAATTCCAATCCGGTAATGTAAATGATCTATTGGCATACTTTCGTTAACCCCTTCCCGTGGCATTTACTTGAAATCCGGGCCCAAATGTGTAGACGTCAACGCGCAGTAAACAGACCAGACTGATACTAAACTGCTTTGTGACAGATTATAAGAATCGTGACCAACTCTTGTTGACGTACTGATAAGAACTAAAACTCAAAATCACGATCGTGATTTGCTGTCAAAATCTTCATCGCGAGTTAGACCCGTTAAAGTACGAGAAGGGGTTAAAATGAATTTGAAGAATTCTAGTATACGCAATTATTTTGTAGTCTAACATCCAAAATTAATTACCGTAGATGCGGCCAGTGACTTCTTGTAACAGAGCATCGTTTTCAACATTAACATACAAAACTGGTAATTTTATTTTGCTGAAATAAATAATATAATATAATATGTAAATGTTATAATGATCAATATAAACAACGGAGATCCAATTAAATTCTATTTATAGGAATATCAACAGTTGCAAATGGAACAGTTAGAGTTTTGACTACATCAGCTGCTTCAACGGTACAGTTAAATAAGGTACTGTGCGTTTTGAATTGTTTTATTTTTTTCGTTTAAATACGTATAAATGTTTTTATTGTTCTTATATTTGTTTCTTTCAGCATCCTGCTCCTTTACCAGATACACGAAAGTATACTGTAAATCCTGTTTGGAAACTTCCACCGCCAGCTCCATCATTGAAAATTTCGAAGACTTCGAATGGTGTGTTACGGAATTTACATATATTAAAGAGCTTAATAAGTGGTATAAAAATAAAACGTTCACTGTTATTACAGGCATAGTATTATCCTGGAATATGAATTTGTCTGATAAACATGCAGATATTGCTAGTTACCAATTATATGCGTACCAAGAAGTTGCTGGTATTCCTCCCAATACATCATTGTGGAAAAAAGTAGGAGACGTTCGAGCTTTACCACTGCCTATGGCGTGCACTCTTACGCAAGTAATTTGAATAATTATTTAGCGATTACCATGAATTATATCGATACTTTTAATATCGATAATATTTTTTTTTTCACAGTTTTCCGAAGGCAATAATTATTACTTCGCAGTTCGAGCAGTTGACACACATTCCCGAAAAGGACAGTATAGCACACCTGGCAATATTTCTTTATAAAATATACGACCAATACTAAGTTATTGTTTTAATCTTACTTTTAACGCACAGTTATAATGTAACAAATCGTGTCTCATATAGCAACAAATTTTCCCTACAGTCTTCTAAATTATCATTTTATTTATCGCATCTATTGCATGTAAGATAAATTTGACAAAAAAATTACAGGAATGTTTGTAATCAAGAAGTGTGTTGTATAGACTACACATACAAATGAATCTGTTGTATAGTAGTATTCCTTTAATTGTAAGTAATTATTGATCATATAATTGATGGTAACTATGATATGATTGTAGTTTACATAATTTTTTTTTTTTCTTTTTTATACGCCTCTTAATTTATAAAATCAAAAAATACAATTAATTCTGACAATGTATAGTCTATCATTCTGTCTTTGCTTAAAAATTGCAATATAAGAATTTTATAAAATTTTTGTATCATGTTTCATGAAGTATTATTTATGTCACCCGGAAGCATAAAATAATTCTAAAACGGTTTTCTGAAACGCATACATACGAAACTAATGTCAATAACGTTGTAGCAAATCTCCATGCCTGTACAAGAGCACAGAAGATATTCTAGTCAACAAAAAAATTTATTATCAATTATTTTAATATTCACATCTGAAAGACTGCTACCAATTAAAGACGAACATGCAATTGCTTAAAAGTCTGATATCGATATTATTATTCACTGGAGGTGTTCATAAACGTGGCTTCCTTGCGTTACATATTAAATAACGCTTGTCTTAATCATTTCATTAAATTTGATTTACTTTCATTGTTACTTTGTAAACAAGTCTTGCTGATACATAATTTGCTCAATTTTTATACAATTGTAATAAATCTTGGAATATTAGATTTCCATTATATAAAGAAAGGCCATGAATCAGTATCTGTAAATATTAATGTCTATATATTCTGACCTTTAACATTTGCAATCAGAATGTATATGATCTATAGCATAATTATCTAATACTTTGTTTCTAAGTTTCAATCAGTTTTGTGTGATAAGAATGTATAATAAAGTGATTGTTCATTTTTTATGGAAGTTTGTCATGAAAAAACAATTCCTATAATAATTTTTGAAGTTTTAATCGAATAAAAAGACCTTCGTAGAAGATCAACCGATTATTTCGTGGTAAACGTGGAACATATTAGTTACTTTGGTTAGTATTAAGATAATCAAATTCTTATAAAAGTGTATACCATTTTGGGAACTGTAAACACTATTTATCTTATTCTGATACCTCGCTGAATTAACAAATTTTCGTGAAATTCGTAAATAATTTTTATGTTTAAATGTTACACAACATCCAAAAGATAATGATAACATAAAGATGGTAGACGATGTAAACGCTTTACTAATTTCATATTAAAAAGCGCATCTTTTTCGTTATGTTTTTTTTTTCAATAGAATATGTAAAACAGACGAAACTAAAGGATATTATTAACACGATTTTAAGTTAAATTTCCCGCTCTTTTGTACATAATTTTCTATCGTATACCAACAAGAATATCAAGTTTTTTGAATTGTTAATAATGCATATGTATGTATATGCATATGGAGTTTATATTTTAATTTCGTCGTAATTAATATACAAATCACAATGTGCAAAGCGAACATGAAACATGGATTGGTGAGATACTTTAAATTATTCTCGGATTTTATTCGGTAGAAACATCGTTTAAATTCCATTTATCTGTTTGAACACTTGCATAAATATAATTATTAAAATTACATTGGTGAATTTGCGAAGCACGATATGCAATATTAAATTATCAACAAAAACAAATCAAGTACTATGAACAGATTAAAAACCTATTATATCGTCTTCAAATTCGTTACATTCGCTCGTAGCAATAATTTAAATTATATCAGTAAAAAATAACCAGTAAATATTTTAACAAATTGGGGTACTACTTATGGTTGTTTTTACTGGGATGAGAAATTCAACCAGAAACGCTATATCAAAAATTTACTAGCGTATGAATACTAGTTTAAAAGAATTATTATTTTAGGTTTGTCATAATATTTTGTCACTGCCCGCTGCATTTTTCGTATGCGTAAAGCGAGTCGGAAGGATATAATATTATGTCAAACACAAAACCAATTGCAATTTCTGTAAAGATATCACAGTACAGACGCAGTGATAATCTTTTTTTTCGATATTCTAAGAAAAAGTGTAAGCAAGTGGGGGCGGAAGTAGTTAGTCGGTAATTTGTGTATACTGTTTGCTGTACTTTGTGACACAGAACATGAATAGTTCGTGAAATTATTAAAAAATTATAATATCAAAGAATATGCAAATAGAACAATGTTTAAAGTGTCGTCGATGCGTGTTCTCTCGAATAATGGATATCTGTGAAATATTGCGTAGCAATTTTCTTACCTTTGCAATATATTTTGAACTGACAAGCACAACATAAATATTGTTTGAGCATAGTAATACTTTCCGGACGTTTCGCTAGCAGAGTTTGTGTATTGTTACTTTGCTATTATTTTATTTCGTTGGTTAACTGTCGCGAATCATACTATTTCTGAGATTAAGTAAAGAATTTTGAACGTCAGCAGATTTGTATTAAAATGCAACTGTTCTGCGAACGTATAGTATCGTTTCTATTTAGTAAGAATCGATCTTCTTTCTAATTACCTTGAAACTACATGAAGAAGAACCATGAGAATTATAAAGAAGAAAATGAAATGTGACAAGCATTGTGAAGTTATGCCAGTATGAGCAGGTTGAAATATGCACTATCAAATCATTTTATGGGTGTAACATTTTTAATTTTAATGATTTATATACATATTTTGCCTTATGGCAAGTGCTGCTGCAAACTGTCTAGAAAAAGTCATTAAGCACAGTTCTTGTCCGCAATTGGTAGTGAAATCTACATTGATAAATAGGGGATGCCCAGCCTACATTCGCTCGTCGTACGACGAGCTCCACTAATGGATATGGGTACTGCCACCAGCTCTGTGACATCTGTAAATCCATCTACTAAAATTGCTACCAATCAAAAGAAAGTTGACAAGTCCAATAAACTTAATGGGGTCAGATTGCCTTTGTTGCGCAAAGAAGCAAGCGTTGTAAATCTTTCTTTGACAGAAAGGACCGCATTAGGGAAGGGAATAGATACACCCTTGCTTAGACCTGAAAGTAGCGCAAGTTTGGAAGCCCGTGGTAGTAGCTGGCTGAGTGTAGGCCCGGGAGTATTAAGAAAATGTGAAACTGCAGTGGGATTAAGTACTTCTGCGTTGGAAGGCAGACCCATAAATCGCAGTCGAGTTTGTTCTCGATGTTCCAGTTTGTTATCATTGGCGTCCAGTTCACGCTATAGTTTAGCTGCAGGGAATTTTGTCCCTGCTGGTTCTCAGCAAACACTTGGACGGATACTTTGTAAACTGTGTCTTATCGATACCTCTCTTTCCAAAACATTTAAAATAGAAGGCTGTGGTTGTTCCTATTGTAAAGATGTATGTGTAATCTTGTTTTTGGTATATCTTCTAGGCACTTATAGGGATGAATATTATATCTATTTTAATGTTGTAGTGTATGAAAGCATATGTTGAGTTTGAGATCGAAGAAGGTGCATACGAAATTAGTTGTCCCGATGCGCAATGTGAACATGGAGCAATACTTTCCATAAAAGAAATAACAAGTCTCGTTAGTTCTGAACTTATGGAAAAGCATCATAAATTTCGATTGAATAGAGGTGTGTAAAGCTCGATACATGTTTTAACTTATTGACGTATACGTTCTGATGGCCAGATATAATAATTTTATGTATAATCTATAGATGTGTCTATGGACAAAGCACGTGCTTGGTGTCCGCGTGCAGGTTGTGAAACAATATGTTCGATAAATGCTACTGGATCAAGTGGAACTGCTATTGGACCTGTTCATTGTCCTAATTGCTCTACAGATTTCTGTTCTATATGCCGAGAGTCTTGGCACAGTGGCCCTTGTTCCGACCTCTCATTAGGTATACCATTTGATGGCGATCATATCAAATGCTGTCCTATGTGCTCTGTACCTATTGAAAAGGATGAAGGATGTGCTCAAATGATGTGCAAAAGATGTAAACATGTGTTTTGTTGGTACTGTTTAGCTTCTTTAGATGTAAGTATGTTCATTCAGTATGGTAACAATATTAATCCGTTTATTTATTAAAAATTTTTTATTTTACGATTCTTCAAATATTATAGGACGACTTCTTATTGCGACATTATGACAAAGGACCATGTAAAAATAAATTGGGTCACTCGCGTGCATCGGTTATTTGGCACAGAACACAGGTCATTGGAATTTTTGCTGGATTTGGGTTACTTTTACTTGTTGCATCACCATTACTTTTATTGGCTGCACCTTGTATTGTTTGCTGTAAATGTCGTGTATGTGGTTCATCCAGACTTGAACAAGAGGAAGGTGATACTACAACATAGGCACTTTAAAAGGTTTCTCAATATTCCTGTAATTTCTCTTCAGTATGATAAGCAGTTAAATTACATTATTCAATATATGAACGCAATTGGTGACTTATATAGATATACATTGAATCTGGAGCATCGTATCGCTGTAATAGAGGGAATGCGAGAAATGTAACATCTATGACTCACATAAGATTCCGTAAAATCCTCGTGATAAAGGAGTAGCATTCTAGTTTGTATTATTTAAGAATGTTATTTGTAATCGGAAGTTATTTTGACTGTTAACGTATTACTTGCAAATCTTTGAGCAAATGAAATATCTCCACGTATTTATATATATATATATATATATAGTGTGGTTATTTTTAATTAAGAAACTTACAACATTTACCGAAAGCTACTTAATATTTAATTGCACTTTAACAGTTATAAGATAGATTTTGAAAGATAGCAATGTGTTTTTTTTACCGATACCATTAATAACACTTACATTTAAACGAGTTTAATACACTAAATCATAAATACTCATGAATCTTGTTTATAACATTCCAGAAAATTTATATTTACATTGGATGTACTGCCATATCCAGAAGTATATTGATTTCTTTTTTTTTTGTAAATTATGTACCAAATAATAGTTTACTTCAAGATTTTTTTTTTTATAAATACGTGATTTGCTTTCTACAAATTTGTATCAGACTTTAACAATACTCAACATTATATTCGTGTATTTTTAATATTTGTTTGTTGTACGTCTAAAATAAAAATTCTGTGAGTAGACACGTATAAGTATAAATTAATAAGCGAGCAATGTATATCTATATGCACGTCTGTTTTGAATACAGCATAGCTAAGGTACAGTTTTATTGGCAGATTATTAACTCTCGATCGCATTGCATATCTTTTTCGTAACATATTATTTATGAGTGCTCCTCTGTTTAGATTGCAGAATTAATTACATGTATATTACATGTACATTATCATAGATATAATATGAATAATTAAGTGGTACGTGAACTCTACCATATTTGTGAAAAATTTCAAACTTAGGATATCTGTAAATTCTATTATTAATACATATTTAATATATTTAATATTAATAATATACTTATTAAAAATACGATTTCTTGATTTAATCCTGCGGGCGGACGTTTTAGAGGATGGGCGTTAATTGGAACGAGACGGTTTTGGAGTAGATAGGAAAACGACGTGTATCTAAAAGCAACTTTATTCCAATGTATAAATTTAATTTTAATTCAATGAACTGTTACACGCAAGTATTATTCTTGTTGATTTATTACGACGATCGAGTCAATAAATTCTCGACGTGTGTACAAAATCGGTAAAGCTATGTTGTTGGAAACCATCCCGATATGCATTCTCAAAGGGTTAAGAAATTCAATTTTTCGGCTTCATAATAGAATGTAGGCCACTGATAGTGAAAGAGCAGTATGTTATAAAGCATAATGAGTAAAATTAGGTAATTACAAAATATATTGCAGACCACTCAACTTCAAATAAGTTATACGTTTTGCTTCATAGAGTATTTCATTATTCCTGAGGACAAAAAGGCATATATGTTCATAAATTTACACCATTTAGCGTTGTTATGAAAACGTTCTTTCGTTGTTTTGTACATACATACATATGTGTACGCATACGTGAATAAACAGTTTCTAATCAAGGTACACGATCGTTCCTTTATAGTAAATTGGTGAATAAAAAAATTAAATAAATCGTGTAAAACATGCAAGTCTTTGCGTGGGTATTCGTCGATCTAGTATTATTGATTATAATTGGGTGTAAATAGAGGTACTGATGTTCGCATATTTATGTATATACACACATATGCATATAGTATATACACGCAACTTGTCCTTAGACTATGCATACAATGTTACATATAAATATTGGTATCTGTTTTGATGCAATTACGCACAGGAGTCTTTAATTCGTATATCGTATAAAATAAAAATGTAACGGATTAAAAGCTGTAATAGAAGATTAACATAGCGAGTCATTTGTTATTAACTAGTTGTACGTTATCGAATTAATAATAGAATGATCTATATGTAATTAACGTTACAGGTATCCTGTTTTGTCATGATTTCCTCACATTACGATTACGTCCATATTCGTTCGGTAACTCGTTGTAATATGTTGCAAATACGATAGCTTCCTATTATGTTTTATCCAACTTATGCAATTAGTATGCGTGTAATGAAATTGGTATTACTTGTTTAGAAATTTTTTTAAACACGAGCACGAGGTAATTAGAATTTCTGTAAAACTGTTGTGCATATAAATTTTACATTATTTTTATGATTTCTATGAAAATCCTTTAATAATGTAATTTTTTATAACTTTGGTAGGCTTTATAAGTTTTACCTGACATTATGTTTATTTAGAATATATTTGTAAACTTCATTTTATTTTCGTAATAAATACTGTTTTCTCACTTCGGCTTAATGTACTGGATACACATGCAGTGTGGATAAATGAAAATGGTTAAACGATAAATTATAAGAATTTGGTTTGTCTCTATTACTTAAAAAATATTTTCAGCGTACATGAAATAGCTTTACTTAACTTTTTTTTGGCAAAGAATATTTCAGGAACTTATTTTTATCCTATTATAAAGTTAAAATAATTGTTATAAATTAAATAGCTAATAGTAAAAAGTTAACGAAACGTTTGTATCTAACAACTTTATAAAATTCGATCTTCATCATTTTAATGTTGCATTTATTCATTTCAGTTAATATCCATATTAATGATAGAATTATTGGTTCGTTTGAAACGTACGCTTTCACATTCTTCGAGTTATTCCTACGAGACGCATTTTGGTTAATATTTTTAGGAAATAAAATACAGGAGGAATATTTCTGACAGTAATGTCAATGTTTATTACATAATAACCCATTTATTATTTTTCTGATACAATATGTTTTGTAAGAAAATTCATAACTTGATTGGGTTAGAATTGTTTGGAATGGAAAGATTCGCATTATTAAAATGCATTAAATCACCCGCAGAATTCTCAGTAACAGCAAGTTTCCACTCGATCGAGTTTCATGGGACTGTATACTTAATAAATTCTCTCGTCATTTAATGTATCTTTCTTGCTAATCTTAACAAATCGTCGATAAATTGGTAAATGGTGCATATTTTATGGATTACACGATGATGGTTCTGTAGTCCTACTAAGAAGCTGTGATAGATTTTAGATTTACGTTCAAATACTTGGCTAGTTAAAAAATAAGGAATAACAATCAATAATCTAAGTCTATGTAATACAATACGTTATTAGTACCATTGTAAAATAGTTAGTGTCAAAAAATATGGCTAATAAATTTATTAAACATGATTAAACATAACTGTATTCGATACACGGATTATTTGATCAGACCCTTGGCTCTAAATAAGTCTCTCATCAAGCCCTTTAAATATCCAATTTCTCGTTGCAAATCTTTCGCTTGATTCTTTAATTTTTCATTATGATCCGCAAGTTCACGTTCTTCGCCCAATATCTCTTTTATTTCTTGTTTTTTCTTTTGCCTATAACGCGTTGCTGCATTTTTGTTTTGTTCCTTTTTACGGACTTTTTTATCTTCTACAGACGGGCGGGAGTAAGGTTTCTGACGATTTCTGGTAGATTTCCTACCGGATTTCAATATCCAATCTGGATCGTCCACAGAATCTTCCGATGAAGTGTAACTACCGCCAGAGCTTGTACACGGACTAGATGGTGGAATATCTTCAGTATGTAAACGTACATATTCATCCACTACAGCTAAGTCATGTGCAACATCCGCATTTAATGGATCCAATGATATATTTTTTGTGTTCCACTGTACAGGTACTTCATTAATATACGATTTTTCCTCAAAAACTACCACATCATATGTGGATTGATGATTAGAATACAATGGTTGTATAGGTTGTAAAGTAACAAGTAGTTGGGTATCCACGCTTAATGGTTTATGTGGTGGAGGCGATTGGGGGGGTGTAAGCGTAGAACTCGATGTAGGGACTATTTGATGGCAAGCTTCCACATCTTCGAGAACTGTTTCAAACTCTTGCAACAGAGTTTGTGTGTGATCTTGCTGGGGAATTTTAGTAACTTCATTGTATGACGTTGATTTAAGTTGTCCACTTTCAGACACTGGCAATTCCTCAAAAATGGGCAGCTCAATTTTTTCCTCTAACCAGTCTGAAAAAGGCTCTGTAATAAAATAAAATAATATTTACTATAGATAGAGATCACCTTATTCAGTTTTAAAACTAAATAATAGACAAAATTAATGCTTTGTATTCTGCTTCATTTGATAATCAACTGCATACGAATTTTATATCAAACAAACAAAAAACAATGATATTATCATATCTGATTCTGATAATAAAATATATTTATATATATTAACAAACATACTTTTTGATGGTTCTTTTAGAATATTATTTATTTCCTTTTTTTATTGAAGAAAATATAGTTTAATTCGTTAAAATTTATAATTTAAAATATCATAATATAAATACTAAAATAAAAACAATATTAAAATTGTTTTGTACATTTTGTTAATGTAAACTTAACAGTTAACAGTACTTTTACTTGTCTTGCATGAACAATAAGTAGGAGTGGTACATTGATGTATATATAATTTCATGGACATTACTAGTTTAACTAGAAAAACAAGTTCTTGATTTGCAATTTCTTTGGCTACCAATACATTTACTGCAATCAATACTGGTATGATATGTTATTTGCAACATAATTTGATCTTAGAGACATAAGGATTTATTCCAGAATAAAAGCTAATTTTTTATCTGGCGAGTGAATAAAAAAAGATACATAATTTTAGTTTACAACTTAAACCTGTAAATTTATTCACTGAATTGTAAACAAGGAAACTTTTCAGTAAAAATGTACAGGAAGTTATCAAAAGCCAGAATCTTGTAAGTTTTTTTATTTCTTTCGTTATATATTAATATTTATTTTCGTCGCTGAAAATAAAGCTTCGTACACTGATACGTATATATTACTACGAATAAAATTTCAAATTTGGTAATGTACTTCTAACCTATTTCTTTACGAAACTTTGATCAGACTTTATATGAAATGTGCAGTTATCTTCATTTAAATGCAGAGGGCACGAGGTTAGATAAGGCATTTTTTTTTTTTTTTTTTTAACAATAAGAATTTATATAAGTACAATGTTATCATTAAACAAGACTAATTGTAAAAACTAACAAGTAATTGTTAATGCATTAAACAAATATTTTTAACCGGTAGATTCAATTTCTTGTTTTTGCAGCTGTACAAACTATGGCTGTGATCTCTATACACATTTCAGTAACCGATCCTTTCAGCATACTCTTTGATTACTCTGTAGAAAATTGTTCCAAATAACAAGCGATTCGACAAATCGAATTGCTTATTACAAGTGTTCTTTTTTAAATTAGATGCGCGTTATAAATGGAATCAAAGATGATAAATACGTCATTGTACGTATAAACCATTCTGCATTACGTACTGCACGAGAACTATTATTCGCGCGAAATTTGACAAAATAATTCGATAACAATTTCTTTTAGAGATGATTCGATCCAATTCTGCTGCACGATAATGCAAACAATGTGGCAACACTGCTTTGATATGCGTAATAAAGATATTTTTCTATCGAGGCGAATGCTGGAAAGAGAGAGGAGATTGAGTTAGCGAAAGGAAACGTACCACTAAAGCATGTAGCAGCCATTATCACGTGCGAGTGTTTTCGCGTGAACCCTTATTAAAAAAAGAAAAAGGAGAAGGGAAGAATATAGATTGAAAAATTGTTCTTGATGCACGGTACGATGTATATTTTTTTCGATGCGAAGTAACCAAGTCCACCTACAGGGACACGAGTAGTCCCAATTCAACGTCTTTTTACCAGTTTTTGGGAATTAACAATGATTTCTCGGTTCCACGTGTAACGATATGCGAACTGCATGCTATCATACAACATTAGCACGCTCGGGCATCGAGAGGCGTCTTTTTCTTGGATCACTTTTAAAGATGCCAGTATCGTTTAAGTACTACTGGTCTATATTAGAATTTTATCTCGCGGGTTAATTTAAATTAGATGCTCATGGATATTACGCACTTCACCAATCACTTTTTATCGATCGTCATCCAACGCGATCAATTGAAGATCACCATATACGGATAGTATCCGTCGTACAAAACAATTTCAGATTTTGTCTCAGCGAACGTTCGAGTTTTTAAGTTCCGCTATCTGTCGGAATAGATTCTAAGAACACGTGCGAATGTACTAACGTATGTTACGACAAAAATTCTCTTCCGAACGAAACCGATAAAACTTGTTTAAACGATGTTTATAGTCCGTTGAAAATAACGATACGGTACAATATACAATTCACCATATAGCAATTGGATTATTCGATTTTCTGGTATTAAGATCACTGGCACGGTCGTCGACTAGTACGTAAGTCAAGAATGAGACAGATTTTATCACTCGAAGAGACGTAATTCCCTCGCTGGCACGGCAAAACGAACCCGACGGAAATATTTACAGATTTAAAACAATAACAAAGTGCATTACACCCGACAAATGATTAAGTATCGTCAGAAAGTCGACTTGTGACGAAGACTAATCGACGGAATCGTACGATCAGTTTGCAATACTGCGAGACCACTCCTGCTTATCTTTGGACTTTCCCCTCTGTCGCCCCTACTCCGACAGCTATTAAGTACACGTCACTCCCCTATCGGCCTTCAACCAAAGCCGTTTATATAGAGGTTAACCAACCAGTTTGTCCCACTCTCTTTTCCAGAAAAAAAAGAAAGAAAAATGAGCCACATACTGGAGGAAGCGAGAAGAATGAAAGCGATAGGAATATTGAGAATGTAGTCGGATAAAACGTTACCGTTAGTTTCTATCCTTTTCAGACATGGAGTTTTGAAAACCTCGGGACGCTGATTTAATAGATGCATGCATATCGAGGAGCGTGCTGTAAATATTCACCTACTCTTACGCACAGACTGATATTTCATAATATATACAGTGTTTCAGAAATACGTTTAAACACTTGAAGAGTATATCTTGCTTTTTAAGTTACGGATAACTAAAGAAAATGTATAGCGTCCACCATGTGCTTTAATATCGAATTTTGCACAAGCTGATCCTGTAAAAATCTAGTGGATTATGGTCAGGAGACTATGCATCGGGTCCACCTTGCCTTAACAAAGGAAATATGCCAGAGCACCGTCGTGCACTAGTTTCTAAACGTTGTTTCATAAAAAAAGAATACTTTCTTATGATTCCTATGCATCGACAAAGAATGTTATTAGTGACTTGCTCATTTTTAATCATCCATAGCTTGAAAGTTAAGATATAAAGGATATATATTTACATATATTTCTGGAAACCTCTGTATATCGAAATCACGGTATTAAACGACTGTTCACGATAATTTCAGAAGTGTACCAATTCTATTAATTTGTTAAACAATTATTGTCACAGAGGTATCCATTTATTCTTTCTCTGCTTGTAGATGGATATGCGTACATTATAGCTTGGTGTTTAACAATTATACAAAAATTGAGGTACAATTTATAATTGTTTTCCATATTGAGCAACTTTTGCATCAATGTCGAACTTGAAATACAGCAGATTGCACTACAAGATAGATTTACATAAGAATTAGATTTAATGCATGATAATAATGATATATAAAACATATTAATGATAGAAACACCAAGTTATCAAATTCTATATCCATCACCAAACGCTCATCAAGACATAGACTCTTTTTATTTTCAGTTACTATTAATAAAATCGCTGTACAAGAACTTACCTTCTTTAATCCATTCATTTAGTTCTTCTAAAAGTTTTGTAGCAACTTGTGCACGGGTGGGATGATCATCGTATATTGGTTTAACAACATTTTTAGTAGGCTCTACAGATTTATCATCAAATAAGAGCCAATCGTCTTCTACATCGGATGACGATGCCCCCTTAGGGGAGACTGGCTCGAACTTCCATGACCACATCTCTTGGCCCTGACTCGATGGCATCGTCGGTGTAGGATCGACCAAGAGGTATTAAAAAATGATGAAAGGAAATTTGTGTCGTCTGTACGACGTAGCTCGGAGTGAGCGCCATATTGGCCCTGAAAATATTAAATATAATGTTAATAAATACTTGCGATACAACAAAATTACATTCTTAAGCAAAGTAAACAAGTACATGTTTCTTAATAACACAAACTTTTAATTTCGTGATTTAAATACTGGATAGAAATCAAGGAAACAAAAGAAAAATTTATTATTTATATGAATTCACAAGCTAGAGATTGTAAACCAAATGGGTCGCTTAAAAATTTATGAGTGAACAAAATACATAAGTCATCTATCAGTTATGTATTATGTAACTTTAAAATGCTTCGTAATTGTAATAATGTTGCAAAATATGAGAACACCGACGAATTACGTTCTTATGACGCAACACTAAACTGTATGGTTTGGTAAAATTTTTCAACCGCACCATCAAATTTGATTACTCTGTTAGTGAATTTTTGAGAGGGATATATAATTGTAGAATTATAACATATGGCATTAAGGAATCTATCGTCCGGTTAGAGCGTCATTATAACGTTAGCGTTAGTCATGGCAAGATGGTTCACAAAATGGCAGACCCGATACCGTGTAACCACTTAAACGTTAGACCATATTACAGTAGTTTTTGAGGTAATAAATATTACTTACTCCATGGGTGGCTTGTTGTGTAGGCACACTTGCGTGTGCAAACCGCTCGTTGGACTACTGACTCATCTTGCCCGTGGTGTGAAGTGTATAAAAAATTCGAACGTCTTCCTCTTGCGATGCATGGGTGAAGAATGAACGCCCGTTCGAGAATTTGACCACTCGGGTCACGTGACCTGCGAATGCGTACGCAAGGGTGCTCAGTACGAACCGTTTTCATGGATCTTCTGCGCAGACATCGTGAAAGTTGAAATACGTAAGTACCGCGAAATGTGTTCTACTTTATAAAAGAGAAAATGTTTCGTGAGAGTTCACGCGTGTGTGTACATTCAGGGTAATTTTAGTAATTGAGCTAGATTGTAATTTCGTTGGAAGCGACGATAGAAAAATATTATAGAGAAAAGTTTTATACAGATGATTTTTTTTACCAGACCCATCGGTGCATTTGGTGCACTATTATTGAAAATACCGATCTTTGTTCCCTTATTTAGTTCCATGTGGAGTGTTAATAATTATGAATTATACAAATTTTATTAACTTCATTAAATTAACAACTGGATACAATATTGATCCGTCGATAACGGATAGAAATCTAAATAAATCTAGCTTGTTCTCTTTTGCTTAAAGTAATCCTGCCTGAAACTCTGATTTATAAATAGTCCAACTTTCGTCCTGATTTGCGTCGGCAGAATTATCGTGAGAATCTTTTGTATTCCATGGATCCAATAGCCCGTACTGGTGTCCACTTTTCCAAGCGTGGCGATCGCGTTTTTGGCGTAGGTAGTTGCATTCGGTACAAAAATAGTGGACACCTGTAACGATAATAACAAGTTACGATACAAATTCATCGTGTATCGTTCTATCGACTTCACCTGTAGCCTGTCGCTAAACGCGTTCATCTTCGTGTTCACGAAGAATGGCGTCAAGTGTTGTACTGTTACTCCGAATCTCGAGTACTCGGCCCTAATGGCTTCGGAGAAGCTGTTAATGTAAACTTTCGTCGCAGCGTATACGGTCATCAATGGTAATGGTTGTAGCTCCGAACCGGACGAAATGTTCACGATCGCACCTTTTCCACGTTTCTGCATTTGCCCGATTACTAATCGCGTCATTAACGTGGTTGCCCCGATGTTTATGTTGATAATGTCCCACAGTTCGTTCTCCGGGACTTCTCCGAGGTACATGGGGTAGGTATATTGTACTCCGACATTGTTCACTAGAATATGTCCGTGCATCGATAAATAATCAGTTTGTTCGTTCATACGAGACACTTCATAAAATATGAACGTAACTTCGAAATTTATGAGACATTCTTTAAAAAGTATATGCTTAATAATTTTTTAATCACCTAAGATTCCGATCGGTATGTCTTTCAGTTGTTCCGCTAACTTCTCGAAGATCTCTTTTCCTTTACTAAAGTCCGCCACGATGATCTTTACCTCGATCCCCGGATTATCTTGCAAAATCTCTTCTCTGGTTTTCTCTAACTTTTCCAAGGTTCGGCTGATCAGCACCAGATTCAAGTTCCTGGCGGCTAGCTCTTTCGCGTAAGCTTTACCGATACCGTCGGTGGATCCCGTCACGACTAAAATTCCAACGACATTTTTAATGGAGATAAATCCAAGAGGGACATACGTTTGTTCTAACTCACCTGCCCATTCGCCGAACTTCGACCGCAGATTGATCGGTTTGGTATCGATTATCGGCATGAAAACTTCCCACAAGGCGCCAACGACTTTGCTGACATAATTTACAAGTAGCCACGACAAGAGCAAACCGATCAGTAGCCAAAACGCAATTTGTAACAACATCGTTTTCCTTGAACACAAACCGCAATTCAATGATGATTGCACACTGTTATCTCATAAGTATGGTTATCTGTTTAGACAGTACATGGTCAACTGTGCGCACGATTATGTCACAAACAAGGAAACTTAGTATGATAATGAATCGTTGGATAATTTTCTCACTGTGCACGTCGTTCTCCCCTTCTCGTATCTTACGAGTAAACTACAAAATACTATCGAGATTAACATTTACATTTTGTCGTTAGAAACATTTGAAACCCCTTCGAAAGGGAATGATTAAACAACGTATTATCGTCGGATTTTTATCTGACAACGCCATATGTCGAATGCGTGAAAGTGTGGTGTTACCTAAGTATTTGGAAAAGCTTTCGTATCTCTTACAAATACGAAAGCTTAGTCGTTCAAGCTTGCATTAGGTATATCTCGATAGGAGATACGTATACGGAGCCCGTTTATCTTCGTTCCCTCTTAATTTTCCAGGTTGCTCGATTTCCACCGATGGACTCGTCGTCGTCGTTCGTTTTCGAAGGATGAACAGCCGACGAAGGCCAAAACAAGACTAAAGCTATCCACGGGAACGGCGCGAATGACGATCGAAGGCACTTTCTCTAGATACCATACAAGCCGCAAAACAGGTGTTTCGAACAACGGCCTTTATGCAGAAAGCATGAGACGAGATTGTCTACTCTTCCTCGCTAATTGGACGCGCAGGGTTTTACTCGTTGCTACTTCTTTTTTTTTTTTTAATTCGAGGACATTGGCAATAATATTCCAGATAAATACTGTTTCGAAGCGTGATCAAGACTTGGAGCCGGCTATGAGCAGAGTAAAGGAAAGGTGAATTTAGAGGGCAAAACGTGTACATTAAATATGATTCCTCCATTGTTATAACATGACACGTGTTTGTAGTTACGAAGTAATTGGAAAAATCGGTTCCACCGTGCGAGGCAACATATTTAAATAAATTTACATTTGAATATTGCTCACGTTTTTCTAATCCATTACGTCTCGTGACGCTTTATGCGCTGCATTCAATATTGCACAAAACACTATGACAAAGTTGCGCATATCATGCTACTTTGAAAATGATTAAACTCAAAATACAACCAGATACGACAAATTGGATCGATTCGATGTTAACGTTCGCGCTTACCTGCAGGATTTCCAGAAACGTAGCGATAATCCGTCAATTTGAAAAAGTTACAGAACTCGTAAATATTATTTGCCAACAATTTACGTTTTACGATTTATGCAACGAACCCGATGCACATTCCGATTGAAAGAAAACCGCGTTTCGATGGAAACACGGCGCGATCTATGCACGTAGATCTAACGTTACGAATATTTGCGAAAGAAGAAATAATAGAGAACGTTCGGTTGTACCTGTCGGATGATTTCACAGCTGCCAACCTTTGAATGTATTTGATAAACCGGCGAATAACTTGAAAGCGGGAACGGTCGAGGAAGGAAGATCGACGATGTTGTTGGCGAAGAAACGAAGATGAAATGTCGGAGGCGCGCGCAGCTTCTTTCACTTCTAAAAACTGGCACCACGTTCCATTCTTATGTCAGAAGGTCTCCGAGACAAGGCAATAGCCGGCTGGCCATCGGGTTCCTCCGTTCGACTCGTTTACTACGCGCGTCCGCCACCGTGCCACCGACGTTTCCAGTGTATTTTTTCACCGAGGTAGACCCTTTCTGCTCGCCCGATGTGATCGACGAATCAAACGGAATCGACGTTTTTTTTCGGTCGAGGGCACTTCGCTCGAAGGAGGTCGATCCTCCAGGGGGGGACCATTTATCCGGGCCATTCTCCCACCGAGCCGCACGCTCACAGGATCCTTACAAGCTTTTCGGCGAGTGTCGTGCCATTAAATAACGCGTATTTGGAGATCATAGTCGAGCAACCATGCCACGTACATTTTGACAGTCTACGATTCGACGTTTTCGTTCGTAACAGGTGAGCCTTTCCTGCTTCTTTTTTTTTTACCACGACACCGGTCTCCGTGGTTCGCGCTCGTTCACGGACGGGTTCCATCGTCGATATTCAAGGCGAGGAACAAGTTGTGCAACGAGCACGAAATTTCAATGGCATTATGCAACGAAACGAGAAATTTATTCGATCATACGAATGCCACAGCTTTCGTCCGCTCGTTGTACTATCTGCGACAAGGTGATTAGGCACTGATACCGGTGAACAAAGGTTATTTGTGTCGGACGGGCGCTCGACTCGGTCAACTTTTCTTCGAAGAAGTTGCAATAGAATGCGTTAACGAGACGCGCGTTGTCCATTCATTAGTGTTCGCGCAAGGTCGGCTTACGAGTACGTTCCACGATCGATCATGCGACTGCCTGAATGGAATATCGTTGTTTCGAATCGAATTTTTGATAAAGATAATCAACCAGCGAGCAACAAGTGTCAAGAGTCAGCGTTAAATTCGATTCCTGCCGAGGCGTTGCAAACGTATGTAATTACGAAATGGAACACAGAATTTTCAACGATTGCAAAGCAACGATGCGTTTCAAATTATTGTAACATACGACTTTCATGTTTTCATTCGTTCCAAATAGAGTAACAATGACCGTAGTAATACATATACTGTGTTTTATGATATTTTACAAAGATCGTGGTCGAAATAAAATGTCAAAAACAACTGTTTATCATTCGATAAACGCGACTCGATGATTTCTCGGATCTTATTTACCATAAACCGACCGAATCGGACATCGTCTGCTAAGCGCTTATTAAAGGAAAAGCTTGCTCTACATATCTAGATGTCAAACGTACCGTATACTGGCCATTCAGAACCGGCTTTAAAGGACTTCAATTGGAACAGAGCACGAAACGGAGTCGCTCGACCTGATTGTTGCACCTCCTCGCTTCCGTTGGACGACATAAAACGCTCATCGATGTTCTAATAATCACGATATTTCTGTATTCGTCTTAAAATGTAATTTAATTTATTAATCTAAAGATACGTCAAACATATAATTTATTTAACTTTAATTACATTTTCATTTGTGTTTTAAACAAACTGGAGCCAAATTACAGTCGCGATAGGGACTAGGATCGACTGACGATTATTAAACGAGGTAGTAATCCGGTAAATTGGATCTGTAAAGCGCAGTAAACAGGACGGAATCTATACTTATAGACCCGGATGATTTGAAAACGACTAATTGATCCGAGAATTTTTTATCCAACCGCGAATTGATGCAACTGAAATTCTTCGACAGTTGGACGAATTGACACTAATAACGTCTAATTGGAAACCTCTCTTGGTAGCTCGTGTTTCTCAACCAAACGAAATCGACTCGCGAAACGTCGTTCGTTTCGTCGCCGACTCGAAATTTACCTAAGCGATCGTTCTGTTTGATCTCCGCAGGAACGTTCCGTAAATAATCGCATTGGACCAAGAAAGTAACTCAATGTCCAGTGTGGACGGGAAGGACGATGACAGGATGCCGTGTTTGGGGGACAGTTCTATTTATCCTGAACATTTCAAGTTCTATCGCGAACGCGAGTGTAGCAGGAGAGCGTACCTTGACGAGCGGTGAGACGAGACGATATTTCGAGACGGAGAGTTTTCTGTATTCGTGGACAGGACCGAATGCTCTGGCAAGATCGGCCTTGGTGGAACGTCAGGAGAGATTGCAGTACAATTGCGAAGAAATTCTCGGTGACGAATCACAGAACGAAATCTCGGACCCGGAATCCTTTAGAAACATCCTCGTGGACGAACAGCACGAGCTACTCTACTGTTACGTTCCCAAGGTATGCTGCCAAGAAATATCAGACTTGTTGCGTCGACAGTTCAAATGTTGGATACTTTACACCTGATCCAAGTCAATTTCTAGAGAACGCAATTCTAAAGCAAGATAATTCTCTATTGATCCATCTTTAAATTTTCTTCTGTTTTTTTGAATATACGCGAAGGAGGATCTACAGTTTTTCTCAACTATGTCGAATCATAGACTGCCTGTACCGTTTGCAGCAGATAGCACAAAGCCTTTAGCAACATTTGAACTTGGACGCACGATAGCGTGAATAGATTTTCAGTATGTTTCTTTGAATCGTTGGTTCCGTCGAGCAGGTTGCTTGCACGAACTGGAAACGTGTTCTGATGGTAGCCACTGGAAAGTGGCCAAGTAGCGATCCGTTGGACATACCAGCCGACCAAGCTCACTCCCCAGGCACGTTTCAAAGGCTGAGCAACTATTCCTTGCCCGAGATCGAACGAATGCTGGCGACTTACGACAAACTGATCGTCGTCAGACATCCTTTGGAAAGGCTGTTGTCGGCGTACAGGAATAAGTTGGAGGCGAAACACAAGAAGAGCTCGATGTACTTTCAGGCTCGCTTTGGGAAGAAGATCATCAAGGTACTCTTCGAATCTTACTCTTAATTTTATAATTATAGTTGCTTTTACCAGAGGATGGAACGCCTATCTCCTACTCTAACGCAATGTTAATACACGGAATACGTTTAAATCTACCCACTCGAGTATCTTCGAAACTATCGATCATATCAAGTAATCTCAATTTGTTATTCCTGGAACCTTATCGCAGTTCTGACGAAACTTATTGTCCTATTTCACGGGAAAAACGTAGCACAGTAATTTTGATATATTTGTTAACAGAGATATAGACGCAACGCGACGGAAGAGTCGTTGAAAAATGGCGATGACGTTACGTTCAGGGAATTCGTCGAGTTCATCACGGACGACACGTTCAACAGAACACAGAACGAGCACTGGAAACCAATATACCAGTTGTGTCAACCGTGTTTAGTTAACTACAATCTCGTCAGCAAATACGAAAGTTTGGTCGAGGATGCCACGGAGGTTTTGGAGCGGATGGGCGTTGACTCGGTCGCGTGAGTACGCGAAAGTCTTTGTCGGTGTTCGAATCCACGAATGTACATACGTACTTTACTGTTCTTTTTTACAGCTTTCCAGCCAAGCCGCCGAACAGCGAGCCAACCGCGAGCAAACTGGAAAAGTATTATTCCACTCTTACGTACAAACAGCTTCGAAAATTAGCAAACTTGTACAAACTCGACTTGAGGCTGTTCGGCTATTCGCTGGAGGACGTACTCGGATTTTCATTGGCGTGATAAAAAAACACAGAATCGCTAGAATCGTCGTGTACATTAAATAGAGTTAAGCATCCACGTAATTCCCCTTTACCTCTCCATTGTACTTATAGCTAGTTAATCAACGGGTCGAGTCATTAAGAAAAGCGTAGAATAAAGTAATAAACGTTAATCGCAAGAAACTTCGAAGCAGTCGCTAGTCTAGCAGATACCGCGCTCCGTGGATAAAGTCTTTTCCTTCTGTCGCTGCTTCTTTTATTTTTAAAATCTTTGTGCCAAAACTCCCAGAATAGACAGAGGTCGAAAGGTCTCTGCGCGGATCTTATTTTTAATTTCCGCTGGATGACCCCTCGAGTCATACTTTGTCAGTCTTATTACACGCCATATCTACGTACCTATACTAGCAACATGTACAAAACATTATAATCTAGCTGTAACGCGTACTGTAAGTTACCGGTCGAGTGTCGTCTTTGTAATTAGGCTACGAATCGAATAAAGAAATATTTTATATAACGTTCGCGTGTGTGATTTTAAGCAAAATTGCTATTCCTTTGTAAATAAATAACACGGTGATGCGTTGCTCGCGATATTATAGTTTACTATTTAACCCTTCGAATTCCGAGAATTCTTTTTAACACGAGCTACCGACGACCATAAACTTGCCACAAATAAAACTTGAATTGAATTGTTGTGTGCCGTAGCGGCGCCAGAGGAGTGCAAAGGGTCAATGGTATCGAGGAACTGGCGAGTCCTAACTGCAGGCGTTAAAGTCACGGTGCCATCGCGAAACGTTACGCAACGTCAAGTTGTCCGGTTACATTGTCCATGTTACACGTTAAAATTAGACGAAGGCTTAGAAATGATGAATAACATTAGAGCCTAACTTAAGAGCAACACTATAGCCTAATCAAACGTTAAACTTCGCCGACCGAGTTTTGTCGACCAGAATAGCCGGGCATCGATCAAATCGAAGGACTTTTAGACGTTCGACGGATCGATCGAATTTTCTATTTACGACGAGTGCTCTCGTGGCGTTTTGGATCGCTCGAATAACAATTTAATTATCATCTAAAGAGTAGAAGCATTCGATATTTGAAAGTTTCGAGGCTGTTACCAAGAGGTGGCATTCGGAGGACCTTGAATCCGCGAGCCACCCTTGCACGGACGACGATCGCGGATCGACACGGAGCTTTTTCCATCGAAGCCGTATCCGATATATTCGCGGCGCTTAATATAACCCGAGGTGTCAGAACTCGTTGGTTTCCCACCAGTGGTGGGACCCGAGCTACCAATCCTGGAGCAGAAGTTACAAAGGAAGGTGCAACGCGATGTCCGCCGCTGAACTGGTGGGGGATTTAATCACGGTTCCTGGAGGAATTTCGGGATCATTGCGGATCCTACGTTGAGTGATCCAGTCGAAGATCGAGCGCAAAGTGGCGTGGTAGTTGTTCCTCCTCCGGTTCGATCCGAATCCGTCGTGTGATCGTTTAAAAAAAAACCCCCGATTGCCGGGCTTCGTTAACGAATTCGTAGCTTCGAGACAAAGATCGTATCGACGGCGACCGATATTACTCCGTAAGTAGCGTCCGCAAATGGAAAGAATATTGCTTTGAGATGTTTTTCGAGTCTCGAGAATGCTTTTTATTCTCCCTAGTGTCGTGAATCACCCAGTGAACACTGAAAAATGCCACAGCCGGCCCACGAAACGAAGAACATCCTTATCACGTACTTCATACTCATACTTCTGCTGATTTGCCTTTGGTTATTGTATGCGGGACTGTTTTAACTTCAGAATACATTCCTCCTCCTCCCCCCCCGGGGGCATGGTGAGTTTACGATTCGATACTGTTTCGCTCGTGGACGATCGTCAACCCTTGAGTTAGCTGGACATTGGAGTGCAGATGAAGCTAGACAACGCAGGACACCGTTAACCCATTTCCTTGTCTAGTTTACACGTACTGACAATTCGCAAAGGGTAAATGCGAAATAATTGCACATTGCAACAAGTCAACCGTTCGCATTGTTTACACAAAATTCTGTGGTTCGCTGTGTCATTATGCCTGTCATCTGTGCTTCGATGTGCAGCCAGTTTTAACGGTTGCGTCTTATCGTCGCGATCGTTGAAATCTCCGCGACAAAAGCAATTTCTGTGATACGATATCGTCGTAAAACACAGTCACTGTTGTTGATTTCAGGAGTGAAGCGAGGGGCAGGAAAGCAACACGCCATCAGCCTGTTATCTTTGATCGATCTACGATCACTCGGGGCCATACCACGTATCGGTACTTTCTTTCATGGATTTAACGTTCTCCGCGTCACTTTCCACGCGTTTCCATCGAAAAGATCGAAAATGAACGAAACGAGCGCGCTTCGTTCGAGTTTCCACGTTCCCGATGATCTTCGAACTCGTTCGCGCTCCTCCCGTGCAATTTTCTATATTCCGCGGCCACGGTAATCGGAAGGAACAGCTTCGTTTCGAACGGAATCGGTAAAGAGAATGCGATTCTATCGGAAAATGGGGGCGAAACATTGAACGAGCGAACGCACGACGATCAAAGAGAAGCAGAAACATTTCGTGAATGTTGCGCTACGCCTGCATCGAGCGAACGTTTCGCGCGTGTGCGTAAACATAGAGAAAATGCGTTCGTCCCGGTGTAATTTAAAGCCTGCGGTTAAAAAGAAACGGAGACACCGACTTCGCCCGCGGATAGAAAACATTTCGAGTACATGGACGATGCGTAAGAAACACGTGGGCGGGTTTGGTCGAAAATAGCCGGTGCTTCCAGCTCTTTTCAACGGTGTACAGCCGTACAGTCGACGTACAGAGAACTAAATCGGTATTTTCGATAGCACTCCCGAAAATAGACGTTATGGGCATCGTCTTTCCATCCGAATATATATCGCTTCGTTAAACCATAAAATCAAGATCGACGGATCCTACCGATCGTTGCGTAACCACCCGCTGATATTTATCCACGATCGGATTACCAATTTATTCGATTTCGTACATCTCGAAAAACCTTTTTACTTATAAATAGAATACCGCGGAGAATACGTTCATCGACCGCTTTCGACGTATCGCGACTGTTTCCTGTTATTCGGATACGTGTGTGCGATAAACGCTCGATTTTCTATCCTTTTATCCGCAGACCTCGTTCGACGCGTTTCGTGTCGCACGGGGCGTGCACGCCGCTTGGAATTTTCATTGTGAAACGAACAGGTTTTCTAAAATTTGTTGTCAAATCATTTGAATAACCGAATGTCAATTTACGCCGGTCTGTCTCTAGAAATCGGAAGTTTTCGATCGATCGAAACGTTTCCCCGTCGCGGGGACGACTCTTCCGCGGAGTAACTTCAAAGAGGAAACCGACGGTGGTAAATATTTTTACCATCGTGGATATAAACGCCCCCGCGGTGTTCCAGTAATCGCTCGAAATAGATCTAATTGCTCCAGATTCTTGCTGTTCCCGTGTATGCCAAAGGTGTTACACAATAGATCGGCCGAACTTGTGTAACGAGTCGCGTAGATCGAATTATCGGCTTCGAAAGAATCGCTGACCCGTGCGATGTAAAAGAACGCGTTTAAAAAAAAACACGAAGAAAGAGAAAGGCGAAACGTTCAATTTGTCCGTAATAGCGATACACGGGGTTTTATGTGCGCTTATTAACGATCAATAATAATACGGTCGAGTGTTTACATGACTATCGAAGGCAATCCGCTTCCTTTTCGAAGGAGATTCAGTGCCCCGGCGCAGGAAAATCGAACGGCACAGCAAACCGCCGAAGTAAAAGATCTCCGCGACGCTTAGGAAACTGCAGCCAAGGAACAGGCTGAAAATTCCGCCGATCGACGCTGAAACATATCCATGGGAATGTACGTAAAGCGGAAGAAACATTTCACGAGGATAGAGATCTTAACAAATAAATGATCGTTACCCAGGAGATATACTGCGTCCGCTGCTGGAACTGTCTCCGTGATCTGAAAGACTTGCGACTTCATGAAAACTCTTAAAACGGCGTCGTTGGTCGATAAGTGTCTGCTGTAAAACCGTGTATCATAATTTTAGTTTGCACCAGATTTATTAATGTTTTCGACTTTCGAGCAGTAACACAAAATCGTCGATTGTAAACCTCCATTAAGGGGCCTTTCTACTTTGTGGGATTAAAAAAATTTAATTTTTTTTTTGCATTTTCTTTTAGCATGTAGTCTCGAAAATATGTCTACCAAATATTAAGTTGAATTTCGGAAAACTAACGGAGTTATAGCCTGCGTATGTGATAACAAAAAAACTATTCAAGATATCATCATGAAATTTATACAGTATCTTTAGAACTGGTTTCTCTATAGCATGAACTAGGATAATTGCTTTTATTAACAAAAAAGCAGCCGAATATATGAAAATATTCAGTATTTTTTTGTAAAATAGCTACCATTTTGTTATTTTTTGTTTTTCTGAAAAGATCCTAGTTCATGCTATAACCACACTCATCTATATTAAGAATATCGTTGGTTTTTGGATTTCGGATAACTTGTTCGCAAGATATCGCATACGCAATCGGGCGCCGTTCGTAAAAACTGTTGTTCGTTGATCAACAAAAACAGCGTAATCAATGGATATTATGCGTTGCAAAAATTCGTAAATATAGCTAAATATATAATAAATGTATCTACAAAACCTGGAATTAATCGCTGTTTAATAGTCCGCAAAAAAAATCAGAAAGAAACATGTATTTTTCGTGTCTACAAGGTAGAATGGCCCCTTAAAATGGAGGACCAGTGACGCAACGGAGAGCAGGTAGTTCGCGATGAAATTCGCAGCCGGGAATGTGGCCTCGAGGAACCAAAATATTCGATGCCCACCGAGTTAATTCCGTTCCGACTATCGCGGATAGAATATCGAAATTCGATGCATCGACTCACTAGTTGGACGAGGCGTTGGTTTGCATCAGAGTCATCGAGTTTGGAAAGCCTCTGTAAAACAGCTCCTTGCACGGTGTGCCGCACTTGCAGCTTACGTTCGCCGTTTTAACGTCTTTGACGATACTTAACTTTTCCGAGTTCTTCTGCACGCAAATCAAGCCGTCTAACCCGCAATGCTATCGATTCCAGTGTCGTGAACGCGAAATCGTCGCTCGGAGAAATGGATTCGGCGATAGATCTATTTACGTTGATGCGATAGTGCGTGGCTATGTTGCTGAAAATGTATGGCAGGCATCCGCAGATCTGGATCATCATTTTGATCCTGCAGTTCGCGTAGCAATTCAAATATCGATAGGAGGGAAAGTATTCCAGGCTGTTTTTGCTATCCGAAATGCACACGGGAACGATTTCGTTTTTCTTGTTACGATGATACAGCCCTTCCGGGTTCTCGGTCAGTTCCGGCGCTATACCGATCTGTGGGATACATTTACACAATGCGTATCGATACTTAGTTTCACGACGTCGACCGATCTGCGTGTATAAACTTGGACGATTATTTTGAATATCAATAATCGACGACTAAATATAATGTAACAGATTTGTTGGATAATTCGATTAAACGTATCACCTCCATATCGATGCTCTTCTGTATAATGTATGCGTTGCTGTTGAGCCCTGGGAAATCCATGCTGTGATGAACGATCACCTGTTCAGGAAACAAGGTTGATTTCATTTGCAAAACCTCTATCGGACCAAATGTACGCGATGATCGACACAAACGTTTTAAGAAGTAATGGAGAAACATACAAATATACTATAAATTTATCCTACCATCGCGCCATCGCTGTTTGTGATCATTTTATCAAATTTGTTTTCACCGTCGTCTGCGTCGACCAGAACCTGCTGCTTTATGAAGAGTTTCAGGCCACTCCTTCGACCGAAATCGGCAGCGACGAGTGGTTTCGGCGCGGGCTGTCCTCTGAACGTGTTTAAAATAATTACAACGATTACAAAATTAAACTGCTCAAAATAATCAAGGTATCCAGTTTCGGGATAACAATCCATTAACCCCCGTAAAGCGGATAAAAACAACGATAATAATGAATATAAATGATCTTGCATAAATAAACTATGATAACGAAATCTAGGTTCGTGTGGAAATGGACCCTCTTCCGGCGTTCGAAGGTTAACGATAAATTCTTTCGAACGTGTCGCCTTGCAATTATTCTGAGCAGCGCGCGAATGAATAATCCACTTGCTTTTCGCGTCCCACGTATTTTTCGAGGAGATAATTAAACGAGCAGCAGAGTCCGTAGGAACTGTACGACACCACGAGGGATTCTTTGCAATCGATGCGTTCGCTGCTCCACCAGCACGATTCCACGATATCCTCGCAGGGCTTTAAGATTTTCAAAAAATCCAACACGCTCCACTCGTTCGCCTCCAAGAACTCCTTTAACTTGTCCATGCCTTCGTACGTATTTATAGGGTAGGGCATCGTTAAGAATGGACCGTATCTGCGTCGAATTTGATTCCATTAATCGTGCGTACCACGCTTCGTTCTCGTAACAATGTTTATCAGACGTCACTAACTTTAGAAAGCTCATCGCCAGCTCTCTGGTTACGTTATTGGGCAGAATGACCCCGTCCAAAATTTCCAAACGCCTCTGCAAAGGAATCGGCGAAAACGGGCAGATCGTGACTGCCGGGAACGGCGCTTCGAATATCGGATTGTAAAACGATTTTATGTGAGTTTCGGTCGGATCATCGTTGTAACGTCGTAAGAATTGTAACACCATTAGACCCAGACCTGAAACAAAACAACTGGCTTCTTCATTTACCCGTCGATCACGGAACGTTAAATATGCAAAAGTGGTATCGTACAGATGAATCCGGTGATCATGGTGCAGGTCCACAAAATTTTCCCGCAAACTCCGACCTTTATGCCCATGTTTCCGAAGTATTGCAAACCGTGCACGGAAGTGCTCCCCAAAAAATCGTTTAAAACTTCTCGAGGCGTCGGAACAGCTTTGGCGTTCTTCGAGATACTTGTTGGATCGGTGGGTTTCACGTTGACAACGTTAACTCTGTCCACCGACTGTTTCGGAACGTTAAAGGAGTCGTTGAAATAGAGAAATTGCTGGTGCTGATCGACGAATCTTTTCGACATTGTTGATCCTCCGGATTACTCTTAAGAAGTCTGTCGATGTTCCCGAACGATCGTTCGAAATTAGCTTTAGCGAGCATACTGATTTCTTCTACGCAGAATGCTGCGTTTTATGACGGCGTCGCGTGTCAACTTTTCGCATAAATTATTCACTGGCCGTTTGAAAATTGATCTTATCGCGATCAACCGCGTGGAGGAAGATCGATTTTCAACCGCGCGCGTATTCGTTCGACGACGGATCACAACGCTCGTTATCGTTTGAGATTTAAAAAAGAAAAGTGCACAATTCAATTATTATTGTTCGATCTGTATCACATACACGTTGTTACGATTACTTTACATGTGTCATCTTAAAAAATTATATTATATTTCTGTCGACACTCTCTGCCGCTTATCTATTAAAAGGAACATACATCGATACGAGTACGCAATATTAAGTGTCTCCGAACAATTCTATCGCATATCCCAGTATCGCTTCGACCGGAACCCTGTTCTGCCCAACGATTTGCACAATTTTTCTTTATTTACAATGTCTCGTCGAAGCAACGATTTAAACGAGAAAAAAGAAAGAACAACGATGACAGATACATATACCCTACATAGTACGTACAAATAAATAATGCAGCACGAGATATAAAAGAACGAGACTATGTACAACATGAAACAGAAGGCTCGCGTTTAATCGTAGTTTTTTTGTGGATCACGTTAACGCAATTTGAACGAATCGGTGTATCTTAACGTCGGTTCGAGATCTTTTGTAAAAATCATTTGCCCGGCCTTGTTGCTTCGCCGTCCGAGAAATTACAATGTCGCTTTCAAAAATCTTGAAACAGAGCCAGCTGTTCCGGTGGCAGAGGTGGCTGCGAACGCCAGTCGGTTTCCGGATAATCGTCGAAACAGCTAGGATCCCCTGGTGCCTTCACTCTTGGTCTTATCGGAGGGGTCAAGGCTCTCTGAGGTACCTGTTCGCGATCATAGTAAACATAAGCAATTGCTACATAAATTGAACAATAAAAAATTTATCAATTACCAATGACCACTCGACCAGCTTGAACCAACGATGCCTCTTTACGTCGTCGGCTCCCTGTCTCATGTTCCCCAGCCTTTTCGTTCTATCGGCGACCAGAAGTTTCTTGATCAGATCCTTGGCGATCGGGTCCATGTGTTTCGGCCACTCTATCCTGCCGCTCAATATCTTCTCGTAGATGCCGAAAGGGTTGTCGTCGAAGAACGGCGGGAATCCCGCCAGCATTTCGTAGATCAGAACACCGAGCGCCCACCAATCCACCGCCTTGTTGTGCCCTTTGCTCTGAATTATTTCCGGCGCCAAATACTCGGGCGTACCGCACAAAGTCCACGTTCTGCAAACACACCGATTGTTCACGATATACATATTACCCTCGAGCTACGCTTGTCGCAATGGCGTTCGACGCGGGTGGAGACGCTTATCGCGCGCTGTTATCGAGGCTTTCTCCGCATAATTAAATAGGCGTGTCGCGGCTGTCGATGCGTAGATAACACCAGAAGGTGCATTTGGACGAGATACCGTCGAAAAGGTAGCATGATTCAAAGAACAAACGCACTTATCTGCGCGGTATACAGTGTATACAGATCTGATCATGAATGTCAAGGTGAGGAGTTGATAAAATATTTGCGTGTTTACTTCGGGCTAGATATCGTGCCATAAATGACAATAGGATGTTATGTTTCTCTGCGAGCTAACAATACGTTGACGAACTGTTATTAACTGCCAGAAATTTTCTACGAGATCAACGTTTGGGCCATAAATGATCGACGCGACGATCGACGAGTTTGATCGAAGCCATTTTTGGACGCATCGTCGCGCTACCTGTCCGTGAGTTTCTTGGAAAAGCCAAAGTCCGTGATTTTCAGATGGCCCTGGCTGTCCAGCAGGAGATTCTCGGGTTTCAGGTCCCTGTAAACTATGTGCTTGCTGTGAAGGTATTCCAAGGCACAAACGATCTCAGCCGCGTAAAAGCAGCTGGTGGGCCCGGAAAATCTGCCAGCTGCCCTCAGGTAAGAAAAAAGCTCGCCACCGGCCACGAACTCCAACAGCATGTACACTCTTGCCTCGTCCCTGCCGCTCCAGAGCCTGGAAAGCGAAAGACGGTTTAAAATTACAACACTCGCGTGTAAACAAAGGGAAAAGGAGAAGGTGTTGCACAAAATAATTTAGCACAAAGCAACCAAAAGTAATCTTTTTTCAGGAGCGACATAAATCGTCCACGAAAGGCCAACAGGTATCACTCTCGTCGTTCCCAGTTACGCTTTCTTTTCCACAATTTCTTTCGTTCGACCGACAAACGTGCAGCTTTCTTAATTACTGACGCGCATATAGTTTTGATACGTTCCTCGGAGCCAACATTCTTTTTCATCGTACGTAGCGTGCTGCGCGAGTTATCGGCGATTCGAAGCGCAGATTCGAGTAGAAAGCGAATTCTGCTTACATGTTCACGAGAAAGGGATGTTTAACTTCCTTCAGGACGGTGATCTCGTTCCGTACGTGTTCCACTTGCTTCAATCTGATCACGTCCACCATCGAGAGGATCTTCAGGGCCATTGGAGTCCCTTGGTGCCTGCAGAGGACCACTCTCCCGAAGGTACCGGTGCCTGCAAACGAGTCTCACGTAATGGACAATCTTTAACGTAACATCGGGCATTCTAAAAAAAAAAATCATATCGTTCTTTCTTTTCTTAATAATAGAAATGAGAGGAACACCTTGCAGGACATTTTTCGGAGCGTTTCGTTATTCGATGTAAACGCAATAATTACGTAAGTTTTCCATCGACCCCGCGGGACGTTTAAAAGTATCGGTTGCCGGAAGCCGCTTGTCGTTTTTATCATCGACAGCTGTTCGCATCTGTTTTTGGCAGTCGCCGCGATTGTCCCGAGGCACGGAGAAACACGTTTTTGCTCTTTATTCGCTGGTTGCCAAAATTTGCCAATCTCGTAATGGCAGTTGTGTACGCGAAACGACTCTCGGGATCGCGATAAAACGCGTCGTACGTGGCAATTTGCCGGTTAATTTCGGCGCGAAACGCAGGGGCACCGTTAATTGGTCGTGGTACGTTAGGCAGACCGACTTTTAGTCACCTGCATTCGTGGGAAAAGTGTATCAAACAGACCGAACAACGCTTGCGGATTATGCGACCAGGGGAGAAAGCGTCGATAATTAATGGTCGCCTAAGCGATAAACAACACGCGCGTAACCCTTCTTTTATTCGCGTGGTCGTCTCGAGATATTATTTTTTTTTTTGCATCATCGATAGTTAAAAATATCCGAAGTACTTTTCTATGGTAGATCGATATTTCTATACCGTTCATTCATCTCCGGGTGGCGGATGGTTTGCTCGAATTTCGTACGCCAGACGCTCACCCCCGACATGTTGCTTTTTTTTCTCCGTATGGACACTCGAGAGGATTTTGGTGTTCGGCCAAAACTTGTTTTACGTCTCAAAGAAGCGGCCTGCCGCATCTGTCCTGATCGATCTTCGCTCGAGGCGCGCGTGCTGCTTTATGCTCGAATTTAACCTAAGCGCGATTTAAGGGCGCATTTTGGTCCGGAACCTCCAACGATCGATTTTTATTCTCTTTTTACAATTAAGCGTGCCCTTGACATTTATTTTATTTGAAAAATAAACGTATTACGGAGGAACGACCCTCGAAGTAAACGATAGAGGATTAAGGTTGCTGGAAGTTTATTTATCGTTCAAATTAGAATGCTCCAATTACGTGGCACGAGACGATCGATGATCTACGCTTTCTTCGTATTATTTTTATCGACGATGATAAAGCGCGTCGCGGCACGACAATCCGAGATCCCATCGATGGTGTTAGTCATATAAATAATTATTTCGCAAGAGACGTCGGAATGTTTGAAAAACCACTAACGGAACACCTGCAGTTTACTGATCGAGTCTCTCGTGTAACTCTGACTTAACGAGCAGTTAAATATACACTCGGTGGCCTCTCACTCTCCAGTGGCCCACTTCCTCGCATCGAGGGTAGTTTGCTTTAGTTCTTCTCTAACATTTTCCATTCGAAGATATATTCTCCCGTTGTTCGAACAAATTTTTCTGCTGTAAGTTCGACGGAACCGCGAGACTTTCTCCCTAAAGCGAAGCATATCCCTAAACACCGTTTCAAATCAGGCTCGAGGCAAGTAGAAAGCCCGGCAACATCGACAGAATCTAATCGAGACCGGTGACGTTACAGGTTTCGCTCACCAAATTAACCCTTTTGCAGATCCCGTTTCCACGATATAAAGTAATTCATTCGCAGAGAAAGTTATTCTAAAAAGGATGTAAAGCTATTATTTAAAGATAATATTTGGAAAACAACAAAGTGGCATATTATTTCACTTTCGAGTCGACCGCAAAGTGAATTTCGAGTACAAAGTATATTCCAGGAGGTGTTTACGATGCTCACCTATGGTTTTGATAATCTCCAGATCGTCGATGTCGTATCGCGGCGAGTCCTCCTGGGATCCCTCCTCGTCGGACGTGGTGTCTCCCGACATAGTTTACAAAGCACTGCCGTAGCCGACGGTTACAGAGAAAGTTTCTGATTTATTTCTTTCGGTCCGCCGACACGTGGAAAGAAAGGAAGCCCCGGTTCAACGATCTGCTCGCGATATTCTTAGATCGTGGACCGACGGCTCGACCTCATATCTGTCCCCCGCGACCCTTTCGACGACCTTTCTTTCGCCGGGGTCGCGCACGAACGTGAAAACAGCGACAGGTGCGCGTACTGGCGAACAACTCGAGCGCCCTTCCTCGATCAACGATCGTTTCTTTTTCGAAGATCTCCACGGATCAGCGACACCGCGCTCGATGTTTATCGTTACCCGACGCTGTCAACGACCCTCTTCTCTGCAGTGGTCGGTTTCGCGAGTGTCATTTAAAAGCGACGAGTAGCGCGGCACCGCGTTCGACGCACAGAGAACGCCGCACACCACTTTCCTCGTTAATGTATGCGGCCGGTTTTCACGCAGCGATCATTTGTTGATTTAAACGGAGCGCGCGTGTTACGCGACGCGTCGAGAGCGTAGCCGTGCGCCTTTCGAGGCGATCATCCTCGAACGATGTGTCTCGCGGAAGACGGAAAAGGAGCGCGTTGCGCGTTCGCCGATATCCTGGACTACCATTTACGGTATACCATCCGACGGTTATGCACTTCCTACTTTCTTCTGGGCTCGGCGAAACCGCGATCGGTTCTCGATCGATCGACAACGGGCACGAAAGGGAATCCCAGTGTTCCGAACGTCAGAAATATTCACGAAGGCGGCACGGATCGTCCCGGCAGCGGCCTTTCGATCTTCGATCTTCGACCTTCGCACGATCGCTGTATTCCGGCCCTTCCGTTTCGCGTCTGAGATCCTGGATCGAGGTGCGAGGATCCTTGTGCCTTCTGTCACATGATCTTCGTGCGGTTCGAATGCCAAGCAGAACTAAACTGGTCACCGAGGGGTCTCAAAACGCTGTCTATCCTTCTCTCGCTCCTCGTCCCCCTCTCTTTCCCTTGACCCCTCCATCTCTTTTCACTCCCACTTTTCCTTCTCTCTCTCTCTCTCTCTCTCTCCCTCTGTATGTATCTCACTCTCTCACCCACACGGGAACTCTCACCGAGAACATCTCTCGAGACCCGTCCGCGGCGGTGAGAGACCGAGTGATTTATAGACGGCGATCGCGGAAGATTCGCGCGGTTCGGCGCGGGATCAAGACGGGATTTAAAAATACGGACCGCGGGGAACGAACGCGATCGTGTCGTCATCGCGGACCCGTTAGACGGTTGCGTCAACGCGCGGACTGGTTTCGAAAAGCGTTTCCCGTATCGCCGAATCGAATTTCGCGAATCGCCGCCGATGACTCGTCGCCTCAATTTTTATAGAAACCTCGTTATATCGTTGTTTCTCTCTGGGTGATGTATTCTTTATTTCGGGGGGGGGAGGGAACGAGGGACGAGAACGAGCGTAGGACAACATGGTCTCGTTGCTTGCCAACCGGACGACACAGAAATAGTGATGATTCGCGGAATTCGCGCGAACGTTAGACTCTCGAGCTCCAACTTTTGTATTCGGGGGGTATTCGGTTCTAGAAATGCAATTTTTAGACTCTTGTTATTTTTTATATAGAGAACCGTAGATTGCTTTCGTATATTTACCGACGATTTCAGCGTACACAGGATTTTTTTCGAGTACAGATAACGAAAATTGTACGAGCTATGGATCATCCAAGAAAGTCTCTTAAAAAAAAAGTGTCCTCACGGCTGACACGATTCCAGCAGCTCTGATGATCTGAAAAAAAGGAAAAGTATCTTGGTTGGAAAGTGTGTAACTATGGCACAAACTAGAGACTTATTTTCCAATTTTTCGTACGTAACAATGTTTTGTAACGAGTTGTGCGGAGTAAATCGGCCGGGAGCCGGTGTCGCGGACGCGATCGAGACGACGAGGGAGCGAAGTGGTCGAGGATGATCGGCAAATCCGCCGAATTTCGACTTATTTTTGAATTTGGATGTCGTCCAGATGCATTTTACCGTCGACATGCAACAGCGTGACGACGAAAGACGCCTATCGGCGCCCACTGTGCGCCACCGACTTTCCATGAAACTCCCATAATTTTTCGAACGATCCAGAGCTCGCGAGGACGCTATCGTTCGGTTCTTTCTCCGCTGAATCGATGGTTAACAAGTCTTGTTTCGAACACCCTGCACAAAAGAGTATTTTTATCGGTTGGAGAGAAATTGCTAAAAATCTGGTATTTGTTTAGCAGATCAAAGCGTCTAATACCTTAATGTTGGATCGTTTCGAGCGACCTTGATGCACGACGCGTATAATCGCGGATGCGATTCAAATTTGTAGTTCTTGTTACGAATAACGTGCAACATCTATAAATAACGATGATTCCGGTTGATATTTACGTTTCTAATAATAATGACAACGACGCGTTTGGGTATATCGGAACATGCCAACGCGATCGCGATTAATTTTCGTAAAAAATTAATTATTGCGTTATTAAGTATCGCAGGCCTTTTGCCTAGGACAGAGATCATCTGCTCGTCCATGCTGAACGTACTAAAGAACGTAATTACGAACGAGCATATTATCCTGTCCAGAACATGACGCGTCATCGTAGTTTTCATTCTCGTGCAGCCAATCATTAGTAACAAAAAAAAATATATAATAGCTTCTGGAAATCCGTTTCACAGACCCGTTCGATGCTAAAATCGAAATTCTAATTGCGTACGCCGTCACGACAGTATTATCTGAAGTTGTTGTTTATCGTTTGAAATATTGGATCGATCGTGATCGCGCGGAAACATATCGATACGGTTAGGATTAATCTAATCGCTGATACTGGCGCCTAAACGTGACTATCCAGATCTTGAGAGCCCGTGAAAATTGCATAACAATTGTACATTTTCTTACTTTCGGCTACTTTTAGCGAATCTGCACCCCCCCCCACAGTCTTTTTCCACCGACCGAACTTCCTTGCCCGAGCCTCGGGATCAAGTGATCGCGGCCATATTTCAATCAGACGCGGTAGCTCATCAAACATTCGTAATATGTACCCCGTCCACTCGGAAATCGCTGATATATTTACCGTGAACGCTTTGATTTCTCCCCTACGTAAATATTTACCCTATTCGGCGAGGCGCAGCTGATTAACAACTAGATCTATTATACCAAGGGTGTAAAAGTATTTTGTTTTTCGTTGTATCGATTATCCGTTTCTAACACCACTTATCGTGACTTTTATTGAAGCATATACGTTTTTTATAGTTCCTGCTTGCCTATAATAACTTTCAAAGACAGGAGGAACCGTTGATTTCGGTGTATCTATTACCGTGCTTAAGTAATAGTAAAATTTACGATCCCTGGGGACGCAGAGACATAAATGAATCAAAAGTTAAATGGCAGTTAATGCGACCGAAATTACGACTTTCTCGTGGTCAGGCGCGCGTTCTAAAACACTTGCTCGACGATACCGTCTAGCGCTTATTTTTACATTTTCGAGCATACGACGTATCTGGAATCGCGTCGACGGCACTCCGTTTCGAACGAATAATTAGGAGCTGTCCCGGCATTGACACTGACGGAAGACCGGACAATTGGTCCCTCCCCGCCCATCCTGGACGCAGAAATATCGTTCGCTCGTCAAGGACGGCACGTCGAGGAAGTTTCAAATTTTCTAATGACGTCCGGCGATCGCCCACGGCTTCTGGATGTGAATCAAGCCAGGCGATTTCTTCGCATTTAGAAAACACATAACGTGTACACGGTCTTGGAAATTCCTGCTTTCGACGGGGCCTTCGCGTACAGGACGATCGTTATTTTCATACGCCGGCGGTCGTGATTTCCTAATCGAGGATTCATTCGAGTGCCGCGTTGTTGCTTTGCGGTCGATCGCTATGGCCACGTCGGTGAAAGGCCACGCAAATGACTTGTTAGCTACGTACGTGACAAAATGTTGCCGCGCGCGCGTTCGAAAGGAACGATCTCCCGCGTAAAGGGCGAAGGATTCATCTGCCGTCCACCTTTCCCCATTGTTAAGCCATCGACGCGTTACTCACCTGACCATAAAGATAACTTTCGTGAATCATAAAAGCGACTACGTGTCGGTGTAAGATGAGTGGACCGGCGTGTGGGTTGCACACGTACTCGGAAGCGGATAGGCGTGTACAGTCGATGAATAGCCAACTTGAATCGTTAATGTACGATATCGCGCGCTTTCACACAGGCACCGACACCGTCAATACCTTACAATATGATTATTGACGCAATACCGCCACGGTAATTATTTATTATGGTAATGTCGCGGAAAGAGACACGAAGTTCACGAATTGGTGTGCAAACAACGAACTTACAGCGTCGTTGAAAACAAACAGAAAAGTGTTAGCGATCATGAGTCTCCAAACCGTAGAAATTGTTTAAGTGGTCGCTCCGAATCAGGTCAAACCTCCACGTTTACGCTATGACGATAGCGTCTCGCTGTTTGACCGCTTCTAAATTTTATTTGAGGCAATTTTCCACCGTCGAAGACCTCAGAAGATCGTAACTGTGCCTATAATCAGTCCGTATTATTGTACACTTATCGTGCGTCGTCGTGTATCTCATTCATTATCGTATTATTCCTGTCGAGAAACAGAGGACGGGGTACGTTTTTACGACGAATCGAAACATGTTTATTTTATGTTACAATTAGTTTCCGGATCCATATTTACCAACACTTTTCCGTTTATTTTTACGAGCGATGCACGGGTGCCAAGTTTTCGTCGCGTATTTACGAACGCCCGTGTATCATTCGACTCTCCAAAGAAATCGTTACGATATTTATACGTTTTCTAAAACTTATAGCACCTCGAACGAGCCACCAACTCCTTCGCGGTTCGGCCAACGCGTACAAGACTATCGAATTGGGCCTCGCGTTTACAGAACTTGGACGAAAATCTAGATCGTCTCGACGAATTCGTGGACAAAAATAGTGAAAATATATATTACGTACTTAAGGTGTTAAACATTCGTTAACTCGACGACTTGCAAAACGATCAAGATTTACAAGATTTCCAACAGGATCGAGACTTTCAAAAGTTTTCTAACATCGGATCGTATTCGAATCGGTGTTGCAACGTATAGCGAGCCCCGTCAGCGGCGAACACGCAACAGAAAACGCACGATCGTCCGCGTGCGTGTCAAGCGGCGGTTCCCAGGGAACGGCGAAGGCTGTACGAGATATTTTCAAGTTTCCCAGCGGTCCCACGGCGACTTCCGGTTCCGCGGCTAGTTATTCGCTTCCGGTGCCATGACAATTTTCCATCGTCGAAGATAATGCCGGTCGCGAGTAGCCGCCTGTAAAAATAATTGACGTTGTACGATTCCGTTTTATCGGGTACGAAAATTGCAAGAACGTAGCGGCTGTGTTTCCGTACTTACGTGCCGGCCGCGTGAACCGTCGTACGGCGTAATTTTCGCTCGTTCCCTTGATTTATCCGTGTCTCCAATTACGGTTCTTCGTTGCATAATGACGAGTGCCTGTAAAGACGGTGCGGATCGTGGAGCGTTACAATGGAACGAAGCAAAGGACGTAACGGATAACCGAACGAAGCGTTTATTTACGACCTTGATCCTTTTTTTTTCTTTCTCCCCATGAAATATGGTGCAGGTGTTTACTTGGACGGTCAGGATGCAACCAGGCCTGTCCGTCCGTCGTGCGCAAGCCAACTTGAAACCGGAAGCGTCGCTTTCTGCCCTGCTGGCCACGAACAATGAGATCGAGAGATTCCTGGGAGGACGCGAGCACGATCAAACGCCGAGGTGCTTTATCGACACCGAGGATCGAGAATATTCGTTTCCAGGGGTCAAAGATCCGTCGCTAGAAGTCGTGAATTTTTCTTCAGCATTTCGTTATTTTCCTTCCTTTACGTAACACGGTACAGGTTGCGTGACGCAATCGGGACGAGTCGTATCTTCTGTTTCGTCGATCGTAAGAAAAAAAAAACTTTAATTGTACGACGGAGACTGTCTTCCCATGACCTCGCTTTCTTCGTAAACGTTTATGAGAAAACTGAGATTGCCGCAGACCGTGGAACTTGTTATACCGTTCGACTTTTTCATCTACCATATTTTTTTTTTCCTGGAGCTTCGTCGAAACAGGAGACGCGTACCCGGAATACTAATTATCGCGAGCGTACGATACCAGTTCAGAATTAACGAAGTTTATTAGTATTTTTCTGCCCATTGTTGGTCGCGTTGCAGAGTCGACTTACCTGCAGGTTAAAACGTCGGTCGTTCGTGGGGGAGATATCGTTCGTATTTTACGGTAAACTGCCTCGTCGAGGGTCGGGCAAACGTCGACGGTGAATTTATTTGCCCGCTTGTTTGTTAACGGAAAGCATTGGCCCCTCGTCGCACGATATGAAAACAATTTTCGTTCTACTCGTCACCCCTATGGTTTCGCGTGTACTTGTATGTAAATTAGAGTGCGGCTCCGGTTATAACAGATTGTTTGTTACCTTTACCATACTAGCGCGATACATTGACACCGACACTTCCGGTCGTTTATGCTTGCCCGAGCGATCGATACAAACGCCGAGACTATCGAGAACATCTTTTCACGGCCACTGCCGTCACGTGGTTCGAGGCTCGAACAGCAACAGGTGTGATGCAACAGGTAATCAAACGTTAGTATCATGATTCGTCGTTTATTGGACAACTCGGTCGTATCCTGTTCGTCTATAGACAGACTTTGATTCACCAGGCCTTTGAACGTCGTTCTCTTATGACAATTTTCATAC